CGTATCTTCCATCGCAAAGATCAAGACCTCCAACGAAACTCACAATCCTTCTTGATCTTGACGATCCTGTTCTTGGCATTTCGCTGTCCACAACAACGATCTTCTGGTGATGAGTGAACATGGTCGACACTTGCAAGTTTTGAACAATGCTTCCACCATCATCAGGGTTACGAGGACACAGGACACAGTTCACGTCCGTTCCTCTGAAGAAAGCCGCTGTTTCTTCATCATGAGTAGCCATGAGTCCATCTTTCTTGAGCAGATCAACAGATGTTCTATCGTCCCAAACAAGCAAGATCACCTTAACACCTTCACTAGCTTTCCTCTTGAGAAGCTCACCGACTGTCACATCTCCTCCTGTTTTAGGCCTCCTTGAGTCTCTCACCAGAGATATCTCAGTGTAAACAGACCAGCCAGTAATGTAGATCAAGTGTTTGGCATTAGTAATGGCGTCGAAGATATCCTCCCAGCAACGACTTGCCTCGTAGTTTTGCCCACCGGCTAGAGGTATCTTGGGGACAAAGTTATCAGGGATGTGAGCATCTTGATAGAGAGAAACTTTGCAGCCTCTTCTCTGAGAGAAGAATGTGTAAGGAACTCCTGGAAACTTTGCACTTTTGATGCCTCGGTTCCAGTTTTGATCTTTTTCAACTCCGAAGTACTGAAGCTTCACATGGATCTTTGATCCACCAGCGATAGGTTTTTTCTCAGTGTCCAGGATCTCAACCCATTTTTCAACTTCTTCTCCATGGAAGATGTCTTGAACAGGAACGTAAGCTCTTCCGATCAACGTTGCTCCGATGGGATTGTCGTCTTTGACGGTGAAGATGACATGTTGAGCCATGTGAGCACAGTAGATATGAAAAGATTCATACCATTTTGGGTTTTTTGGTTCTTTTGTGATCTTTCTTGTTCTTCCCACTCTTGCTTTCTCTAGATCGATTGTAGCGTAAAGCTGTGTTTCTCCTTTCCCAACACCGATTGTTTCTTCCACATTTGCTAGAATCTGAAACAAGATATTGACAAACAGAACATTGAAGTAGTTTTTTTATTTTATTTTTGTGTATGTTAAAAAAAAGTTAACAAAACGAGAGACAAAAGATAATTACCAATCCTAAGAAACCTGATCTGCCTCCTTCAAGATGGAGACTATCAACTTCATAGATTGTAGCGTGTAATCTTCCGTGTAACAAAAACTCTTCCATTTTCTTTTTCTTCTGCATGCAACATCATTAGTAATTAAACTCATACATTAGATTAGCAAAGTTTCACATTTTACACATCTTTTGATGAAACGGAGGAAATCCTGATCTAAGACATTAACGGTAACTGATAAAAAAACAGTTAGATCAAATTCCACATTATGGATAAAAGGCAAGAAAAAACACTGAGATCACGGATAATATAACAAATTATATAACTCAAACCAAATCTTTTATGAGTTTTCTAAACATTTTTAACTCTGACTCATCACCAAACAAGAAAACAAGAAATCATTACCTGAGAGAAAAGGATAAAATTTGTAAGAGGAAAATATGAAAAGGAAAGTGAAATGGATTGAGAGGACATTTTGCCTGAGAAAATTCTCAGAGATTGGATTATGATCCGAGAAAGAAGCTGTTTGAACAAGAGCTACTTTGTGTGTGAAGCTGCTGAATATTTTGTGTGATATTAATAGAAGATGAAGCAAACACCAAACAAGTTGAGAAATACTTAATTAGTAATAGTGCAATACTAAAAATATTTAGACGTAACGAATTGTGACGATTCAGCTCCAAAAACCACGCTCTGTGAGTTTAAGACATTGACTGGCTAATACGTGTCCAAATTTACGGTGATTAAAGTCTCTCTCTCAAACATGCTTTTCTGATCTTAACGATTTTTCTCTAATTGGTTAAAAATTAAATACTTTTTTATCATTAAAGAACTTACGACATACTTTGATGCAAATAAACAGGTGTATTTGGATTTTTCTGTGGATGTTAAAGAAAATAAAATAAAAATTCAGTTCGAATTATTTTTCTAAAAGCTGGTTCTAAATGGAATCCGTTTGGTTTAGTCTTTAAACCAAACAAATTTACCGAACATAACTAACTGCTCGAATGTAATAAAAAGATAGAGAGAGAAACTTCAAAAAAAAAAACCCTAACTTTGGCCACAAGTTTGTCCGAATCTGTCTCTCAGCTTCACATTTTCCCCGAATCATCGGAATATCCAATCTTGCCCTGAAACATCAACCAAAAAAGCCAAGAAGCGAACGCGCGTTATACTCTTTTCCAGAAATGGGGAAGAGACCGCCGATTCCACCAGACATCGAAAACGGACAACGACCACTACCACCGTTACCGCCACCAGCACGACCGCAGTTTCGCCCTCCCATCCCCGTGCCATGGGTCGCGTGGCTCGTGCCTCTCATTCTAGCAGCCAACTTCATCACATTCGCAACCACAATGTATGTCAACGACTGCCCCGCGAGATCAGACGAGTGTCTCTTGTTTGATTATCTTGGAAGGCTCTCGTTTCAACCGATTAAGGAGAATATGCTTCTTGGTCCTTCTATTCCCACGTAAGCAAAAATAATGATTTTCTTGACAAGAATCTGTTAAATACTTAACAGAGATTTTTTTAATGGATGCATCTTCTCTTTGATTCAGGCTGAGAAAACTTGGAGCTCTGGAGAGGAGACTTGTGGAGGAAGGTGAGAAATGGCGTCTCATCTCTTGCATATGGCTTCACGGTGGTCTCCTTCACTTGGTGGCTAACATGATCAGCCTCCTCTGTATCGGAATGCGTCTTGAACAAGAATTTGGATTCTGTAAGAACCTTTTAAAAACCCCTCTGTTCTCTTCTTTTGTCATCAAGATCTTGAATTTGCTTTCATCTGATGATTGATGAGATTTACAGTGAGAATCGGAGCTTTGTATGTGATCTCGGGGCTCGGTGGAAGCCTTATGTCATGCTTGACAGACACAAGAGGAGAAAGAGTATCAGTGGGAGCATCAGGAGCCTTGTTTGGTTTACTCGGTGCAATGCTCTCAGAGCTCATCACAAACTGGACAATCTATGACAATAAGGTAAAAGGTTTCTCATTTTTTCAACTACAAATTTATGGTACGTTATAGAAAGCTGATCTTAATTTTTGTTTGTTTGCAGTGTACGGCACTTATGACATTGATATTGATCATTGCACTGAACCTAAGCGTTGGATTCTTACCACGAGCGGACAATTCTGCTCACTGTGGAGGGTTTTTAGCCGGTTACTTCCTCGGATTTGTCGTTCTTCTCCGTCCGCAGTACGGATACGTGAACCCTAAATACATTCCTCCAGGTTATGACATGAAACACAAGAAACCAAAACACAAGTGTTATCAACACGTCTTCAGGTTTACATCTCTAGCCATCCTTCTTGCAGGGTAAGTTCACAAAAAGCCTCAATGAAACCCCCAAATTTGTTCTGATAGTTGTAAATGATAAACCTTTCATTTTGATATTTCTGCAGATTCATTGCCGGATATACTAAGCTTCTCAGAGAACATACCGTAGAGACTGTGCCATTCAGAGATTTCAAGTAGCCAGCACATCAGTGAGACATTCTCTGCCAAAGACAATTTCACACAACCCCATAGGTTTTTTTTTCCGTATTTGATACAAATATCATCATCCAATATTACATATGTATATCCGTTGTTCAAAGGCTGTTGTAAACTATACATGTGTATAAAAAGCATATATTAAACTGTAGGAAACATTTTGTCATATCTAGTTTTAGTGTGGCACACTAGGATCTTGATCAATGATGTATTATTAGATATCACATGAATCAGACCGACCAAACATTGCGTACCGGTTGTTTGCAACATTTTCATACAGAAAATCCCTCACAAACCTGCAAAAAATGTCAAAACACAAACTTGTTTATAAGATCAGCCTCACACAGATGGCTATTCAAACTTCTAAAGCGAGAGAACTTACAGAGGAGCAAACTGCAAAAAGAAAGCAAGCTGTGGAAATGGCAAGTCAATGTATTTCATAATCTTCAAAACCGCTTCTGACTTTATGTAAGACCTGAAGACAAAACAAACACATACCACAACAAATTTAAAACCTTTTTTTTTCTAAATTTCGAAATGATTTCATATAATGTTACTTTGATTAGCTTACATATCCTTTTCCACAAGCACGACACTTGATATATCATCAGGAGCTCTTCCTGATCTCATTAGCAATTTCTTCCCTGCTTCGCTCTGTAATGCTTCAAACCTTATACTCCTGCAAAACAATTTTTCCATTTCAGTTATTTACTGATCCTCCCATGAAGAAAAAAAACAAACTTGTAACGCATTGATGCGTCGAAACAGAATTAACCTGTTTTGATCATGGTCTCGAACAAATTTCACTCCTCCATTACAGAGATTGCAAACTCCTATCACAGGAGTAGTAAGCTTCATAAAAACATCAATTTTACTGGAGTGACACATTATTATATTGAATTTAAGGTGATTACCGTCGAACAACATGATCGGCCTCTTGTCGTCTTCGAAAAAGCTTGAAGTTTCCTTGACCCAGTCCACTGAATCGCGACGCAAAGTGCGTGGATTAGCAGATGCAGAGACTCTCATTCTAACTTGCGCACAAGAAGGAACGGTTAATCTCCCGAAACTCGCCGCCGGAATAAGGAGAGCCATCTCTCACAAGCTTCTCGCCGGAGAGCCACACGAATTGGCTTGGCTCTTATTTATTTCGCCAAAGGTAGAATAAATGCCACGTCAATAAAATTTAGACAGCCACGTCATCAAAATGCAGCCACTCAAAATATTTCAACCACGTCACTTCAGATATAGCCAATGTAGGAAGTAAACCGGTCTTTGTTGGTTAAACGCTCTTGGAGAAATCGGAGCTTCAAAGACTTAAAAGCTGACCCTTCTTCTCCACTGCAACGCTTGAAACAACATTCCGATCTGAATTATTTCGTCGAGAATCGGAAAAATCGAAAGTTCAAGATGGGTTGGATCGGAGAAACTGTAGATTCTATCAAATCTATTCAGATCCGTCAGCTTTTCACGCAGGCGATCAGTCTAGGTTCGTTCTTCGTTTCCTCTCATATAGCTCGATTTGGATTTCCGTGACCGTAATTCGATTAAGCGTATCTACGGTTATGTTATGCATGAACATTGCCGATCCATTTGCGTTATTTTCGGAATTAAGTTGAAATCTACCCAGAAATTTAGAGACCACTTTGGTTATTAGAATTTGATGAAGTCGATGGTGTATCATAAGATCGTTTTACTGGAATTTTAGCTCTGATTCCGAAAATTTGAAGTCTATTGTTTTGAGGTGGAAATGTGGTAAACGTTATCGTTAAAGTTTGCGACTTGCCATTTTCCCCTTAGCTAAGTACGATACGAGTCTTATTACAAAATTGTCTCATAGTATATTGACGAATTGTTTTCCGTGTGTTGAAATCTGGTAGGAATGATTGTTACATCTGCTTTGATCATATGGAAAGCTTTGATGTGTGTCACTGGAAGCGAATCCCCTGTTGTGGTTGTTCTCTCTGGAAGCATGGAACCCGGTTTTAAGAGGGTAAGTAGACTTTGGTTTTGCTGTGGCGTTGTTCGAGACGTTGTTGTATTCATGTTTGTTAACTCATAATGTATTGAAATGTGATATCTTTGTAGGGGGATATCTTGTTCTTGCACATGAGTAAGGACCCAATTCGAGCAGGCGAAATTGTTGTTTTTAATGTTGATGTAAGTTTCCCTTGTTTTGTTTTGGTCTCATTCACTCTCCCTTTGATTCGTTGATCTTTCTCCTAATCGATGTTTTGGCTTTACGCTTCTCCTCTCAGGGTCGTGATATTCCCATTGTTCATCGTGTCATCAAGGTAACGTTTTTCTCAACTTCTCCATTTGACACTATCATCTCTCGGTACTTATGCTTGATGTAAAGTAAGCTGATTCTTGGGGTTTATCACGTATTAGGTTCACGAGAGGGAAAATACAGGAGACGTTGACGTTCTGACAAAAGGTACTGGTTTTGTTGTTTTGGAATTTTCACCTCTTAGAGTGTTAGTTGGTTTGCACACATTTACATGTCAAACTTTTATGTTTCCAGGTGACAATAACTATGGAGATGATAGACTTCTCTATGCCGAAGGACAGCTTTGGCTTCATCGACATCATATAATGGGTCGTGCTGTCGGGTAATTCCCAAACCTCTCAATGCCAATGCCTGTATTGTGTTTAAACCAAATCTCTCTAATGACTCATACAAATGGTTTATCTTTTTTGTTGTCTGTTTCAGGTTCTTGCCTTATGTTGGATGGGTGACTATAATTATGACAGAAAAACCTATCATTAAGGTACATTCTCACTCTTCTTGATCCAATCCAACATGAACATTTTTTCAGTTTTTTCGGTTTTGTGACTGCGACATTTACATCTTCTCTTCTTCTTGCAGTATATCCTCATAGGTGCTTTGGGTTTACTCGTTATAACTTCCAAGGATTGAGTCTTTTGGAATTGGAAAGGAGTGGACTCTGCAAGCCCTTTGTTGTTTATCATCCTTTTGGTCTTCGTTATTTCAAATGGAAAAAAAAAACAAAAGGTCACTTTGTGGTTTAGACCACTTTTAAAAACAGTAGAATCAGAAGCTAATTTGTAATCGTTGAGATTAGTTTTACCTTGAAATCGAGAATTGCTTTTATTAAAAATCGGCCTTGCTTTCCTTTTTCCCTCAAAAGAACAAGAATAGTCTGGTGTTTGACCAAATTCTCAACCTGAAAGTCGAACTGAACTTTCATGATAACTCAAACGTAAGAGAAGCATGTATATATCGAGCAAATAAATGCTCAAATCAACTTAAGCTGGAAATTTCAAGTTTTGGTTTGATATGAAACAAATCTAAATTAGGGTTAGATATTGACTGTTGACTAGAATATGAGGGGCTTATGTGAGAATAAATTTACTTTGATTTCTCGTCGTCCTTATGAACGACGTTGACAATTAAACAACATTTGCTCATTTCACAGTCTTATAATGTCTAAAACCCTTCTCTCTCGCATCAAACCCCTTACAAATCCTCCTCCTCCATCATCTAATTCCCTCCGATCTCATTTTCCGATTACTCCCCAAATCGGAAAACAAGTTAGCGACATCGTTACCATCCTCAAAACCAAACAAAACTGGTCTAATTATCTCGACGATGGTGAAGTCCCCCTCGTCGACATTTCTCCTCTCGTTTTCGATCGAATCCAGGATGTGGAAATTAGCGTCAAGCTGTTTGATTGGCTATCGAGTCAGAGAAAAGATGAGCTCTTTTCAAATGGGTTTGCTTGTTCTTCGTTTCTTAAGCTCTTAGCTAGGCACAGGGTCTTCGACGAGATCGGAGATTTGTTGGGGAATCTCAGAAACGAAAATGTCAAGGTTACTCACGAAGCGTTGAGCCACGTTCTTCACGCGTATGCTGAGTCAGGGAATTTGAATAAAGCTGTTGAGATTTATAGATATGTGGTTGAATCGTACGGTTCTGTGCCTGATGTTATCGCTTGCAACTCGTTGTTGAGTTTGTTTGTGAAGAGTAGGAGGCTTAGAGATGCACGGAAGGTGTATGAAGAAATGTGTGAGAGAGGTGGTTGTGCTGATAACTACAGTACTTGTATACTGCTTAAGGGTCTGTGTAGTGAAGGGAAGGTAGAAGAAGGTAAAAAGCTGATCGAAGATCGATGGGGGAAAGGTTGTGTTCCGAATATTGTGTTTTACAATACAATCATTGGTGGATACTGTAAGGTAGGTGACATTGAGAATGCAAATTTGGTTTTCAAGGAGTTGAAATCGAAGGGGTTTATGCCTAGTTTGGAGACTTTTGGTACTATGATAAATGGATTCTGCAAGAAAGGGGATTTTGTGGCGAGTGAGCGGCTTTTGAATGAAGTGAAAGAAAGGGGGTTAAGAGTCAGTGTTTGGTTCCTTAACAGCATCATGGATGCTAAGTTTAGGCGTGGTTCTAAGGTGGAGGTAGCTGAGAGTATACGATGGATAGTAGCGAATGATTGCAAGCCTGATATAGCAACGTATAACATTTGGATCAACTGTTTGTGTAAAGAAGGGAGAATGGAAGATGCGGTTTTGCTTTTGGATGAAGCGACGAAGAAAGGGTTGATTCTCAACAATATAAGCTATGCTCCTCTTTTAAAAGCCTATTGCAAGATTAAAGAGTATGATATTGCTTCTAAGTTGCTTCTACAGATGGTTGAAAGAGGATGCAAACCAGATATAGTTACGTATGGAATTCTTATCCATGGTCTTGTTGTTTCCGGCCAAATGGATGATGCAATTAATATAAAAGTGAAATTGGTCGATAGAGGAGTTTCACCGGATGCTGCCATCTACAACATGTTGATGAGTGGATTGTGCAAGAGCGGTAGGTTTTTAACTGCAAAACTCTTGTTCTCGGAGATGCTGGACAGGGATATTTTACCGGATGCTTATGTGTATGCCACACTCATAGATGGATTCATCAGAAATGATGATTTTGATGAGGCAAGGAAGGTTTTCACTCTCTCAATCGAAAAGGGTGTGAGGGTTGATGTTGTGCACCACAATGCTATGATTAAGGGGTTTTGCAGATCTGGAATGTTGACTGAGGCATTGACATTCATGAATAAGATGGCTGAAGAAGATCTTGTACCAGATGAGTTCACTTATTCCACAATCATCGACGGATATGTAAAGCAACAGGATATGACTACTGCCGTAAAGATTTTCCGGGACATGGGTAAGAAGAGTAAGTGTAAGCCAAACATGGTAACTTACACATCCCTTGTTAATGGATTTTGTAGCCAAGGGGATTTCGAAATGGCTGAAGAGACTTTCAAGGAGATGCAATCGTGTGGCCTTGTGCCTAATGTTGTCACCTACACAACATTTATAAAAAGCTTTGCTAAAGAGAGTAGTACCCTTGGGAAAGCGGTTTATTATTGGGAGCTGATGCTGAGAAACAACTGTGTGCCTAATGAAGTTACTTTCAATTGTCTACTTGAGGGATTTCTGAAGAAAGCATCTGGAAATGTTCTTGCTGAACCAAATGGGTTTAACGAGGGTCAAAATTCTCTGTTCTTTGAGTTCTTCGATAGATTGAAATCAGATGGGTGGTCGGATTATGCTGCTGCTTATGATTCTGTTCTTGTTTGTCTCTGTGTGCATGGAATGGTGAAGACTGCTTGCAGGTATCAGGATGGGATGGTAAAGAAAGGCTTCTCTCCTGATCCTGTTGCGTTTGCTGCTATTTTACATGGTTTTTGTGTGGTTGGGAACTCAGAGCAATGGAGGAACATGGACTTCTGTAATCTGGATGAAAAGGGTCTTGAGGTAGCTGTTAGGTATTCGCGTGTGTTAGAGCAACATCTGCCTCAATCAGTTACATCGGAAGCTTCGACGATTTTGCAAGCAATGGTTGAAAAAGCAGACACCAGAGAACCTTATAGTTGTGGAATCTCAGTAAGATGAGAGACATGAAGAGAAGAAATTGATCTAAGAATGTATAAACAAATTGTTGTTGTTACAAATGCTGTGTCAGCTCAACTCAAGAATGAGGTAGTAAAAAGAATAGCATTACAGCTCAAATTCACAGAAGCAGGCAGGCAAAGTCCATGGCTTCCTATCAACACGAGCAGCTTCAGTGGCAGCGATAGATGAAGGAGAGAGGTTTGCGTATTCACATTGGGTGTATGCTACCATGATGTCTGGTTCAAATCTGAGGTGAAGCGACAAGAAGGTTTTGGGAATCGTATCTAAAAGCTCGATGGCCTTCTTCTCCAAGGAACTAGTGAGGCACAGGCTTGACATGGAGTGGGTTTTGCAAACTGGGGGGATGCCTAAAATGCATTGTATGAAAAGTTAAAAGTGTAAAAAAACCACGAATATTTCCAGAAATAGCAATTACAAAGACAATTTGATTTATTTCCTAAAGCAGAAACAATGCAAAGACATTAGCGTTTCATCGATTTTCAAAGTGCTAATGCACATGAAACAAATTGTTGTTGTTACAAATGTTGTGTCAACTCAACCCAACATTGAGGAAAAAAAGAAGAAAAAAAGTATTGGCATTAAAACAAAACCTCTGAATAGTATCAAAGAACAATAACAAAACTAAAGTAGTGAATATGAACAAATTGTTCTTGTTACAGATGTTGTGTCAAACTCAATTCAAGAATCAGAAATTACACAAATTGTAGTAAGATCCGGCAGTGTTCTTCACAGTAATGAGGTTGTATCTAGCTATAGAGTAATGAGGGTGTACCTGATTGTTCTTGTTACAGATGTTGTGTCAAACTCAATTCAAGAATCAGAAATTACACAAATTGTAGTAAGATCCGGCAGTGTTCTTCACAGTAATGAGGTTGTATCTAGCTATAGAGTAATGAGGGTGTACCTGATTCTTCAGAATAGATCGGAGAGGAGTCTTCTAGATCCGGCATTCTTAGCAGCAGAAATGACTTGACGAAGGTAGGAAACTTCATCCGTCAAGTTTACCACCTAATCACCCATCCTCACAAGCTTGCCTCTAAGAATCCAGATAGAAATTTCAACTCTTTCTAGCGGTTTACCATAGAGATTATGGATCAAAAGACGAGATTAAACATAGTAGCAAGAGTATTACTAGTCACCAGAAAGTAGTATCAACGGAACCATAGAAAACTTTGAAAAAAGACTCCTCAATTGCTTTCACAAATTATGATTATTGACAAACTCAAGTCTTGCACAAAAGCTGCTCATTAATTTCTAAGTACGTAGAAATTGACAGATTTGTTTCTTCAACTATGACTTGCTCTAATTAAATCACTAAATCATGGTTGATTACACAAACAAAAACGGTTTTAAAAAGAAATTTCAAAACTTCAATTTTCTAGATGCCAATTTTCGAAAATATATCTCTATGGTGTCCATTTTCAAAACTCCACTTTTTCATTAAGTCTCTAAACTCTAAAATATAACCTTAAACCCTAAAATTTAACCTTAAACCCCAAAACCTAAATCCTAAACCTCAAAATCTAAACCCTAGTCTAGGATTAGTGAACCCAAACATATATATATTAAAATTATGAACAATATATTTTTGAAAATTGTCACACTATAAATTTACACCTCAAAAGGTGTATTTCTGAAAATTTCTCTATTAAAAATGAAAAATATGGCATACATGAAAGAAAATCAATATATACATGAAAGAAAATCAATATATATTGTACTTTTTGTCTTTAAATGATCGATATTTTTAGGTGTTTTTCTTGTTCCTATAAGATTGATTTTTGTAGATTTTTATTAAATGAATTTTAACTTTGATAATTAATTAAATGTAAGTTTTTGCAAAGAAGTTCCGGCCAAAAACTTATGCGTCTAACTAAACATGATTATTGGATCTTTCTTTTCGTCTGCCGAATTACATTAAACCCCATAATTAAGATTCGATTACAGGTGGACACGTGTTTCAACACATGGTATACTACTTTCTTGTATACTACTTTGCAAGACATGAGAGTCTCATCGATTCTCAAAGTGCCGTTTCAGATAAACAATTTGTTCTTGTTACAGATGTTCAAATCAACTAAAGAATCAGAAATTACAGCTCAAATTCACAGAAGCAGTCAGGCAAAGCAAAGCCTCTCCCAATAGCAAAATCTTTTTTATGAACTTCCCAAAGAGCTTTCTTCAACTCTTCCCCTTCAAGCCCCTGAGAAGTGAGTTCTGCAAATGCTTTTCTGCTCAGGAACAGAGTATTATGCATCTGTTTATATGTTCGCATCGCTGCAACGATCTTATCCATGTTCCCAAAGTAGGTAGCCACATAGGCGTCACTGTTGATGGAGACATGATAATCCAAAGCAGCTTTTGTGTTTCCATGCATTCTTGTGAAATCCTCTTGGTTAAGTAGAGCAGACTTTGTGAAGACGTTTGTATAAACGGATGTGAATCCTTCCATCTCCATTAGACCGTCACCAGCTGCTAAGTAAATGTTTGTGCTTGTTGGAATGTTAAGTGACTGAAGCATCAAAACTGTTTCATTAGGAGTCAGAGGGCATTTGCCTCGCTTTCTCCAAGTCTGAGCTAGCTCTCCAGTCCATGGCTTCCTATCAACACGAGCAGCTTCAACGGCGGCGATAGATGAAGGAGAGAGGTTTGGATATTCACATTGGCTGTATGCTACCATGTCCGGCTCAAATCTGAGGTGAAGCGACAAGAAGGGTTTGGGAATGGCTTCTAAAAGCTCGATGGCCTTCTTCTCCAAGGAACTAGTGAGACGTAAAGCTGAATAACAGGCTTGACACAGAGTGGCTCTTGCAAACTGAGGATACCTAAAAATACAGAAGAGTAAGAAGCCAACCCCAAATATTTCCAGAAATTACAGACAAAGACCATTGAGCAGATACGCACCTGTCCCTGCGTTGGCTCATTGCAGGTGTGAAAGAAATGTAATGATGTTCCAACAATGATGGAAGAACACTTTCGATGTAATCAAATTGACCTTTCCTTTTGCTACAGTCTACTTTGAATGGTTCTTTTGATGCAAGATCTAGTGGCAGTTCTTTAACGACTTCGATGAAACCACTCATCTTTTGAATAAAGTAGTCTACATCAAACACATCTGCAAATCCACTGCATCCAAGAATATCGCTGATGTTAACTTCTCTTCCTTGATCAAAGCAACAAAAAACAAAGATGAAATTGCTGTATAAGCTTTTACCTTGACTCGTTCCAATAAGCAGCTACCTCAAACTTTGGCAGAACAAGTGTAGCATTCAACAAACGAGCAATCCCAACACCATCACACAACTGCAAGTAGCATCACACCATCATGTCATTTATTTCCTAAGGCATTAAGCAATGCAAGTTGAAATCTTCGTGGGTTTAAAGAGTTGTCAGATTCTCTATGCTTTTTTGCAAACTTACATCACGTCTCATCTGATTAAGGCCTCCATAGCAATCAACACGGATGTATCCATTGGTTTTAGCTGGGAGAGCTGCAGGATTTGAACAAAAAACCAAAGCAGTTGTCTGCAATGAAAGACCGATCACAAAAGCTCAGAGAAGTAAACTCACTACAAGCAATCTACACTGTGCCCAACTTAAGAAAGTCTTCTCTTTTCAATTCAAAAGCCAAAGCTTCCAAGTGAATACATGGCTCTACTCTAACTACTGATTGCTTCATCTTATCTCAAGTACTATCGGATCAATTCAATCACACAATCTTTCAATTGAACAAAAGCTTAAGTGATATAACCAAATGAAAAAGTAAAGAGAGGCATACGAGTGAGATGTCCTTGTAACCACCATTTGCATGGCCTCCATTCAATTATCCTCTTCACACTCCATATCTCAGAACCCCTGAAGCAGAGGACAGACAAATCAATTTTACTTTGTAAGAAAATTTCTGTAAGATTATAGTATAAATTATGCTAATTTGATTTCACCCAACATATCACACATCTGAATACTCACACTGATGAGCCTGAAGGCACCGGAATCTGCAGGAAACGTGGCGGCGACGGAGATAGAAGAATGACGACGAGGAGAAGCGAGAAAGTTAATACTAATACGAACAGTGGCTTCACCGTAGATGCAATCATTTGAATGGATTTCGCAATCGAACTTCAAATCGGAACTTGCAACTGTATCAGATCTATCGAAAGCTCCACACTTTCGTCGTCGGTGCCTAAAACTCTGTTTCATCAGAGAACCTCTCTGCTCCTAATTAAAACGAAAAATAAAGAAAAACATAAAATATATCGAACCTTCTTTCTAAGGAAAAAGGTTTGATATTAAAATCTCACACGCTTAATTTTTTCATTTTTCTTCTCATACAACTCTTTCAAGCTCAATCATTCAATATCACACACACATCACTCTAATCCAGGTTACTCTTTAAGCTTATCAAAATCTTGAATTCATAAAAGTCTAAAATATTTTATTCAAATGTGTTTATATGTTTCCTCTCATACAACTCTTTATGCTCAATATCATCATCTTCACTATCTTCACTTCTACGTCCCACTCTCCTCCTCTTCCCTCTCATCTCCACCGCCATTTCCCTAACCGAGCAAGAACTACTCCTCTCCATCTTCCCAGACAACACATCCACAACATCCATCTCTCCCCAACCGACCAACCGGTTCCTCAACATCTCAACCGTCGTCGAATACGGTGGAATCCCATCATCAATCATCATCTCAAAGTACCTACAAGCTTCCTCCAACTTCCCTTTCTTCCTCACCAACCCATGAATCATCACAGTGTAAGTCGCAACCGTCGGATAAAACTTCCTCTCACTCATCCCTTCCCACATCTCCGTCGCACGATCAAATCTCCCAATCCTCACCAGCAGCTTCAGAACCATATTGTAAGTGTGCCTATCAGGTAAACACTTTGTTCTATCCATTCTAGAGATCAGCTTCGTCGCTCGGTTCACTTCGCAGTGATCACAATGGTACGCCATTATCGAATTGTAAGTCCAAGTATCCGGATCAGCTCCTTTACGAATCATCTCGTCCAAGAGCAGATAAGCATCATCAACTTTCTCGTTCTTGCAGAGTGTTTTGATGATATGGTTGTACGTGTACACGTTCGGCACAAGATCGTACCTTTGCATCCGATCAAGAACTTTATAAGCCGAGTGAACATCATCCTTGTCGCAGTACGCGTGGATGAATATAGCATAGCTATACGCGTCTGGCTCGAGTCCAAGCTTACCCATTTCTTGAAACATCTCGTAAGCTCCATCAACGTCTCCAGATTTGCAAAGCGCGTCTAAAAGAGCGTTGTACGCGAGCAAATCCACAAGACAGTTTGTTTCAAGCATTTCGTCGAACACCTTGCGTGCACCGGAGGCGTCTCGGATCTTGGCCCAGCCACGGACGAGAATGCTATACGTCTTCGCGTTAGGTGCGATCACGAGTTTCGATTTCTCGAAGAAGTCATGAGCGTGAATCACGTGTTTTCTGTCGCAGAGAGAGTGAAGAAGCTGGTCGAGATCGTGAAGACATGGCTTGATCCCAAACTCGATCATTCGATTAAACGCTCGAGTTGCTTCGCCGGGTAGATTAGCTCTACTGTAAGCTCTGAAGACGATCCAAAACACTTTAGGGGTGATCTCGAAGTAGTTATACTCTCTGGCTTCGATTAGAAAATCCCAGAGCAAAGCGAATTGCTTGCTACTACCCAGAATCTCGAGCAAAATGTGGTGACTTTCTGAGCTGTGTTTGAAATCTGGGATTCGTCTTGCCCAGAGGAAGAATCTGTGGGCGGGAAAGCCGAGATTTTTGCAGCGCTTCAACACTTGTTCGACCAGATTCGACGAAACTCGTGGAGAGTAAACGCCGAGAGTGTGTTCGAGGTCGTCTTTTGGGTTTCTGTGATCGCTTATAAGTCGGGAGATCTCGTTTACTAGTTCTGGTGATGGTGGGTCGTGCAGAAGAGTAGAGAAGAAACGAAATGTCTGAGCTTTAGGGATTTGGTTAAGAGTGCGTACGAGAGAAGAGAATGTTCGAATCGCCATGGAAGTGCTCTGTTTTGCTTTCCACAAGTAATGGAGCCAATCTGAAATTTTAAACGTTGAATTAGTTCATATATACAAAGCCCATTTAATTAGATTATTATAAGCGAGCCCAGTAAATTAAGGGGCTCAAATTCCTCTTGTTGCAACATTTAATCAAAATATCAAATATTATTATTTGGAGAAGTTGAAACAAAACTTGGTATTCCTAACATTCTTTTTTTGTTTGTTTGTTAAAGTATTCCTAAAAACATTCAAAAATTTATAGAAAACAATCATTTTAGCAATACAACAATGTCTTCGTTTTTAGTTTTTAAAAACACATCAAAAGATTATAAAAGGTTTTTTATAGAGCATTTTACATTGTTTTCATTTTGTTTTTGGAGACTAAGCATTAAAATAGAAGCTTTATCAAGTTTGTCACTATGCCATTAATATCATCGTAGTTACGTTATCCTATTTGTCCTCTTAACTTGACTATTTTTTCTGAAGTTTATAGTGATAGATTTGAGAATTGTTTAAAACGAATTTGTTTGAATAACAAAGCGACAATGTTTTATCTACCCTTCAAAAGCGTTTCAACTTGTATGATGAAAACTGATCTTGAATAACAACAAATTATTGTTTTCTATAAATTTCATTTGAATAACAAAAAGCGTTTCAACTTATTTACACAAGAGTCTTGAGCAACACACGAGACTTGACAGATTTAGACGGACATAGTTAAGTTACATAAATATCATGAAAGCTTAATTATTTGTAAAATGAAAACAAAGATTGAGTTAACTTGACATGATAACCACAAAGGGTGACCAACCAACAGAATAAACATTTTAAACGATAAATCTTAAATACTTTATCAATATAAAGGATAGGATTCTGAAAAGTCCAACTTATACGATAATATAGAAGAAGGTTTTTTTGGTTAGTTGGTTCCTAATTGGCGAAGTAGTGCAGAGTTTCATCAGAACATGTATTAATCACTTCCATAAACGACAAAGAAAACAAAAAATATAATACTCACACGCCGAATAGATCTATTTGAACTAGGAATTTGTTTAGTTAATTGAGAATAAATTCCAACAACCGTCATTAGACATTAGCAAATATGACAACGTGCAAGTCAGTCCATGTTGAGGCTAATTTAACGCATTCATATATAAATATACATGCACAAAAACACATTTTCAAGAATCTTACTTTGGGGAAAGTTTTTGAAAGATGGGGAAAGATTTCAAGAGTTTGGTTACTCGATGCATCTACGTTGGGAAGATTGATGATAATGTGAAGAAGCTGAAAATCGCGACGGAAGAGCTAAAAGATCTTGGGAGCAACGTGATGAAAAGGGTCAAGATATGCGAGGAGCAACAACAGATGAAGCGGCTAGAGAAAGTCCAAGCATGGTTAAGACAAGCCGACACGGCTATTAAAGAAGCCGAAGAGTATTTCTTGATGTCTTCCTCGTCTTCTTCTTCGAGCCACGGTTTGATATCTTCAAGCCACAAGATGGAGAAGAAGGTTTGCAAGAAGCTGAAAGAGGTTCAAGAGATTAAGAGTAGAGGAATGTTTGAGGTTGTTGCGGAAAGCGTCGGAGGCATTGGAGGAGGAGGAAGTGGAGTAACGGTTAAGGACAATGATGAGGAGACGGTAGGGTTAGAGGCGGTTTCGGGTTTGGTGTGGAGGTGTTTGACGATGGATAACACTGGGATGATTGCATTGTATGGTGTGGAAGGTGTGGGAAAGACGACGGTGTTGACTCAGGTTAATAACAGGTTGCTTCAACAGAAAGCAAATGGGTTTGATTTTGTTTTGTGGGTGTTTGTGTCCAAGAATCTGAATCTTTTGAAGATTCAAGACACCATTAGGGAGAAGATTGGGTTTTTGGATAGGACGTGGACGAGTAAGACAGAGGAAGAGAAAGCTGCGAAGATCTTTGAGATCTTGAGTAAGAGACGTTTCGCTTTGTTTCTTGATGATGTTTGGGAGAAAGTTGATCTTGGTAAGGGTTTTAAAATCAGTTACTTATTGTACACGTAAGTGAGTGTTTATATTACTTGTGATACAATTTATCCGTGTTTTTGTTCTTACAGTGAAAGCTGGAGTTCCACCACCCGATGCACAGAACCGTTCTAAGGTTGTGTTCACGACGTGTAGCGAAGAAGTTTGTAAGGAGATGAGTGCGCAGACGAAGATCAAAGTGGAGAAATTGGCGTGGGAGAAAGCTTGGGACTTGTTTAAGAAGAATGTTGGAGAAGAGACTGTGAACAGCCACCCGGATATAGCCAAGGTGGCTCAGGAGGTTGCAGCCAAGTGCGACGGTCTTCCTCTAGCTTTGGTCACTATTGGCCGAGCCATGGCTTCCAAGAAAACGCCACAGGAGTGGCATGACGCTTTGTACATCTTGAGTAACTCTCCTCCTAATTTCTCAGGTCTAAATCTCATAAAAACTCATCAATTTGTTAATGACTTATATTTTAACACTTTAGTTCAACTAATTATCATTTTTCTTTTATTGTTATGTAACAGTTCTCAAGTTACTGGACAGGAACTAGGTGAAGTCCACAGAGGCTGAATTTGCACTATTGATTTAAGTCACTGGCTAGGTCTTTTTGAACAATTTGTTTGAACTTTTTTCTTTATTTGTGTGTATCTGTTTTGTAATCTTCTCATTGATCATGTAATATATGAATGAATTTTGTTTATCAACCGAGAATCCAAATCAATTAAACCTCCAGTGCCCACTTTAACTATAAAAAAATTAGAAGTACAAATCAATGATTTAATTGGAGATTTGTGTGATGCATAGGTATTGCAGACTTGTTATTTCTGATTTCATAAATTTTAGTTTGGTGTGGTTCTGAATTTGATTTTTACACGAGTAACATTTTATTAATTTACCTTTTCCGTATTGACGCAACAAAGTTTTTTCCGTAACATACTCTATTTTATACATAATAATGTTGTCATACAGAGTGAATGGACATATATGGACATATAGTTATTACAAAGTTAAATATTTTGTAATTTGAATTTTGGTTGTCATATTGACAACTTTATTTTGTACATTATGATAATGGTTTATTTGTCTTTTTAATTTACAGTATTTTGTGATTTTGTTCATATTGTGTACATGTTGACAACAGCTCACTGATGATAGTGTTGGCATTGTTGATTTGGTATGGGTGGAGTGTGAAAAACCACACTTCTCACACAAATCAACAACAGGTTGAAGACTTCAGATTACCATTATGTGATGTGGATTGTTGTCTCGCAAGGCTTGAGCTCGGGTAAAGTGATAGATGATATTGGTGAGAAGTTAGGCTTATGCGGAGAGGAATGGCACCGGAGAAACGAACGAGAGAACTCAGTCCAGATATACAATCTATTGAAGACGAGAAGATTTGTTCTCCTTCTCGATGACCTTTGGAAAAAGGTGAATCTCTCGGAGATTGGAGTTCCTCACCCTAGTAGAGAAAACGGATGCAAGATAGCCTTCACAACCCGATCCTTGGATGTTTGTGGGCAAATGGGAGTGGACAGAAAACTAGTTGAAGCACAGAGGCTGAATTGGAATTGGGGATATTAGTCTATTGATTTAAGTCAGTGGCTAGGTCTTTTCTGAACAATTTGTTTGAACTTTTTTCTTCAATTGCGTATTTGTTTTGTAATCTTCTCATTGATCATGTAATATATAAATGTTGTTTATCAACCGAAAACAACAAAAATCCAAATCAATTTAGTGAAACAAAGAATGGTACGTACAAATATTTTCAAGTGTGAAGCTTATTAGTCTCTGTGGAGAAAAAAACAAAGAAGCATACAGAAAACACAGACAAAAATGAATCAAAATCAGTTCTCACTGAAGCTTCTTGATGCCAGGAAATGAAGGAAGGACTGAGATTAGAGCATCATCGTATCCTACAGGCTCTGTTCGATAGGAAAACGAATACAAAAAATGAAAGTCAGAAGAGCAAATTCATGTTGGTATGAGGAACGATGCAGCAACATAACAAAAGAAAAGAAAGAGTCTCTTACCGCCATCTTCACGGAGTATTTTGACAATCTCACCGGAAACATCAGACTGAAAGAAAGCAAGAAAGAACAAAATAAGACGACCGAGAAAGTGAAGAAAGCAAAGAAACCAAATGGGACTATTAGTATTACCTCAACAGGGATTTGGCCACCGAGTTGTTCAATGTAGCACAGAACTTGACCTTCTTTCACTATGTCTTTCTGTTGAGTAGTAACCAAAACCAAATACATAATCAACAGAGAGATCACTCAAAAACTCTGAGAAGAGAAGACCTGTTCTAAACATACCTCTTTACAGATTGTAGGAAGGCGTTTCCCTTTTACGGTCTTGGATCTCCTGAAATAACCGACCTGCAACAACAAAGATCATCCCAAATTTAGCCGTGACTCATGCCAGTTTCCAAGTACATGTTGAAAGACAAATGATCTTCTGGTCTCTTACAGTTGGAGACTGGAGAAGCACTAAACCCTCATCAGCAGCTTTGTTAGCTCGTGTTTGCGGTCTGTCTCCTGAAGAAGAAGATGGTGACTTTGAGATAGCTAATGACGAAGAAGTAGCTGATCCGTTTGTATTGACTCCCTCAGAAGCTGCGCTTGTAGCAACAACAGACGGAATCTGCTGAGGTGGTGGACTACTTTCAGCTAATTTCCTTGCTACGTATAGACGAAAACCTCCTAGCTATTTGGGAGAAAGCAGAAACTATTAGAGAATTTCTCAAGGAAATAAACTTAGCAGAGAAGAGTAATCAGATGAGAGACTAAGATGTATGGCTTACTTTGAGTTCAAACTCTGCAATGGATGGAGATTCAGTGATTTCATTAATAAGTGCTTCCACCTACAAGAGAGAAACATGAAACATAATGGTTACTGTTGCATTGCATCAAATGGATCAAGAATAGCAGCAGAGAGTTAACAGGAAGGTAAACCACTAACCTCAGAGGACTTGGGAATGAGCTGAGTATTCACAAGAGATGATTTGGTCTCTTCAGAATCTTCTACGTCTGTGATAGCTGTGGTGAAGAATGTTAAAAGTAGAGACCATACAAACCATAACAATGAGAAAGAAATACTCAGATTAGTATACCTGATGTTTCTGTGGTTGGAACAGCAGACAATTGGATAGCTTTCACAGATCTCAAAGTTGCTGTTCTCAAGCTCAGATGATGCTTCATGGAGCTTTGGCCAACACATAGTCTTTGATTGTTTGGTATCAGCAAGTTTCCACATCTTAATCTACCCAAATTTGTTGTAAAAATCTTAACTTTAGGAGCTCCTAAGCTACCTGAAACACGCACAAAGGTTATCAATGCAAAAATCTAATTCAATGTCCATCAATCATCAATTTCGTTGCACTTTGTAGTCTTAAAGCGAGTAGAGAAACGATTCAATCAATCAAAGGAACAAACTTGAATATGGACGAAGAATCTAGAGCAATTATTATCAGAAGCTCAAGAGTGAAGAGTGAGTGAAGAAGACACTAAAAGACCGGAGATTTACACAATCAAATGCTAGAGACGCATCAACAAACCCTAAATCAAGACAACAATTCAGGCTCATTGAGTCATTTCTACTCTATACACTAATCAAATTACAAGAAAAACTCTAATGATCAATCTAATCGTTGAAACCCAAGTGTCCATTGATTCTGAATTGCTTAATGACCCGAAACAGAATGATTCGAGAAAATGGCGAGCAACTAATTAATTCAGAATCGAATTCACAACAGATCATCAAAACAAAATCTTGGCTCGAATGTGAACCCAAACACAGAAATTTGAATTCCAAAAGGGAACATTTTCTGAGAAACTTACAGGAATTCATGGAGGGAGAGGAGAAAGATTTGAGCAAATGATGAATAACAATGCTGATACGAAGAAGATTGGAGAAGCAGAGTGAGAACGATACGAACGAGGAAGACGATGGAATCAAATTTGACAGTGGTTCGATACAATCTGAGTTTGGAAATTGGATATTTATGGGCCCACAACTGGGTCCACAAAGCCCATTATTACAGAACCAATTTTAGTCTGGTTTTTAAGCTGTATGGAAAGAGATGATCTGAAAAACACTCACTATTTTGAAAATCGTTGCACCTTTTGATAGTATTCAAACATCTTTTTAAAAATAGTAGAGATGACTATGTTTTTTTTCTTCTTCCATTTTTACATATGTTGCAGTTTCAATTGCACACACACACGAAATTAAACTGAATGCTGCAATTATAGCTAGGGAGGTAGAAACAAGAATAGAAGAACCAAGGAATATTCTGAAAGTGCTTTGAAAAACTGGTCGACAGCTTTCACCGAAATCGTGGCTTCGGTTGAGTGTTTAATGGGCATGCATGTTCTCTAGATTTTGTCTAAGGTTATAAAACAAAAAGAGAGAGTATTATCAATCCACAAACAGAAATTAAGTAGCAAAAATTTAACTTTAGAACGAAGAACAGAGAAAATAATTACAAGATATGATTTACATAGGCTAATCAAGCTGTACTATATGATAATGCATTCGAATTTATTTATATATTATATGTAAATTTTGTACTTTTAGACTCAACCGTTATCATCAAACGTGTGTGACTATTGAAACACTAAACGACAAGAGAGAGTATTATCAATAAGAAATCTGTATTATTATTATCATACGGCTAATTCATAAGAAAAACCCTTACAAAAGGGTTATGACTTATGAGACACGTGAAAATATCTCAACGTAGTAACACAAAATACCGAAATTTCAAAAAGTTGAACGTACAAAGCAAAAAAAGACAAACATTTATTTTATTTTCTCTTCCTTTTCCTGATATTGGAGAAGACTAGGCCAACATTTCTTTAATAATTTATTTCAAAGATTTTTTGAGCCAGGGTTGCTCGAGCGGGTTGTACCGGCTGGGCTGCTGGGGTTGTTGGTGGTCGGACTCATCCCGAGGGAGTTCTTCACGGCGTCGGCTGTTTCTTGTGCCATATGTTTCACTTGTCCACCTGTCTACACTCCAAAATCAATACTACATTGCGTTAATCGACATAAACATGAAACGTCTATATAATGCATGATGGAGAAAAAAGAGGATAAATAAACCTGTTGGATGACATTAGAGGCCTGAGAAATTAGGGAAGGATTCTGGTCAGACTCTGAGTGTGAGTGCGAATGTAACTGTGAGTGACTATCAGCATTCTGGTTCATTGCGTGTGATACCTTGTTCAAGTATTCTTCCTTCTTCAGCTGTAATAAAAAGGAAAAAAAAAAATTGATGTAAAATTCATTACAAAAGTCAGATAGGAAAAGTTAATTGACGGTCAATATTTAAGTAAAATAAAGGAAATATATTTATATGTTTAGAATTAGGCACATGCCATAGCATATGCTAACAAAATCATGGCTTCGGACCTCAAATATATATTGTTAAAATTTGGGAGAATTATTTATATTTTTCTATGCATTAGCAAAAAACAATAATATGATTTTTTTTTTTGTTAGTAGATTAAGTGTAGGACATCCAGAAAAGTTCGATAATGTGTGTATTAACAAAGTTCTTCGAAGATGTTCTTTTGTGTTTGTACGTACCTGAACTTGACCGGTGGCTTCTCCGGCATTGTGGCTTAACTGCTGGCTCGACGACATCTTCTTCTTGGGTCTGTGAAATTCTTTAGCTCAGATTGTAACTTTGTAGGATGCTTGATGGGATTGACATGCACTAAAGTGGTATATATACAGTTCGAAAGTTGCATATTATAGAAAATCCTAAATCTAAGCATTACACGGACACGTAGAAAATGCTATTGACGATTATGGCTAAATTTTGTGGAGGTGAGTAATTCGAGGACGTATTACCCTAAAGTTGCTTGGTCAAGAAGTGGAGGAGGATGGTTGGCAATAGGACGACCTTAGATCATTTTTTCCGATTACATTTATTATCTTGCATTCACAATTAATAAACGCATAAACAATTGAGATTTGAAGTAATATAGTACCTCATTTGATTAAACTCACCAAATAATCCAATGATGTGAAAACCCCGAGTTTCAAGAATTTTTACAGTTTTATCCGGTATCTAATACATCAACAATTTTATAAAGATAACTTCTTCAAGTGCATGTTATAATTAATATATATCTTTATGATAGCCGACAAACAAAAAAAATCTCTATGCAACAGATGTAAAGTGGCGAGATTAAATTAATGCTAAATCTTTATGATGCGTTATCATCCTATAGGTTTCTTTCTTATAAAAAAATTGTTAAATACCTAACGCTTCATTTTCAAATAGTACAAGAATATCCATATACGTGACTCGCCACATGACTAGCATCTTCCATAACTCAGTTTTACCGTAACGTGGCCCACGTAGATAGGTCGTCATCAAACCGAGAAACCTAACACTCGCACATCATCCCAAGTTTCGAACTTCGTCGCTTCGACCTGATCGCGGCACGTGGCTATTGGCTAAACACGTGTCCGGAAACTGCAACACGTATCTTGCTCTCTCGCCGACCAAGACTCGCTATAAACATCTCAGACGAGAGAGTAGGAGATAACTCAGTGTCCAAAATACAAACATTTAGGTTCTAAAAAAGCTTTTGGAGCATCGATCAGTCGTCGTATTTCTATTGAACATTTCGGTTTCGAATTTCTGGAAGAGAGAAGATGACGTCTCATCAAGAACAGAGTTACAAAGCTGGTGAAACCAGAGGCAAGACTCAGGTATATACATAAAATTATCACCATGTATATAATAAGGTTTATGTGCGTATACGCAAATTTACAAATTCAACCATTTTATTTTGCAAAAGTTACAAGTAATGTTTTTGAAGTTTTAGCACAAAAAGGTAATGTTTTTGGATGAAAAAATAATGATGATTTTAGGTGGATACAAGCAAAAGTTACCATCTCCTACTTTTTTAGATCATTGTTATTTATAGGGACTATATAGTTCCATATTTTAGGTTTTATTTATGTAATTGACCATTTGTAATTCAATGTCAATCCAATCTCGAATCTTAGGAGAAGGCAGGGGAAGCCATGGGAGCGATGAGGGAGAAGACAGAAGCAGCTAGAGACAAAACTCAAGGGACAGCCCAAACTGCTCAACAAAAAGCCCATGAAACAGCTCAATCAGCTAAAGACAAGACATCTCAAGCCGCACAAACAACTCAACAGAAAGCTCAAGAGTCCAAGGACAAAACGGGAAGCTACATGTCTGAAACCGGAGAAGCAATCAAGAACAAAGCACAAGATGCAGCAGGATATACCAAAGACACTGCAGAAGCCGGAAAGGATAAGACCAGTGGCTTCTTGGGCCAAACCGGTGAGCAAGTGAAGCAAATGGCTGTGGGAGCTACTGATGCGGTTAAGCACACTTTAGGGTTTGGTGCTGATGAAGGAAACAAAGAACATGTTTCTTCAGCTCCAAGTTCTACTACTACGACCACCCATGCAACAGAGAGGAAGTGAAGAGATATATATTTGGTTTCTGTTTTCTAATGTTTGTTTTTTTTTAGTTTGCTGTGTCTGTGATTCTGTTGTTCCACGTTGTTTATTGGGTTTGGCTGTACTATCATGTAATGGTTTGGTTATATTGCAGACTTGTTGTTATTTATGATTAATAAATTTTAATTTGGTATAAATGTGGTGAGTTCCATAACGTCCAAGAGTACACGTCGCAGAGTAGAGAGATATTGCTTCTCCTATGCTAAAACCTCCAATGCCCACTTTAAGTATCAAAAATTAGAAGTACAAATTAATACAAAAATTAGAAGTACAAATCAATGATTTAATTGGAGATTTGTGTGATGCATAGGTATTGCAGACTTGTTATTTCTGATTTCATAAATTTTAGTTTGGTGTGGTTCTGAATTTGATTTTTACAAGTAACATTTTATTAATTTACCTTTTTCGTATCGACGCAACAATTTTTTTTCCGTACCATACTCTATTTTATACATAGTAAAATGTTGTCATACAGAGTGAATGGACATATATTGAAATATATTTCCCCATAACAAAATTTTATTTTATTTTTGCTCATTTTGTATGCAATACCGTACATTGCTTTTTGTTTCCTTTTTGGTTATTATAAAGTTAAATATTTTGAATTTTGGTTGTCATATTGACAACTTTATTTTTTGTACACTATGATAATGGTTTATTTGTCTTTTAAATTACAGAATTTTAGTGATTTTGTACATATTTAAGACGCGGATTGAGAAACTGAGGTCATAGAGCAAAATCCATGGAAGTGGAATGACCTTTTAAACGATTATAGATCTTTTAATCCAAATTATTGACTTTTTAAACGATTCCTCCATTTTCGTCTTGCTGGAGTTTGGAAAATATTTTGTTTAATTCATTTTGAAACCATCTCTTTGGTTGCAGGTGAAATACTATTGTTTAAATTGGGTCCTCGCTTATACAATGGGGGTTGTCTCTCCGTCTCATGTGACTCGGTTGCGACCCAACTCTCGACATGGTGTTATAATAAAGGAAAACTAATCCGTGACTTGAAGGAGGATCGCGGCCGTGGAGAAGAAGATGTTAAAGCTCAAAGCAGTTGAAGATGATTTATAGACGAAAATTGAGCGAGAGGAACGTTGTGGCAGACAACTACAACTTAGCCAAGTCCAGGCGTTCATAGACAGGGTGCAGGCACTTGTGTGAAGCATATTGTGTCCCATAAATAATAGTTTATGTTTTATCAAGTAATTTGTTTTGAAAGATATACATGCCTAATTTATGATTTCCTTTTGAAATCTAAACAATATATTATGTACTCAGGCTTGATTGGGTTTTGGACTCAAGCTTTTTTCCTGCCAAAAGCGGTGATAAAGAAAATAAACGCTTTATGCAGTTCCTTTCTTTGGCATGGAAAGTTAGACAACCCGACATGAGCGCGTGTGGCTTGGAATGATGTGAGCTACCCAAAATCAGAAGGTGGTTTGGGGATAAGATCTATTGCCTCTTGGATGGAAACGTGTGGACTGAAACTTATTTGGATGTTATTCTTCAGGGCGGGATCTATTTGGGTTGCGTGGATACGAAGTCGTTATCTCTCTCGCAACTACTTTTGGTCCTTAAATGAAGAAAGTTCCACTATCTCATGGATGTTTAGAAAGGTTCTAAAGCTCCGCCCAAAAGTTTTATCGTTCTTATCTATAAAAATTGGGAATGGAGAAAATTCTTTCTTTTGGTGGGATCCTTGGACTCCTTTTGGCTCCCTCATCAATTTCTTGGGTTCTCAAGGCCCTGCAAATCTCGGAATTCCTCTACATTCACTTGTCAAAGATTATATCTCAGGGGACGGTTGGATCTTACCACCGGCGAGGTCTGACCTTCAAGTGGAGGTTTTCTCTTATATTTCCTCCATCACGCCTTCTCTGGAAAGTGATACGCCCATCTGGAAGGTTGATGACCAAATCATGGATTCATTTGTGGCAAAAGTGATTTGGGGGAAAATTCGTTTGTCCAAACCGGAAGTCTTATGGCATCCTCTTGTTTGGAATAAAATTGCAGTTCCAAAGCACGCTACAACATCTTGGCTTTTTATGTTAGACAGGAACCCAACTCTAAATCGCTTGCAAAGGTGGGGACTCGATGTTGAACCTACTTGCCTGTTGTGTGGGATGGCTCAAGAATCTAGGGACCATCTCTTCTTCCTTTGCCCTTTCTCCAATCACATTTGGCTTCAGCTGATGCATCGGATAAGACTCACATCAGTCCCTTCAACTTGGTTGGACATCGTATCTTGGCTGTCTTTGGCCTCTTCCTCGATTATCTTATCCTTAGCAAAGAGGCAAGATTGGCAGGCTTGCATTTATGAGATTTGGAAAGAGAGGAATCGCAGGTTTCATGATGGAATCACTCTCTCCTCTCACAAGATTTTCCACAAAATTTTGTGCTTGCTTATAAACAAGTCTTTGGCTCTTAGAAACTTTGGATCAAGTAGAGGTGAACCTCTGCTGAGACTGTGGTCCTCGGGTTCTCTCCAACGAGGACGCTGATAGACTTTTCTCCCCTTCTCGTCTTTTCCCTTGCTCTCTTCTGCTGTTTCTTTATTGTACCTCGCATGTACAATCTTTTATATTAATGAAGGCCCTTTAACAAAAAAAAACAATATATTATGTATTTGCAGGTTAAAATTGCTTAGTCCACCAATGTTCTGTTGATACGTTTTCTATAAGTGAGATATTTACTAATTTGTTACATATTTTGTTTACAATAGATTGTTCCGTTTTTTTCTTTATAATATGTTAGTATTATTATCTTTTTACTATCTATATCAATATAAAATATTTAAAGAGATGTGTATCAAGAAAATATTTAAAATGTAAGAAATATTTTCTCATATTTTGCTAAACCAACGCTGAATATTTACTCATATTTTGCTAAACTATGTATATTTAAATTTTAGTATAATATTATATAAGAAAATTTTAGTTATGTTTTTATCACATGATATTTGTTATCTTATTTTTTTATTTCATAGTAAACCTTTTTTTTTAATACCATACTATTTTTAATAATTATTTTATTTAGAGAAAATGGATGCAAGATAGTTTTCACCACCCGATCATTGGATGTTTGTGGACAAATGAAAGTGGAAGAGCCAATCAAAATCGAATGTTTGCCCCCTAGAGAAGGCTTTTGAGTTGTTCCATATGAAAGTAGGAGAAACAACTCTACGAAGTGGTGGAGAGATTCTTCATCTTGCATCACAAGTTGCTGACAAATGTTGTGGTCACCTGCTTGCACTCAACGTCATTGGTAAGACAATGGCTTGCAAGAAAACTGTCCAAGAGTGGAAGCATGCACTTGATGTTATGACCTCAGATGCAGCAGAGTTTTGGGGCATGGACGTCACCATTCTTCATGTACTGAAGTACTCCGGTAAGTCGTGTTTTATACACTTGGCCATACATCCTTCACATCTCAAAAACACCATAGAGTCTCTGATTTTTCAGTTCATCAGCCAGGGTTACATTGATAGCAGAGGCATCAGTTCTGTACTTCAATACCGGAAGAATTGTGTCCTCCATGCCCCAGAACTCTGCTGCATTTGAGGTCAAAACATCAAGTGCAGTCCATGTGCAGTTGATAATTGTAGTGTTTCCATACGCAATGCCACTGCCTGTCAATATATTTACAAGATTTAAAATTATTATAGTCAGTTCCAAACAGAGAATATACAGTAGAAAATGGTTCAATAACTTTGATAACTACAACAGGAACATAAACAATTAACAATGAAAAACATACTAGAAGCCATGTTTTGATGACGAGAATATCCACTTATTTTTCAACGTTATTTGTTTCGTCTTTATTTCAAAAGCTTTTAAATTGTAGTGGAGGTTTTCTTTCAAAAGCTTTTAAAAGAATACAAGACACAAGTGAAACTCCGCCGTCAAGGCATAGACCTATGATAATGATTGTGTATAAGATCTTCCATACGAACACTTAACTATGTCCATGTAAATTCATGTTTTAAAATCTTGTGACAAAATCTTATAGAGTTTCCTGTTATAAGCATTAGGAATTTAGAAATTCTCCTTTTGATTCAGTTTCAATTTTCTGATTCACTTTTGGTTATTTTATTTATTTATTTATTTGCGTCTTAACTGTTGTAAATATTGGCTATCTGTAACAATATTTCTTTATCCAACTTTCAATTTTTAACAAAAAATAAAAGAAATAGCAAATGTGGCATTCTATTTTTTTGTTAAGGAAACTGTGGCATTCTAAAAAAATATCTCTAACAAACTAAAGAACAAATATATACCCCATTACTAAGAACAAATAAACCTCTTACTAAGATATATAGCATAAAATGGAGAAATAAATTTCAGTTTTTGAAGGTACTCCTGAGGATACATCAACTATAGATTATTATTATTATTATTATTATTATTATTATTATTATTATAGAAAGTGATGCAACATTTGCTATGTTGTACGATAATGAAAACTAAAGCATTTTATAATCTATATTGTACGATATTTAAATCTGCTCTCTAATTCCTTCATAATTACGCAGAGTTTAGCGTTGATACACCAATTGCGCGCCATCCTATCCAGCCTCGAACATGTGTATAAATATTATCCCTGCACAATGCATAACCCCAAAACCAAATTCAGAAAAATAAAGTCAAATGGTAATTAAAGCAAAAGGAAATTAAGTAATTGATGTTTAGACCCTTGGGTGAGTATTAACGTCGCATCACATCCAGCCGAATCAAGGGTGTGAAAACATTGCTGTGCGAATGCGTAAGGAACCATATTACTATTAGCTGTAACACAAGTTTATTAACAAGAATCAGTATAAATTCTCCAATTGTTATCTAAATCGTTATGTACATATATGGATGACAATATAATATAACTTGTTACACATACAACCTTCATTTGTAAGTAAGATTAGTAGCTTTGCAGCACAATCTGCATGCACATGAGCACGATCAATATGGTAGTTGAAGTTTCTGCAAGATTAATGATATAGGTTTCCATGTTTAGTTGCTTCAGAAAGTAAAAAAGTAAGGGTTTACATATTTAAAAGGTATGTAACTTCTTTAGCAAAGAAGTATGTAACTTAATTGTTTTTTAAAGAAAAAAGAAATAGTGATGAGTGATATTAGGGTTTGAGGAGACTACCTAAAGGTAGGAAGCCAACCGTTGAGCCCTACAACAATTCTAAATTTTTTAATTGGGGGCGAGGGTCTACTTGTGAAACCAGTCGCAAAGTAGAGAGCTGCCGCTGCACCCACGCCTATACCTCCTACTCCTTTGATAACTATATATCAGACCCAAAAGGATTTAGAAATTTGATATGTACCGTTGATCCATACTATATATGCAGATAGATGATTATAGGTTACCATTTGCTGGTTCGTTGCCCAAAAGATTAGCCACAAATGAACCTGCCTGGTTTAAAGAATCCACATCATCTTCCATGTTCTGAGAGATCTGTCTGACGTTGCACCCTAATACATAATAAAAGATTGTAAATACGATGTTATTATTTTTCATTTAAAATTTAAGAAGACATCAATTAATAATGTGAAGTTTAAAGGTTGGTTTGCACTCCTTGCCATAAAGCAACGGGACGTATAGGAGCAGTAGGACAAATCCATTTAATCTATGCATATTAATCTTAAATTTTAAATTAGAAACTTTAATCAAGTTACCATTTGGCTATAAAGAAATCAGATTCATGGGAAATTAAACATGTTCATGGATGATCAGTACATTTGGAAGATTCAACTTTCTTAAAAACCAAGCTGAGCTGCAAAAAGAATAAACATGTGTTTAGTTAGAAACAAACTTTGAATACAAAGAAGAAAAATCATATATAATAATACAAATATAAAGTATTTGAGATTGTTACTTAAGACCAGTCTCCCCGATATCATGCAACCAAACTATAGTGGCCTTGTGAGCTCCTCTACAGTTGATAACTGTAGTGTCTCCATGTGCATTGCTACTGCCTGTCAATATATTTACAAGACATCAAATTATTATAGTCAGTTTCAAACAGAGAATATGCCGTAGAAAATGGTTCAACAACTTTGATAATTATAACAGGAACATAAACAATAACCAATGAAAAACGTACTAGAAGCCATGTTTTGATGACGAGAATATTATCTTATTTTTCAATGTTATTTTTTTCGTCTTTCTTTCGAAAGCTTTTAAATTGCACTGGAGATGGGGAATGGAGATAGGGAATGGAGATAGGGAATGTAATGTATTGTGTATTTATAACCAAAGAAGTGGTTATGAGAGAAAATCTTTGTATTAAAAGTTGGATGCATGTTAAAAATCTTATTATTAAAAGTTAGATTATCCATTAATTAAAAGTTAAATTTTAGAAAATGAATATTGATGGCAATGCATGGGTGTATATAGAACTTAATAGACAAATATTTTTAAATTAATACTTTGGTAAATTAAAAGCTTAAACATCAAAAGATATTTGGTCTAAATCGTGCGTGGCGCTAGAATTGTTAGTTGTTTTATGTTGATTTTATTTTTCTTTGCAGTCCGAACTTTTATTTTTGGTAATCGATATAATGGAATGTTTTGAATAATAAAATGGAAAGAAAAATACAAGTCTTTTCAGTTTTCACTCGTTCACGGGGGCGTAAAGAGATTATACCATTTTGTCTATATTTAAATTGATTTTTCATTTGTAATTGGATTGTTAATAAATAAAAAAACCTGATCAATCCAATAATTAACAGGCCTTTTGGTTTAAAATTTTTAATACGGAGAGAACTTGGAAAAGCAGAAAAAGCATTAACCCCATTTATTCATTATCAAGATCAATCCATCACGTACAAAAGAACAAACGACAAAATCAATCACAAAACAACGAACCATAAAAACTATATATATACCCCCCAACCCCAAGAAACCCACCCATTATACATCCTCTACTATCTCAAGTTTACACTAGTTTTCTTATTTTTCTTTCTTTTCTCGTCCACCACCAATCCTTTTTCGTTCGAAGTTATACTTTGTTCTTTACGCTCGACCATCTCGCCTATATAGCTAGATGCATCACAGTCTGTATAGTTTAACGTGAGCCCTCAAGCCCGAGCCTCGTTGTGAGCCAGTGAACGACCTCATCCAGTTCTTTGGGAACGGTATAGTGACCAAGTCTGCACATTGGCAGTAACCCAAAACTCTTAATAATAACTATGTTCAAACAAACGATAAAATAATCAAATTCTGTTTGCAAGTTTTAGTTTAATTACCCTTCGTATTGTTTGAAAATGACTTGTCGAAATCCGGCCATGCCAAGAGACTGCGCAGATTTCTCTCCAAACCTATAAGGAACCACATCATCGGCTGTGACACAAAACATTCGGTAAAGATAAGCTTTTCGCAATAATTGGTCAAAGAACAAAAGAAAAAAAAGGATAGATTACAAAAGGACTTGTTACACATACAAGTTCCATGTGTAAGTATGATCGGTAACGATGAAGCACGCCTTGCAGCCTCATATGAACATTCTATTTTTCCCCTTAAGCTCCTACAAAGTCAAATTAGGCTTCTATCAGTGTACAGAAAGAAAAAAGACTAGAGATATATATGTAACATGCATTAAGATAAAACAGCAAGAGGGCTTGAAGAGTATATTACTTCCAACCAGGAAGCCAGCCGCTGAGCCCTACAACAGCTCGTAGGTTTATAGGGTAATTGTGGCCAGTTCCATAACGTCCAAGAGCATAGCAAGTCGCGGAGTAGAGAGATATTGCTGCTCCCATGCTAAAACCTCCTATGCCCACTATAACTATCAAAATTAGAAGAACAAGTCAATGATTTTTAAGTGGAGATCAATGTGATGTATATATAGCTATGTTTAGATGATTTTGACTTACCATCTGCTGGTTCAGAGGACAAAAGGTTAGCAATATGTGAAGCTGAAGCATCTAAACCTTCCAAATCATCATGACCGTCTTCAGAAATTTCCCCAACATCAAACCCTGATTTATGTAATACCGTCTATTCAGTTTGAAATTCTAGTAGTAACTTAGAGACAGCAAAAAATGTTTCTCAAACGAGAGAAGTGTAGAAGTTTACATGCAGTGCAGGTAAATCCACCAAGACTTGAAATAGGACGCGTAGGAGCAGTTGGACAAATCCATTTTATCTGTGCATAACATAAAAAAATTTGTATCAAGAAATTGATCTTATCTAACCGAAACGAAAACACAGAGGTGGGTTCATAACAAACTCTGTTAATGGATTCTTACATTTGGAAGATGCAAACTTTCCATGAGCTGAGATGAGCTGCACAAAACAGAGACAAGGTGACATATGGACGTTTCAGTGACATCATTTATTTTGATTAACACATACATCTGGAATATTCTTTTTTCATATGAGACAAGATAATATATTGTCTTGTTAATATTCTTCCAGCAATAGAACTAAAAGTGAGCCATTGGCACCCAGAGCCGTGAAATAAGGTATATACATCCTATTTTTTTTACAAACTTTAATGAACTAATAAACTTAATATATTCTCATAAGAGAAGACATTTGAGAGGAAAAGGTACAATGGAAAGACTATTAATTCTTTGCGGCGCCACGACATATATATAAAAATAATTAACTAAAGTTAAATAAGAAGAAACAGGTATAAAAATTGTAGTTGACAAATCAGTATTAAAGAACATGCCAAAATTCAACTTTAGAAACCTTTGTTTTTCCTTCTTCCATTGAAATACAACCAAAATTTGAATCTTAGTCTAAGACACATATAAACTTTAGACAATAAGGGAAAAGCGTCAACCATGATTTAAGCTTCAAGAAATTGCTCTGTTTTTTTTCAAGACATAAAAGAAAGAAAAATAATACAAACAAGCCATTTAAAGATTGTTACCTAGAGCCATTGTCACCAAGACCATGAAGCCATACTAAAGTGGCTTGATGCTTTCCTTTAGGCCTCACAACATAAGTCCTTCCAAATTCATATCCCCTTGCATTTCTGCTACCTTCAAAGAGTTTACCAAATACAGAGTCATTAACCCGTTTAAAGCAGATGATTAATATATTTATTTTATAATTGGAGAAGTCTAAGGCAGAAACTCAGACTAATCCCCGAGCATAAATAAATTATCTTAGAGAAAATCTGGATCATAACAAGCTACACTAACAGTTCAAGAAAATACATGAACAATCAAGAAAGGAAAGAGAAAACAAACCAGAGCCCATGCTCTGATGAGAATAACTCATTGTTGTTGAATGGTATCCGAACACTCTATAGGTTTTCTAGTTTGTCTTTTGAGAGCCTTCAAGTTTCAAGACACAAACAACAAGTGATGATAAAAATATGAGAAGGCAATGTGTATTTATACACGAATTAAAGGGATGATGTGAGCATGTGGAATAAAAGAAAAGAGGTGAATCTGAGAATCATTCACTATGGGATGTTCAATGTGTATAACAGCTAACCAGACTGCTAAAAAGGGAATGGGAGGAGAAAGCTATAGAATGCATCCATGGAAGAAAGAGGTATAAAAAGAGATTAAAGAAAAGATCATCAGTTTTTTCTTTTCTTTATATAACAAAAGAAATCAATCTTTTTTGTAGCATAACGAATAAATAAAACTAGCGCAGAGAGCTAGCGGTAACAAGAGTCAGAAAGAAGAGAGAGACAGAGAATCAATGCCTTGTGGGCAGTGGTGGAGTAAAAAAAAAAACTTTTCCTCCTAGAATATATAAAAATAAATAAGTGTTTTTACCTGAAACGTTAAGGCACAATCCAAAATTGAAAAAGAAGACAAATCTCCTTCTTCGATCATTTGTTTATGAAAAAAAATGGTGATGATTGATGGATGGATACCCATTAACTAGAAAGCTTGTGAGAAAATCCAGCCAAAAATAAGAGAAAAAAAAAATAGGTTGGAGATTTAAATTTGTAATTAAGGGTTCTGTTTCATCTAAGGGTTCTTGGATATAATAAAGATCTCCGATGTATTGCAATGATGACAAGTATGGAAAAAAACATAAGAGACCAACCTGGATTTTCAGGTGGGGTGAAGAAGATATTGAGGAAAAAGACATCAAAAAATTTCAACGCTTTGTTCATTGCTGTGTTCTGTTGCCATTGTTAATAATTGGTTGTTGTCCAGTGCCCACCAATAGGTTCAAATCTTTTTTGTTTCGCTGTATCAGTCAGTGAGGACTGATGAGCCCATTTCACCCAAATTTGCCGTTTAATTAATCTACACAGTTTTCTTTTAACTCTGTAACTCTTCTTTTATTATATGATGAAGAAATCGTCACATTCTTCTTACGATTATATCTGCAAGACGTACGAAGTGGAAGTGAAGTCCTTTAGTCTCGTTCATAAGGGTTTAATGCTTTTCCTTAAATGAATTTGAATTTAGAAAAACACTGCTTATGCAACAACGTAAATCTATCACGCTTAAAAACAACTGATAACTTGTTAAAATCTTCAAGAAAAGGAGAAATTTGGTGGAGGTGACCTGAAAAGGGAATAATGGGAAGGTGAGTGGGTCTGAGCACATGCACCACACAATGCATCTGTCACCTATACTGTTCACTCTTCATACCCCAATCACCCATCACTTCCATTTTCCCCAATTTTATTACATATTTGAAGTTGCTGTGGGTCAATCCAAGAATCTATTCTTATCGCAATCAGCAATTGTAATGACAATATTTAATCTACGAAGTGTTTCCTTACTCAGTAAAAATAACCATAATACCATATAATGAGCCAATATTGGTAGCAAGAAAATATGATGCATTTTATCAAAAAAAAAAAAAGCCAAAATATGATGCAGATGTAAAACCATATACGTACTTGTTATCAGATAAGTATAGTATTCTGATTTATCAGAAAATAAGTAAAATAAAAACACGTGTGATACATAAATGATTCAATCATCTGCGAATGTATCACGAATAAAATGGTCATTTACTGCTATTATTAATATACACTGAAGCTGCTACAATAACATCCAACAGAGTTAGATCAGCCTAATAATTGCACTGGTTTATCCTTTTTTTATTTATTTATTTCTATGAAAAAAATCTCCTACAGATTTATGGAATGATTACTATCTCAACACAAGATGGTTACTACATAATAAATTACTATATGACAGTACACTGGAGTAATTATTGGCTGAAAATAATTATGGAAATGGTTGACTAAAATTTTCGAGAACAAAACCTAGTGGAATATGACAGTAACCTTTTGCTTATAAAATGGCGGTATCAGATTAGATTAATTTATTTTCTTACGAATGTCAAGCAATTTGCAATTTATTTATACATGTACACTGAACAAAATTTCGTATAAGCTTTTGTTAGTCAACTCTTTTTATACCTCCACCATTTTCGTAAGTAAGAAAATAACTTCAATTGGAGACAAGAAGAATCAGCCGATGTTAGTAAAGTTTTTTTTTTTTTGATAAAGGCCGGTTTTCATAAGGAAGAAACATTTAGTTTAATCTAATTGATTGTTTAATCTAATTGTTTAACTTAATTATATTTATTATTATTCGAATTGCATTAAATATGAGATAACAAAGGCGAGATGCTTTCGGCACTACGATGTTAACTCGTTAATGCTGTTCAAAAGGTGTATAGTGTTTGTTTGTTCGTAGGGGTTAAAGGGCTAAGTATGGCCATTGTAAGTTTAATGCGTTTTAATTATGATAATTGAGATAAAACTCCATCTTATAATTTTGCGCCAAAAATAAACTCGATCTTATTAATTATATATATAGCATAGACGTACTCACGTACACTACATGTGATACGATTAAGTTTGTCAACTCTTCGTTTGTGCTCTAGTTAAGAAATGATCTATATGAATGAATGAATTGAGTAAAAAAAATAAAAAATCTATATGAATGATAAACAAAATTACGTAATTAGGTTAAGAGTTAAGACTAGCAATTACTCCGTAAAAAATGGTATTACTGGACACTACAAAAGAACGTTGATCTATGTGTGTTGCGTGTCATACGTATCAAGACACTTAGTAGTAAATGTGTGCTTTCTATTAATTAAGAGTATTAATATTTGTGTAATGCTAAGTATATTTGTTAATTGTCTTTGTTGAGTAGACGTTAGCGAACCAACATAAGGTAGCTAGCTAGGGTTCCTACCATTGTTTAGTCTTAGTTTTGAGACCAGTTTTAAAAATTTATCCAAGCTAAAGAATATATTTAAGCATATACAAAATTATTAATTTATATATACGTATATGTGAAAAGGCCAGTTGATAATGAGGGCAAGCTGTGTGGAATTTTAAAGAACTATATATTTGGTGATTTGTCTGAAATGGAGAGGGAGCAGAAACTCCAACGTTCGTTTTCTTGAAATTGTTTTTATTATAAAACTTTTGGAATTTTTAGCGGAATCGATTCTTTTTTTTTTGGTATGAAGCGGAATCGATTCTCCACGCGTTTTATATATTTCTTGGTAGGTTTTGTTTTGGTTTCATACGGTGGGCAAAACAAATGTCTTTTTATGCATGAGAATATTTTCTTGTTACCAAAAATGTTTCTCTTTAGAATATAGATTACTAAAATTATCATGCATCTAGTTTCTCTACATAAATTGATAGATTATGGTGTAAACAAACAATTTTTTTATTTTATATCGGATGCTAGACACAATATTGAAAAAAAATGAAAGTAAAATTAGAATTTGTATTCAGCAGCATAGACGAGGCATGCAAACATTGTCTATGGATTACTTGGTTGACATTTGGGCTTGGGTACAGACGATTTAATAGTGGTAAATTTGTGAGAAAAGTATTTATTATATATAATGCCTGTTTAGTAGGGTGTGTTTTGGCAAAATCCTACTTTGTACTTAAAACAAAAAGTTTGCTGTCTACGGTCTAAAAATTTGTTTTCACACACAATTGTTATTAGCCGTAGAAAAAGATTGAGGAGTACATCTTTGTAGTGTTGGAGAATAAAAACGGCTTTTGATGTTAACGTCGAGTGTTGTTTTGTTCTTCATATTCCTTTTTTTGTTATTATTATAATAAATAGAAAAAAGGTTTTGATGCTCGTTTGGTTAGTACTTCACCAATTAAGGAATAAGCTCGAGAGAAAAATCGAGTTTCTCAAACTTTTTAGTTTTTATTTAATTTGGGCATCTATGTTCGCTTGTCTTATTCAGGATCTCTTTCCCGCAAAATACAATGTGACACCGCGCGAATACGACTCCATTGCTATATTAGGGGTGCAACTGGATTGCAATTTTTCTGAATGAAATGACATGGAATGAAGCATTCCAAAGAATCCCATAAAATTGGTACCATTTATCATGAAAGAAAATGGAAAATCATTCCATTTATCCCATTCATTCCACATAAGAAAAAACAAATCAATTTGAAAAATCATTCCACACCAAAAACATTCATGAATGAATAGAATACAAAATTTTATTCCATTCCATTTTTTTCTATCCTATTCAAATTGATTCCATTAATTCCTTATATTCCATTTTTTAAAAACCAGTTACACCCTAGAGTTATTATCGGTGGAAATTTTGAACGATGCCAATTTAACCCCAGGTACAATATTTATTTTTAAAAACTAACATAAAATCTGAATATATATTCATTGTTTTGATTTAATGTTAAAATCCGCAAATCTACATAACTAATAAGGCTTGGACAATCTCCAGCCTTTGACACGTGGCACTTTTTTTTTTTTTTTTTCGCCTAACACCAAAACGACGTCGTTTTGGGCTTTATTTTTTTCGTCTTACACCAAAACGACGTCGTTTTGCGCTTTATTTTTTTTTTCGTCTTACACCAAAACGACGTCGTTTTCGTATTAAAAAAAAAAAAAATCTAAATCAAAATTATGTGTAATGCTGTTCGTTTTGATGGGCTTGATTATTTATCGGACCTCTTCGTTTCCATGGTAGCTTTAAATGGGCTTACTGGCTAATTAGCTCATTTCATTTCCTTTTAAAAAGGATTGCAATTATTATTATCTATGAGTCTGTAGGATAATAATCAATCTATAATGATTGTTAGTATAAGGAAAATTAGAAGAACTCAACTCCAGTCGATAAATTATTGTATAAAAGAACAAAAAACATATGAAACTATTCACTATGAGTCTATATAAGATTTCACGTAAATAACAACTAAATTTTAAAACTATATGAAAAAAAACAAAATGCAAAACTTACAGAATCTAATATATTCGAGTAAAAAACAAATGATATATTCGAATCTAATGTTCTGAATAATTAAATTAAAAATATTTGGTTTAATAAACCCGCGCATTGCGCGGGTTCTCTCCTAGTGTATGACACGTTTTTCTACGTTTTCTTTTTAATAGCACTATGCAGCTCGGTTTGAATCATTTAGTCTGTATTTACACATGCAGAGGATCAAAAACTGATGATTCAAATTTGGAAAAATATATAATCAAACCAAAATTTTGAAAGGAACGTTAGTCTTTTCTTAGCGTGGATTATTTCATCAATGCTTGAAATAACATTTTCGTCCGATTAATTTTGGATTGCTTTTGGTTTATCTTTTAACCAAACACCTATGCACCATGATGGGCACCAACACCACAATGATCGGCAACAATACTGGCAGAATCAGTCAAAGTGCACCCATGACCTCTACTCAAATAGCGTTACATCTATAGATAGTAACAAAGTCAAAGTGAATTCTCTTCTTCTCTTTTTTTTTTGTGATTGGAAAAAATAGAAAATTTAAAAGAAATACAGCGCCGTCTGTGGGGATCGAACCCACGGCCACGGGATTAAAAGTCACGCGCTCTACCACTGAGCTAAGACGGCAACACATTAGTTGAATCTCACAAACAAATGAAATCGAAAAAGCTTACCTTATCTATCAACTTATTGTTTCGTTCATGGAAAGCTCTTCAAATATATTATCCGTAAATTTTTTTATTGAAAATGGGAACCTCAACATTCTAAATGGTTGACACCATGAAAGCGCAGTGCTCAACTCAGCGAAGACTAATGGTATACTTGGAGCACAATAGAGAAAGATATACGAAATGACTCAGTATATATATACCGACCACATAGCAAAGTCTGAAAAATTAGTCTTACTCAAGGAAGGCAATGCAACATCGAATCACACTCTAGTCTTGGTCGATCAAGAATATTGGCATTTATGATCTAGAAGAGCAACTCTAATCCAGAAGAGACTCATGAGTCATGACCACACCAGAGTGCTGCAAAATCAGCTCTTAGAAATGTTTTTTTTTGTTGGGTCTAAAGTAGCTCTTAGAAATGCATATAAAACATAAGCAATCAACCTCAAACTCCTCTCTCTCATTTCCGGTTGAGACATTCATAACATCCTCCACATTCTTCTTTGCATGGCTCTCTGCTGCGAGATACGCAAGTAATGACAAGTGTCACACGTACTTACTTCAGTAGAGAGAACATAATCTATGAATCATGAAAGCAGCTTAATTAATCAAGAACCTTAAGTTAGAAGAAAGTAACAAACATTAATCCATTAGTGTAATAAACCATATATTATTTCTAAGACAGCTAACACAATTCGCTATCTCTTAGTTTTTCCGCATCATTTGCAAATCAAAAAAAAATTATGACGAGAAGCTATTGTATATTTGTATTAATTTGACTTTATGTTATATTGTACTCCACGTTTGATTGCATAAATCTAACGGCTCTTTTCACGTTTTAAATAATAAAAAAAATCGTCATTCCACGCAAGTGTGGATAAGGACATTTGCAATTTGACATTAAAAAAAACAAACAAAACAGCGTTCCACGCGTTTAGACTTATCCATCTCGTAACGCCACAATCCAATACGTCAGCGTCCACCTAAAATCTCCGTGCACAACTCCTTAAAAGCTTGTAAATTTGTAATATTACATATCCAACGTACCACATTCACTCTCGTCTACCACGTGTAAACCTCATCGTAGCAGATCATTACATCAAATTTTGTTAATTATAAAATCCGAAACCGCTAAAAAACCATTTTATCCAATCTTCTTCTTCTTCTTCGATTTTCCTTGCAATCCCCAAATCTTCACGGATCATCACGTTACTTTCTAATTCTATCTGCATTTCCGTTTTGCTTTCATGGCTTCGATTGTCTCATGCTACGCTCCAATCACGATCCGAGCATCTTCCGGATCCGGATCCTTGAAGAACCCGGATTCGAATCGTAAGAAATCTGTTTCGTGGTGGGCTCCTCTCTTCGGCATTTCCTCCGATCCCGATTACCTCAACATCGAAAGCTCCTCCGTGACTCCAGAGTCGAATCCGGGTAGAATCGACATCTCCGGGTCGGGTCAGGATTCAGGTCAGAAGCTCCGTCGCGGTTGTCTGACGGAAGAGAAAGCTAGGCAGCTGAGGGAAAAAATCGCAGAAGCTTCATCGTTCCACGAAGTTATGTATCATTCCGCGATTGCGTCAAGGCTTGCTTCTGACATCTCCGGGTCGGGTCAAGGATCACAACGAATCCGGGTCAGATCTGGAAATGAATAAAATAATTCGTCGAATTGAAAAATGCTTTTCTCTTTTGTTTTTCCTTTTTCGTCATGTGTAGACATCTTCTACCGGTGCACCTTTTTAATTAGAACCGTTGGATTGTGCTTAGTCTTGTGTTGTAAAGGTCTTGTTTTCTCAAGAACCGTTGGATTGTGAATTAGTAAATTTTCTTTGGTTTCTTATTTTTAACTTGTTAATTAGCGCTTTGGGTCTTTGACTAATCATAATTCATAAATGAAGTTAAATTAACTGAAGTAATAATACTCATTGCAAATTACTCAAGTCACGTGCTCCACACGTGTCCTAATAGAACTCCCCGCTTCTTCTTCTTCGTCTTCTTTCTTTCTTTCCTTAAATCTCCAAATCTTCACATTTCTTCAACGTTCATAAGAAATCTTCTTCCTCCATTACGCATATAATCAAATAATATTATCCCGCCTTTCTCTCATTCCATTGATTCCTGTCACTATCGCACGTGTGGTATCTATCAGTCACCGATCACCTACCATTCACCACTCTTCCTCGCTTTTCCGGTGACCATTTTCGCCGGCTCCGATCATCGTCTTCAGTTATCACGGTTTGTGAAACCGGATGATTTTTGCTCTGATTTCGACTTCTTCTTTTCCCCTCCTTTAGATATCTTGTTTGATTTGGTGTTCTACGACGTTGCGCAGATGGAGAATTCACTTGTTACTCCTCCGAAGCATTGTTTCAATGTACATTTACGTCAGGATATGCGATCAAGAATGTACGAAACCTTCTTTCTCCTGAGAACGTGATTTTATATTTCACAAAGACAATGTCTTGATGATTTTTTCTCATTCTCTCCAGCTTTGCTATCTTACAACGGAAGATGGAGATTCGTGGAATAAGGACTGATGCTGCTACCTTACAAGCAAAGCTTCGCTCTTTGTCATGCCATTTCGAGGCTAAACTGATGAATCTGGCCAAATCAGAGGTTCCTCTTCCTCCAACTTCTAAAATCTTATCAAATCCATTTTTTCGTTTTTATCAGTTTACAAGTTTAAATCGTTTATCTTGCAGGAGGAGTACTCAAATTGGGGAGATCTTGAAGTACGCATAACTCATCTTGTGAAGAAATGGAAAAAAGGAAGGTCTTCTCAGCGCTCTGCCATGAGCAAGAGCAACGTTTTACATGGAATCGAAGCGCTTCCTGATTCTTTGATATCTCAGATACTCTTATGGCTTCCGACCAAAGAGTCGGCTAGGACGAGTGTTTTATCAACCAGATGGAGAAATCTATGGCTTGATGTTCCAGGACTAGATTTGGACTTCTCGGACTTACCTCCTTCTTCTGCTGCCGCCATCAACAACTTGATTGACAGATTCATGGAGTCGCGCCTGCAAAAGATCAAGTTACAGTTTGATTACTTTACTATATCTCTCTTTGGAATCAGGAGGTTGTTCCAGGCAGTGACTAACCACGGAGTTGAGCATCTACATCTTGAATTCTGTGGCGTGCGTATTACCAAATATACCAATCCTCTGGACATTTATAAGAGCAAGACAATATCTCTGGACGACTGTATTAGCAAGACACTGCCTCTTGACTTTTATAAGAGCAAGAGACTGGTTTCGTTAAAGCTTGGAGAAGTAGGGATGGAGAATCCAGATTTTGTTGTTTCTCTACCTCGTCTCAAGGTGATGCATCTTGATAACGTTATGTGCAGAAATGAGGATCCTGTGATCATAGAGAAGCTCATCTCAGGATGTCCTGTTCTTGAAGATCTTACCGTGTCTTGGGGTTATGGTCATACCCGGTGTCCGGTTGTGCGTGTGAGATCTCAGACTCTTCAGAGGTTCTGTGTAACTTCTCCCGGTTGGAGCATAACGAGTGGGGTTGAGATTGATGCTCCGAGACTCAAGTATATGAACTTCAGAGATAAACTGTCTGATGGAGTTGTCGTGAAGAATCTCAAGTCCTTGTTCATGATCGACATTGATGCCAAATTTAATCATAACAATATGAAGGAAGGTACTATCAGAGGTTTTCTTGACGGTATTTCTGGTGTAAGACATCTGATCATCTCTCATCCTACTCTAGAGGTATACATATATATATATATATATATATACATACTCTGTGACTGTGATGCATATATATATATGTATATAACAAAAATCAGTGCACTTTTCTCAATTCTCACCTCTACTTTTTGTTGTCCTTCTTCTTCTGGCAGGTCCTGCATCCATACTTCAAACAGGGAACAATCAAATTTGGTAACTTATCTCGTTTAGAGGCTTCGTTCTGCAACCTGTTATTACAAGTGTTGCCTGATTTTCTTCAGAGTTTCCCGAATCTAAAACACCTCACACTGGTAATTCTTGTGTCGAACTTGTGATTTGGCTTAAGAACATGATTGTGGAAGTACCTAAATTTTTGGATTTTTTTTTTCTCTGTTTTTGGCAGTACTTAGGTCGTGTGAAGGATCAAGAGCCAGAGAATCTTAAACTGACCATTGTGCCTCGATGCTTACAGTCGACGCTCGAATGTGTTGAGATTAAAGAAGAAACTGGGGTGAAAAGACCGAGGAACGGTAAGAAGCACCAGAAGAAAATCAGGATGGAAGCAGTGAGGTACATTCTTGAGAATTCCTTGGTTCTCAAGAAACTCATTTTGTGTTTCTCTCCTGTAACCATCAAAGTCTCAGAGATCTCCAAGGCGCTTGATACATTCACAAAACGTTCTCCTAAGTGTGAAGTCTTCATTCGTTGGCAGACATCTCTTTGAAGATCACTTTAGAGGAATCTTTTGTTAGATGAAAACAAAATTTGTACTTAGGCCTAGCAATTTTATAGATATGGTTTTTATGATAAATTCTCTCGTCTCTTTTGATTTTTTTTACAAAAACAATTGATATGTTTTACAATGTCTGATTTATGTAAAACTTTGTTGCTTTTGAGCTTAATCTCATGTGTTGGTAAGAGCTTTCTTTTATAGCCAAGCCATATATCTAAAATTAGTAAATTTCTCTTCTTCTTTCTTTTGTACTTGTTAATTAGCTCTTTGTTAATGTATTTAACCGAATCATATACAAACATCCTCAAACCTCAAACCTCAATCCTCTCGTTTGTCACATTGCAAAATACGGATCGCAAAATACTCGAGCCACACTTCTTTAGCCAAAAAAGTTAATGAAAATAGCAAGTCACGTGCCTCACACGTGTCCTAATAGACCCGCTTCTTCTTCTTCGTCTGGTTTCTTTCTTTCCTTAAATCCCCAAATCTTCACTTCACATTTCCTTTTTTCTCAACGTTCATAAGAAATCATCTTTCTCCTTTATGCATATAATCAAAGTAATATTATCCAGCTTTTCTCCGATTCCATTGATTCCGGTCACCATCGCACGTGTGGCATCAGTCACCAATCATCCCTCTTCGTCGTTTTTCCGGTGACTATTTTCGCGGCTCCGATCATCGTCTTCAGGTATCACGGATTGCCGAAACCGGCTCATTTTGCTCTGCTTTCGACCTCATTTTCTTTTCCCCCCTCTTTTCGATATCTTAATTGATTCTCGATCGCGTATCACAGTATAGGCTCGGTGTTCTTCAGATGGAGAATTCTCTTGTTTCTCCTCAGGAGCATCGTTTCAATGTACAACTGCGTCAGGCTATGCGATTGAAGATGTAAGAAATCTTGTTTCTCCTTTTAAACGTGATTTTAATTTCCACAAAGACAATGTTATGATGAATTTTTCTCATTCTCTCCAGTTTTGCTATCTTACAACGGAAGATGGAGATTCATGGAATACGAACAAAGCTTCTCTCTTTATCATGCTTTTTAGAGATGAAACTGATGAATTTGGCCAAATCAGAGGTTTCTCTTCTTCCAACTTCTACAAACTTGGCCAAAATCCAAGTTTGATCCAGTTACAAGTTTAAATCTTTCATCTTTGCAGGAGGAGTACTCAGATTTACGAGATCTTGAAGTCCGCGTAGATCATGTTTTGAATGAACTTAAAGACCAGCGCTGTGGTATGAGGAACGTTTCAGATGGAGGAATCAACGCACTCCCGGATTCTTTGTTAACTCAGATACTCTTATGGCTTCCAACAAAAGTCTCGGCTAGAACGAGTGTTTTATCAAGCAGATGGAGAAATCTGTGGCTTCATGTTCCAGGACTTGAGCTCGACTTCAGCAACTTCCTTTCTCTGCCCAGAGGTGGCATCAACAACTTGGTTGACAGATTCATGGAGTCGCGCCTGCAGAAGTTGAAGATCAAGTATTTTGACTGTAATGCATCTCTCTATAGAATCAGCAAGTTGATCGCTACAGTGGTTAGCCGTGGAGTTGAGCATCTAGCTGTTGAATCCTCTCCGCGCTTCCGTGATACCAGTAGTTTCATGCCTCTGGACATTTATAAGAGCAAGACTCTGGTTTCTCTGAAGCTTGCATATGTAGGGATGGAGAATCCAGGCTTTGTTATCTCTCTACCTTGTCTCAGGAGCATGCATCTTGAAAGCATCATCTACAGCAATGGGGATCCTTTGATCATAGAGAATCTCATCTCAGGATGTGCTGTTCTTGAAGATCTTGAAGTGTGTTGGGGTGGTTCTGATGATAACTTGCTGGTTCTGCGCGTGAGATCTCAGAGTCTTAAGAGGTTTAGTGTGAGGTCTTCCCCTTTGAGGATAAGTAGTGGTAGAGAGTATGCGGTTGAGATTGATGCTCCGGGACTCAAGTATATCAACTTCAGAGATGAACAGTCTGATAGAGTTGTGGTGAAGAATCTGAGCTCTCTGTTCATGATTGACATTGATGCCAAGTTAAACGTGGAGAAAATGAAGAACGGTGTTATCAGTGGCTTTCTTGGTGGTGTTTCTGGTGTAAGGCACATGATCATCTCTCAGCCTACTCTAGAGGTATACATATATTGCATACACAAACTCTGTGATCGATGTGATACATGTAACAATCAATCAATGAACTTTTTGTTGTTTGTTCTTCTCCTGGCAGGTTCTGCATCCTTACTTCAAACAGGGAACAATAAAATTTCTCTACTTATTTCGTCTAGAGGCTTCGTTCTGCAACCTCTTACTACAAGTGTTGCCTGATTTTCTTGAGAGTTTCCCGAATCTGAAACACCTCACATTGGTAATTCTTGTGTTGATCTTGTGATTTGGCTTTAACAACATGATTGTGGAAGTTGCCTAGTTTTTGTGTTTATGTTTTTGTCCTCGTTTCTGTTTCTGTGCAGTGCCTAGTTTATACGAAGGAGCTAGAGCCAGAGGCTCTTGAACTGACCATAGTGCCTAAATGCTTACTGTCATCGGCTCTGGAGTGTGTCGAGATTAGAGAAGTGACTACGGGAGGAGGAGAAACTGGGAAGAAAAGAGCGAGGAACGGTAAGAGAACCGTATTGATGCACAAGAAGAGAATCTGGATGGAAGCAGTGAGGTATGTTCTTGAGAATTCATTACTTCTCAAGAAACTCGTCTTGTGTTTCTCTCCTAAAACCATCAAAGCCTCAGAGATCTCCAAGTCGCTTGACACATTCACGAAACGGTCTCCCAAATGTGAAATCCTCATCCGCTGGACACCTCTCTGAAGATCAACGTAGGTGAATCTTTTAGGTCTAGCAATTTTATGTAGATATCGTTTTATGACAACATTCTCCTGTATGATTTCCAATTTGTTTTTAGTAGCTAATTGATGATTTTACATGTTTTTAAAACTCAGATTGATGTAAAGGTTTGTTAATAATTTAGTTCATAAAAGAGAAAGGAAACAGAGTTTTTCTTGTACTTGTATACCAATAAGGATACTACTAGAAGACCCGCGCAAACGCGTGATGTGACGTTGCTATTTTGTGAAAAAAATCTAAATCCTAAACCTGAGCTTGACCCAAAACCCCTAATCAAAATTTTTAAAAACCTTAACGTTTTTTAATATGTCTAAACCCGAAAATTCGAAATCCATAAAATCCCGAAAACCTTGAACCCAATTAAAATAAACTCTACATTTTTTGACCCGAAACCCTAATCCGACTTAAAAACCCTAATCAAAATTTTAAAATACCCAATTTTTTTAATATGTCTAAATCCAAAAACCCAAAATAAAAAAAAATTCAGAAAACCCTAAACTGAACCCAAAAAAAACTCAAACTCAAACCGAACAGAAATTTTCAAAAAAACCCAAACAATTTCTATATCTATGTATATCTATGAAATTAGGTCTGAGATTTTCATCCAAACCCGAACTTGTTTAGAAAAACCCAAACCAAACCCGATTCAGAAATTTAAAAAACTAGAACGACTTTTATATCACTAAACCCAAAAACAAAACAAAAAAACTTTAAAAGAAACCTGAATTGAACCCGAATTAAATTTTTTTAAAAACAACTTTAAACCCGAAAATCTAAAATCATATTCTATTGATTTGGTATTATCGTTAGATTATGTTAAGTTTTCTTTTTTTGCAGATTTTTAAGAGCTGGAAAATGGAAGTTTTCTAAACCATCGGTTTGTTTAAAGTTATTATTTTTATAACCAAACAATTTTTTTCCATTTATTCTTCTATCCAAATAACATTTTCTCTTATTTTTGTATTCAAACATTACAATGTACTAAATTGACCATAATTAAATTTGTTGCCAAATAATTTCTCTTTATAATTAGATTGGTTTTTTTATCATAAATTTTTTCATGTACTTCTCAATTAATAATATAAAGATTCATCTAATTCACCTATTAAGGCTTTTACAGTTTTCCTTTCCTCGTTGCAAAATAATTTAGGCCTTTATGCGTATAAATAAGGTAACTATCGCACGCGTATATATCTAAAGTATGATGACGACTCGAAGACGCTCTTCTTCTACAACATGAGCGTTGTAGCTTCAAATGGAATCGACTCACTTCCTGATTCTTTGATATCTCAGATACTCTTATGGCTTCCGACCAAAGATTCGGTTAAAACGAGTGTTTTATCAAGTAGATGGAGAAATCTATGGCTTGATGTTCCAGGACTAGAGCTCGACCTCACGTTCCTCACTCCCTCTTCTTCCAAATCTGCGGCCATCAACAACTTGCTTGACAGATTCATGGAGCCGCGTCTGCAAAAGCTCAAGATAAAGTATGATGACTCGAACAATGTGTCTCGCTTTGGAAGCAGCAAGCTGATCGCCACAGTGATTAACCGTGGAGTTGAGCATCTAGATGTTGAATCCTTTAGTATTCTTCCCAGAGATTTCATGCCTCTGGACATATATAAGAGCAAGACACTGGTTTCTCTAAAGCTTGCATATGTAGGGATGTCGAGTCCAGGTTATGTTGTCTCTCTACCTTGTCTCAAGATCATGCAACTTGAAAACATTAAGTGCAGAAAAAGGGATCCTTTGATCATTGAGAATCTCATCTCAGGCTGTCCTGTTCTTGAAGATCTTAACTTGTGTTGGGATGGTGGTTATAATCAACTACCGGTTCTACGTGTGAGATCTCAGAGTCTTAAGAGGTTTTGTGTTAGGTCTTCCCCTTTGAGCATTAGTAGAAGTAAAGAGTATGCGGTTGAGATTGATGCTCCAAGACTCGAGTATATCAACTTCAGAGATAAGAACACTCGTATAGTTGTGGCCAAGAATATGAGCTCCTTGTTCATGATCGACATTGATGCTAAATTCAATGTTGAGAAGATGAAGAAAGGCACTATCAGTGATTTTCTCGACCGTGTTTCTGGTGTAAGACATATGATCATCTCTCAGCCTACTCTAGAGGTAAATACATGCATACTCTGTGACTTACGTAATGCATGCACACGCAATGAACTTTATTTATGTTTCTTCTTCTTGCAGGTCCTTCTTCCTTACTTCAAACATGGACTAGCTTCCAAGTTTCGTAACTTATCTCGTTTAGAAGCTACGTTCTGCAACGTCTTATTACAACGGTTTCCCGATTTTCTTGAGAGTTTCCCGAAGCTAAAACACCTCACGTTGGTAATTCTTGTTTTAATCTTGTGATTTGTCTTAATTAAGAACATCTTTGTGTCAGTACCTAATCTTTTGTTTTTGGTTTATGTTGCAGTACCTAGTTTATATGAAGGAGCTAGAGCCAGAGAATCTTGAACTGACCAATGTGCCTACATGCTTGCTATCGACTCTAGAGTGTGTCGAGATTAAAGAAGTGATTACGAGGAACAATCAGAGAACCGTATTGAAGCAATGGCACAAGAAGACTATATGGATGGAAGCAGTGAGATATATTCTTGAGAATTCTTTACTTCTCAAGAAACTCATTTTGTGTTTTTCTCCTAAAACCATCAAAGTCTCAAAGATGTCCAAGTCGCTTGCTACATTCACAAAACGTTCTCCTAAATGTGAAGTCTTCATTCGTTGGACATCTCTTTCAAAATCAACGTAGGATAATCTTTTGTTATGAATTTTTGTTACAACAGTCAATTTTGCCTTTTTTATCTTGATAAACTGTCTCCAATGGATCATAGCGTTTTAAGAAAAGCACCAAACAGTATAATTAAGGAAATTAGTATTATACTGATCTTTGAAATATTATTTCACTATTCTGTAATTATAATTCTCTATTTTAATTGACGACATACATGCATTTCCTTTTGCATGTCATAGAGTTAATATTATTTTACTTATAATTCTCTATTTTAATTGACGACATACATTTCCTTTTGCATGTCATAGAGTTATAGACCTGCTTCTACATCTTTTTTCTTTGTTTCCTTAATATCCCCAAATCTTCACGTTTCTTTCTTTTCTCTTGTACATATATATATGGCAAACAATATAGCAACATTGGAGGAAAATATAGAAACATTTGAAGAAATAGATTGGCCTTTATGCTTATAAATAAATCATATAAACCCACTTTTTCTTTTACTCCATTGTTCCGGTCACTGATCATCCTTAGCTTCTTCGTCGTTTGTGATCTTGGTGTTACTCAGCCTGCGCAGATGCAGACGTCTCTTGCGTTTCCTCAGAAGCATCGTTACAATGAAAGATTACGTCAAGCTATGCGTTCGAGGATGTAAGAAATCTTCTTTCTTTCTTCTTTAAACATGAATTAATTTTCACAAAGACTAAATATTGATGAATTTTTCTCATTCTCTCAAGTTATGCTATCTTGGAACGCAAGTTTCATGGAATAAGGACTGATGCTGCTGCCTTGCAATCAAAGCTTCGCTCTGTTTCATACCATATAGAGGCTAAACTGATGAATTTGGCTAAATCAGAGGTTTTTTCTTTCTCTCCAACTTCTAAAAAACGCTTACCAAATTCAAGTTTGATCCATTTATATACAATCTTAACGCGTTATCTTGCAGGTGGAGTACTCAGATTTACGAGATCTTGAAGTCCGCATAGATCATCTTTTGAAGGAAGGACGCTCTTCTTCTCAGCGCCCTGCCATGAACGTTTCAAATGGAATCAGCGCACTTCCGGATGCTTTGATATCTCAGATACTCTTGTGGCTTCCGACCAAAGAGTCGGTTAGGACAAGTGTTTTATCAACCAGATGGAGAAATCTATGGCTTGATGTTCCAGGGCTAGAGCTCGACTTCAGTATCTTCCCTACTTCTTCGTCCAAAGCTGCCGCCATCAACAACTTGATTGATAGATTCATGGAGTCGCGCCTGCAAAAGTTCAAGATAACGTATCTTCACTGTAATGTCTCTCTCTTTGGAATCAGCAAGTGGATCGCCACAGTGATTAACGGTGGAGTACTTGAGCATCTAGATGTTATAACCTTTGGTATTCCCAAAGATTTCATGCCTCTGGAAATTTATAAGAGCAAGACACTGGTTTCTCTAAAGCTTGCTAATGTAGTGATGTCGAGTCCAGGTTTTGTTGTCTCTCTACCTTGTCTCAAGATCATGCATCTTGATAACATTATGTGCAGCAATGCGGATCCTCTGATCGTAGAGAGACTCATTTCAGGCTGTCCTGTTCTTGAAGATCTTGACGTGTGTTGGGGTGGCACTTATGATCACTTACCGGTTCTGCGTGTGAGATCTCAGAGTCTCAAGAGGTTTTGTGTTAGGTCTTACCCTTGGAGTATACCAACTGATAAAGAAGAGTATGCGGTTGAGATTGATGCTCCAAGACTAAAGTATATCAACTTCAGAGATAAGCACACTCGTATATTTGTGGCCAAGAATATGAGCTCCTTGTTCATGATTGACATTGATGCTAAATTCAATGTTGAGAAAATGAAGAAAGGTATTATCAGTGATTTTATCGACCCTATATCTGGTGTAAGACATATGATCATCTCTCAGCCTACTCTAGGGGTAAATACATACTTTGTGACTTATGTAATGCATAAATATAACATTATAACAACAAATCAATGAGCTTTATTTATGTCTCTTCTTCTTGCAGGTCCTTCATCCTTACTTCAAACATGGACTAGCTTCCAAATTCCGTAACTTATCTCGTTTAGAAGCTACGTTCTGCAACGTCTTATTACAACGGTTGCCTGATTTTCTTGAGAGTTTCCCGAAACTAAAACACCTCACATTGGTAATTCTTGTGTTAATCTTGTTATCTGTCTTAGGAACATCTTTGTGTAAGTACTAAATCTTTGTTTTTTGGTTTATGTTGGCAGTACCTAGTTTATATGAAGGAGCTAGAGCCAGAGATTCTTGAGCTGACCACTGTGCCTCCATGCTTACTATCGACTCTCGAGTGTGTCGAGATTAAAGAAGTGATTACGCGAGAAGAAGCTACTGTGATACAAAGAGCGAGGAACAATCAGAGAACCGTATTGAAGCAATGGCACAAGAAGAGAATATGGATGGAAGCAGTGAGATATATCCTTGAGAATTCTTCAGTTCTCAAGAAACTCATTTTATGTTTCTATCCTGAAACCATCAAAGTCTCAAAGATGTCCAAGTCGCTTGCTACATTCGCAAAACGTTCTCCTAATTGTGAAGTCTTCATTCGTTGGCAGACATCTCTTCCAAGATCAATGTAGGAGAATCTTTTGCTATGAATTTTTTCTTTTTTTGCAACTTTAGAGAAATGGTTTTCTGATATAATTTTTCTTGTCTGATTTGGGTATTTTTTTTTAATTAATAAACCTCTTGATGATTTTATATGTTTTTTAAAGTCAGATTAATGTAAAATTTGTGTCTTTTTGATTTTAAAATGATCACTTATCAGATATAAATGTAAAAGACACAAATATAGGGTCGCTTATGTGAGACCCAAACAATATAGGGACTTTGAAGCAAACTTAAAATACAAATTATGTTCTTCCCCAAAGCCGATGTTGAAATCCCTAAGTAACATATACAAATAAAACACCCAATTCCGACAATTGCCTCTGCAACTATGTTCATTACTTTTGTCTAGCTTTCATTCTTTCCTGTCTGCACAATTCAACTGTAGCTGCAGAATTCTCTCTCTATTCAAGTGTAGATCGATCAAAGTCATTAGATTTGGGATTTACCTCCCAACTGTATTTGTAGAAAATAGAAAAAAAGTTAGACCCTTTTTGATTTTTTTAGCGCAATTCGTCTCGGAGTCTAGTAAAAACCCTTTTCTTCAATCTGAAAGATATTCGATTTAGGGTCTTGGGGATCAATTAGCGGCTAGGGTTTTTGTTGTGTTGTTAAATAGTGTTAATGGATAAGAAGAAAGTCACAGTTCCACTAGTTTGCCATGGCCATTCAAGACCTGTTGTGGATTTGTTCTACAGTCCAATCACGCCTGATGGTTTCTTCCTCATCAGCGCGAGTAAAGGTACATACTTTTGATTTTGTTGTTGAACAAAATTGGATTTTTTTCGTATACAATCTCAATTGGTACTGAGTACAATAGTGTTCTGTTTGGTGTGGGATTATAAATGTATTAGCTTTTGTGTATTGTGGTACGAACTGAACAATTCCTTTTCATTGATGAATCTTTTGAGAATATTTCACGTGTTGATGTGTTTAGATTCGCATCCAATGCTGAGAAATGGAGAAACTGGTGACTGGATTGGTACATTCGAAGGGCATAAAGGTGCAGTGTGGAGCTCTTGCCTGGATAACAATGCGTTACGTGCTGCGTCTGCATCAGCCGACTTTTCAGCGTATGGTGTTTGAATTTGTTTTGGTTTCATTATTATCTTGTTTTGAATCTCTTTGGCCAAGAACATTAATCATCCAATTGTTTTGTTGATTCGTTCAGGAAACTTTGGGATGCGTTAACAGGGGATGTGCTTCATTCTTTTGAGCACAAGCACATTGTTCGAGCATGTGCCTTCTCAGAGGTTTGTTCAAGTTGCTGCACCCTCTCCGTGTAGCTATACTCTCTCTATTTGGTCCAACTTGTGTATGCATATGTGTCCTAACATGTTTCTTTCATATACTAGGATACGAAACTGTTGATCACGGGAGGGTTTGAGAAGATTCTCCGTGTGTTTGACTTGAATCGGTTGGATGCACCTCCTACAGAGGTTGATAAATCTCCTGGCTCTATCAGAACTCTCACATGGCTTCACAGTGATCAAACCATATTAAGTTCTTGCACTGATATTGGCGGTGTAAGGTATGCATGAACTAAACAAGACACAGCTAAATAGACACTTTTGTTTTCTTTTTTTCATTCTGTTCTTGACTGTTAATAATCTTCTTATACAGGTTGTGGGATGTGAGGAGTGGGAAAATTGTGCAGACACTAGAAACAAAGTCTCCTGTGACCAGTGCTGAAGTGAGCCAAGATGGTCGGTATATAACAACTGCTGATGGGTCCACAGTTAAATTCTGGGATGCAAACCAGTAAGTTCTCATTCCATGAAGAGAATCTGATATTTTCTTATTAACTTTTGTAATTTGCTCAAACTCTTAACTTTTGTCTCTCTTTTTTTTCCAAGTTTTGGACTAGTGAAGAGTTATGACATGCCCTGTAACATTGAATCTGCTTCCTTGGAGCCAAAGTCTGGTGAAAAGTTTGTTGCTGGTGGAGAGGATATGTGGGTCCGAGTCTTTGATTTCTACACTGGCGAAGAAATTGGTGAGTAACTCTCAAAACTTTCAAGTAGACTTTGATTAGTGAAGAGCTTGATAGATCTTTAAAGCATATGGTTCTTCAAGTATCAAGCAAAAGCTTTCGTTGATTGTGCCTTCTTTGGTTGAACTTAGGATGCAACAAGGGACATCACGGTCCGGTACACTGTGTGAGGTTTTCACCCACTGGAGAGTCCTACGCCTCTGGATCTGAAGATGGAACCATAAGAATCTGGCAGACAACACCACCTGCGAATCTTGAAGAGAACGAAACGACTTCGAGGAGAGTGAAGCAGCATAGTGTGGATGAAGTTTCCAAGAAGATTGAAGGCTTTCACATCAACAAGGAAGGCAAAACCGGAGAGAAGCCATCTGATGCTTAAGCACTAAAAATTTGGCCTCTAATAGGTCCATTATTATTACCAGTTGCTGTGTTTTGTTTCCAAGATTTGAATATACGGAAATATAAAACCAAAGAGACCCTTCGTTTTCTTTTGATTCTGAATCAAAAGCAAGTTTACTTGGGTGTGAAAAATCTATCTTTTAGTTTTCCGGGGTGTTTTTGCATTATTCTATCAAATATGGGGTTGTGTTTTGCTATTAATGATAAATTTGACCAATGTTTGGGCTTGGGCTTGGGCCTTTTTCGCTGTGGGAAGCTGTAATTAGGGTTGGGGTAGAAGGGTAAAATCGTAAACCGGAGCTTCATAAACCGACTTTCCCGATCCCTTTCTCTCTTGGATACATATCGACTCTCGAGCTCCTCCTCTTCTCTAATAGATTTTATCTGGTGCGATCTTCTTCCCCTCTCTCTCTCTCTCTATCTGCGATTTTACTGTGAGGCTTTTGGCGGGAAAATGACGGGGAAAGGAGCGAAAGGGTTGATTATGGGGAAACCTAGCGGCAGCGAGAAGGACAAGGACAAGAAGAAACCCATAACCCGTTCTTCGCGAGCTGGACTTCAGGTAATCTCTCTCGTTCTCACTCTATTTTTCCTTAGTTTTCGTGCTTGTACCTGTAAATCCGTGCTTGTTTCTTTGCGAATCGAACTGTTCTTATGTGCTTGAACAATTAGTAGATCGCGACGAGATTCTGAATTAGATTTCTGTAGCAGCTACCCGAATACTGACATTGGGATGCGAGATTTGCTCTTCCGCTGTGTTTTTTGCTAGAAATTGCTTCAGTGAGCGTTTGTGGTTGATATTGACCTCGATCTTTTGATTTACAGTGTATTTTGCTCTCGTCGTCATAGGCCTTTCCTGATTTTTGCTTTTTTGTTTACTATGCATGAATTGTTGCAACGGAGATTTGAGTCATTCACCTAGGGCTAGTCATTGTTATGCTGTTTGAGAGTAGTTTTTAGGTTATATGAGTAACATATAGCTTATTTGATTCATCAATGCGTGTTTTCTTGAAACAATTTTTGGTGTTGAAGCTTGTGAAGTTTGTTGTTAGTGGGTTTCTTCGTACTGTTTGATGTTATGGCTCTCTGATTATGAACAATCTTGCGTCAATCAAGTACTCAAACCAAGCTTTTGAATGATTTTTGTATATTGTTCATTGTTGAGGCTAATTAGGGTTCCTTTTTGTGCAGTTCCCAGTAGGTAGGGTGCATCGTCTGTTGAAGACAAGGTCCACTGCTCACGGAAGGGTTGGAGCAACCGCAGCTGTTTACACGGCGGCGATATTGGAGTACCTGACCGCAGAAGTGTTGGAGTTGGCCGGTAACGCGAGCAAGGACCTGAAGGTGAAACGTATCTCGCCGAGGCACTTGCAGCTCGCGATCCGTGGAGACGAAGAGCTCGACACTCTCATCAAAGGAACCATAGCTGGTGGTGGAGTCATCCCTCACATCCACAAGTCTCTCATCAACAAATCCGCCAAGGAATAGAGAGATTCGCCTTTGTGTTGCTGCTCTGCTTCTTTCGGTTTCTCTGTTTCTTCTAAGTGTTTTCAAGAGTCGTGTTTGATAAAAAGACGCTAGAGAGCTCTTTTGTAGGATGATTATCGTTTGCTTATTTTTCGATCGGCCGTACTTGTGTTAAGTGAATGATGCTAGTCGATTTCATCTATCGTTAAAACTTATGTATTCAATGATTATCCAACCCTTTCTGACTACCTTTTGTGTCTTTGTTCGTATCAAATTATCATAAATCGCTATGTACACGATACATAAGAAAAAGCATAAGTTGTGTAATTTTAGGAGTTTGGTAGATTAGGTATCAGTCTGCAAATGAAGGAACCGAGAGTAGAAACAAGTGTTGTAGAACACTCCTCGTGTGGTAGATGTCCGCATCCAGATATGGCTACAAATCTCTGTGCTCACACATACAAATACATAGAATTGTGTTATTGCTAAAGAGAGTGGAAACCAAAGTTATGAAAGTCTTGGTGAAGAGGATGTGAAAACTTACAGAATTGGTGAGCTTAGAAGCTAGAATTTGTGAGGACTTCAATGGAACAAGAACATCGTCAGCTCCGGCAACAACTAACACCGGAAGATCTCCAATGGATTTTAACAGAGCTGATGCATTTTGAGGTGAAAGTATCATTTCATATGATAACTTGCTTATCTCATTCAGTGCTTCATCCCAAGCTTCTAAGCACAGAGGAGCCTGAACGTTTTGGTATATACACAAGAAAGACATTAAGTAATTAAGCAAAGGCGACTACTTAATCTCAATGCCATTATGTGTGATTACCTTGTAGAGCATAATGACATCGGTGGTTAGCTTGGTGGTGTCACACCAAGCACGCCGGTTCACCAGTTGGGTTATTTCGGTTCTCAACAAAGGACGTACCAAATGCTTCTTCCTGAGCGAAGTATGAAGAAGTATCCTCGCAAAGGAAGGAACAACTTCTCTTGATAAGCTTACGTTTATCAAAACCACCCCTTTGAGTGTAACCTGTAAAGCAACAAGATTAGCAAGTAACACAAAGTCAGCATTCTTGTATTCTTAGTAAAGAAAACTGATTCTTACGTTGGATTTGAAGTTATATTCTTGTATTCTCTCAGCAGCCCTGAGAGCAAGCAAGCCACCATCATCATGGCCAACGAGTACCACCGAAGAGAACCCCATCTCAGAACAAAAAGAAAGTAGTAGATCGACCTGGCTTTCAAGCTTGTAAGGGTTAGCTAGATTTCTCTCCTCCCACTCTTTCCGGATAAGCCTAGAGGTTAATCCCCAACCAGGCCGGTCATATGCAACGACTCTGCAACCGAGCTGAAGAGAAAGTTCTCTCATCACATGTCTCCATGAGAAGACTCCTCCTCCAAATCCATGGACTAGAACTACACCAACATTTTTCTCATTTCTCTCCAAATCATCCCCAAGATTCATAGAATCCTTTTCATCTTTATTGAGAAAGCTAGTAGGAGTAGTTGGATAAGTAGCTAACAGAGGATCATACAAAGATGATCTATCAGGCTGAATAGTGTAGCTTCGATGCAAATGATTGCTTTGAGTTTGGGAGATTAAGTTTGACATCTGTTTGTCTAGTACTCTCAGCCTTCTTGCATTCATTTCCTCTGCTGAATCTCTTGTAATGATGGAGGAAGTATGAAGAGGAGGAGAAGTCGGTGAATCACACTGCTTGTAATGCACATTCAAGCCCTGGATCTTGATGAATAAACTATCTGCATTTGCAAGAAGTCTTGGCTGTAGCATCTCTTCTCTATCCAAAGAACTTCCCCTGAAAGAGTTTTGTCTGAATTCGGTTAAGATCTTGCAGTTTGATCGAGTGAAAGATTGGCGATGAGCCTTCTTGTAACTAGATTTACATGAGAGAACCTGCAAATACCATAAGAAAGAGTGAGCTCCAAGAACAGAGAAAGCTAAAAAGTGAAATCAAGAAAGTAATATATTACAGCTTCTTGGTCGATTTTGTGGTACATGAGCTTTCTTCTCGCTCCACAACTAGTTCGATAAGCGACCACGACATGAGCTAAACCGAAAAATGAAGATGATAGTAACAAAACCGGCATTGCCCAAGAGATCTTGAGGTGATGATGATAGACTTTTGGCTCAAGATGAGAATTAAGAGTGAAAACACAAGTTTTAACCAAAAGAAGAAGAATCCCTCCAAAGGAAAGTGACATCACTGTTTCAAGATAAAGACCATAAGCTAATCTTGCGTCTTCACATAGCCAAGAGAGACCTGTTTCATCATCATCAATGGAAGCTTAATGAATCTGAACCAAAGTCAAAGTAATATTAACATTAAGTCCGTACATATAATGGTGAGAGATCTGAGGAGGGAGACGAGTGGTACGTCGATGAAAGAGGTCTTGAAACTGTAGTGACGAAGATGTTCTGCGGCGGAGCTGCACGTGAGGCACGTGATGCTTGAGACGATAAGACAAGGGACCACCACGTCAGCCACCGTGATCAGAACCGGTAAAGAAGAAGCTAGCAGAGACGCCGTCATTGCTGCGACGAAGAATATCGTCCTGAAACATCTCCGTGCTTTCTCCGCCACAATCCACGACTTCCACGCCGCCATTTTTCCCGCCTTTACTGAACAGAAGAAACGTCAACTGGATCACGAAGGTCTAACGATTGATGGCCCCAGCAGTCAGCAGAGAAGCTCCGAGCATTCTCCGGAGATGGTCGAATGTATCGGCGGAAGGAGGATCGGAAAATTTCAAGTCTGGTTTTGCTTTTATATACAGACTAAATGTCTCATATTAAGACAAAACTGCTATAGCTTAGCGAATTATGTAATTTAACTCGTAAAAACTGAATTAGTTTCAGGTATTTTATAGAAAATTTGCAATTTCCAACATATTGGTATAGAAATATTTGTTTTCTTAAAAAAAATTATAGAATGAGTTGTCTGATTTTTTATTGCTTTATCTTAGTTGTAAGATTATGAGTGGGAAAAATATTTAATGATGAACTGGACCAGAAGACAGCAAAGACAAAGGAAATGATAAGTGTGTTGGAGGAAGAGTAGCACATAGAAGCATGTGACATTGTGAATGTTAGGTTCACTCTTAATATTCCTCCAGCCATTGTCTTCTGTCTCTGTTCCCTACATAGAAAGCTCACTTATTTTTCTATATTTTTTTCTCTCTTTTAAAAATCATTTTTCATTAGATAATTTGGAAACAAATCATGTCGTGATTTTATCAAATCGTGAATGTTATTTTCTTTATTTTGTTCCTATAAACAACGAGCAAGATCATCAGTATTTTCGGTATAAACAAAACTAGAGAAGATGGCTGTGATCTATCTGGCAGAACAAATCAAAATCTTGTCTATGACTAGATAATTAAGAGATCTTTATATTAAAAAACTATACGAATTTAAAAAAAAAAAAAAAACATTATAATAGAAAAGTAAGTCAATAATTATTGTGTTCCCATGCATGTTACTGCGAAAACAGAGGAATAAAAGTGGTACACCGATTTTATGTACGTTTCACAAAACGCATGTCAATAAAATACGAGGAAACTGCTTATGTAATGTTTATATTATCTCTTCTTGTAATCTCTTACGTATCCTTCTCGTATCAATCATCGTGATTTTGATTCCTCTTGATTCTTCTGTAGCTTTTCCATATCATTGAACCCTGTTCAATTATTGCAAATTATTGTAGAAAGTAGAAACTATGGATGGACATTTGGTCACAGTTATGGATGATATATTCGTTTTATTGTCTGGAAGAGAAGTATAAATGGGCCGAAAATGAGCTTAAAACAAGGCCCAATGGTTTCCACCAAATTCGTATGGAAAGTAGATCGGACCGACGGTTTAATCCATGGGGTAGGTAGGCAAAATGAGCGAACCGAACCGGGGTAGGTGAAGAAAGAAGCTGACTTATCCGACATGAACCAGGTCGAGTCGGGTCGGATACTCACACCAACTTCCGCACCAACTCCTCTACTGACCCCACCAAACCCCATGGCCCATACGAACCCACCCATCGCGGTTGGTGAAGTGAAGAAACCAATCATTCACATGTATAATCCTTATGGATAATAACATCATTCATAATATTTCGAAATGACGAAAAATACAAATCATTTGTAATAACGAAACCAAAATCTTTTAAAACATAAATGAACTTTATCAACCACATTTCAATTGAAAATTGTAAATTTACATATTGCTTTCCATAAAGAATTAAGAAAATTATATGCAATCATTTCTTTTGTTTCTATGTAAGGATATTTTTCCTTAATTTTACACTTAAATCTTTTTCATTCATGTCTTGCCTATATATAAATTAGTGACATTATAATATCTCACAACGTTTTAAATTAGTTATCTTTTAATTACGTTCATTCAATACATTCCGTATATATATATACAAACTGAATTGTCTCTCTCCCATTGCGCTCATATTTCCAACCAAATTCACTGTGAAGAAAAAAAAAACACTATGCCGTCGGATGCGGAGAGCTCAGCGAATTTAGCTCCGGCGAAGCCACCGCCGTATTTCTGGGGAGACATGCCGGAGGAAGAGTACTTTACTTCACAAGGTGTGCGCAACACCAAATCCTACTTCGAAACACCCAACGGCAAGCTCTTCACTCAGACCTTTCTTCCCTTGGAAGGCGAGATCAAAGGAACGGTGTACATGTCTCACGGCTACGCTTCCGATACGAGCTGGATGTTCTCGAAGATCTGCATGAGCTACTGCAGATGGGGCTACGCCGTTTTCGCCGCCGATCTTCTCGGTCACGGCCGCTCCGATGGCATCCGCTGCTACATGGGTTCGCTTCTTCGTCCCCTCATTTGCTTAATTGAGAATCTCAATTGGAATTTTGCAAGTTAGGGATTTAGGAGGAAGAATTGATTTTGAAATGTTAGGCAAAATAGTGAAATTGGAATTAGGGATTTATATGAGTGATTTTGAGGAAATTGGCTTTCTTTTTGTGTGTTTTGATTTCTCTCAGGTGATATGGAGAAAGTTGCAGCAACGTCGTTGTCTTTCTTCAAGCATGTTCGTACCAGCGAACCATATAAGAATCTCCCAGCTTTCCTCTTTGGTGAGTCCATGGGAGGACTTGTCACGCTTCTCATGTACTTTCAATCGGAGCCTGAGACTTGGACCGGTTTGATCTTCTCGGCTCCTCTCTTTGTCATCCCGGAGCCCATGAAACCGAGCAGGCCTCACCTTTTTGCCTATGGTCTCCTCTTTGGCTTGGCTGATACGTGGGCCGCAATGCCGGATAATAAGATGATTGGGAAGGCTATTAAGGACCCTGAAAAGCTCAAGATCATCGCATCTAACCCCAACAGGTAACACAAAAACTTCTTGGAAGCTAACATAATCAGGGTCTCTCGTAAAGTACTCAAAGCTTGAGACTTTTAACATCTATAGTGGTCTCTCTTGCGTCCATTTGAATTGGAGCTTGAAAAAGTTTGGATCTTTGGCTTTGTAGATACACAGGGAAGCCTAGAGTGGGAACAATGAGGGAGTTACTGAGGAAGACGCTATACGTGCAGGAGAATTTTGACAGAGTAACTATTCCGGTGTTGACGGTGCACGGGACAGCGGATGGAGTGACGTGTCCTTCGTCGTCGGAGCTGCTGTACGAGAAGGCGTCGAGCTCTGATAAAACGTTGAAGCTGTACGAAGGAATGTACCATTCACTGATCCAAGGAGAGCCTGACGAGAACGCTGAGATTGTGTTGAAGGATATGAGAGAGTGGATTGATGAAAGGGTTCAGAGGTATGGATCTAAAACGGCTTGATGAAAACCTTACATTTTGTGAAGAGAAATGTATATTTGAGTTTATGATCCATATCTTGGATTCGACTTGTTTTGTTGTTTGTGTTGTTAATCCAAGAACTTGACTTTTGTGATGTAATAACTATGCATATCATGGGTTACAGAAATCCTATTTTATCGTTTCTAAATCTTGGATTAGCTTAGCCCTTTATTTGATTTGATTAAACATGTTTAATGAGCATGGAAACAACATAGAAGTAGATAATTTTTTGTTCAATTTTTGGCTGCTGGTTATGGTTGCGAATGTAACGCAAACGACATGCTCATCGAATTCTGAAATGAAACGGAACCATACAATATAATTTGTGTCTTTCATCTTCAAAAGAGATGATGTTTTAATTGCTTTTTGTTTGTTTTTAGACTCTGTTTTCTTTATCAACACGTACCTTAATTGTCCTAGAGAATATTAATGACACGTCCATGTCTCCAAGTTTGTACGTATTCCCTTTGTGAAACTTTTGTGACTTCTCTCTTCCAAATATCTTTTTTGGAATTGAAAGAACATTTTGTCTTTACATCTTGTCTTATCTCTATCTTCTTCTCAGCCTCTCAATCCTCTCCAACGGTAGGATCATTTCCCGAACCAGCCTTATGGACCCATATCATATCTTCTAACACATGTCTTAAATCTCAGTGTTTTCGTGTCATTTAGTTGCAAAGACTTAAAGCTTTCAATCTATTGTTAACACCCATTTTTAAATACCACTTGTTCATGATATATTAAAGTGTAACCACAAAACTTATCTTTTTTAGCATTTGCATCATTTACTAAACTAAAATCATATAAAGTTGTAAGTTCCACACGTTATGAATAATGATCATGTCATATCTCAATAATTTGTTTGGATTCCTTAGATCTAACTTGGTTGTTTTTATTGGAAATGGCAAGATTTTGTTCTTTCCTTTGGAATTTTTCATTTCGAGTCATGATGAGACGATGACGTTTCAATGTAGACTATTTGCGAAACAGAGCAAACGTAACTTTGCTTACACACTTTATAAAACTAACCACTCCACACACACTTCAACTTCAGCTTCCACAGTGAAAAAGAAAAACAAAGACATGGAGAAAACATCTTCGCCGGAATATTCCACCATCTCAGCAAAATCTCCGTCAGTAGCCACCGGAGAAATGGAGTGTTCTCTGTTCGACGATGATTGCATTCTCGACATGGATTACTTCGTTAAAACCATCGCCGGAGTCAAAGCCAAAGGTGTCCGTCCCGATCTCATCGGCTCAATCATCGCTCATTACGCTTCCACGTGGCTCCCTGAACTCTCCGACACCGTCACAAACCCCGGTGATCCGAATCCGCAACCTCAGACGCCGCAACAATCGGAGAGCTTCTCTGTTACGGCGTTCGTGATGAAGAAGCGTTTCTTCGTTGAGACTCTAATCGGAATCATCCCTCCGGACAAAGACTCCGTCCCTTGTGATTTCCTCCTCCGCCTCCTCAGAACGGCGAACATGCTCGGAGCAGACTCAGCTTACAAGACCGAGCTCGAGGCGAGGATATCTTGGCAGCTCGATCAAGCTTCACTCAAGGAGCTTATGATACCTTCCTTCAGTCACACGTGCGAGACACTGCTCGACGTTGAGCTCGTGACTCGGTTGGTTAAAAGATTCGCCGGATTAGACAACGAAGGAGTCAAATCCGGTGCTTCTCTAGTTAAAGTGGCCAAGCTCGTCGACTCTTACTTAGCTGAAGTAGCCGCAGACGGCGACTTAAGCCTCCCGGAGTTCATTTCCTTAGCCGAAGCCCTCCCTAACCATGCCCGTGTAACAGAAGATGGCTTATACCGCGCCATCGACACTTATCTCAAGGTAAAATGTTAAATAGATTTTACTTTCACTGCAGTAAAAAAGTTGCTTACTTTGTGATGGGTTTGATTGTTTAGGCACATCCTAAAATGAGCAAGCAAGAAAGGAAGAGACTTTGTGGACTGATAGATAGCAAGAAGCTGTCTATGGAGGCGTCTCTTCACGCTGCACAGAACGATCGTTTACCGGTTAGAACAGTGATTCAAGTTCTGTTCAGTGAGCAGACAAAGATGAGTCGTAGCCGACACAACAACATTGATTGGAGTAGCTCAAGTTTCAGTCCGAACCCTAATTCTAGCTCACACTACTCAGAGTCAGGTCCGGGTCGGTGTATGTCGAAAAGGGAGATGAATGTTCAGCATGCGGAGATAAAGAGATTGAGAGAGGATATGGCGAAGCTGAAGAGTGAGTGTGAAGCGATGAAAACGCAGTTGGAGAAGCTGGTTGAGAAGAAATGTAGTGGTGGTGGGAATAATAAAGGGTTTTTCAGGTGGAAGAAGTTGGGGTTTAGGAGCGGTGTTAGCGTCAGCGTTTTCGATAAGACGAATGGTGAAGTGTTTGGTGAGAATGGAGAGAGAGAAGAGTATTATGAGTATGAGGCTCAGACTCCTGGCAATGCGAAGACAAAGATTGTTAAAGGAAGAACACCTTCTAGGTGGAGAAAATCTCTGTCTTGAAATAAAAACAGAGCTTTCATCATTACTTTGTGTTGCTATTGTTGTTGTTTGTTGTCTGTTGTTGTGTATTAATTTTGCAGTTATTGTTTCTGAATATGAATACTTGTAAATTTTGTATGCTCAATTGCTCATCATGTCATATCGATGGCTTGTGGGTCAAGCTTCTCAATGGTTTTATCAAAATCTTTTAGCTTTCTTGCTTCTTTATGAATAGAGAATGCTCTGAAACTCGCTTTCTTTCGCTTCTTGTACATCTAGTTTCTCTGTCTTATCTGAAAACAGGACAAGACAAGTCGTGAAGAGATTTTTCGGACACATTCTCTGGTTGCTTTTTCTTGATTTGCCGGTTTGTCTTGTTCCTCAATTTCGAGATATGCAGTTTACAATTACATATTGAGCAGAGTTTGTTCTTATTCTTTTTCTATGTCCAAAACCCAGCTAATAGACTCAACGTATCGTTGTAGTACGTAATTAGTTGTCTATACGATAAGTGTTTTGTATATGTACACAGGATAAGAGCATATGCATTACAACAAACTTCAAAACTCTGGAGAAGAGCACAAAACCTTTGTTCCTTAAAGATCTAAGAAGAGTCTGGAACAGTTTTGGGACATGTCTCACTTGTGGAAAACAGAAATACGATGAGAAAAATACCTTACTAGTTGACGATTCACCCCACAAAGGCCCTGTGTAATCCTCTAAGTGCTCAGAGACCTGTGACTAAACTACCTGTGATTAGTTGGATTATAGTTGGAAGGTTTTAGGAGTGTTTGGATATAGGAACAGAAAATAAACTTGCAGTGTTTGGATATAGGAACAGAAAATAACCTGCTAGTGTGAACTTGGCTCGATTGATAATGAAACCACAATTTGGGTAAATTGTATGGATTATTCCTGATTTCACTTTGGTTCTTCTCTTTTTATTTTTTTTCTGCTTTCTGTGCTCAAGTCAAAAGTCAACAACACAGCTACAAGACTTTTGTCAATGGCGTCACACGATCATCATCACGATCACGATCACGATCAAGGCCCCAAGTTCGAGATTTCTTGATTTTTTTCCCCTACAGTTTTGGTCTTCTTGCGATTGATTCTCCAACATAACCAATCTAACTCTGTCAATTAGGAAATCTGAGGGTGGTAAGGTGTACCATAGCCACGATGGACTCGCACCGCACTCACACGAACCCATCTACTCTCCCGGCTACTTCAGCCGCAGAGCTCCTCCTCTTCACGACCGTAACTTCTCCGAGAGAGCTTTCACCGTCGGCATCGGCGGTCCCGTTGGCACTGGGTAATCTTCTCTCATTCCTCTTACTGGAATTGTAAACTGGATTTTGCTAACATTTTTGGTCTAATCATCAGGAAAACGGCATTGATGCTTGCTCTTTGTAGATTCTTGAGGGACAAATATAGTCTTGCTGCTGTAAGTATTATTACCGGTTTCAAATTTTGCTGATTATGAGTGAACTCCTCCTCCTAACTCCTAACTCGTCAATTGTTGTTGTAGGTGACGAATGATATATTCACGAAAGAGGACGGAGAGTTTCTGGTGAAGAATGGGGCACTCCCTGAGGAAAGGATAAGAGCTGTTGAAACCGGTGGATGTCCACACGCAGCGATACGTGAAGACATAAGTATCAACCTTGGTCCTCTTGAGGAGTTGTCTAACTTATTCAAGACTGATTTGCTTCTCTGTGAATCCGGTGGAGGTTGTTTTGCTTATTTCTTTTTATTACCTTGCTGCTTAGTTATATACACGTTTTGGTTCTGTTTTCAATGAGGTTGTGTGTGTGTTTGCAGATAATTTAGCTGCAAATTTCAGCAGAGAACTAGCTGACTATATCATCTACATCATCGATGTATCCGCCGGTGATAAAATACCCCGTAAAGGCGGTCCTGGAATCACTCAAGCTGATCTTCTGGTGATAAACAAGACAGACCTTGCAGCTGCTGTTGGGGCTGACTTATCTGTCATGGAACGCGATTCGCTGCGTATGCGTGATGGAGGGCCATTCGTCTTTGCTCAGGTGAAGCATGGGCTTGGCGTCGAGGAAATCGTCAACCATGTCTTGCATTCATGGGAACAAGCCACCCGGAACAAGCGCCGCCATTGAAGGCTATCTAAGACCCAAAATGGACTATAAATTTGAAAGAAACCGAATGAAAAACTTTTCTTGAACAGAAAGCTTTATGTATCTGTTTGTTTGAGACTCATTACATTGGGAATGATTTGTATTCTAGTTAATTAATATGTGCTTTAACAGAAGCAAAGAGATCTTTGTAGGAGAGTTTTGGAGCATCAGGACGAGCAACAATCTCCACAACCTTGAAAGATGATTCCTCGTTAAGCAAAGCTTCCACTGCAACTTCCGCGACCTGGTCTCTCGATATGCTCCCAGACGACAGAGTGTCCTACAAATATTTTCTCAGCTCCACCACAAAAGCAGATGAATTAACGGTTATTAGTTAATTACTATATATATACCTCTGGCTCCATGACTAAGTTTCCTGATGGAGGATCGTTTTTAAGACCACCGGGTCTTACTATAGTATAGTTGATGCCTGATTTCTTGATATACTTCTCGGCTTGAAGCTTTGCGACGAGAGTCAGTCCAAAGACGTTGAGGAAGATGTAGGCTGGGTTAAGAATCTGCCCCATTGCAGCTCCGTTCACCAAGATTGAGCTTATGAGAACAAACCTGTTCACTCCTTGTTTACGACACGCGTCCACCAGATTCACTGTCCCCAAGTTATCGACTTTCCAAGGAGCGAACAGATCGAACCCGGGACGAAACCCGGACGCGCAGATCACGGCTTGGGAATCATCGCCTATGGCTTCGGCTAGCTTCTCTGGACCTTCTGTCACGTCTGCTCTAACCTATACACAGAGATTTTCATTTTTCAAGACAGCAGAAAAAAAAATTAAAGATCCAAGAATGAAGGCATACGATGTGAAGAGACGGGTCTGGTTTGAAAGATGATTTTGCTTTGTCTAGGTCACGAACGCCGGCTTTGACGGCAAAGCCACGAGACAACAACTGCTCCACGATCCTCTTCCCGGTTTTCCCAGTTGCTCCGGCGACGAACACCTTCTTGGCTCCATTGTCTTCACCTCTTTCCATCTAAGTCCAATTTTTTCATCAACCAAACATAATCGAGTGTACAAGTTTATAGCAAATTAGATGACGGAGAAATCTTACCTTGATGGAAGTGAAGGAACGAGAGGAGTTGATTTTGGTGAAGAAGAGAGGTGAAGAAGAAGAAGAAGAGAAGAAGAGAGTTGAGGAATGTCTGAGAACCATCGATGCGTAATCTCTCCAGCAACGGTTAAAAAACAAAATATAAATTTTTTTAGTCTTTGTTTTTTTTTTGTTGATGATATAACGCCACGTAGCTAATCTGCTTTCTCTTCACACGCTCGCAATTACCGGAAAACCCCCTGAAGTCCGTGAATTTTCGATTCCGGGAAAGTAGCGAGAAAATCTGTTGACGGAGGAGGAGGAGGAGGAGAAAAATGACGAAGAAAGCAGCCAAGTCAGGAATGTCGCGACCTTCTTCTCCGTCGTACGCCGCCGGAGGCTCTGCTCGGTATGTTTTCGTGTAAACAAACACATACAAGTTTGGCTTCTTCCATCTGATTTCTCTGTTTAGGGTTTAGAGTTGTGCCTCTCTAGTGTTTAAAGGTAGGGACTTGGATGAATCTGAAGTGAAAGGTGTGAAGTTTATGCTATTATTCAATGGAATTAGGTGTTTTCCTTTTGTAACGGGGTTTAGGGATTTGGATAGAATCGGGTGAGCGATTCAGTGATATGGGTTTAGACTCTTCTTCCTTGTATTACTGAATCGCTCTCCATTCCTTTTCATATCACTCCCTTGTCTCTTGTTTTCTCTTGTCAGAGAATCCTCACCCGATTCTTCTCTCAGCTTGAGTACACCTACTCTAGCAGTTTTACCAACAAAGAAACTTCAAAACAAGAGTCTTGCTCTTCCTTTTCCCTAACATACACGGCCATAAGATCTATCTAAAGTTCAAAATCAGAGAGATCATCCCTCTCCTTCATCCATGAAACCTCCTTAAGCGCCTAGACAATGACATTTCTGTTTTCTTCAACTTTCATGTCCAAACAAACAGATTTGTAACTCTCTCTTGGTATGCTCTGCTTCATGTGAGCAAGAACAAGTTGTCTCAGGCTCCTTGATTCACGTGTCCCAAGCAGTTGGTAACCATCAAGTTTCAGCTCAGAATCTGAGACTTTTCCCACTTAAACAACTGTGGCTGCTTTTGTTCTGAATTTACCAGATAATCGATATGATCAACCTTTGCTCTTGTGAATCAATCACCTTCACCAATGTAATCTTCCCTTGATTCCTTTGCAAACATGAACTTGTCATCACATGATATGATTCTCTCATCGGACTAAGCAAATGATTGTTTCTTTTGAGATTTTCGAAACTGGACAAGATTGCTCTTTTACTTGTTAATCGTGACAAGAAGCAAATGTTTGTTAAGTTTTCTCTGTGCTTCTGTTAAAAAATCAAAAACTTGGTAAAAATTTAACATGTAAACAACTTAAAATTTGAAAATGATGCAGGAAGGAAGATGAAAGGAGAGTGAGACTCCAGTCATTGAGAAAGCCAAAGGCAACCGTGAAGAAGAAGAAACTCCATGCGAAGATGCCTAAGAAACCTCCCACTGCTTTCTTCTATTTCTTGTAAGTATTCCGTATTCCTCTCTTTTATGACTTCTTAAGGGGAAATTTGTCTGCATTTGATCATTGCTCATTAGTCGTTAAGAAGATGAGTTTGGTGTTATGTTAAGATGATTACTTTACAAGACATGGTAAGATGGACCTGTTGTATGCATTTTCCTCTTGCCTCATACATATTGGCCCTTTTGTGTTTTGGTTCCTAAAGGGAGGATTTTCGGAAGCAGTGTCAAGAGCAGAATCCGGAAGGGGTCAAGTCCATGCGCGAGGTTGTCGAGAATATTTTCAAAGCAAACATTCAACTTTTGATTCTGTTTTTTTAAATCTGTTTTCTTCTTCCTTGTACCCAGATTGGGAAGACATGTGGAGAGAAATGGAAAACAATGACATACGAGGTAACCATTTGGGTTTCGCTCTTACCATCACCACTTGCTCTCTATCATTTTCGAGTCATAGATGAAAAGTTGTTGATGATCACACTTAAAGCAATGAATGTTATAGATTGATATGGCTTCTGATGATTGCAGTTTTCACTAGCTAGCTTTGTTGTTCCAACAATATTTTCCTCAGATCGTTTTTCCCTTGGCTGTTATGTAGGAAAAGGTAAAGTATTATGATATAGCCACTGAGAAGAGGCAAGAGTTTCACCGAACAATGACTGAATATACCAAGAGAATGGTACCTTTTTTTTCTTCTTGTTCACCTCAGTGTTCTGGTCATGTGCTTGTAGAGCATTACTTGAGCTTTTCGTCATTTTATTTATGCAGGAAGCAGGTGAAGGTGAATCGGAGACCGACTCATATTAGATTACCACATTAGAATACATTGTTTGTAAATCGGTCGGTGACATAGACAAGTTTCTGTGTTTGTTTTGTTGAGATCATTGTTTCCGAGTATTTAATAAAAGCTAACCAGTTTTCTGAGGTTTTACTGTTTCATTTCTTGTCTCGAAAAATACAGACAAATTCCAATGTGGTTAATAGAAAAAAATAGAAGCAAGTAAAGTCAATCTCATCTAGGAATCTAAATCTTCATTAGCATTAGCAGGAGCCTTCTTCTTGTAGAGAAGCATGAGAGAAGCCGAAGCCTGCATCTGTTTGGCTTGACCTTGAATCCTACCATGGACTCCTTGCAACATGTCTTTGTATTCCTTGAGTTCATCGATGGTAAGCATCTCCACGGGCTTGTTGTATCTCACATCACCACCGGATTCAAGCTTCTCCTGACCCCTCTCACCTCTTTGCTTCTCTGCTTCAATCTTTTGGTTTAGCCAATCCAGACGCTCGCTCATCTTCTTCACTTGTTTTGGTCTATTATTGACCCTCCCTTCTTCTTCGTCCCCATTACTGTCTTCATCATCATCATCACACTCCCTCATGAATCGCTCTGTGACAGCCTCGAGATTCGGTTTCCCGTACGAGTAAGGCTTGCCTCCCGGTGAAAAGACGACAATCCCTAACTCGGCGTTGCAGAGGGTGGCTAACTCGCTCGCCTTCTTGAACAAACCTGTCCTCCGTTTTGAAAAGGTGACCTGTCGTGTGTTCATGTCCTGAACCATCTCCATCTTGATCTTTCTCCGACCCATGTCGATTTGATGAACGGTGAGAAGAAGTGAGAGAGAATATATATTTGTGAAGGAGAAGATTTATTTTCTTTCTTGAAATTGTAGGTGGAGAATTTTCATTGAACCTAACAAGAGTATTATATTAGTGCAGATTTAGCAAGTTTTTTATTGGAAATCCTGAATTACCTTATTTGAAGAGTTTCTAATTGTGTATTCAAACATTCACCCATATTCAAAATTTCTTCATTCAACATTTTAAGAAATATTTTAAATTTCTTCCTAATAAAAGTTCAAACGTGGCTCTTAAAAATATAAACAAAGATGGGATTTGTTGCCTTATAAAGAGTTAGAAGTAAATTTGATTTATATTATTCGACGAAATGCGTCAATAAGAAAAACACATCAATTTTCATTCATAACTCTATCAGTGTGATTTTGAGTTCATGATATATATATATATATATATATATATATATATATATATATATATATATATATAATTGTGTCTTTTGATGATTTGCAGGGTTTTAATGATGTCGAGACAAGAGCAGATTGGTAGATTTAGCTCTTTATGTTTTGCATGTAGTTAGAAAGAATCAATGCCATAACATAAAAATGACAGAGTAGGCTTTTTCTAAGTGATAATCAATTTTTGTACGTAGATTGAAATCCAAGTTAGGGTCTGACTGGTTTAACCGCTGCGGTTGCGGTTGCGGGAGTTTGCGGCTGCGGGAGTTTGCGGAAGCGGGAGTTTGCGATTAAAAGCTGTTTGTACGACTGGTATAGCAATTCATAGCGGTTGCGTTTGCGGGATATTTTTGACTGGTTAGCCAGCGGGTGCAAGCGGTTTAACCAAAAGTTACTAAAATAAAAATAATATATAATTATTCAAAACATTTATAACCATATTAATAATTTTTTTTTTGAAATATATTTTTTGATGAATTTTTAATTTGAAAACTACCCTTTTTTTTTGGTTTTGAAAAATACACTTTTTATATGTAAAATGATTATTCCTAATTTAATAAAAACGAAATTCAAATAAGAAATATAAAATATTAATATTTGATAATAATTTTGTATCATTTTAACATCCTTTTAGTTTTTTTTTTTAAACAATTTAATAAAAATATAAGATTGTTTATATAAAGTTTAAATGGGGTGAGATTAAAGTTGTTTATGCAAAGTTTCAAAAATATTTAAATTTTTCAAAAGATAAACATTAAAAATGAAAGATATATTTCTCCACTTTTAAATTTTTAATAATTTATAAACTTTAAATATATGTAAAGTTTTAATTTATTTAAAGTTTCATTTGGTTTGAATGTGTATGAGGTTAAGTTGTTTATATAAAGATCCAAAATATTAAAATTTGTTTCAGTTTAACATATACTATATTTATTTGAAAAAAAACTTATTAGTTTATTATTTTTTTAAATTTTCGTTTATAATTTGTAATTATTTATTATTTTTTTGTTTAAATCACGTCAAAACATACTTTTTACATTTTAAAAGTGTATTTTTCAAAACAGAAAAAATTTAGGGTATTTTCGAAATTTTTAAACATAATTATGGTATTTTTCAAAAAAATATACCCTTATTCCAAATTTGGAGATATTATGTTTTTTTTTTTTTTTTTTCAAACCGCAACCGCCCGCAACCGCAAACGCTTGCGGAAAGGAGCTTTTGATTTTCAGCGATATAGAGCGGTACAGAGTGGTATAGAGCGGTTGAAAGCGGTTGTCGTGATTGTTATAAAACGCTAAGAACCGCTACGAACCGCAAACGCTGCGTTTGCGGGTGGTAGCGGGAGAACCAATCATCATCTTAATGGAAAACAAAAAGCAGTAAAATGTCTTTTGTAATCAAGTGATACCTTTTTCTTCTACAATAGAAAAAAGAAATATAACTTCATGTGTTCTAAATTTCTACATGAACGAATAGAATTGGAGAAGTAAAGCGTATGATGATGGTAGGGATTCAATAAAAGAGTATCAAGCAAGTCAAGGTCAATGGGATCGCACTTAAAAACATATCCCATCGAACACGCCTCCTGCATCTTTAATAGTCAAGTCAACCACTCACTCAGTTCGTTTTTAACACTAACTTAAGATGCCAATACTTTAATTTTAGATATGATTTAGAAAATTTAATCATCTGATTTAATATGACTCTTCTTTGTTTGCTCACTGCGCTTCCAGTGTAGTCGTCGCTCTCTCTCGATCTGTGTCATTCCCAACGATCACCAAATCGAATATCGCACACAAATACATAACCAATCCTTAACTCTTTCCAACTTGTTCTTCCTCTTTTCTTCTTCCACCCTTAAACCAAAAAAGTTTCCATCTTTGTCCTAAAAACCAATTGTCGCGACCCATACAAGTTCTTGTCTTTTTGGTGGGTTATTGACTTTATTGTCAGTATGAAAACGGTAAATCTCATTCCTTTGATCTTTCTCGCATTTGGGTTGTTGTTCTTCTCTTCTCCGGCAATTGCTTCCTTCTCGGAGTTAGGATACGCAACCACAACCGCTGTTTCCGAATCTTCACCAGAGTCAATCGGTGAATACAGAGACGAATCGGCTCCCAAAATCAGTTACGATCGGATCGACGAAGTGAAGAAGAAGTGCAAATCAGTCTTATCCTCAGCTTCCGAATTGAAACTCGACGAAATCTCCAGAGATCTCAGAAAAGCCAAGAAGAGACTCGGCTTCCGCTACGGTGACTGGAATCAAGATCCCGGCGATTCTCCGATCCTACCTTTCGATTCGATAAACTCTTCCTCGAAGCCCCTGAATCTGGTTTCCTTCAAAGTCACAGATCTAGATCTCCCACACCGGACAAAGAAATACATCGGCGTCAATGGCGTTCTGCTTCTCGCGATCACAACCTTCAACGAACTCCCAAGCTTCAGATCTTACGGGAGCCGCGAGTTCGAGCTCTGGCCGAGTCACACTCAGCTCAAAATCTCTTTCCAAGGAATCTACTTCGAGAACGATGATAAAGAGAGAGTCTTGTGTATGCTCGGTGAAACAATGTTACCTTCTCGTGAATCCGATTCATCTCCATGGAAATGGGTTAAAGATCACGAACCTCCTCCGCTTCTCCAAGACGATCAGATTCTCCTTCTTCTCCGTAACCCGAAACGCTTCACACTGACGAACAGAGTAATCAAAGGAGAGCTCAAAAGCCTAAACCAGAGCCCAAACTTCAAGTTCTTCGACAAAGTCAGTCTCTTTTCTCAGTTAGGTAAATCAGTTAGCTACGATTTCGTCTCTAACGACTTGGTATCAAAGGCTTGTGATCCATATCCTTATAAAAACGAAACCTTTATCAGTAATAGTGGTAGTGTTGATGTCTACAAAAGCAAACGGTTTTGTGATCTTCTTCAACGTGTCACTTCCAGAGCGGCGCTCACCGTTGTTCCCAACTGGAAATGCAACGGCACCGACGAATTCTGCAGCAAGTTGGGACCTTTCGCCTCCGACGGAGACATCAAGTCGACGGACGGTAGCTTCAAAGACGTCAAGCTCTACATGCAGAACGTGCACTGCCAAGAAACCGACGCGACCACCACGAGAGTCTCTGCGGTTTTCCGCGCCGTTCACCCGAGTGAGAACCTTTACATCTCGGGGATGAGAACAGGGCTGAGCAACATGACCGTTACAGCTGAAGGGATTTGGAAACCGTCGAGCGGGCAGTTATGTATGGTTGGTTGCAGGCGTGGGGAAGCAAACGCCTGCAACGCTCGCGTCTGTTTGTATATTCCGACGTCGTTTTCGATGCGGCAACGGAGCATACTCGTCGGGACTTTCTCGTCTTTGAATACAGAGGAGAGTTTGAATTTCTTCCCTTTGTCGTTTGAGAAGCTTGTGGAGCCGATGGATATGCAGAACTACTTCCAGTCTACTCTCTTGCATCCGTTTTATTCTTACTCCAAGCTGAGTGAAGCTGGAGTGATTCTTGAGAAGAATCAAGAGTTCTCTTTCGGTACCGTGATCAAGAAGTCAGTACTGCGGTTTCCGAAGCTGGAAGACTCGGATGATTACCTTTCGAGCCTCTCTCTTCTCGCTGAGGACTTGACTTTCCACACCCCTGCTTTCACCGGTAAGCGAAGAGGCTCAGGGACTAATCTCGGTATGGATGTGCTTTCTCTCGGATCTTTATTCGGACTTTTCTGGCGAACTTCGAATGCTACGACTGTGGAACAGAGCGGTCCTTACAGGACTAGAGCTCAGTACACTGAGAAGCAGCTTCTTCTGAATGTGTCAGCTCAAATCTCGCTTACAGGGGAAGCGTTTGGTAACTTCTCTGTGATCTACTTGGAAGGTCTTTACGACGAGCACGTTGGGAGGATGTATCTCGCTGGATGCAGAGACGTGAGGGCTTCTTGGAAGGTCTTGTTTGAGAGCGCTGATCTTGAGTCAGGGCTTGATTGTTTGATCGACGTTGTGGTTTCTTATCCACCTACCAAGTCACGGTGGTTAGCGGATCCGACTGCGAAAGTCTCGGTATCTAGTAGAAGACCGGACGATGATCCTCTTTATTTTAGCCCGGTTAAGCTCGAGACGACTCCGATCTTTTACCGGAGGCAGCGTGAGGACATTCTCTCTCGTGCAGGCGTTGAAGGGATCCTTAGGGTTCTCACTCTTACCTTCTCTATCGGTTGCATCACGAGCCAGGTTTTTTATGTTAGCAGTGTTACCGATTCGCTTCCTTTTGTTTCGCTTGTGATGCTTGGAGTCCAAGCTCTTGGTTATAGCTTGCCGTTGATCACCGGAGCAGAAGCTCTGTTTAAAAGGAAAGCAGCTTCAGCGGCAGCGAGTTACGAAACGCCGTCGTATGATCTACAGAGAAGTCAGTGGTTTAATGTGATTGATTACACTGTGAAGCTTCTTGTGATGGTCTGCTTTCTACTGACTCTAAGGCTTTGTCAGAAAGTGTGGAAGTCACGTGCGAGATTGGTCGCTCGAACGACGACTCAAGAACCGCGTAAAGTTCCAAGTGACCGTCGTGTGCTTCTCAGAGCTGTGATCTTGCATGCATTAGGTTACGTTCTTGCTTTGATTTTACATCCGGCAAGAACAGAGAGATTTAATGAAGCTTTTGGAGGTTATGCACCTGCTGCTGCGAATTGGTGGCAAACCGAAACAGAGGAGTATATTGGTTTGGTTCAAGATTTCTTCTTGCTGCCTCAGGTGATTGCTAACTTTATGTGGCAGATTGATTCAATGCAGCCACTGAGGAAGCTGTATTACTTGGGGATCACGCTAGTGAGGCTTTTCCCTCACGTCTACGACTACATGATCGGCTCTGTTCCTGATCCTTACTTCATTGGAGAAGAACACGAGTTTGTCAATCCGAATCTCGATTTCTTCTCCAAGTTTGGGGACGTCGCGATACCTGTTACCGCGATTCTGCTTGCGGTTGTTGTGTTTGTTCAGCAGAGATGGGACTATGACAAGCTTTCTCAAGCTTTAGCATTTGGACGGTTTAGGATTCTTCCTTCTCGTTCTGTTAAGTACGAGAGAGTTATGTCTCAACCCATAGAATCTGAAATGGTTTCTGGAGTCTCAAATCGGCGTGATGATGAAGAATGATTTTTTTTTTTTCGATTTTGTGAATTAATAGATGTCTGATTACAAACAAAGAAATGGATCATGTACTTGTGACCTTAAAAGTATATATGTTTTCTTGAGTAAGAGATTACAAACATTATTGCATGTCACATTTATTATAGAAGCTGTTCAAATACCACAATAGGCTCTGATAGGACACTCTGATTTGTAACCTGTGTCAGTACGGTAAAATCGAAGTAGACCAAGATGATCAAATGGCTTATACTTGAGAGGATGTTGATGATCAATAAGCTCTTCTGGTACTTTAAGAGTTCCATTGTTGAATGAAAACATTCCAAGTGAGTATCGGTCTGTCTCACCGCTCACTAGAACTTGGTGTCTCGGAGACCAAACCCTATCGTTGCTCCATGCCTAAAGAAAGTTATATTTAGTTCAATTTACGTTTGTCTGAACTATAATGTGTATTATAACCTAACTTTACCATCAAGGCATCGCCTGCGACGACCATGAAGAGTGAAGGTGATAATAGATTGATATTGATTCGCTCTCCTTCTCTTGTTTCCATTTCAAGACCATTGACTTGATTTTGGTGAAGTATTGTTGTGAAGCTCTTGTCTGTATGTGTGACGAATCCTAACTTAGGATTTTTGTTGTATGGCGCACGGTTTTTCAGCACACGGAGAAGGTAAGTGGTCGATTCGATGTATGGATCATAGTATTTCTCGACGTTATAGCTCTCGAAAACCATCCGAGTCACCATTTGATCAAGCTTAGCTGAAAACTCCGCATACTTGTGCACAGATTCACTAACACAAACAGCAAAGTTAAAAAGTTGAAATGTTCTAAAATGGATCAGATTCTTTTAAACATACCTGAAATGTTCGTTTCCTTGCGGCCACATCAAACCGGTGAAGCTTTTAGTTGCTTCTAACGAAGTGGCATTATCAATGCCGAGACTTTCATGAAGAGGAAGAGCTGGAATCTGACCAACGTAGCCGTTTAATGGCTTGTCGTATTTGTTCTTCATTTTGATTTGTGTCGGAAGATCAAACAACTCAACTAAAGAACCAAAGACTTCATCAAGAAGATCGAAAGGAGTCTTGTCTTGAAGATCTATCATGAAACATCCGAATTCTTCAAGTGCTTGTCTGATGTTCTTGCTTATTGATTCCCAGTTCTTGGTGCCTGGTTTTAGATCTTCTCTCGAGAAATCTAATGTGGGGATTTTACAAGACATTTTAATTTCTTTGTTATTTTTCTTCAAGATTTAGGTGGTTTTATTTTATTTTATAGATCATATGTTATGTGTTTATATAATCTTTAGACTATTGTGGATGGAATATTCTCTTAGGTGAAAAATGGATTTTGGGTGTTCATTAGAAGACAAATGTTGAAGGGATCTTACTTCTTACGTTTCAGTTATCCGTTTTAGAGTGAAAACAAAACATTACTACAGTAATACTATTACTAGTCATTGGAATCTCTGGACCACATTATATGTCGATATCACTTGTCGTCGGAACCTCTGGACCACACTATATGTTAATATTACTAGTCGGAAAACTTTGGACCACATCATATACTAGGATATCTAATTTGATATTTGGTTCGATTACGATTTGTGTTTTTCGGATTTTGAGTACTAGAAAACAATAAGCTAACGTCATTATGATATAAACCTATATTATGATGATGATTGTTTGTTTTTGAGTTTGAGAAAACAAATATTAAGATGAGAAATAATCAGTTTGCAACCTCAGTAAGCAAAGGGGAACATAGTTGAATTTGAAGGTTATGAAAGACTCATTAAAAGATGTTACTTCTCATTATCATGTAATAATTTATCGATAAATAGCAAGTTCTGGTTGACAATACACAAGAAGATCAAACCAGAAGCAAAACATCCATAATGGGATCAAATTTGAAGTCTAAGGTTCCGATTCTTGATCTCACGAGCCAACAAGACCTGAAACCAAACACATCCACGTGGCGTTCCATTTCCAAAGAAGCCTGTGAAGCCTTGGAGGAATACGGATGTTTCGTGGCGGTGTACGACGGAGTGACACAGCAACTAGACGATTCCGTCTTCGCCGCTGCTGAGGAACTGTTCGATCTACCGACGGAGACAAAGAGGAAGAACGTGAACGAGAAGCCGTACCATGGCTACGTTGGTCAAATGCCTGTAATTCCTCTTCACGAAGGTCTTGGAATTGACTATGTTACCAACAAAGAAGATGCTCAAAGATTCACTCATCTCATGTGGCCTCAAGGAAATCATCAGTTTTGGTATGTCTCGGGTTTTATTGTTTAGCAATCCGGTTTACAATTTTTTGTTTTCGTTTATCGGTTCTATAAAAACTGATATCATATTTGGTTTTGTGAAACTTGGTTTTAGTTAGAAAATTAACTTGAAATGAAAGTATATCATTGTTTAAATAAATTTTGCTCATTTGGTTACTTTGATTCAATAACACTAGAATTGGTTTCGGTTTTTTTTTTGTATATTTTATTTCATTTTTTTTTTAATAGTGTATAAATAAGTTTTGTTTTTGTTTCGATTTAATCATTTCGGTTCTGTTTTGGTTTTCCGGTTATCTAGGTCAGTTTCCCTTCCAATATTGATTATTTTCTTTCGTAGACAGTATACAGTAATACTAATAGTAGATCTGTTTTAAAGCCCTAAACTCTGTACTTTTAAAGCAAAGACCATTCTTGTTTTGCTTGTTGTAGCGAAACCGTGTACGCTTTCTCAAACGCGGTTGCAGAATTAGATAGACTAGTGGTGAGGATGATATTTGAGAACTACGGTGTCGAGAAACACTACGATTCGCACGTTGGATCAAAGACTTACCTACTAAAGTTCCTCAAGTACTTGGCTCCACCAGAGTCTACCTCAATGCCAGCTTTTCCTCAGCACACTGACAAGACCTTCTTATCCATACTTCACCAAAACGAAGTGAATGGTTTAGAGGTAAAATCAAAGGACGGTGAATGGATAACCCTTCAACTCCCACCCACGTCATTCGTCGTCATGGCTGGTGACGTCTCTATGGTACGTAACTCAAACCATAATCTGACGTAGGCCTCATCGTTTCAAACGCAAATTTCATTACGTTCACATTTGCATGCAAGAGAAGTTTTTAAAGTTTCACAATAAGCTAACAAAAACGAAATGTTCTCCTATCCGTTTGCTTTTTTGTTTTTAATAAAAGAATTTTAATTTACTCTAAATGCAAAAACTTGTGAGTTCAATTGAAAAAAAAAACAATATACAAAACAAATCATCCCAAAAAGTCATTTACTTGTAGCTTTGTTTTTATAAGAGGTTTTCATATTGAAATATGGTTAGGGTTGGAGCAACGACAGGATACGTTCTTGTGACCATAGAGTGACAATGGCAGGAGATAAGACGAGGTACACTTTAGGTCTTTTCTCGTTTGTCACGGGAATGATTTCGATCCATGAGGAGCTTGTGGACGATGAACATCCTCTTGTGTACAAGCCATTCGACAACATCGCTCTCATAAACTTCTACGCAACCAAAGAAGGCCGTGAAGCGACGTCTACTCTCAAAGCATATTGTGGTATCTAAAAAAGCATCTATACACAGTAGAATTGATGATGATCAAAACGATAGTGTTTTGCAAATCTGAATGGTAATCCATTGATCAAAGTGATATTGTATTATAAATCTGAATGTTAAATGATTGGTTCTCTGATTAGAAAGTTTCATTTTCAATAAGATAGGATAAAAAGTTCTAATCCTTTTGAATAATTTCAGCCAATCAAATCGTGTTAAAGTTGTGTAGTACAATTATTAGACAGCATTTTCTACATTCCAAAGATTAAAAAAAGAGTTTGGATATATAATCAGACCTATAATTATTATGTGATAGTATTAGTTTAAGATGGAACAATAGTGATCTTCGAAATCTTATATAAGAACACATTGAGAGAGCCTTCTAAAACAAGACAAGTTTCTAAAAAGAAGAGAAAAATCATGAGTCTTGAAGCAAGTCTTGCTCTTCAGCTCCCAGTCATAGACTTCACAAGTCCAAACCTAAAACCTGGAACTGTCGAGTGGGACTCGGTGAGAGACGATGTCCGTAAAGCTCTAGAAGAGTACGGATGTTTCGAGGCCTTGTTCGATAAAGTCCCTGTCGAACTTCGAAAGGCGGTCTTCGATGTTTCTGAGGAAGCTTTCAGGCTACCACTGGAGACCAAACAGAGAGTTGTATCGAGTAGGAAGTACAGAGGATACGTGGGTCAGATTCCAACGTTGCCTCTTTTCGAAGTCTTGGGCGTTGACTTTGCAGAAAATGAAGATAAAGTCAATGAATTTACTCATAAGCTTTGGCCCCAAGGCAATACAATTTTCAGGTTTAGGATCGTAAAACTTTGATCTTCTCTCATTTGAAACAGAACAAACCCTAAATTTGCTTATTTTGTTGCAGCGAGTCGGTCATGTCATTCACTGAGAAATTATCAGAATTGGACTTAATGACCCGGAGAATGATCATGGAGAGCTTTGGGGTCAATGAAAATTATATTGAGAAACATTTGAAGTCGACGAAGTTTCTCATGAGACTGATGAAGTACCAAGGAGTTGAAGAAACAGAGGAAGAGTTAGGCATGGAGGCTCATACAGACAGAAACATGCTCACCATACTTTGTCAGAACGATGTACAAGACGGGCTCGAAGTGAAAACTAGAGATGATAAGCATTGGATCAAAGTCAATCCTTCTCAAGCTTCTTCATACATCGTTCTTGGAGGAGCTACACTACACGTAAAGTTTAAACACAAACTTCTTTTTAGATACACAGTGGTTTTTACGATGTATTATAACGTAAGAAGAAATGTTTTCAGGTGCTTATGAATGGTCGGGTGCTTACTGGTGTTCACCGTGTGATGAGGATGGGAACGAACACAAGATTCTCAGTTGGATTATTCTCTGTTCCGAGAACAGAGGATTTGATATATCCAGTAGAGGAAATGGTTGATGCTGAGCATCCTCGTCTCTTCAAGCCTTTTGATTTTGAAGCTTACTTTCAGTTTACCACTGAGGGACCTGGAAGGAGAGATCTTGCTGCTCTCAGGGCTTACTGTGGCCTTTGAGGAAAAAGAAAACTATATGTTTTCAATAAAATTAAGAAAAAACTTGTTTGATTTGCTTGTGTTGTTTCCAACTTTCCATGTAAACTTATCTTCATCTGAATAATAAAGATAAACTTGCACTTCAAACATTATCAAGTTTGAGATCACATCTAATACTTTATGATGTTCATATGCCAGAACTAATAGTGATGCTTTTTTCATTTTCTCTTCATCTGCCAAATGGAAGAAGAAGTTTAGTTTGTGTTTCATGTTTGAGTTTGTAGTTTGCGAAAATATTTGATGGAAATGTTTTAAGAAAACTGAACTTGGTTTTCGTTCGGAAAGTATAGTAGCTATGTTTTTGTTAGATGACTCAGTTTCTGAAGCAAAACCACTTGTTTATCTGTTCTGAGTCCTATAACTCTGTTAGGTTTTAATGCAGAACCAGTCTTGTTGCTTGATCTTCACGTTGCAGAAAAACCTAAACCCTTTGATTTGCACGCTTTCTCAAACGTGGTTGCGGAACTGGATCGGCTGATTATATTGGAGAACACGACATACACTATGCATCAACACGTTAATCCTTTACAGTAGCTTCCAATATACCCTAATTCAGCGCAGAGATCCCTGCAGTATCAGGTGAACATACTCCCGGACAATGTTCCGCATTAACCTCTGATCCTGTAAAAATTTTATGTTCATAACCCAAAAACCAAGCATGCATAGTCATTAGTGTGCTACAAGCCTACAACCAACTGAGGAATTTTAATAGCATATTATAAACATGCTAAAATCTATATTAAAAATAAGAGATACCATGAGTTCTTTTTTTTGGGGGGGAAGAGAAGAACATTCGTTATGTTTTTCCAAAATTTGAAACTTCAACAGTGAATAATCGTAGATCATACCCTGATAATTATAAGCATTAATCTTATATTGCATAGTTACTAACCTGTGATAAAGAACATTGCAATGATAAAAACCATAATAACAGCGAATGAAGATCTCTGACTACCCATTACTTGTTTTTTTCTTCTTCTTAACTCTTTATGTGGTATGAGTAAATATTGTGATCGTGTTTATTCTGAGTAGTTTAAGAGATCTTAAGGTCTAATATATAGTGGACTCATATGTAGTTGTATGTTTGAGATGTCAATTGGAAAGAATCTTTGGCTTATTAGTAATTTCAAATATAGAAGATATATAAAACCAACACAATCATTTAATCAACAAATATTTGAAAATCATTAACTAGATATAATGTAAATTAAGTTATATATCGATATATATGTTAAATTTGTAAGAAATGTTGAAAGTTTTATTGGAAACAGCGATTTTTATATCAGACAGTGACAGAATAAATGTGTACCAGAATCACAAATATATCCTTACCATAAAACATATACTGTATCTGTATAGTCTAACTATCCATATTCAGAAGATTTTACAGCTTTCTTCCTCTCTAATAGAAAATGCCAAGATCAATGTGATTCAGTGCCAGTTGAGAGAATATCAAACCAACTGGCTGCAATGTTTTGCTGATCTAGAAGTGTATTTTTGAGGGATGCGGTTAAGAGTTGCTTTGAAGATTTGAGGGTTTTTTGCTCGTCACTTGCGTGCACGTAATGTATTCTATGTGTGCTACATTTACCCACTTGTCCTTTAGTAAAACTTACAAATGTAACGATACAAAAATTTAAAACTATATTACAACGTAAAATTAAAGACGAATTTATCACATTATAGTACAAAACAAAGAAAATTAGTACAAAACAAAGAAAATGTGTCTGTCAATCTGGAAATAATCGTACGTGTGACTTTATATTTTTGAAATAATCCGTCGGCTCGTATAAACCAAGCCACAAGTATTTTATTTTTGTTAAAAGGCCTCCAAGCCACAAGTATCAGTCGTCAACACGTATAGTTTGTCCTAAAAGTTTCAAAAGAAAGCTTGTTAAGCCCGAGGTCAGTGATTTTGACTAAACGGTGTCAATCTCGCGGAGAAGATTTCCCTTTTTTCAAATTAAAGATGTAACTTCGATTTTTGTTTTCCCAGTTTTGGATCTGATTGATTTTTAGGTTTTTAGGTTTTTAGGATGATGCCAAAAACGTGGGTGTGCTGGGACATCGACAGCTGTCCGGTTCCGGATGGTTACGATGCTCATCTGGTCGGTTCGAGTATTAGATCGGCGTTGAAGGAGAAAGGCTGCTATGGTCCTCTCACTATTTTTGCCCTTGGCAACCTAAAACTCTCCTTAAAACGAACCCCTCATGTTCTCCCGGCGCTCTCTTCCACTGGAATCCTTCTTAATGACGTCCACGGTTAAATCTTCTTTTCTGTTTATATTCAAGTGATGCTAATCGGCTATAATTAGAGTTTATATTCAACTGGCTGTTTTCTTCTTTTGCTGAAACAGGTTTCGATAACATTTTTGAGGAGTTTTTGCGGTGGACGAGGGGTAATCGAGGTCATGGTATTTTACTGTTCATAACCGGTAATGAGCTTGTGAAAAACATGTATCAGTGTTTTGTCAGCCTAGAAGGTCTTGGATACACTATTCTTCACGCAAACCCTCAGGCATCTCCTCCATCTTATGAAAACGGCTTTCTCTGGGAAAGCTTACTGAATGGTGTTTCAGGGGAGGTAACAAGACAGGCACTTGTAACGGCCGGTGAAGTCAGGTTTTATTGCTCACGATGTACGATATGTCCTGGTGAAAGTTATGAAGATTTTACCAAGCATCTCAAGAGTAGAGGTCATAAACTGCGTGTAAGCATCATCCTTGCCTCGTAGATATTTGTATCAAATTACATCTGATATTTGAGCACAAGTTTCGGTTTTCTCACTTTGTTCGTGTGTTATATTTTTGTCAAGCAGGAGTTGGACACGTTGCGTAGGCCTTCACCCAAGAGGAAGATGGTGAAGCCGACCTTTAATGTTTCTAATTACATTAACAAGAAACCAAAAGCAAGTTTTAATAACTCGAGTTTTTTTTTTTTTTTTAGTGAAACTTTCTTCGCATGATTTTGATTGATTTACTGACTTTGGTTGATTCTAAAACATTGAAGGAGAAGGATTGGTGGATTGAAGAAGACCGAATGAGCATCTAGAGGAGGACGTGAACTAGACGAAGATAAAGAAGAAGAGACATTGGCCCGTGGTGTGTTAGTTTGTTGTTCTTCTCTATAACATTTCATATGGTGAATTGTTTGTTCAAGTCGAACTAATACTACCTATGCTTATTTTCCATCTCGTTTCTAAAGTTGAACTTGACTAATCCTTTTTATCCACATCTTCCTTTTTGTTGATGTCCAACATCTTCATCTTCTTAAACACTAGGAAAATCGTGAACCTTTTAGGGTTATCGATTGAAATTTGTGAATTTTCTGATAATATATTGCTCAAAATAGGACCATTTGAGTAAGTCAAGGGTATTTCCGTAGTTTATGGTAACAGGTTTTTTATTTATAAATTCTGCTTTATTAATAGGATACCTTTGCAGTAAGTCAAACTAGTAGAGTACTCAAGTCTATGAAATAATGCCCAAGCAAATAAAAATAAAAACATGTCTTGTTGCAGCTGCCCGAGGAAAAACAAATCATACTGGAACCAGTGTGGTTCTCAAAGTAGATAGCTTGTGTTTGGATCAATGTTCAAGCGGGATCAAGCGCGAGCTTCTCTTGCAACCAGGCTTTGACCGCATTTTCGACATCCTCAGTGATTTCATGACCAAGCCTGCACAATGACACAACCCAAAAAAAAACTAAACAAATATGTACTAACAATTTTTTAAAAAAAATGGTAGAGTAAAGTAAATTAACAGACGATGAATCTATACCTTGGGAATTCGACCAATGAAACATCTGTAAATCCAGCCTCTCTAAGGGAGTCAACGGATTTATTTACAAAGAAGTTAGGAACTCTAGGATTGGCTGCGGCACAAAAAATAAAATCACAAAGAATTAGCACTATCTCTCGCGCGATCATTATCTAAAACGTAAAATAAACACAGAAGTTACGTAGCAACTTTTGTTACACATACATGCTCCGTGTGTTAGTAGGATTGACTGGTATGCAGTACTTCTTGCAGCCCCATATTCAGATTCTATCTTGCTTTTTATGCTACTGCAATATTGAAATAGGCTTCCATAAGTGAATTCTTTTGTTATGTAACTTTTAAGTTTAAGAAATTAAGTTAATAAAAGGTAAGTAATATATATACTCATAAGTGTAAAGCCAGCCGTTGATCCCTATTGCAAGTCGCAGAACTACTGGAAAACGTCTAAGAGCACAATTTGTTGCAAAGTGGAGAGCTACTAGTGCACCGAAGCCGACGCCTCCTACTCCTGGTATGACTAATTAACATAAGAAAAAAAAAATATAGTGATTAATTAGTTAATGATGTAATGTATATTACATAGCATGTTAGGTGTATGTTACCTGATCCTGCAGGTTCATTCGATAAAATGTCAGCAACACGCATAGCTGCGTAATCTAACCCATTTAGATGGTCTTGCATCTTATCAGTACTCATGTTGATGTTGTGCCCTGATTAAGCAAAGACGCTATATAAATTGTTTGTGATACACTGATGCTAGTAATATATTTTTTGGTGCAAATTATTCTAGTAATATATGATACTTTAGTGACAACAAATCACGTTTTAACAAGTTTTAGAACAGTTCTAATTCAATAAAGTTATACTTTTGACAATAAAGTTATATATATATAACCCAAGTGATCTCTTACAGGTAGTTATGTTCATTCCAACTCCATTTGGCCAGGTTAAAGAACCTACACCAGAGTACAGGCAAATCCATTTGATCTGTGCACAAAATATTTATTAATTACCATGTTCACCCATACAAAACAAACATTGGTCGATTAATTACCATGTTCACTTATACTTACATTTCTAAGCTGTAGACTTCTCACAAACCGAGCTGAACTGAAAACAGACAAGAAACACAATTTGAATACAATGAAAAATAAGAGTTAATTAAGAGTGTAAAGAAGAAGTTTCTACGATTGAGAAAGGAAAAAACACAGAATATTTCTTTAATTTTCATGAGACGCAAAAAGACGAAGAAGATTTGTTTATAAATTAGATAGAAGAAATTTTATTTGATCTTTGAAGACAATCAAATGAAAATGTATAACGATACGAGACAAAGCATGTTACTCATTGTCATTTTCATCCATATCATGCAGCCAGACTATAGTGAATCTATGCGCTCCTAGAGGCTCCACAGTCGTTACAAATGCATTACCTGCGAAAATTTTCAACAGAAACAATGTTATAAGTTTATAACCGAACAAAATGTTTTAGAGTAATAGCCCACAACTTTATAACAATTAGAGAAAAAATTTGAAAAAAAAAAAAAATTGAGGAGAAAAAACATGCCTAGTAACATTTGAGGAGAACATATATGATACAAGTAATTAACAGAGGTGATTAAGATCAATTGAGTAGATTTGTTTATATTCATCTAGAGCAGAGTAAAGGGAAAAGAAGGAAGAGCAATAAAACTAAAAGTTTTCAAAAAAAAAAAAAAGCAAGAAACTAACATAACATGAAAAAAAAATCAAGAAAGCATAAAACACATACTAGAAGCCGCCATGTTTTGATCGATGAGACTAGCTTAATTGTTTTCAGTACTCTCTAGACTTTGTTTTCCTATCTTTAAAGAGGAGTTTCAAAGACCCAGTGATGGTGAATATGTGGGGAGGTATGTGACTATTTATACACCCAAAAAGAGCAAAAAGCTGTGAGTCTCTCTCTCTCTCTCTCTCTCTCTCTCTCTCTCTCTCTCTCTCTCTGTGCAACTAATTTCTTTTTTTTTTCTTTCTAATTCTAAAAGATGATAAAAATGAGTAATATATAACCATACTTATTAATATTATCACAACGGAATCTATAGTGAGTTTGAACATTATATTTAAAAAGAGTCATGACTAGTTAAAATATTTAATTTCTCAACAGGTGGCTCTGGATATCAAAAAGATAGTTTTATCAAAAAATATCAAAAAGATAGAAGGTCGAAACTTCAGCGGTTTGTAACAAAACAAAAAAAAGACATGAGACTTGTGGTAGACCTATCACTTGATCCTAAAAACCAAGAAAAAAATACTGTTCTACTAGTTATATTGATTGTATGACATATATTTTAACGAAATGACCAACTTCAGATGACTAGGTGAGTCATGACTCATCAGTGGTCCAAACTTAAACGAATTTTCATCCTCTTTGTTCATTTGAGGAAACAAGTAAGTAAAACGTCTAATACTTCCAGTTACTAATTAGTCTACATTTGTTTATTTCTTAATTATCATGGAAATGAAACTTATGAAATCTACGCGTAGACAACTGTTAAATCTTAAAACCAAATAAAATAATTGTTAATTACTATATTGTTTGACATGCACCGCTACGCATGTATATATATATAATATATGATAATCTAGTTTGGCTACACGCATTTGGCAAATTGCACCAATTTTAAATCCCAGTCTAGATTTTAATTGAGGAAAATGTCGACTATGGGTATGGGGTACACCTCTAAGAGACTAAGATATTAATTTAAAGTGAGTCGTTTCAAACTACTAAAAATCACGTGTGGTCCAAACTCAAAAGTATACACATTTGAAAAATTACAAAAGCTACTAATCCCATAATTAGTAAAGATGTATATCGATGATACCACCCAAAAAAAAATGTTGACAATGAGCATAAAGCTAAGAATTCTTTAGGAAATGAGTCGTTTGAAATGACTAAGTGAGTCATGAGTGGTAACTTAAACGCAAAGCATACACGTTTGTCAGATTACTAACAAGTAACAAGGAAACCACAAAGAATTTAAGTTCTTGACTATCAGTACACGTTTAAGTATTTATAGGAAATGAGTCATTTTCAGATTACCAAGTGAGTCATGAGTGTGTGTGGTCCATGTCCTTCCAACTTTTTGTTGCGATTCTTAGAAAGGTCACATAAGAATTTCTAAAATGCGGGCTAGCTGTCGAAACCTGATTGTAAATTTCCTCAACTAGAATTCTTCCTTTGCACATTTTTGTGGTTTGTAAGAAATAAGAATTTTTGTTAAAAGAAATATCAGTTTAACATAGGGTTTTGTTTATTTCTAGACTAAAATTTTCACTATCATCCATCCCTTGCAAATTTAGTCAGCAGTTAAATTTCTCTCCCAGTACGTAAAATTGGAATGGGCTTTTTAAGACCCATTTCTAATAGGAATATATTGGTCCGCGTAAACAAACAGCAGTAGCACTAAACCTTTGGGATTTTTTCAAACTTGAAGATAACGGCTACGATGGTACTCGAGCTTTTCAAATTGCAGGATTGTGATAGATTAGCTAGGAAGGTTGAGAAGAAGGACCTTTTGTGAAAGAGACGACCTTTTAGAAGAAGAAGGAAACAGAGAGTGTCTCTAGTTTATCATATGATTAATTCTCTCTTTTTACTTATGTTTTGTGTGAAACCGCTATCCAACTATTAAGAAACTTATACAAATTTCTTCCTCTCTAATGGAAAATGCCAAGATCACTGTGATTGAGTTCTAGAATTCAGAAAGCTTTTGAATATACATCTGTTTGAAGCATGGTGGAGTTGAATTTAAGAAACAAGCTAAAAAAAAGAGAATGGCTAAGAAAGAGCTATCTATTATTTATTTCTAATACTACTACTAGCCAAAGTTAAGATAACAAAGAACTACATATTTTAAGAAAAGTAGAATTCGAGAAGGGAGACATGACTTTTTGTCACAAAAATAACTTGTTTTAGCCTCTTAAGATAAGAAACTACTGAAAAGCAGTTGTGAAGCATATAAGTTTACATGCTCTTAAAATGAATTATAAGAGACTAAAACTATAAGAGCATGTAAACTTATTTCAAAAGAAAAAACTTGTTTCAGCCTCTTACTTAAAACTATATATGTATATTTACAATATTTTGAAAATTATACATATAGTTTTATGATCCTTAAATTTCGTCCACGTGTTCCCCATCGTGTTAGGGTTTCTAATATCCTTTACTCTATTTGGTTTTTTTTTTCGCAAGTTGGAGAGTTCGTCTACAACGCCGTCAATGTATTCACCAAAAAAGAAGAGGACGAAAAAGAAGCCGACGACGCCGCAGTCAAACCTGATTCCGTCGCTTCCCTATGATTTGCTATTGAACTGCATCGCACGCACCTCAAGGTTGAACTATCTAACTCTCTCTCAAGTCTCCAAGAGCGTTCGATCTCTCCTCGCTTCACCAGAGCTTTACAAGGTCCGGTCACTCTTGGGCCACGCCGAGAGATGTCTCTATGTGTGCATAAACACAGGGTCTTATGAAGAGACCTGGTACACCCTCTGCCGGAAACCTGATTACGAAACCCTAACCAGTAGTAAAGAGAGGAAGACGTCAAGTAGGTATGGTTTGGCTACACTACTCTCAGTTCCCCATTCTCCTTGCATCGAGACATTAGGCGCATTGTATAGTTTCGAAACCGCAGGTATTGACGAAAAGTTTCACGAGGCGACTCGAAGCTATATGTGGCGTTCAGACTGGTCACACTGCGAGATAGGGAACGTTTTGTACTCTGTCACTAGGGGGGTAAATCAGAAAAGTAACAAAGCTCTCAAATGGTATGACACTGAGGAAAAAAGGTGGAGAAAATTGGAGCGTTTGGTAGGACTGCCTGATTTACCTGCTGATGCTCGTGTTAGGTTGGCTAATTATGGTGGAAAGATGGCCGTTTTGTGGGAGTTTGACCACTTAATTCCTGGGAGTTGGCCTAGCAACCTTACTAAGAGGGTTTGGTGTGCGGTGATTGAACTTGAAAGTCTCAATAGCTGTGAAATATGGGGCAAAGTTGAGTGGTTAGACAATGTGGTTACCGTCCCTTACTCGTATCAGTTGGCCAAGGTTCTTGCTGTTACTGTTTGATGATGAATATGGGCCACAAGACTTGAACTTGTGTGTCTTGTGTTGGTTTTAGTATTATCATATATATTTTTTATTCGGAATGCTTGTGTTCTTTTGTTGGTAATGTAGACAAGATTCTGTTTTCATTGATGTAACCTATTATACTAATGGTTTTTGGTCTAAAATGTCATGTAAAACAAAGTTTATATTAGAAGTTAGAACCGATAGTGATGTTTTGTCTTCAATAGCCTCTGGAATAGTTGACTTCAGGGTCATAATATTCTCAGGAAGTAAAATAATATTTTTTCTCTATCTTAAGTTAACTTTCAGATTCAGAGAGAACCTTGACATCTTGTGCAGAGAATCATCTCAAAATAGATTCCTTGAGACTGATTTAAACACATATATGAATAGATTCCTTGTTATTAACAACATTCTAATTCACTAAGCTACATTTTCTCATTCACTAGCTAAATGGGTTCTGATCAAAATACTCTTCTTCCTCTTCACCTCCCGGTCATCGATTTCTCAAACAAAAACCTGAAACCAGGAGAGCAAGAATGGGACTTAAGCAGAGCTCATGTCAAGAAAGCTCTACAAGACTACGGCTGCTTCGAGGCCTCATTCGATAAAATCCCTATCGAGCTACGAAAATCGATTTTCCAGTCCTTAGAAGAGCTTTTCGACTTACCATTACAGACCAAACTGAGAAACGTCTCCAAGAAACCATTCCATGGATACGTAGGTCAATACCCAATGGTGCCACTATACGAGAGCATAGGCATTGATGGTTCTAACGTTCCAGCCAAAGTCGACACCTTTACCAAAACCCTTTGGCCTCAAGGCAACAAAACTTTCAGGTCAGTAAAAAATATCTGTCCTTTATTTCATGTTTTGAACAGAGTCTTATGTTCTGTTACTACCAGCAAAACGATACAGTCGTTTTCAGAGAAGTTATCAGAGCTTGATGTAACTATAAGAAGAATGATCATGGAGAGCTTTGGACTCGTGAGCTACATCGATGAACATCTTCTCTCGACTAACTACCTCCTAAGAGTGATGAAATACAGAGGACCTGAAACAGAGGAAACAGAGTTGGGTCTAAACGCTCATACCGATAAAAACATTGTCACCATTCTTTACCAAAACCATGTTGAGGGTCTAGAGGTACAGACGAAAGACAAGATTTGGATCAAAGTGAAGCCGTCACAAGACTCTTTCATCGTCATGATCGGAGATTCTCTCCAGGTAAGAACAGAGTTTAAAGTTTTTAACTTTCTTCAAAACAGAGTAAATGGCTTGAGAACAAGAACAGAGTAAATGAATGTTTTTTGGATGTCCACAGGCGTTGCTGAATGGTCGTTTACACTCTCCTTATCACCGTGTGATGATGACGGGAACAGAGACGAGATACTCTCTCGGATTGTTCTCGATTCCGAAAGCAGGACATGTCGTGACTTCACCAGATGAGCTCGTGGACGAAACGCATCCTCGGATGTTTAAGCCTTTTGATCATGTCGAGTTCCTTCAATTCTACTACACAGAAGCAGGACAGAGATCTCAATCTGCTCTTAAGACGTACTGTGGAATGTGAAAGAAGAAAAAAAAAAAGCTTTCTCGTTTGTTTACTTCTCAATACTTTTTGTGTGTATTTAGCATCAATAAGAAGAATTTCACCAAAAGGTTGAAGCGAAATTACATGGGAATATTTGGATAAAAAAAAAAAAATCAAAGAGAACACATAAAAGATCATATTTTTGAGATGATCATACATTAAAATCAGACACAGCAACAGCAGCACCTGCATTTCTCGTAGCAGCAACAGCAACAAAATAATCCATACAGCCTGTAAAACCAAGATTAAAAGAATCAATCGATCATCAACTTAAACCAAGAATTGCAAAATGATAAGTTTTTTTTTGTTAAGAAGAGAGTGTTTTGGGACGGACGTTGCATATAAGCAGCCTTTTTCGTCTTGTTGTTTCTTGATATGACCAAAGTAAGTCATTTCTTGTTGTGGAGGTGCCTTCATTTTTGTTGTTGGTGTTGTGTATGTGTGTCTTGACAATAAGTTTAGGAGTTGGATTGATTGTATGCAAGTATATATATAAGCTTCAAATCTGTTACCTGCATTGATATGATCATTTAATGTTGTAGATATGCATCATTTATGTGGACCGACAAAGTAGTTAGAATCTTCAACCAAAACTAGGAATAAGCCACGGCTTCAGTTTGGTTCTAGGTGAAAACTTATAGATTTTATACATTTGTTTTTAAAAATGAGTTGCATAGGTAAGAAAAAGGCAAGTTATTAAGAATGAATAATCAAGTGGTAATATTTGACTTAAAAATGAGTTGCATAGCTTCACTGTTTTAGCCCTATTTTTCTATGAAAGTTTTACTTTCGGGCTCAGAAATAAAAAGATAGCTACAAAATACTCCATGAAGTGATAAATACAAAGTACTCCATAGATAATTTGTCGCAAAGTTATAAGTCAAATATTACCACTTGATTATTAAGAAAAAGGCAAGTTACATATCCTATTGAGCTATTAAAGAAGTATGTGAGACTAAAATAAAAACATTAAAAGTAAACCAGATTAGTATATGTGTTTTATACATCGCAGGTCATAATTTTGAAATAACTTTTTATGATATTTGATTTTAAAATTTTCATGCGCTCTCTCTTGGAATGGTCTTTTGTGTTGTATCTTCAATTTGTTGTTTTGCATGCAAAAGTTGGATCTAGAATGATAGCATTTTGTTTCAATTTTGTTGACATGATTTTTTGAATGAGTGTGTATTATAGATTCTAACACACATATCTTTCTATCTTTATGACAAGTGAATGAGCGAACAATTTGTTAAAGATTTCAGCAATGAAAGTCATGGAAGAAGGTACTCATGTTTCAGAATGGTCTCTTTCAAACTGGTGTGATTTTCGTGCGGAATTTAAACATTATAGTAATAATTAATCAAAAATATGGTGATTAACTAGTGTTTTGATTAATAAGTAATGAATCTAGCAAATAGATCACCATCACAGCATGTAGCACTTATTATTTAATGATTAGGATCCAAAATAAATTGAGCGAAAAAAACATAGTTAAAATTTGGAAGAAATGAAATTGTGAATGCTGACAAAAAAAAAGAAAAATTTACCATTATTGGTATGCAATTGCCACAAAAGAGCATTGTAGGATCATGAATTTTCAAACTGAAGTCAGATAACCAATAGTCTGATATCTTCATGCGATCATACAAAAAAGGTTTTCCATGTTATTAACACTCAAAGAACATAACAAATAAACAAAAAGTTTGTATAGGAATACAAGAAACTTACACCAAAGTTTAGTATATTTTCAGCGTTAAGATGTTCATGTACAAAATCATTCTCGTGTAAGTATTGCATCCCTTTGGCAAGCTTTTTTCGCTGCTTTGAAGATGAACTTCAGCAGGTAAGCATATTTGTACTGCATTATTCATATCATGTTTCATTTCTTCTTATCCCGTTTTTATGTCATGTTTTGTTCTGTTTCATCCCATTTCCTCATCTTCATTCCATCTTGTTCCTTCCCGTCGACATTACAGACATGTTTAGTTTTTTCTTTTAAGATATCATGTTTTATGTTTTATAATTTAATTTTGTATTTCAAAAATATTATGCGCATAGTAATTAAATAAAACCCAAACCCACCCACGATAAATAGGAGTATATATATATTAAAATCTCCTGAAGAGAAATTAAAGAAGAAACAAGTAGCACATGAAAAGTCATTTGATCTCAATCGTATTATTTTCTTTTTTTGTAAAGAAAAAAGATTTACATACATACGTAGTGTACTAAATATCTATTGAAGAAAATAAGACCTAAAGTACTTTTGATCTTCATGGAATCCAACGCGAAGACATGCAAATCCAGATTCAAAAAGCTTTTCAAGCCATTCTTCTCGCTTGTAAACTGTTGCAAAACATAACCAAATTTGTATAAAACTCAAAAGTATACATTTATTTACTCGAAATATGATATACAATACTGAAACTGAATACGAAAAAACTCGGTATACTTAATACTAACCTTGCAGTTCGCTTCCGATTTTCCACCAAACTCGTGACATCATAAACAACAAAAACATGCCCAAAGTTACAAAATACAAAAACTTATTAGCCATTGTAGATAAAGGAATGTGGAGATATGAGGAGCTATTTGGGCTTTTGCCAATCCAAGTGATAGATTTATAACTCTCAAATGTTTTGAACATTATTTTTGATCATTGACTCAAAGATTTTAAAATTGTCAATCTAATTGCTTTAGGTTCTCACATATATAAAATATCCCACGCTAAATAAGGTTGGGAAAAATCTTGTATCATTTTTTGTCTTAACGTATGCCTAACTTTGGTTCTACCAATAATCTTTAACGAAGATTAAATTTATCCATCATAGTTAGTTATTCCCAATGCTTATGTTTCTTTCAGAAGGTATGCGACAAGAAACGTGTCCATGTGTTTGCCATATTACTGGTGGAAAACTTGGTATCATATTTATTACGCCGTTACACAACACATGGTGGTGATGGTGTTGATGTTCTCATCAGATTAAATCGGATCTAAGAGCATTCCAATCGCTAGATTCCTTCTACACGTTCGAATTGATATTGAGAAATTTAACACGAAACGATTAGAAATTCTAAAGGGGGGATTAAAGTTTTGTTTTCTTGCTTGAAATAAAATAGGGGAGCTCGTATACTATAGCGTGAAAGTGGATAGAACCGGATTAATCCGAAAAATAAAAGGGAAGACCAAAAACAAAGCCAATTCTTCGAATGAGTATACGTTAGCCGTTAGGTTTCTTGCTTACCGTTTTTCTTAAGAATTAAACATTACCATAACAATTTGAAATAGTCGAGAACAAAAAAAAACAAAAAAGCATTACAATATACATGACACAAGGAAACCGATAAATTTAACCAAATACCACTTTTGTTGGATATTTTTTCAAAACTACCACTAACAAATCTATCATTTTGGTTATATCAACTAATCATTTATTTATTCATCTCTTGTAAAATTTATTTTAAAATAAATCTTTCCAAATCAATAAACTTTTATTTAACCAAGGCCTCGTGGCCCAGTGGTAAAGGGGTCACAACTGTGATTTCCGCCACTTGGGTTCGAGTCTCCTTAACCACCCGAACTACCTTAAATGGTAAGAATACGCGGACTATCATGGGTCTTGTGGGATTAGTCTTTGGGTCTAGAAAGTCTTTATTTATCTTTTAGTTAATTTTTGTTGAATAGACTAATCGTTTCCTCTTGCAAGTGGATAGAAAATGAATCATATGATATTCAACAAAAACCTATGATCTCTCATATATTTACATCTATAGTATTTCACTTTTTGTCGCTGTTATTAGCTTCACATGAGTTTCTCTTAGTTTCGTATTTTTCTTATTTTTCATCTCTGAGCTTACTTCATTCAAGAAAAAAACGTCTTTAGAAAAAAGGATGTGTCACTGAAAACAGAGGATCATGTAAAGAAAAACCAGTGGTCAATAAATTTGGAAAATAATAAAATTCAACGGTAAGACTTAAGAACAGAGCCACAGAAACTACAAACGACGGCTCTCCAAGATTTCCAGTAAATAGGAACGAAACAAAATCTCGTCGACGTCTTCATGTCGGCGATGCTCGCACAATGGCCGCACCGTGAGCAAGTTCCTGCCGCCGGTTTGCTCCGTTTCACTTTCCTCGTCTGATCCACCAAGAAACAGAAACAAACCATATTCTTCTTCTTGATTTAGATTTAGACTAATCAAGAACCAAAAATGAAAAGTCTTCTACACACGACCACGACTGAGTTTCAGAGGAGAATGTTTTTCTCTGATTTTTATTTTTTTAATGGTAGAAGCGGTGGGTTTGGAGTTTTATGGTTTGTCGAACTTTTGTCCTTATAAATAAGAAAATATAGGACGAGGAATTAACTAAAAGTTAAATAATTCGCTCGTGTGGGGGAGTTTAAAAAGTAAATGGAACTAAATATTTGAGAGATTGGGCATACATATATACACGTACAACCCTCAATAAATATCCTCTTCTTATATTAATTTAAATTTTACAAGAGATGAAATTATAAATACATGCAGAAAAAAATTCATAACAGTTATTTTCTAGTTTATGGCTAAATTATTTATTTCACTCTAACAATAATGTAGCATAAAAATACCTCGCTGTCTTCTAAAAAATTGACAACTATGAAAATTTAGTAATGAAAACAACAACTATATATTAAAAAAAGAAAGGTGCGTACTGCGTAGGTATAGAAAGTCTCCTCATATTAATGTCGCTATGATTTTTCTTAGTGGCAAAGGATTCGTGACATGAGAAAGGTGTGAAGAGCTGAGCCGTGGACAAAACAGTTGGAGGTTGAGTTTGTCATTTGTCCCTATCAGAAAAGATGAGAGGATGGGTCATGAAAAATCCTCTCCTCCTCAAATATTTTAATTCTTTCTGCTTCAGAGTTTATTGATGATTAACGAATTAATTATTTGAACTATGTTTTCTCGTTTTACCAACAATATTTGCATTTATTAGTGCGTACATGTAATATAGTAACTTAAGCAAACTTCGGTGATAAGGTATGCCAAACTTTATATTGTTGAATCGTATAAGAACATTTAATGTAGATGTTGAAAATGGTAGGACAGTTTTTTCCTTACGGCTGGACTCACGTTTTATTGTTTAGTGTGAATTAAGAGAATCATCATTTTAATTACGGAACACATTACTCTGAAACTTCTATATATATATATATATATATATATATATATATCTCTAAAGTCTAACCTAATATGTATTAATTATGCCGGGAGAAGATTTGGTTACTTTGTTGTACATTTTTTAGGTAACAACTTGTGTAATATCTAAGTTTAGGAAAAAAATGAATTTCTAAACTTCGTCCATCCCATATATTTTCAAGATCGGAGACCATTCAGCAAATAAAATCAACTGAAAAAAAAAATCTTATAGTTAATAACGATGGCTGATTGACTGCAAACCACTTGATTTTACATATTTATTGACATTTTCACACTGAATATCACTAATAGCATGTTGATCACCCTACAGTCCATCCACCATCATATATATAACATTCGTTTGTTCTTTTAATAGTCAACTTAACCTTACACGAAAATAATTTGCGCATAGGTAACACAAAAAAGAAACATTTCGGTTAAAATTCGTAAATCTAATAGAGTTAAGTTAGAGCTTGGAACTAATCATTCTTAACATTCATACCAAAAAGAAAAACTTAGAACTAATCAATCTTTTAAGAAGAATGGCAATTATAAGATTATACTTGATCAGTGCTTTTCAAAATTGGTTGGGAAAGCGATTGAACCATATCAATGGGCTGGGCCAAGCGAGATGTTACGATGGCATCGAGCCAAGACCATCTGTAACTTTCAGAGGAGAACACCACGCCGTTTTTCAACACAAAACGTCTTTATATAAAATACAAAAAACAAATCCGACCTGCCGGAATCGAACCAGCGACCTAAAGATTTGCTGTCACAGACTACAGTCTTCCGCTCTACCAACTGAGCTAAGGTCGGATGTTGAATTACCTAGCTACTTATGTGTATTTATATCTTTATAGTTATCTACGCTTATCCAATTACAGAATTTTGGTTTCGAAAATCTTTTTCTTTGGCAATAATCAGCTATATACTTGGCTTTTCTTCAAAAAACAAAAATAATAATCAGATACTTGGCTAGCATTAAATCAAAATATGTAGAAAAATACAAACTGGACCCAGCTTTTTAATTGCTATACATCTGCATCACAAATATTGTTTTAAGGATATTACATGTATTTAATATTTTATGCTTACAAAAATAATTTCAGCATTTCACAGTTAAATTTGTGAAAAGAATCTATTTGTACTTGTGGACAGTACTCTTTTCTTCGGGTTCCTCATCCGAAGAATCTTCTATTCGTAAAAATCCGAAACCTTCTCGCTCACACTTAAACTTTCCAGACTTTCTGATCTCAGCCGTTCATCTTCAAAGTCAAACATCCTCAAAACGTCAAAAAGTGAATCACAACCGTTAGATTTAATTCAGACAATGTAACACAACCGTACCGAAACACAGCTACGTGGGAGATTCTTCACGACTCACAAACCCGTATTAAGAATTTAAGATAGCTTCGGTTACATTTCGCAACTCGGAGAAACCGAGCGAGTCTGACTCTCTGAGTTACCACCGAGTCAACTCGGTTCTTCGATCCTCGCCATGGCTACCACTTCCCTCCACACCTCAATCTCTCCACGCAGCTTCCTCTCTCTCTCCAAACCATCTCTAAAACCCCACCGCTCCCAAATTTTCCTCAGAAACAAACAGAGAAACTTCGTTTCGTGCGCGTTGATCAACGACGAAATCGACGTGACTCCATTGCAGAGCCGAGATCGGACGGACCAGCAGGAAGTTGCGGCGGTGGTAATGAGCTCTGAGACGACGGAGAGAGACGGTAACGAATCAGTGGTTGTTGGATTCGGTAGCGAGGCTCGGTTATCTCTAGAAGGGTTTCCTTCTTCTTCTGCAGCTGATTTAGGAGACGAGAGGAGTAGAGAGAGCGAGGAGACGGAGAAGATGATTGATCGGAGCATAAACGCCACAATCGTTCTAGTCGCTGGTACTTACGCCATCACCAAATTGCTCACCATCGATCATGATTATTGGCATGTAAGTAATTAACTGAGAATCTAAGTGTGTTTAGAGAAAAAAACGAATTTTTCTTGATTTGAATGGAATATTGAGCTTTGTGTGGTTTGTATGCAATTTCCAGGGATGGACATTATTTGAGATTCTAAGATACGCTCCACAACATAACTGGATTGCGTACGAAGAAGCGTTAAAGAGAAACCCTGTTCTTGCAAAAATGGTGATAAGTGGAGTTGTGTATTCAGTAGGAGATTGGATAGCTCAGGTTTTGTATCTGTTGCTATGAACAATTTAAATTTTCATTTTGATGAGAGTGAGGAGTGAGGACTAACAATCTTTTTGCTCTCTCTCTCTCTCTCTCTCAACAGTGTTACGAAGGCAAGCCTCTGTTCGAAATCGACAGAGCAAGAACGTTGAGATCAGGGCTAGTGGGATTCACTCTCCATGGATCTTTATCTCATTACTACTACCAGTTCTGCGAGCAGCTTTTCCCGTTTCAAGATTGGTGGGTGGTTCCTGCGAAAGTCGCTTTTGATCAGACCGTATGGTCTGCTATATGGAACAGTATTTACTTCACGGTTCTTGGGTTTCTTCGTCTCGAATCGCCTCTAAGCATCTTCAAAGAGTTAAAAGCTACGTTCGTGCCTCTGCTCACAGTGAGAAGCTTCCCTTTCCTCTCTTTTAAGCTTCCCTTTCCTCTCTTTTCTTTATCATTGTATCTTTCAAGATTCAAGAATCGAACCAACTTTTGTTTTCTTTTGGAGTGCAGGCAGGGTGGAAGCTTTGGCCATTTGCTCATTTGATCACGTACGGTTTGGTCCCTGTAGAACAACGGCTTCTTTGGGTAGATTGCGTTGAGCTTATTTGGGTCACTATACTTTCGACGTGAGTATATCAAACTTTACTCTAGTCTTCAACCTTTCTAAATCTTTTGAAGAAAATGAAAAAAAGTCTTCCTTGTGTTGTTGATTTCAGTTACTCAAACGAGAAATCAGAAGCTAGGATCTCGGAGTCTGTCACTGAGACCTCTTCGACTTCTACTACATCCATTGATCCGTCCAAGGTACTTACAAAAAAAAAAAGCATTCACCTTTTGCATTTGATTTTACAGGAACATGATCTAACACAAATTTATGGCTTTGTTTTATAACAGGAATGAGAGAGAAGAAAGCAGAAATGGATCTTTTCAGGATTATATATTCATATTGTATATATACACAGAGTTAGCCAATAGAGTGGCTAGAGATTGATATTGTTACAGAAGAGATGAACATTTTCAATTAAATGGATGAATCTGTATGTATCAGAAAAATAACCAAAATCTGAATACACCACAGTAAACATTTTTATTTAATCCTTAATCATATTATAACTTCATAAAACAGATCAGAGAGTTCTCTTGTTAGATCTGAAAAAAGGTCTTCTTTCGAAGACATCAAACAATCCAAAACTTTTATTTACATAACAGGAAATAAAAAAGGTTTTCTTTTGTAACTTTGAGCAAAACCAGGAATCGTTTTCCAAAACAAGAAAAATCAAGCAGAAGACATATTACAGAGTCGGCTTGGAGTTGGCCGGAAGTTCCACCACCGTTGGCTCATTTGACGGTGGATAGGCGGCGTCAAGGCTCTCTTAAGTATCTCTCTGTTACCATCACTTGCTCTCCTCATTAACTTCTCTCTGCTCGGAACCATGTAACCGTGACGTAAGCAACGAGCCGAGCCAGGCCGGCCTGAACACGTGCAAGCCATCCGGGTCCTAAGACCTGACGCATGATATCTCCGGCTGGTTCGGTTCGGCTCTGTCGCAGGCATCTCTAGACCTTCTCTTGGTGGGAATCTTCTTCTTGCAATCGGCATTGTTTTCCTCTCTCTCTTTTTTTTTCTGGAGCTTTATGAGTAGAAAACCAAAACTTTCTAATTGCTTCGCATGATTTATTCATACGTAACAAATGTTTATATAATATTTATTGTTTGGGAATAATAATAACGAAAGTATGGTTGGCAATGAGAAGGAAACTTGGAAAACAATAGAAAAAAATAAAGCTTTGCGCAAACTGCATATTTTGCCAACTAGTCGTATTAGCTGTAATGAAAGGAACAAAAATGTAACAAAGCTTTTTTAACCAAAAAATGGTTGTTTTCAAAAGGGGATGGTATGGTAACTATGTTTTCGGTAAAGTTATTAGAAAGGTCTCCGAAAAAAAAAACAATTTATGGTGGCAAAAACTGATATTATTTGCATATGTCATATAAGATCATACTGGATACAGAATGGGCTTCAGACAACCTGGATCTTCAAGGTGTGGTTGTGTGACACACCTGTATTTTATTTATTTCCTTATATGCTCCTTTTTTGGATAGCTATTTTTTTTTATTTTTCTTAAATAAATAAACACATAAAATGTTAGTTGTATTATAATTTTTAAGTTAAAAACTTGCAATAATCCTTGGCATTGGGAGGTTATTTGGTAAAGAACATATGAAATTTCATAATCATGTACATAATATTATAAATTAATGATGGAAAAAAATGATGAATTAATGTGGTCCTGATAATTTTTAAAAAAGAAAAAGTTGAACTAATTTACAAGTTTAACACACAAAAATAAATATCTAGTTTATAATATTATTCACTAAACATTAATAAAAGTTGTTTAGTACTTCTTGTCTATGAGGCAGTATGAGGAATGTAATTAAAAGCATTTCTAATTTATTGGTTTATTAAAGATAAGGGTACCTTTTTGGGATGTTGAATAATGAAGCTTATGGTCCTTGTTGGCCATTTCTTTCTAGTTCTGCAATATATCTATCGTTCTTTTTCAATTTGTTTAGAAATTGCTAGTTTGTTGCCCAAAACCGGAATCTGCTTTCTTTACAGAAATGTGTTTGGCCAAATTACTTTTTAACCTCGACTAATATATAGGAGATGATGAATGTATTATCGTTATCTTTTTATAGTATAATTTAATTAATATTACATAGTATTATGAACAATGTTTGGGATTAAACTTTGCAAGAACGCCACGGCAACATCCAGTGTCTAAAACCACTGTTAAAGTTTTCTATCAGAAATAATATGGGATTAGTCCTAATTGTTTTAACATAAATAAAAACAATAGTTAGATCGGAAAATATAATACTGACAAAATGTAAAACAGGAATTGAATAGTTAGTGCATACGAGGATTTATTTGGTAAGAGCCAGACAGAAAAAGAAGATGATACATCGCAATCACTGATCGATGGCCCCTGAACATTTTTGTTTCTGGGAACATTTTTGTTTTTTATTAGTTTGTTTATATTATATCATGCATTCACACGTACATCATACTATATGTCTATATCATATACATTTTCCTTATGAATTATTGAAATTTCTTATCTACAAACGCAGTTTGATGTTTATCACATTATCCAGCAGGTTCAAGATGTTTCGAAAGTCGATTGGTTTGCAATATCTTTATATATCTGTATGTGTGTGTTATGTAGAAAATAATAATATGATTATTTTACTTTGATTATCTTCATATACAGAAAATTTGAAAACAAACCAAATTTGAGAATAATCCCAAACTTGTTTTGTTCATAATGATTTGGTGGCCAGTCATATAGATTTGTTATTAAATGTGAATTATATTCGACGGTCTATATTATATCGTTTGAGATTTCAAGAGTCACACAACTATATGTTATTTAAAAGGAGAAAAAAAACATTAGCAATATTCCAACATCAATGCTTATATAATGCAAAAGCTATCGCAAACAATATCTTAATTTTGGTTGTACTTGTTTTATCAATACATAAATATTTGTCACGAACCCGAAATGAATTCGCATGGTGTCCAAATTTTATATGGGATCGCAAGTTCAAACATCTACTGGAGAATCGAGATATGTGAGACTGTTTAAACGCTAAAGCAGATATCCATGACATGCATAATGCATTCGATTTCAAGTTATGAATAAAAAATATTAATGTGTGAGTGTTAATATTCTGCAGAGTGCGAAATATATGACTCTCTTTTCCGACAAAGCCATAAAAAACATCGTATGTTTCTTAAAATTTAAGGTCTTTTAAGGTCCATCTCATCTTTAGGTGTTTCTAAGGTAATTCAAATATATCTACTAATTAAATTATGTTTTTGGTAACAAAAAAAGGCAGCCAAATATGCGAATAATGAAGCTATAAAGCTGAAAATACATAGCTGAATCAATTACACATTACTTTCCTGTTAATAATAATATGTTCACTGTATATGCATCAATTTATACAAATCTACAAACATCTAAGTATACTCAACTATACATTTAGTGAATAATAATACTACTGTAAAAAAAAAACCACAAATATTTAACCCTATTGTTGTAATAATTTCTATATGTTGCCTCACCTCTCCAAGTCTCTTTAATCTCCTTTCTAACCCTATACAAACCGTAATTAATTCCCCAAATTACTCAAACCGTATACACAAATCTTCAAATATGTAAACCGAAATCATCTAAATTCGATCCGACCGGGAAATTTAGGAGTACCAATTCAAACCGGGTAATTGGTACGACGTCCTGATTAATCCTTCGCCCAAAATCCCACTTTGCTGCTGCATTAATGACGGCGCCGCCACTGAAGAGACGATATTCGAAGAATCTCCAACGCCTCCATTAAACCTCTTAGCTGGATCTTGATGATCCTCTTCCCAAAACGTCGTCGGAACACCCCGTTTTAGATTCGCCGCCATCATCGTCATCGTCTGCTCCGGCTTCGATCCAGACGACGATGCAAAATTCGAGTAATTTGCACCGCCGCCGCCACCACCGTCGTATATAGCCGTCGGATCGTTGTTATCGGAGAAAATCGCCGGGAATAAATTCATCCTGGAGACATTGTGACGAGGAAGCAACGGAGGGATTTGACGGAAGAGATCATCATCGACCATCATGTCATGATGAAAATGATGATGATCCTTATCGTTATCTAGATGATGATGATGCTGATGTCGAGAGCTACTGTTTTTCTTGTAGATTCGACACAACACCCAATCATCAAGCTACATAATTTAAATATAAAATCAAAAATTAGCCAATCAAAATTATCAAAATGATATCAATCCCAAATAAAATGTTATTCTAAATTTTTTGAATTTTTTGAATTTGAATTTAAAATATTAAATTAATATACCCGGAGGGAGTTTTTCTTGTTGCCGAAGTCACATCGATGACTTGGTTTATTATCGGTTAATCGATATTCGTGCATAATCCAATCCGATTTCACTCCTTTTGGTGGTTTACCACTGTAGAACACCAGAGCTTTTTTAACTCCGACCTTTTTATTACTGCCGCCGATTGAAATCACCGGTTTATCTGTACCCGTCGCTTTCCAATAACCGGAAGTCGCAGCTCGATTCGGTCTAGCTCCGTTTGGATATTTCCGATCTCGTGGACTGAAAAAATACCATTCCTGTTCTCCAAACAAAGCTTTCGCTGCAAAATTTTCAATACAAACAAAGAAGAATCAGAGAAAAGTTACAGATCCGAACCGATCGAATTTATCGGTTTAAATTAAATACCGGGAAGTTCCCATGGATCGAATTTGTAGAGATCGACGTCGGCGATGATGGCGACGGGTAGAGGAGCAGAGTCGGCTTTGCGTTTGAGGTAGTGAATTACGAGTTCTTCGTCGGTTGGATGAAATCGGAATCCAGGAGGAAGGTTAGGCTGCGGCGGAGGACAGCCGGAAGAATCTGTACTCTCCATCGATTACGGTGAGGGAATATATTCTGAAAAAGAAAAAAAAAATGATGATCGGAGAGATTTTTTGTTTTTTTTTTGGTTTGGCACTTGAGAGAGTCGGCGTAAGCGTTCTTCTGTTTTTAAATGGACGCATAAAACGCCAAAATGAATTGGTATTTTTTATCCTCTGGAATCTTTTCTACGTACACCATCGTATCCACACGTATATATTTCACAAATGAATATCGTAAAAAAAAAAAGAATATAATAAGAATGTCAAAACCATAAATATTTAATAAGGTTTTAGGTTACACATCTAATAAGATTTCTATTTATAGCTGTCGATGATCATAGCTTTATTTATTACCCTAGCAATCTAAATCAATATAGTTTGTTACATTTTAACCTATTGTAGAGGTCTATTACGTTTTTTAGGTGTGCTATAATTTTATGTAGATTAACAACATAAAAGGACAAAAATATGAATATGAAGAAATTAATGTTTTATCATCTTGTTATAAATGTATCATCAGTAAATGGTTGTGAAGTTATACATTTTTGTGATGATTTCATTTTTATTGTTATCACAAAAATAATATTATTTCTAAGTAAAAAAACTAAAATAATTATTAGAAACTGTTAATGTGTGTATGTAGATGCCTTTATCAAAGAAAAAATGTATGTGTATGTGTTGGTTTTTTGACCCAAAAATATCTTGGTGTAGGTAGAGATTCCTATCACTGAGTTCAAATTAAATTATGGTGGTATCATATCTTTGTGAATCATGAGAGCGTATATGTAATCTGCTTTTATCCTTTTCCCCTAATTAATGTTTATCTAATGTAGTTAGAACTTAGAACTCGTAGTTTATCTTACATTTTCTATACAAATCATTTCATAGTTCACATTTATTTTGTAAGTTTGTATAGCCATCAAGATACACTGCATTGTTGATCTCATATCTTTACTTATTTTCAACTAGTTGTATAAAATTGTGATACCTTTTAAAATTAGCAGTATACATTTGCAATTAATAATAATACATGATTCCCCATAATTCAGCCGAGTTTAGTGTGGTTTGGTTTGGAGTTTGGACTAAAAGGAGATGAAGAGTGGCGACATTTCGACACATATACAAAGTCTGACTAATCATGTCGAATCTGTTTAATTACCATACTAACCATAGAAAAGGAGGGTAAATAAGAGATATCGGAGTAGATAATGACTTTCTTAAGCATGCATTATCGTTTGTTGTTCATATAGGCTCGAAGTGTGGCTCGACACGAGCGACCATGACTTGGAAATTGAGATAAATAGCGATAGCGACTGTTTTCATCAGATAATGCATTAATAGTTTAGTTCTTTTAATAAAAAATACTTCTTACGTAATAATGTAATATAAACTTTATTAGTTTTAAATTCTTTATCAATACTTTATTAGTTTTACTTTTACATGAAACTTATAATTATGGTGTTAAGTGGTATTATTGTTCATTATGTTTTTATTTATAAAATAACTAAAAATGATATAAACAGCTGTGAATCGCATAATAGGTTTCCATTTTCCACTATTATGTGTATTTTTCCAATGAAAGGTCTTCTAATTTTATTTTTAAAAATAATTGTGTGGACACAAATCCAGGTGCATGCTTCCTATAGTAACCTTGTGATTCTGAGTAAAAGTCAAGTCGACACGTGGCAAACTGTGTAAATGGGGCCCGCAAAAAATGCCACACAAGGAAACAAATATGGATGATGTGGAAATGGATGGGTGTGTGGAATTTCAAAATAGCTTTTTACGTTTCAGATGTCATCTCACGCTTTTGTTATTATGAGTTTTTGACCACTTGGAGATTTACAAAAGAAGAATATATCAAGTACCCTTAGCAAAATTTACTACTGCATAATTGATTTTTGAATTTTTTTTTGCCTCAACATTTTAGTAAAGATTAACAACTTTGAATTAATAGTATTTTTCTATTATTTATAAAATAATTTAGTTTTTAACAAATGATTTTTGAAAGCTGATTTTTTACCTGATGCGTGTTTTTAACAAATCATCTAAAAAAAAACTTCTTTACAAACATATAATTAGTAATAGTACGTAACATATCATTTTGGTACATTTAAGTTACGAATAACTATAGAATATGCGATCGTAGTAGTGCATGATCGTATTAGTTATTCGCCGTCAAAACTAAACTTTATTTATTATCACAAATTTTGATCTGATCTAGTCCACGTTAAAGAAAATATATATTTATGCAAAAGATAAACTGACGAAGAAAGAAATACAGTTTTGTTTCTAAAGTTAAAAAAAAAAAAAAATCAGCAAATATTAGTCGGTTTTGTCTACCGTCAGCTTGACAGCTTTCGAAATGTGAGATCGTTAGCAAATTAATTTTAGATAAAGTAATGATGGTGCTTATGAAATGTGGATCCCGTTATTTGATTTTAAGATTCAAGAACTTGTATAAAAGGGAATCTCACCAGCATATATGAGAAAATGCACTCATTTTACTTTTTTTTTTTGATAAAGAATGCACTCATTTTACTTACCACACTCTAATTGTATTGCTGATCATGTACATGACAAATAACACCAGAATAAAACTTGAGTTGAGCTCACCTCCTTCTTTCTTCGTCAACATCATTTATAAAAAAACCTAAAAAGTTTAAAAACTCAAACGGATGGAACAACGTCTACATATAAATTTCGTAAAAAATAGATAAGTTCCATGTGCCAATTTATTCTTACTATTTACAAGAATAAGAACAAAATATGATTAATAAAGATTCTATAGCAAAACTATATTAATCATATTTAAAACTAACAATGTTGTAAGTATTTTGGATTATTTATGATGGATATACACTTTTTATTATTTGCCAAAACGATAGATGAGAAAACTGTATATAATTATAGTTTGTATCTAGTAACTGTGTTATAGTATGAATTTCACACATATATTTCAGAAATAATATATTGCCTTTTCCATGTCCTTCTACTTTATATAATATCACACTATTTTCAAAATCAACTGATAATATGACTATAATAATAAACAAGATGAAATGAGATTCAAAATATTTGTTCTGTATAGTTACAATGGTATAAAACAAAATAAAATACTGATGATAACATCAACGAGTTTCCTTTCATGCAAGCTAGCTTCATCTGGGTGTTAAATTTGTCCAAAAAAACATAATAATTTACCTCCCTATTCTAAATGACTAAATGCGTGGTTTTTCTTTTACCAGCACGGTGATAGCATAGATGCAAATTCCTAGAGAGAGAGAGAGTGAGAGAGAGAGAAAAGAACATACAAACATACATCTACACAGTAACACATACATGCTATACAGACGGAAATGGCGAAGTAGTTCAATATATATAAATTTGTAATGGTAACCTAACCCTTTTTTTTTGTAACCTAACTTCAAACTTTATAATATGATATTGGTAATCCTGGCGAGATTACCCATAATAATTAACTTTTGCAATAAAAGGCAACCAAGTGATCAGTGCTCTAATCGGAGAATGTCGTCAAGTTTAACTTTTCGTACCTTTGTTGCTTTGAACATGTGATGCTTTACTTTTCTTCTATAATTAGAAAGTCACCAGCTATGTATCACAGAAACGGTGTTATATCTGTACATGACTATATCTCTGTAGCCTATATGTAACCAAAAACGTCGTGGATGATTAGAAAACGTTAAATATTTCCTGTCAATAATTCACAAAATATATATAGTGTTATTGTATTTATGTTTGCGTATTATAGCTTTAATTTTCGAAATATTCCAAGTGGAGCTCTTTTTATGATTCATTTTACTTTGAAAACTCATTTGCTAATTTCATGCAGGTAGTACTGTATTAGCCAAAGCTTTTTTATCCATTCACTATTATTTCTGATATGTACTAATGTATAGCACAATAAGGTCCTCTAATATTTGCTCTTTAACGAAAAAAAGAGTTCCTGTAGTATCGTGGAAATTATAGAAGAATTGAAGTTTTTTTTTACAAAAAGCGAATTTCAAAATCTACACGTACATCGTGACGTCACGCGTGTGTATGAAGCAGAGCTACGTAGGGATATTTATGTCCAGAATTAATTGAATTAAATATTTGCCGTATAAAAGAATCGATTGATTATTGTAACCGGTAAGACTTTTTTACTAATCCTGTCTTGTTTTTAAGCTTCTTTAGGAAAGTGATTAAGGACCGCTCCTTAATTGTATGCTTTGTCAGATATGATTATTGAGAGCTTCTCGAACCACCCGAAGGTCACGCATGTGCAAATTGCAATACCGCAAATATCAAATAAATAAAAATATTCTCGGTTAAATGTATTTTGATTGTAATCACAAATGTCATTGTTATGATTTAGATATTGCGTATGCTTTGAAGTCTAGCCACAAACGATTAATAGTTACAAATCTCTCGTATACTAAAATTAACAGAAGCCAAAACCTTTTTTTATTTTATTTTTGCATTTAGCGAAAACTATATTTGTGTGTGTACGTATTGTTATATTCCTCAAATATTTGAATCTGGGACTAAGTATAAATACAAACTAAAAATGTCCCAGATTCGTAATTTGATTTGTTAAAATTGAATTCTGATTTACATCTTAAAGTCTAGATAAAATACGTATGTAATCTGTTTCTTTTGGCGGAGATATGTTTGAATTGTAACTAAACACATTACATACACATTTATTTTGTTAAATAGTTCATACATCTTTTAAATCTCTACGTATAGTTAAATGATTTTATTTTTAAAAGAATGCAAAACAACAATTAAATACATCCTGTTTCTAAAAAGTGATATTCTTGGGCTCAAATAATAAAAAGTGATATAACAAATAGAAGGAAATGTTAACTGGATGATTCCTGCTTTTGGGCCATGGGCCAAGCAATATGCTGTATAGAACAGCAGAATTTATTGAAAATTTAACGTTACATCGTGTGCGTAAATTTTGATAATGCTGAAGTTGTAGATGGAAAAGAAATTTACAAAAAGAAAAAATTGGTGGGTTTGTTTTTATGTTGTATACGTGTCAACAGGATAGTTAAGTAGTGATTTAATTGAAAAGATAATGCATTTGCTTTTGGTAAATACTACATGCAAACGATATTAACCAAAAAGGGCTACATGCAAACGCAAAGCCAATCAATAAACATGTGTTTGAAACTTGTACGGCAATTACTGTTTATTTGTAGTTGTTGTTAAGCTGGTCAGACAAGCAAGCTCACATTGATACACACGTGCGTAATTTCAGCTAACCCACCGGTTCCATTCTCATCTATTGACTTCCCTTTTCTCTCTACCTCAATCGTACTCAATATGTGGTGGAGCTTTAGCCACAAACCAAATGAGCTACACGATCAGGCATATATTGTTGCAAATATGGATTATGATAATCAATATATTACATCCTTATAAAAAAAATGAAATCATTTTCGTTATTGAACTTGAATTTACATCTAACGTTCAACAATATTCATATTCACAAAATATCTACATATATATAAAGGTTACAAAAGCTAACTGTCAAATTTTCTAGGCATGACAGATTACAAATCTACACATCTAAAAATCTACGAGTCTGCTTCTAAAACCCAAAATGCCAAAACAATTGGAATCCAAATACATAAAATTCGCCACATGACAAAAATTAAAAGATTAAAATGTCCTCTTCGTTTTTTTTTATTGTGTCAGCATTGCATCATTACATAAACCCGAACCCACCAACTTGCCCCGAATACCCAAACCCGACCGAGTCAACACCATAACCCTTTTGAGCCAAGTCATCCATGTTGTTAAATTCCTCCTCTGTCTTGAGGTAACCACAATTGTACTCGAGATTAGGAACAACATGACTCAGTCCGAGGTCTGGACCCGAATTATGCTCCGCACTACCTGCAAAATTACCCCAATCGTAGCTCGTTGTCTCCGCTAAACCATTGAAACCGGTTTTCTCTACCGTCAAGTCCGGTCTAAGCGACGAGAACCGGTTTGGATTAGAAAACTGGAAATTTCTGTTGTCGATCTCATGGTGTAATGAATCAAGAACGTCTTCAAAGTGTGAAGAAGACGACGTCGTTGACGAAGTACCGTTGTTGCTGAGTTCTCTAGTACTCGTGATTACGTTTTCGTAAACTTGTTTTTGTGCGCTTGATTGCTTCTTGTATATTCGACATAGAACCCAATCATCTAACTGAAAAAAAAAAATTATCAATTAGGGATAAAATATATTTTAAAAATAAACAGAAATAAACAAACAGGGGTACGGTGAATCTTTGAGATTAATAAATAGACTATATTTTTTAGATTTTGCGAATGGAAATTTAGTTTAAGAAGTTAAGGTTAGTTTTTAATTAGGGTTTGGGTTTTATAATTAACTTGCATGCAGTTTAGGTTAGACACGTTTGTTGAGTTTAGAAAAAAGTCTACACCATTTGTCAGTTTTGATATAAATTTTAGATTACTCTCCGCATTAATTACATCATCGCGTTATCGAAGAAGAAACATAACCTAAGATATATAGTAAAAGTAGTTTTAGATAATTTTCATTTTATTTGTTACCTTGGAGCTTCCGTCTCTACGGGATGGTTCGATGAGACGATACTCGTGCATGATCCAATTGGTTTTAGTGCCTTTAGGAGCTTTTCCGATATAGAAGACCAAAGCTTTTTTGATACCGACTCTTTTGCCTTCCGTCGAGATGATTTTATCCGTACCGGTAGCCTTCCAATAACCCGACCCAGCAACCCGGTTTGGCCTTGACCCATTTGGATACTTTCTATCTCTAGGACTAAAAAAATACCACTCTTTTTCTCCGAATAGTGCTTTATCTGTAAACCACACCAACAAATTATGAATACATAGAAACAAAACAGTTGTGTGTATTCATAAAATTTAGAAAGTAAAACGGTTTGGCTTTGCTTACTTGGTAAAACCCATGGATCGAATTTGTAAAGATCGATTTCAGCGATAAGTTGAAGAGAGAAATCATGACCGGCTGCTTTTCTGCATAGATATTGAACCATAAGCTCTTCGTCGGTCGGGAAAAACCGGAAACCCGGTGGTAAGCTCAATTGGGCTAACGGATCGGTTTCTTGGATACCCATTTTTCTTCTCTTCTCTCTGATACAATCTCCTCTGTTTTCTTTCAACTTCTCTCTCAGATTATTATCGCAACAATCTGTGTTTTCTTTCTAAATTTTTACAATGAGGTTTGGGTCTCGTGTTACTTATATATACCATATATGTGTATAGTGGTATAGGTGAATCCACCGCCGCTAATTAACGTGTGTACTGAATCTGGGACCCACTTTTGTGTTTATCTCTAAACACTTTGAATTCTGACACGTGTGTCAGTTAGATCGTCGTGATTTATGCAAGTCCATTTGGTTCATTGAACCTACATGAGCAGATTTGGCTCTTCCTCGTACTATTTTTTATGATTTTTGTTAAATTAATATTATTATTTTATTTATTAATTTGTGTTACCTATATATAGAAGTATTTTAATAGACAAATAAGATGTTGGTTTTTGGTTTGAGCCTTGATGAGAGTATAATGTATTTGGCGCGCTAATCAAACGCGAAAGGAAGATTCATTTAAGCGGGAAATAATTGAAGGTTTTTTTTTTTTGTATTTGGGATTAAAAAACCGTAGTTATCAATATATTAATTTGCTGCATGCCTATACCAATTAGTTGGATGTTTTAAATCATAGAATATAGTTGGGTTCACTGATTTAACAAAAAATCTAAACGCTTAGATGGTTTTGATCGTCTATATGAATATCTAGACATTTAAACGACCGATTTTTAGAAGTTGAACAACAATATTTATCGAATATTGAAGAGTGAAATATGTGAACTAGTAAAGGAGAAGAGAGATATTTAGTTCACGTTTTTTTTGTTGACGCGTACTTTTGAAATGTATACATGCCAAATGTTCGATAAAGAAAACAAAAAGGAGGACACGTGTAAATGATTTGGTGGGTGAGATAAAGAACTTGACAAAAAAAAATGAAAAAAGCGAAGTTGAGATGACAGAGGAACTGTTCAATGAATCTTAGGTAACAACATGGAAAGCGTTTTCCATACGGACAGAACTACAACGTGACGACACGTGTCCACGTGTCTATGGCAGAAGTTAGGCACGATTATTGTCATTTGTCAAAAAGACGTTATAACGATAGACGAAAATAAAAACACGAGTTGATGTTGACTAAGGATTTTTTTTTTTTGATTTTTTTGATTGATTTTTTAGTAACACTAACATCAATATTCACTGTAGTTACTATTAAACCTTCGTTGTTTCAATATACTGATCCGTATAATTTATTAGATAGAAACTGTAAATCTGTAATGGTCGCAACTTAATTGTTTTTTAACATTTTTTTTTGTAGATAAAAGTTATTTTTCTTATTTAGAAAGTGGATGTTAAGAAAAACATATCGACATTGTTCTCGGAATATTCTGTTACGATTTTGTAATAAGCAGCCTACAATTGACTAATTGAGGATGTTGATAACAACTAAACTGTGTGGTTGATCAACAAAGCCAAGTTACAAACTTACAATGAAAAAAAAAGTGAAACCTCAAAGATATCTTCCATAGTTCCACTCAATAGTTTTCGTGCTAACGACCATTTGATGCTACTTTTCTTATTTTGTTTTTATCGAAATCTCACTTTGATTAATGATTTATCAAATGATAACTAATGGAGCTAGTCAAAGATTGGATTTTGCTTTATTTATAACATTTTCGTTATCATCTGGATTTTGTCGTTTTTTTAATGTGGAGAATATATTGTGGGACTCCAGAAAAACAAAAAAGATTAAAAAATTATATTCGGTATGGTTGAATCGAAGCTCGATATGATGTTATAGTCGATCTCAAGTGACCCAAGTGATTCGATGACGACGTTTATCATGCATGACACAGAACTAGAAGTAGGCTGTTACTTTATACTATACTAACAGCTTCTATTTAAAGGTGCACACTTCGCTTTGCTTCGACTGATAAAATTCGAGTCTGGTTAGGTTTGATCCGGTTTCTTTCACTTCACTTTGCTTTAGAAACGTATTAGATATGAAATTTGATGGGCCTTTTGGCTAAAATTTATATTAGGCCCATTTAAATAATTGTTTTAGATATATGAGTTTGGACTGAACACAATTATACGTTTGTCAACCATCACAAAACAAGCCAATGTTCAGCGTCACCTTTAATCATATACAACTGAGTGAATTGACCCACACTATCAAATTAAAACATGAGTTATCAACATCAACGGCATTAGAATAAACCACCAATTATATATGGATTTCACATAAATTTGGAGATGAAATATAAGCTTTTTGTTTTGTTTTTGTGTGTGTGCAAAAGAAAAGAAATATAAGTAAAGCAAGAGTTTTATGGAAATATGATGATGTTGAAAAAGATCAAACAATTTTCGGTGTATAAGCCTAAACAAAAATTTCGGTATTAAAAAGAGAACAAGTTTTATTTTATTTGTTGAACTTACAAATTAATCAATATCTTGACACATACGATTTAAAAAAAACTACAAATAATAAAGGAGATTAGAAATCCTCCTAAAAATGGAAAACTTGTAGCATCTTCTGTTAACTATTTATAAGTTGGGATATATATGCATGCAGGAAATCAATTAAATAACGAATCTTCGGACTAGAGAAAAAACATCAATGTTGAGAAAAGCATATAATTTGGAGTTGATTAAAGCTCTTCCAATGCCTAAACAATTCCATCTTCAGCCTCTAACTCCACCAATCTCTCAACAATAACATCCGATGCAATTGTAACAACCTCCGATAAGTTCCTAAAATCCACACAGAGAAAAATGGTGAGTTAAACTAGAATAGGAAAATAGAAAAAATAAATGTTTTTTTCTAGTAGAAACTTAAAATTACCCTTTGCATGAATCGAACGTGAGTCCAACGGTATCTTTAGCTTCTTGAAGAGCCCATGTAAATCGTTGGATCTCATCCTCAGAACATCTCGTCCTATCGATCATAACATCGAGTTCTGAAGGTTTGATGTTCCAAAATATTGGTATGACCCTTTTCTTGGACTCCATTATAAGAGCAAGCTCGTACAAACAGCAATAAGAGTTGCAGTAGTTGGGAGAAAAAACGGCTACAGCGACTTTCGAAGTAAGAATCCCGCGGTTGATATGATCGAAAAGCTTATCTCCGGGTTTCATGTTCTTGCAGTCCAAGAATGGACGTACGTTACGGGCTTTGAGGTTGTCATAGAGCAAAATTGCTATGTTTCTCTTTGTGTCGGCTCCTCTATGGTTGATGAACACGTCGTTTGAAGCTTTGGGTTTCATTGGTGCTGAGGAAGAGAGAAGATCGAGGAACATTTTGTTGTTCAGCTGAACAGACTTTGATTGTTTCATGAAGTCAAAAACCCTAGAGATCATGATTTTTCTTTTGGTGATGAATTTAGATAGGATTGATGGGATGATTTAATGCTTTATGATATGTGTGTATGAGTAACTATGTAGGTATGTATTTATTGTATATATATAAGGTTTGAAGTATAACTGTCGTGATTTTATGGGCTTGAATCGGAGAAGAAGACAAGAAGAGAAGTGGTGGATTTTGAACAAAGCATAAGAGGAATGTTTAATAGACGTTTTCCGCGTCAAGAAAAATACTTCTCAATATTTTTTTTGTTAATTTAATTATTTTATATCACATAGTTTCTCTCTAGCTACTATAATTAGTTTTGACAGGAAATATATAATTAAGAATGGAATGCACTACTAAATAATTTTTCCAATGTGCGAATATGTATCCTCATCATAAATATGTACAAAGTTTATGTTATAAGACCCAATAATCAACAAGATTTCTTCATATATATAAATTAGTTAAAATTTGTAGTTAAATAGTTTAATCAGTCATTGAGATTATTAAGGTATTGTAAGTTATAAGAAGAATGAAGAATAAGAAAGGTATGAGTAAATATTGTGGTCATATTGAAACATGTTTGACCATTTCCCGTCAAAGGAGCTAACCGATGTACTTGAATTTTTCTTTCCTCTTCTACGAGTTAAAAAGAGTAAAAGACATACTTTTTTCTTTTGTTTTTCGTTGTCTCTATATACATCAAACAGTGTAACACAACATGGCTACTTTTAGACAGTGTGAGACTCCAGCCAAATATGGCTACATCAAAACAAATGGCTTTATTTAGTGAGAAGCAACAAATCCGAGAGCTCTAATCTCTCCAGCCGAGTCAATGTTTTCAATCGCATTTAATAAAAAATCATTGATGTAGTTAGCTCGATCAAATTTCGGTGCAACAAATTTTTTGATTTAGAGAGTGTAGACTAGGTCACGGTTTTACTTGTTTATGACCGAGAACAACATCATCTATTCTGTTAGTTTAAAAAGTTTCCTAATATTGTAATAATTATCAATAAGGTAAAATGCAATAGTTAGTTTTCTTATGCAACCTAGTAAGGAAAATTAACCTAAATAACTTAGAATTTAACAATTAACTAGAAGAGTATACACACATGAGGAGAATATTAAATTATACTATTTTACATGACTTAATATGTACATGAATTAACTCTTCCAAACTGGACTACAAATTCAAGTGCCTTTGATAATATACTGTAGCTACATAAACTTTATGTTCTCTTTTGATTACAATAATTTAGCCGACAAAAGTGGCATACTTTCCACAAATACGCTGAGAGAATCAAGTCACTATGGAGACAAGAAAACATTTGTTGATTCTGATTGTTTTTTCAAATCAGTAAGCGTGGACAGTTGAATACGTGCAATCGCTTGATAAAACACGTAATTTTCATAGAACTTCTTCTCAAGAACACGATGAAAGCCAGGATAAAGACTTGCCCCTTTGAATTGAAGACACTAGCAAACGACCACAAACAAAGTAGTGGGCCAAATTCGACAAAGCCCACGTATTTCGAAATGTTTCATTTTTTTCTCACAGATTCGAAACAACAACAAAAGTGGCTTTCTACGAATACTGATTTACAAGTTATATTGACTGATGCTCATAAACATGTAGATGTAGTCTAGTAATTTATGGTACTGCTGTTAATATGTCAACATCCCCATTTTCAAACTTGCATATTCTTGGACACTAGAGAAAAACAGCTCTTTTGGCAGAGTTCTAACTAAAGGCCCACTTCTAGTGACCATTTAAAATCAGTCCGAAATTGTGATCATTGTGTTTGTGTTAACTCTATAGTTAATTCAACATAATTTAGCTCGCTTGCTACTAATTAGTAATTAGCTTCGGCCATGTGATATCTAGCGATTCATCTGACATAATTTTGACCTAGATCTTCAGCTTTGACCTGTAATTAGTCCAAACGAAGAATCCATGACGTGGACTTATAGTATTGGCCGGTGCCTTGATGCAATTTGGCGAGAGACAGTGAAAGGACAGCAGCCTAACCGGTTAAACCAGGATCCGGTTTAAACCATGCACATTTAGGCCTTGAATGGAAGTCCAGATTTACTGCAGAATAAATACAGGACAAATCAAATACAGATTGATCTGTATTTAATACACAATCACACTTTTAATTAATGTAAGGTTGAAACAAATGTTGGAGAAATTAATTGATACAGATCAGAAAAGAGAACAAATTTTTGCTCTGCACTGAAGGACCCAAAAAGCAGCCGTACAGATGCACATCCGTTTACTTCTCTTTTTTTTTTTAAGATAAAAATAAAATTCCAACTATTTACTTCAAAATAAACTACAAAAAAACCTGTATTCAACTTATATTATATATTTTGTTATCTAATACAGTTTATTATATCTTATTATATATTTAACTAACATATATTCTAGCAAACATTAGAAAAATATTGCAAATATATATGGGCAAATAAACTCTAAACATATATATTGTAATCAAAATTAAATTTAAATTATGTTTCTTTTTTAAACATATTCATATTTTCATAAGATTTTGGATGTATGAATTGAGATTAGGTTATAACTTAGGACTGACCGGGTTCATGAAAGTCTATGAAGTTTATACCAATATAGATATGGAATAAATTTTCAAGTCGATTTGGATCTATATTTTTAGATTAGCATTAGAAAATTTCAGTGATAATTTAGGTTCTGATATTTAATATCCAAAAATAGTAAAAATACCACACAAACTCATAGAAATATCCAAATCCTGGAAAGTTAAAAGAAAATTCAAAAAACTGAAAACATACTTGAAACCTGAATATAATTTTTTTAGATAGTCTCGGATTCTGTTATATTTTGGTATTTCAGACATATTTTAAAGATTTCAAAAATATATTTTCTTGTGTTTTGGTTAAAATTATGGAATCGGTTAGAATCATACTTTTTTGAATATTTATTGCTTTTCAAAAGTTATGAATAGAAACGACTCAAATTCTATTACGAAACTGAAATTTTTTGAGTAGAAAATGTATATGGCCGAAATAAATGCAATCCAAAAATTCGAATGTTTAGACTAATATTTGCGATTCGAAATTCCCGAATATTTAGACTAATTTTTTCGTTTTTGTTTGATCTGTATTTGTTATGCATGATCTGTATGATCTGGATTTGTTCTGTTTGATCTGGATTTACTGTTTAATCTGTATATTTTGATATGCGTCACCCCTAATATTTACATGGACCAAGATCAACCTTTAGATCTAAAAGCATTCAATTTGACTTTCACCAAGATGGTGACTGTTACAAAACACATTCAATTCCTTTCCCAATTTACTTTCATCTTACGTTTCATTTTCCCCACAAAACTTAACCAGTCGAACAATTAAATAAATTTGCATTTTATTTTATTTTATTTTTTTTTGTCAACAGCCTCTATCTCTAAACCAGCTCGGGGATCCAAGCTAGTGAGACAGAGTTTACATAATACACATCAGTAGGTAGAGCTCGAGCACTATGTGCTAACTTGTCCGCCTTCGTGTTTCCGTCCTTGGTATATGCATGATGGTAAAAGAGTTAAAACCGCTCTTACATCTATTCACCTCATCAAGTAATAGTGAGAAAGCCGGCCACTCCTCTGGTTTAGACACCATCTTCACCACATCGGAACAATCAGTCTGAAAAACTACAGTTAACTTGCTATTCCTTAATATACATTGCATAGCCCAAATTAGAGCTTCCAACTCTGTCTGAAGTGAAGAAATCCCCCTCCTCGGATTAGATTATTAAACAAGGAAATTAGTTTGCATTTTATTTCCTTTTGGGGGATGAAATTAGTCTAAGAACTTTAATTATTAAACAAGGTATAATATTGATCCCCTTTAATTAACCCGTAGATAAAGCGCAGGAAACTCCACGTGCATGGGTCCTAATTATTGCAATTAACATTTAACACTAATGTACTTCCCTTTTAAAAAAATTAATAAAAATTGTTACACAAAAGCAACGAATTAGCGTTGTCTTTTTTTTGTTTTCGGGTCTAATAAAAAAGTAATTTCGTGAGAGTCATTTCATTTTCTTTATTCGGTCACAGTCTCTTGACATTTTCGCATATAAATATACTACTTAATTCGGAAACGGAAACAGATTAGAGGGAAAGAGAAATAAATCACCAGAAAATCTGCTGTGGAAAGAGAAAGAGAGCTCTGAGCAGAAAAATCGCCATGGCTTCAAAGCTCGTGATCATCATTGTGTTCATTCTAGATCTCATCGCTGTTGGATTAGCCATTGCCGCCGAGCAAAGAAGAAGCATCGTAAGATCTTCATCCTCTCTAGTTTTCCTTTGACTGTTCGTTGATCTCTTTCGGATTCTTCTTCTTCCGAAGTCAAATTAGGTTGTGAGATTGTTTATCGATACCTGGAATAGTGTTTAGACTTCAAAAATCCAAATAATTAGTGAGTTTTGTGCCCGGAATCTGTGTCGGTGCGATCTCTTGTAGTGTACGCTTTTTCAGATCTGATTGTAGAATCTCGTTTCCTGATCAATTAGGAGCTGCGAAATCGTAATCTAGTAGCGAGATACGTCTTCGGTAGCAGATTTTGATGAAATTGAAAAGGATCTATGTGAAATGAGTTTGATTCATGAGTCATGACTAGTAACCAAATTTTCTCTCAAGCCTTAGATTATATGAATCAGACTTTGTAGGTGATTGTAGCTTACTGCATTGTTGAATCTAGTGCTAAAAACCTCAATGCAATGGTTTTTGTGTTGTAAATGTAGAGAACTTTTCAGATTAGTGGTTTTGATGACTGAAGATTGATTATCTTTGTTTGTTTGTTTTGTATAGGGTAAGGTTGTTCCGGATAGTGAGAAGGTATATGAGTACTGTGAGTATGGATCAGACATAGCTACAAGTTATGGAGCTGGTGCATTCGTGCTTCTCTTGACCGGTCAAGTCATCATCATGGCGGCGAGCCGGTGCTTCTGCTGCGGCAAGGCTCTTAACCCCGGTGGTTCAAGAGCTTGTGCCATCATGCTCTTCCTCATTTGCTGGTGAGTATATACATGTACTTAGCAATCTCAAATCGTAACATTATAGGTTTCATGAATTTGACTTGACACAATCATTCTTTGGAACAGGGTGTTTTTCTTGATCGCTGAGATATGTTTGCTCGCGGCGTCGATCAGAAACGCGTACCACACTAAGTACAGGAAGATGTGGAACATCGATAACCCACCGAGCTGTGAAGTGATCCGTAAAGGAGTGTTTGCAGCTGGTGCTTCCTTCGCTCTCTTCACCGCCATCGTCTCTCAGTTCTACTACGTCTGCTACTCTCGTGCTCGAGATGATTACAAGAACCCACCTTACTAGTGAGATCTCCACACAACAAAACCTTTAAAACAGTTTGTCCATTTACATTGGATCAATAGAATATTAAAAATTTGATGATGTTAGTGATTTGCTTCTTGCTTGTATTTCGTTAAACTTTGAATCACATTTGGTTTTGTTGCTTTGATGTATAAATTCTTATATAATATAGACAGCTTATTCTACATTTTCAGCACTTGAAAGCTTATTGTTTTATACATTTTTAAAGCTCGTAACCTGGAAACAGAGCTCGAGTTGGATCGTTCATGTCGAGAAACATGAAGGCCATTCCTCCGACGCCTTCAAAGAGAGAGAAGGGTCTATCTCCTCCATGCATTTCACCTTCTGAGATGAGCTTCTCCGATTTATCAAGCAAAGACGCGAAAGCCTTTGCTCGGAACAAGTACTCTGCTTTTCCGGTTAACCGGTACAGAGAAAGAAACACGTATGTGTTTCCACTAATGCCGTGACAGATTCCTACTCGTTTAAGCAATCCACGTTCCCACACGACTTCTCCTGCATCCATTGCTGCCTCTACAAACGCTTGCGTCCTAAAAACCTGAAACAAAGATCTCCAGAGATGAGTTTTTGCAGCTGTGATAAAGTGTTATGTTGATAGTAGCTTTTGACCTGAGCTGCTTTAACGAGTGTGAGAGCAACACCAGAAGCACCGTGACACCAGTGAACAAGGCGGTCTGTTTCGTTTCCTTCGCTTGATAGGTAGTTTCCGGATGGGAAACGATTCAGAATCATATATCTTAGTGTTCCTTTAACATCTTGGATTTCATCTTGCTCAAGTTCCATATGCAAGAGAACATTCATGATCCCGGCTAAACCATGAGCAGCTCCCCAATACTTCTTCCCGTGCCACTCGTACATCAATGGACACTTTCCTCTTTCCCCCATTTGTCTTCCTGATTTGAAGATTTCATCAACCACAGATCTCTGTGAAACAAAGAGATCAAGATGGTCCATTAACTTGGTCGAGTTCAAATAAACAAAAAGACAAAGTTTGAAACTTTGTTACCATTCTTGCCGATGATACACTGTCCTTTCCAATATGCTTGTTCAAGAACAGGCATGCCCACAAGTACCCTGCTCTACCGTATAGCAACTCGTATGGCAAATCATTGGGAAGCCTAATCTGTTACGAAATTCAAGTTGCAAGATTTGAGAAAAGAGACAAATTCAATGTATCAAGCTTCAAAAAGCAAAAAAGAAAAATGGAAATAGTAACCTCATGGAAACGGGTTAAGTAACGTTCCTGCAACTGGTCATCACCAATATGCTTTGCTGCAACAGCACCAAGAGCACATACACCAGCATGGCCACATATGAATGTCACTCGCCTGAAAATAAAATAATACTCATCATGTGTTGTTTATCCAGAAATGAATATAAGAAATGGCTACTAAAAGAAAGGTCTTTTACTCAGAATCTCTTGAAGCTACATCACAAGCCTCAACAATCTCTAAGCATAGCTTCAGATCGTTTTCATTTTTAGTGACATGATAGGATTTGAGCAAGAGATAAGCTGTCCCGAGAACTCCAGTGTACAGGCTATAGTCTTTAACACGTGTTCCAGATCGTTCCCATGTCTCATACACAACCTGAAACAAAATTACCACAAAACAATAGAATTCAGTATGAAATTTCAGTAGCTTGAGACCAAATCCAATACTAAAATAAATCAAATTCACAAATTAGCTACATAAATTCAACATAATCGAATTCATTTCTGAAAATCACTAATTTCTGAAAATTCAAACATGATCAAACCAGATAAACCCAATTCTCTCTCTCTCAGCCGAATTACTCAGTTTATACGAATACTCATCATCCTCTCAAAAACCTAAAGCAGCTATTCAAAATTGAGTTACCTTATCTTTGAGGCTTAGAGCATATCTCTGAAGCTTCTCAGAAAATGAACTGTACGGAAGTGAGAGCAGCTTCGCCAGCGATTCTTTACCTTCGGAAACAGTTTCCTCTCCGCCGGCTACTTCCGGAAAAAACTCCGGCATCTCATTTCGGAAGAATCTCTCTCCCATCACTCTCTCTCTCTCGCTTGCTCTAACTTCTAAGCGGTTGCTATGGAGAATCTCGAAGAAGCGAAGAAATGACACATCATCGTTGTGAGTTTATAATTTCAAAAAAAAAGCTGACGCAGCAGATTATTAATGGGCCTTAAAATGAGGGGCCCAGCCCATTTATGTTCCAATTAGCTTTGCTTTGTCGTCTCTTACCTTAAAACTCTCTGCTAAAACCCTAGAGAAGAAGTTTGCGTTTCCTTTGTTTCCGACATCTCTGCGCTGAAAAAGTTGAAAAAATGGGGAAGAAGCGAAAGCACAGCGAGACGGAAGCTCCGGCGGCGGTGAAGAAGAGCGATGAGTCTGCTCCGGAGAGACCCAAAAGGACTCTATTGGGATGGAAAGATAAGAACGAAGTTGCTGCGGAATCTAAAGATGCTTCGTCTTCATCTGTGTTTAGGAACAAAGAGAAGGTTTTGGTCACTTGTTCCCGCCGAATCAATTACAGGTCTGAGTTGAATTCAATTTGCAAAATTGGCTTTCCTTTCTTTTGTTTTGATTATTATTGGGTATTTCGATTTGGGGTTGAAATAATTGAAATTGATTTTACATTTTTGGGTTTTGTTTTGAAGGTATCGGCATCTGATGTTGAATATAGTTTCGCTTCTGCCACATTGTAAGAAGGATAGTAAAGTTGAAGCTAAGAGTAGCAAAGGTGCGACTTTGAATGAGCTCGTTGAGCTCAAAGGATCTTCGTCCTGTTTGTTCTTCGAGGTAAATTTTCGATTTTTAATGTTACTTTTGTCTATGAGCTTCGCTTAGTTAAGCTTTTGTTCAATGTTATTCAAAAGGTGTTTCTTTTGTGTGGAATGTGTGACTCAAGTCTTAGAAACTTGTTGTTTGAATACTCATTGAAAGATGTATTAAGCATATTGATGTAAATGGACAAAATGTTTTGAATCTGTTGGTTGATTTCTGTTTATTTTGTTTTTTTCAGTGTAGGAAACACAAAGATCTTTACCTATGGATGGTCAAATCTCCAGGTGGACCATCTGTGAAGTTCTTGGTTAATGCTGGTAATGTCTCTAACCGCTCAAACTTTAGGTTTATAAATGTTAGACATGAGTTGATAGATTTAGTGTCACATATATTAGCCTATGATGTGTTTAATCTCAGCTTGTTCTGTTTCTGGAGCTATGATGTGTGCTAAAAGCTTCTTATTCGCTTTTGTTTTGAAGTGCACACAATGGAAGAGCTGAAACTGACTGGAAATCATTTGAAAGGGTCACGCCCTCTACTGACATTCTCATCCAATTTCGACAAAGATGTTCACTGGAAACTCTTGAAGGAAATGCTTACTCAGGTTGGTGTCAGATTCATTATCTTGGTTTATTTCAGTGGTCCGTTAATTCTGGATTGTATCTTACTTACTTTTTGTGTTTGCTTTGTCTCTCAGGTATTTGGAATCCCCAAGGAACACAGGAAATCTAAGCCTTACCATGACCATGTGTTCGTTTTCTCCATTGTCGATGACCACATATGGTTCCGCAACTACCAGATCTCTGTTCCTCACAATGAATCAGATAAAATCGCTAGAGGTGGTCTAGACAAAATGACCCTGATCGAGGTTTGTTGACATAAACAAAGTTTCCAACTTACAAACTATTTCGCCTCTAGTTTTGATTGAAACTAATACACTATTTGATTACAGGTTGGTCCAAGGTTTTGTTTAAATCCAATCAAGATATTCGGAGGCAGCTTTGGAGGACCAACGCTCTATGAGAACCCCTTCTACGTATCTCCAAACCAGGTATTGATTTTGATCTTAAGTATGCATACTACTCATAAATCTTTATGACTGTTCTTGAGCAAGTTTTAACCATGAATGTCTGTAGATTCGGGCACTGGAGAAAAAGAACAAAGCCGGGAAATTCGCAAAGAAGATCAAGGCGAAGACAAGGAGGAAGATGCATGAGCTCTCAAACCCATTGGAGCCTGATGAGTTTGCAGATATGTGGAAAGATGATGAATGATCAAAACTCCATTAAAACTGAATCTTTCCTTATCGTTATTTATAGCTTCCCGCTTTTTTCTTTGTGTGTGTACGATCATACAGAATCAAGTTTTGTTCTCAACAATGTTTTCTTTAAATCCAACTGAATCTTTAGGTAAACAAGAGAGGAAATTAAAAGCCTTTATGATTATTATTATTATATTTACAAAAACAGAACAGAAATCTCGTTAAAGAACAGAGCAACTCTGCTTTTTCGATTTTAACTCAAATTCGACAGAGACCAATTAGCTTCACTTCCTCTTCTCGGAATGCTACTGATCTTGGCGCAAGCATCGACTTTAAAGTTCGCTCCGCAAATCACTCCTTCACTATCAATCCTCGGCATTGCCTTCATCTTGTTCTTCGGATGCTCAAAACTCATCAAACCACTCTCACTATGAAACATACATCCTGCAAAAACGTTTCACATTCACATTCATCCTCCAAATTTCAAAACTTTTAAAGCTCTGTTTTTCAAAGTTTGGATCTTTTTAGCTTACCAGTCGGAAAAGGAGCGAATGATTTAGCACAACCTTGCTTAATGATCTTGAGATCATCAGACATTACAACAGATCCAGCTGCAGCTATTCCCCAATACAAACTCTCTACTCCATCAGATCCCTGAAACCATATTCAAAAAACTTAGTAAAAAAAAATCTCAAATTTCATTTCATGGAAATGTCAAATTTTAAGTTTTTTTTTACCAGAGCTGCGAAAACAGAGGAGGTTTGAGTATCGTATACGACGAAGGAGAAACTTCCGTCGAGACCTCTGAGAACTTGATCAGCTGGATAAGGACCACGATCACGAAGTGTACGATAAGCTTCGATCACAAACATTGCTTCGTTTGAGGTTTTTCCAGATAAGCCGTACTGTTTGTTCAGATCGCATAGATTGTTCAATGCCCCGAGAAACACACAGTAGATTCCGTCGATTCCTGAAAACACTCTGAAGAATTGCCAAAAAAAAAAAAAGAGATTAAAGTTTTGATTTTTTTCCGGTAAGGAAACAGAAACTGGGATCTGTGTTTTGTTAAACCTTTGACGGAGAGAGTTTTCGGGGCGGACGAAAGCGAGAACGGCGGAGTCACCGAAGTTCATGGAGAAAGAAGTGTCGGGATGGTGAGAGAGGAAGTAAGAGAGGGTTTCTCCGGGAAGTTTTGGGTTTTTGCCGGTGAAGTTTGACGCCGGACTGTTTAGTTCCTCCGGTGGATGAGCAAACGCCTTTTGGAAAATCGCCAACATTTTTTTCTGGTCTTTTTTTTGGAATCTTTCGTTTTTTGTTTGTTTTGGATAATACGAGAAAATGTGATTTGGAAAAGTGTGTTGAAGAGTGGATTTTTATAGGGTTCTGTTTTGTGGAATCTTGATTTACACGGAAAGGAAAATTGACGTGGAGATGACTGTAATATTTATTTTTAAGATAAGACTTGTCTCGTAGATCTCGATGTCTTCTTATCCATTTCGTATCTTTTTTTAGTAGTATTAAATACTAAATTATTCCTTTTCTTGTTTTGTGGCCGCTCGAGGTTTTGTTAATGGCCAACAAGAAATCAAGAATACAATGGTACTCATAATTCATAAAGAGAATATGATCTCCTTTTTTAATTTGTATTTAAAAGTACAGGATATGATCGAAAGAAAATGTGATGAGAGCATATTAATTTGATATGCACATTGCAAGAACATACATGACCTTAATTATGGCATACAATAAGGGCCGTGAACATAATTATGTCATCTGAACCGATTTCGGTTCACTCAGGGCTAAAAAAAGTTTCAGTAGGCTCTAGCCAATCAAGAGAGTGATGGCCGAGTTGAGAATCACTATTATCTCCAAACCCTAACAAGCGTCCTTGTTGAGTAACCACCATAGTGTGAAATTTACCAGTAGTAACTTGCAATACACGGTGCGGTTTGAGACTCTCGAGGACTCGTGGCTTCACCACTAGACCATGGTTTCCTTCACCATAGAAACCGAGGCTGCCATGGATAAAGCCCCCAATCCCATACACTGAACCGCCTTCGACCACAACAAAGGTTTTCATATAAGTTACACAAACCTGCAAATGTCGAGAGACCAAATCAAGAAACAACCGATGGATTTACACTTTAAGAGAATACACCACTGTACGTAAAGGAAACAAACAGACCTGCACTGCTAAATGGTTCTTAAGATGAAACAAAATCTCAGGGAAGGGCTTGTCATTCTTGTCACCGTGTCCTAGAGCGGACCCACCTTTACCCCATGTGTAGACCTATGCATCAGAAAAGACATTGTTTTTGAAACCTGAACAAAATAGAGAGAGAGAGAGAGAGACAGAAAACAGGTACAGTCCAAGCTTAGAAACTTACATAACCATTAGAGTCAATCGCGGCGGCATGTGCATAACCAGCAGATACACGGAGTATATGAACACCATTCGTTTTAAAAGCCTGAATAACATGTGGCTCGAGTTTATTCTGTAAATCTCCATGACCAAGACAGAGCTTAGAACCATCTCCAAAAGAGTAAACCGATCCATCCTCGGTTACAGCCAAGATATAGAACGGTCCAGCCGATATTTGTACAACCGGCCCAACGTTCTTGAGCAGTTCAACAACCGTGGGTACTTGTCTCTTCATGGTATCACCATGACCAAGCTCCCCATGTTTGTTCCTCCCTCCAAAAGTATACACATGCCCTTCCCTTGACAGACACGCAATAGAGTAGTATCCAACAGCCACCTGGTAAATGATGAAATACATGTAGTCTAGTATCCAGCAAGTAAACTTGAAGACTAGATACAGTCTCAAGTCTCAAACTTTCAAGTAAACTAAACTCACAAATCCCTTGGTATACAAAAGGCAGGCATTCAAAGTGTTACCTGCTTGCAAGGAATACTCTTCAGAGCGTCGACAAGCCTGGGACTATATATTTCATCCATATTAAACTCATCCCAACCGCATGTGAAAACCTGCGTCCAATAGTTTAATCACACGAGCTTTGTTTTTGGCCTTTTACTGTATGAAAAGCAGAAGCAAACACCAACCTCTCCAGACTGCATTACGAAAGCACTATTGAAGTCGTTGACTGATACTTGAATCACTTTCGCAGAGAAAGGGAACACTATTGGCGTCAATCTTGCACATTTATTTGTGTCCTCCCCCTGAGCAAGACCTCCATACTCACTTCTGCCACAAGAGTAGACCTTGGAGTTGTTTATTACCATCGTCACTTTCGGACCCGTTGTTATTTGCATCTACAGAGATCAAGAAAATAAAAAACCAAAAAGTCAACCATGACCAAAATGTTACAGAGCATAACAATCTAAATTTCCAAAGTGGTTATTAGAGAAACACAGTACCTTGCCTTTAGGGGTCTCCACCATATCAGATGATTCAACAATGGAGAGCAAGAACCTCAAAACACGCTTCCAGTTTCCATTGCACCGCTCAATGAGTTGCTTCTGGTGAATCAAACCCAAACCCATGAAGACAGGATGCAGAGAGCATAACAGAGACGCTGCGTGGTCAGCCAACGATTTGAAATCCCAAGAGTGCGAGCCATATTCAAAGATCTTTGAGGTCAACTCGATGTTCACTAAGTCAATCGCACTAAGGCTGCCAGAGATCAACACCTTTAATATCAAATGAGAAGGAAGATCACTAAGCGAAACCAATCTCGGTGTTTCAGCCATTTTTCTTTCCATTTTTCCTATAATATGAAACTTTCAAGAAGACGAGGGAAGAGATCGAATACGATCACAGGGTGTGAACAAAGACATTTTGTAATTTATTTAAATTAATTGACAAAATCTACTTTTTTGGTCAAACAAAAAAAACGATATAAATGGCATACATAAACTGATATGGTGAGCATAATTATGTCATTTAAACCGATACTGATCCGGTTTAATCAGGCTAAAGTTTGGTTTTCTTAAGATTGATCAAGGTTCGAGAACGATCTCAGTAGGTTCTAGGCATGTTTGAAGAGAGTGATGGCCGAGTTGAGAATCACTGTTATCTCCAAACCCCAACAATCGTCCTTCTTGAGTGATCACCATAGTGTGAGCCACACCATTGCTAACTTGCAAGACACGGTGCGGTCTGAGACAATCCAGGACTCGTGGCTGCTTTACTTTACCATTGAGACCGAGGCTGCCAGATTCAGAGTTGCCGAACCCATACACTGAACCGCCTTGGACGACGACAAAAGTTCTCCTTAATATTGCACATACCTGCAAATGTCAAGAGACCATATCAAGAAACAACGATCGATCTACCCTTTCAAGAGACTACACAGCTAAATAAAGGAAATATATTTTCTCAGACCTGCACTGCTAAATGGTTCTCAAGACTGAACAAAATCTCAGGAATGGGCTTCTCATTCTGGTCACCATGTCCTAGAGCGCCTATCATACGTGAACCCCATGTGTAGACCTATGCATCAGAAAAAGAGATTGTTCTGAAACGAGAGACAAAGAGGAAACAGGAACAATCCAAGCTTGAAAACTTACATAACCATTAGAGTCAATAGCGGCGGCATGTCCATAACCAGCACATACACGGAGTATATGAACACCTTTGCTTTTAAAAGCCTGAATAGCATGAGGCTCGAGTTTATCTTGTAAATCTCCATGGCCAAGACAGAGAGCAGAACCCTCTCCAAAAGAGTAAACCGATCCATCCTCGGTTACAGCCAAGACATAGTATGGTCCAGCCGAAATTTGTACAACCGGCCCAACGTTCTTGAGCAGTTCAACAACTGTGGGTACTTGTCTCTTCATGGTATCACCATGACCAAGCTGCCCATATGTGTTCCCTCCGAAAGTATACACATGCCCTTCCCTTGAGAGACACGCAATAGAGTAGTATCCAACAGCCACCTGGTAAATGATGAGTGCTCTAATAATGGTTTCTTGTAACTAGTTGGCACTACGCAGCACAATCAACTTTCAAGTAAACTCAACCTCACAAAACCACTAGTCGGAATAAGAAAACTACCTGCTTACAAGGAGTAGTCTTCAAAGCCTCAACGAGCCTGGGACTATACACTGGGACGCATTCATCAAAGTCACATCTGAAAACCTGCGCCAATACTTGCAAGTGATCAAAAACATTGCAATCTATGAAATCTAAACAGAAGAAAAAAAGGAAGCAGAGGCAAAAGCAAAAGCAAAATCAACCTCTCCAGACTGCATTACGAAAGCAGCATTACAGCTAGGGGTGTTCAATTTGGTAAAACCGAACCGACCCGAACCGAACCGAACCGAAATAAGTCATATGGTTTGGATTTGGATACACTGTATAAACCGTATGGATGCAATTTTATATAAACCGTGGATATTGATATGGTTTGGATATTAACCGACCGAACCGCAAAAACCGCAAAAAACCGAATAACTTTATATATATTAAATTACTCATATAATAATATAAGTTTAGAGTAATAAATCATTAATTAACTAAAATTTAACAATTAAGAAACACTAAAAAAAAACCTAGATAAAGCGATCTTCCTCTTCTCATACAACAATATTATTATAGCAATTGTCTTCTTCTTCGTTAATCTTTTCTCTTACCCTAGACGTGAACTAAAGGTATCGTATGCCTTAAACAAGTTTTCTCCGTTTGTTCTACTTTTTGTTTCATAAGTTAACTGATTTTCTTTTAATACTTATTCACTTGTAGATGAGCAAAAGGAATAAGACATGAGTTTGCATTTTTTATTTGAATTTGATCATTTTGATTATGAGAAAAATCGAAAACCCTAATTAATAAAATAATCATAAAACAAAAAATACAAATTAACCGAAAACCGAGATTATTCGACCCGAAAATATCCAAACCGCAAAAACCGAATCCAAACCGAACCAAACCGAAGTAAGTATGGATCTACTATGGTAGCTATTTTTTATTAACCGAAAAACCAAATACCGAAAAAACCGAACCGAAACCGAACCGATATCCGGATTGAACACCCTAATTACAGCCGCAGGCTGAAACTTGAACCACTTTCGCAGAGAACGGGAACACCATTGGCGTCAATCTTGCACATTTTAAAGTTTCCCTCCCCTGAGCAAGATCCCCAAAATCACTTTTACCACAAGAGTACACCTTTGAGTCTTTGATTACCATCGTGAGATTCTCACCCGCTGTTACTTTCATCTGCAGAGATCAAGACAAATCATGACCAAAATGGTATAAACCTAAGCCAAGCATGACAATCTAAACAAGTCCCGCATCACTTGGACATCATCAAAATTTCGAAACTTTAAAGCAGCAATCCATCACCAAATTCCCTTAAAAGTAGTGTTATTAGAGAAAAACAGTACCTTGCCTTTTGAGGTCTCCACCAAATCCGACGATTCCACAATCGACTTCAAAAAGCTCCAGACTCGTTTCCAGCTTCCCTCGCATCTCGCGACGAGTGCTTTCTGATTAGGCAAAGACAAACTCGCGAAGATGGGGTGCGTAGCGCAAAACCGAGACGCTGCGTTATCAGCCAGAGATTTGAAATCCGAAGAGTGCGAGCCCCATCCGAAGACCTTTGAGGTCAATTCGATATTAACTAAATCAATCGGGCTAAGTCCGCCGGAGATCAACACCTCCAAGATCAAATGAGAAGGAAGATCCTTAAACGAAACCAATGTCGGCGTTTCAGCCATTTCCTTTCCCTTTACCTGAACCCTAAACCCCTTTGAGGCACAATGTTTCTCTTTTGCTGAACGAAAATGACGAGAGAGACTTCGAGCTTACAAGAGGATGGGTAAACAAAAATTTAAGAAAACCGGTAGGAGAAATCGATGAAGAAGACGAAGGAAGACATCGAAGACGATCTCACACTCTCTCTCTCTCTCTTTTCCGGTGAGGATTTCTCAGGAAGTCGATCAAATTTCAAACCAAAAATAAAAAGAAAAAAAAAAAACGTCAAAGAAAAACAGATTTATGTGGGCATCAAAATACAAACCCATTAGCCCATCATAAACTTGGGCCCAGAACACACTTTTCTCTTTCATAATCATAAAAGTATTTCCAATTTATATGATGTTTCGTTGAAAAATATTTTTGGCTCCCAAGTCCCAACACTTATCAAAAGTTTACTCAGATTTTAAGCTTAGCATTGTTAACGTATGTACTTGTTCAGATTCAGTATTTTAAATACCTGCTCGTCTATTTTGTTATAAATATATGACAAGAGTTTAAAACTCAAAAGATTTGGCAATTGCCTGGCTTATTGCTATCATTCTCCAAACTTCAAAGCATGAATCACCAAGAAAAGCATCACACTTGAGTTCACAGAGAAAGCTCGTAATACTATTTACGAAATACTCAATCAAGAAAGCAAAATAGCAAAATGGTTCACTAGAGACATTAACCAGCAATTTTAGTACATTGCCATTGATAGCATAATGTCTTCTAAACTGATATCGGTTATTTAGCTTTGGTCAAGGACTGAGAACAATCTCAGTAGGTTCTAGGCCTGATTGAATGGAGTGATAGCCGAGCTGAGAATCTCTGTTATCTCCAAACCCCAACAAGCGTCCCTCTTGAGTAACAACCATAGTATGAGCCAAACCAGAGCTGACTTGCGATACACGGTGCGGTCTGAGACACTCCAGGACTCGTGGCTGCTCCACTTCACCAGCCTGTCCTTCACCAATGAGACCGAGGCTACCAAACTTAGAGGCCCCGAACCCATACACCAAACCGCTTTCCACCACAACAAAAGTTCTCATAAAACCTGCAGAAACCTGCAAATGCCGAGAGACCATATAAAAAAACAAACCCTTTAAGAGAATACACATCTAAAAAGGAAACATTTTTTTTCCTCAGACCTGCACTGCTAAATGGTTCGTAAGACCGAACACAATCTCAGGAATGGGCTGGTCCTTCTGGTCACCATGCCCTAGAGCGCCTGACTTACCTCTACCCCATGTGTAGACCTATGCATCAGAAAAAGAGATTGCTCTTAAACGAGAGACAGAAAGAGAGAGAGAGAGAGAAAAAGTAGAATCCAAGCTTAGAAACTTACATAACCATTGGAGTCAATAGCGGCGGCATGTCCATAACCAGCACATACACGAAGTATATGAACACCGTTGGCTTTAAAAGCCTGAATAACATGTGGCTCGAATTGATTCATTAACTCTCCATGACCAAGACAGTGCTCAATACCACTTCCAAAAGAGTAAACCGATCCATCCTCGGTTACAGCCAAGACAAAGTACGGTCCAGCCGAGATTTGCTCAACCGGCCCAATGTTCTTGAGCACTTCAACAACCGTGGGCACTGGTCTCTTCATTGTATCGCCATGACCAAGCTGCCCATATTCGTTCCATCCAGCTGTATACACATGCCCTTCCCTTGACAGAAACACAGTCGAGTAGCTTCCAGTAGCCACCTAGTAAATGATGAGTATGCTATTAATACCTTCTTGTAGACTATATACATATGAGGATTAACAGTTTCAACTTTCAAGTAGACTCAAACTCACAGATTCCTAGGTCTACAATAGCTGGAATTGAAATGTTACCTGCTTACAAGGAGTATCCTTCAAAGCCTCAACGAGCCTAGGCCTGTGTACTGGAAGGTATGTATCAGCATCATCCAAGTGATTACAACCGCATGTGAAAACCTGCGCCAATAGTTTTATCACATGAACTTGTAAATAGGCAATTTCAGGAAGTGGTGATCACTAACAGAGCATTCTCTGAAATGTAAACTAAAAAAAAGGAAGCAGAAGCAAACTCAACCTCTCCAGACTGCATTACGAAAGCGCTGTTATACTCGCTGGCTGATACTTGAACCACTTTCGCAGAGAAAGGGAACACTATTGGCGTCAATCTTGCACATTTTCTTGTTTCCGGACCCTGACCAAGAGCTCCATCGTCACTTTTACCACAAGAGTACACCTTTGAGTCTTTGATTACCATTGTGTGTTTCTTTCCCATCGTTACTTTCATCTACAGAGATCAAGCAACATCAAATGCATAATGAGTTCATTTCCAAACTTCACAGCATCAATTACCAAAAATCGTGACAGAGAAAGCGAAATTCCCAAACTTCACAGCATCAATCACCCAAAAACGTTACAGAGAAAGCAAAATATCATAGTGGGTTATAAGAGAAAACAGTACCTTTCCTTTAGAGGTCTCCACCATATCCGACGATTCCACAATCGACTTGAGAAACCCCCAGACTCGTTTCCAGTTTCCCTCGCATCTCGCGACGAGTGCTTCCTGATTGTGCAGAGGCAAACTGACGAAGACAGGGTGCAGAGAGGTTAACTGAGACGCAGCATTATCAGCTAGAGACTTGAAATCCGAGCTCTGTTGGTTCCATCCGAAAAGCTTGGATGTCATTTCTATGCTAGCTAAGTCGATCCCGTTAAGTCGATCGCAAGTCAACACCTTCAGGATCAAGTGAGAAGGAAGATCCTCGAACGAAATCGAATTCGATGTCTCCGCCATTTCGTTTCCTTCTACTTAAACCCTAAACCCCTTTTAGCAACAAAGTTTCTCTTTTGTTAACAGAAAACGACGAGCGAGACTTCGAGATTACGAGAGGGTTGGACAGGAGAAATCGGAAGTATCAAATGAAGAAATCGAATTTTATCTCACACTCTCACGGTGTTTTCCGGTGAGAATTCCGCAGGAACTCCGGTGAGAATTTCGCAGGAACTCGATTTCAAAGATTAATGTGGAGTTACGAAATGTACAAAACCCATTAAAGCCCACTATAAACTTGGGCCTTTTACTCTTTTCATTAAACCAAAAATCTATCGTTGCAAACCAGTAAACCACTAACAAATTGGTTTATGCATTTGGTTCCCATTAATGACACTTTTCTAAAGTTACTAAAAAGGGACATTTAAGTTTGATTGCAAACTGTAATATCTTTTTATTATTTAATAACAGCTTTATTATGACAAAGATCATCGTCTGTAACCATTCATTTTATTATGATGACTTGTTTCTCAAGGAAAAAAACATACGACAAATGATTCATATAGAGACACGTTGCTGATTTCAAGACGGAGGAGGCACGGCGGAGCCGAATAAACGTGTACTGACTAGATTATATATATTACCCCAATCGAAAATATTTTCGTAACGAACTATTTCATTTCCACTTTCGAAGACTATGACGGTCGGGGCATTGAGTTCCCCGTAAAGTTGTGAAAAGAACGGGTGCAACAAAATGTCAGCTGTGTAGAATTTGATTTTATCACCGTATGTTTGAGCCAATTGAGCCACTTGATCCTGTACTATAACGCATGGATAACCGCAGTACGTGGACGTTATCGAAAGCAGTACCGGAACTTGAGCATTGGTCAGAAATCGGTTCCATTCAGATTCATCAGCTGTCAAATTTCAGTTTATAGATAATCAAACAAAGATATTAACTGATTAATCTGTTGTGAGATGGTTAATTATTTTTTTATACCTGGACCAAGGCCTTGACCAAAGCCACTACCAACGAAGTACATTAGTATTACTACCAAACCGTACAAAACTCTTTTCTCCATTGCTTGATCTTCTCTCTCGATCTTGTTTTAGTAGGAATTTAGGATGTGTTTTAGTACAAAACTCTTTTCTCTGCTCGTTTCTTGTCTCCTCGTTTTATAAGTTTCAATTAGGTCAACGGTTTTACTATTAGCTAATAGTTACTGACCATTCAACATCATCTCTCTTTCTCCTCACTTTACTTAACTAATGTTCCAAACCTTTAATTCACAATATACTGATCATTCTTCTGATTCTATGCAACTGAGGTTGGGCCTATAATAGAAATATTTACTCTTTCATTAAATCTAGGGTTGTAAACCACTAACCAATTCATTCTTCATTTGGCTCCCATCAATGACAGTACTTTTTGAAAGTTACTAGATAAAGACATTTAAGTTTGATTGCAAAATGTCATTTTTTTTTAATGAAAACAATAATGTTAGAAACTATAATGGCTGATTAGTAATTGCGATCCTGAAAAAAATTGTATGATAGATACTATCATTCCACCATATATGACATAGATACTATCATTCCACCATATATGACATACTTACGTGCTATCTCTATTTCATTAATTTAGAATTTTGACATTCAATTAGGTGAAAAATTGAAGATTATCAGTTTTCATTAGACAAACGAAAACAAAATGGTCTACAAGATAATAACAAATCCATAGGGTGTAGCGCCATGTGTGTATAATCGTAGGTATAAAATGTGTATATATATATATATTTTTTTGTATCATTAACAATCAAGAATTAAGTTTCAAAAGCAACAGGTGCACCAATCCGACTAGCAGTAGTCTGAACACATTGGTTCCAAATCCGCTTGCTCTTAGGAAGAAACTCACTGGCGACATCTTTTAGCTCATAAGTGGTGAAAACAAAATCCATCAATCCTTTGTGACAGTCTATTCCAATATTCATCATGTTTTCACAACATTCCACGGACACGGGCTTGTCCTTGACCAATCCTTCCGGTATCTCGATCCCACATTTTGAGAGCAATTTTTCCGTACAAGCTCTGAGAAATCCTAGGTGTTGTGGCGTCATGTGCTGTATGAGTTCATGGTCGTAATTTACAGCAGCTGTTACGTCTAGATATTCTTGTGGAGATGGACTGATCTCATCATATTCTTCTTGTGCGAGTGCTTGATTATAAGCCATTGATGTGGCTACGAGAAACGTTATGAGAATTGCTTTCTTCATTTTTTCTTCTTATTCTTTTTCTTCTTCTTGTTTGTTGTATTGTGATGGAGATAAAAGATTTGGTGAAGGGGGCTTTTATAATGATTTAGTGTTTCGTAACGACTAGCTTTTTATGTTTCGATTTCGTCATTTAAAGAATGATTTGATTTTGAAATGTTACATATATTTTATTTAAGTTTTGGCTTTAAAATGTTACAAATCCAACTCAAGAGACATTCATTAAGTTGGATTTGTACCTGTAACATAATTTGTTACAAACGTTTATTCAGAAATATTGGTTTTCATTTCCCATAATCAGTAGTAGGAAGCATATTGACCTTTAATATGGATGGTCAAGTCTCCAACTAAACCGTTTTTTAATAGTATGAATCAATCAGCACAGACACATGCATACAGAGAGACGATACTTATTCAAGACGAGCCGACCGGAGAAGGGCTCGGTGAGGCGGAGGTGGAAGCGGAACCGGAACCGGAGCTAGGCATGGCGGAACCGGAACCCGAGCTAGGGATGGTGGAACCGGAACCGGAGCTAGGCATGGTGGAACCGGAACCGGAGCTAGGCATGGCGGAGTTGGAGGGAGGCGGGGCGGAGACGGAGGGAGGCATGGCGGAACCTAATACATTTGTCCTGATTTGATCATATGTATGACCCCAATCGAAAGGATTTTCCAAACGAAATATTTCTTTTCCATCTTTGAAGATTATGAGGGTCGGGACACTGCTTATGGCATAAAGATTGACAAAGAATGGCTGCGCCAAAATGTCGGCTGTATAGCATTCAAATAAGCTACCGAAGATTTGACTCAGATGAGACAATTGATCCTCCACTACACCGCAGGGATAACCACACCCCGAGGACGTTAGCTTAAGCGCTACAAAAAGTCGGCTCGTGCTCAGAATTTGTAACCATTGACCGTCGTCAGTCACCTCCACTTTCCGTACGTACATATGTTATATCGAATCAATAGATGATCAAACAAATAATATATGAATGATTAATCATGTATAGAGTATAAGATCGATGGTTAATTATACGTACCTTGACCAACGCAGGCTACGCAGCTACCAACCAAGTACATTAGCATTACTACCAAAACGTACAAAACCTTTTTCTCCATTGCTCGATCTTAATTATTTCTCTTGTTCTAGTAGGAATTTAGGATGTGTAATGATCTGTTCGATTCTTATTTCTATTTATAAGCTTCAATAAGGTCAACGATTTTACAATTAGCTAGTAGTTAACGACCAAACAACGCCATCGTTCTTGTTCCTCACTTAGTTAGCTATCTTTACGTAAGGTGGGCAACTAAATGTTCTAGGCCTGGAATTCATAATATAACATTAGAAGTTAGTGGATACATTAACAAACTAGATGTATTTTGAAAATATTATAAGAATATTTTATATATAATTGTGACGATTTCGAAATACTGTACTAATTTATAAATTTAGAATATTGTTTATTAAGATGACAAAAAAAAAGAATATTATTTATTAATTTCTATAATTACTATATTCATATTTATGTGTATCTAATTATTTTAAAATTCATTGACTAGAGGATGTGCCTATATTTCCGCGAGGTCCACGTACAGATGATATATGCATGGCTGTTCTTAAACTCAGTAACTTTTCTATACGTACAGTCTATTTTTTGTTTTTTAAACATCATGCATTGCATCCATGTTGAGTCCATTAATGACACTTTCTGAAAGTTACTAAATAAAGACATTTAAGATTGATTGCAAACAGACTATTTTTTACTGAAAAAATTATTATTAGTGTTATAAACTAGAATGGCTGATTAGATATTGAGATCCTAAAAAATTGTATGATGGTGAAGTTCTATCATTCCATCATATATGATATATATACGTGCTATATATTCCGGTAATTTTTAAAATCTGACATTCAATTAGGCGAAATTTAAGATTCTCCATACTTCAGTTTTCATTAGACCAAAGAAAACAAAAAGATCTTCAAGAACATAACAAATCCATAAGGTTTAGCACCATATACGTATAATCGTAGCTGTGTAATGTATAATATATTGTTTTTTTTTGTATCATTAACAATCAAGAATTAAGTTTCAAAAGCAATAGGTACACCAATCCGAGAACCGATAGTTTGAACACATTGGTTCCAAATCCGTTTGCTCTTAGGACGAAACTCGTTGGCCTTGTTCTTTAGCTCATAAGTGGTGAAAACAAAATCCATCAATCCTTTGTGACAATCTATTCCAATCTTCAACACGTTTTCACAACATTCCACGGACATGGGCTTGTCCTCAGCCAATCCTTCCGTTAATTTGATCCCGCATTTGGAGCTCAATTTGTCCGAACAATCTTCGAGAAATCGGAGGTGTTGTGTCGTCATGTGGTCTAGGAGTTCATGGTCGTAATGTACAGCAGCTGCAAAGTCTAGAGATTGTTGTGGAGATGGACTGATATCATCTTCTTCTTGAGCGAGTGCTTGATTGTAAGCCATTGATGTGGCTATGAGAAACGTCATGAAAATCGCTTTCTCCATTTTCTTCTTATTCTTTTTTTTTTCTTGTGATGGAGAAAAAAGAATTGGGAAAGGAGGCTTTTATGGTTTAGTGTTTGGTAACGACTAGCTTTTTATGTTTCTGGTCATGAAATGATTATTTGATTTGAAATGTTACATATATTTATTTATTTTGTTTTGGTTTTAAAATGTTACAAATCGAACTCAAAGACATTCATCAAGTTGGATTTGTAACATTTGCTACAAATGTGATTTAGAATTGATCGGCTTATTTATGTATCTTTTCCTTTTCCATCATCATCATTGTAGAATCCATAAATACGTTTGAATCAATAAATGATCAAACAAAAAACATATATATATATAATTGGTCAATATATGTGAGATGGTTCATTATACCTTGACCAACACCACTACCCACCAAGTACATTAGCATTCTACCAAACCGTACAAAACCCTTTTCTCCATCTTTATCTCTCGATCTTGTTTTAGTAGGAATTTAGGATGTGTAGTGATCTGCTCGTTTCTTGTCTCCTCGTTCTATAAGGTCAACGATTTTACAATTAACTAGTAGTTAACGACCAATCAACGTCATGTCTCTTTTTTTTTTTTCACGTAGCTGTCTTTACTTAAATGTTCCTTCTGTCGGATAAAGGAAAAAAAACCTTCACTGATGTTCCAGCTAGCCTGGAAATCATAAATATAACACTCTTCCGTAAGAAGTCAATAGATATTAGTAACAAATTAGATGTATTTTGAAAACTAGTTTATAAAATGGAGATTTTTTATATTAATTTCTCTAAATTACTGTATTTTTGTACATAGGTTTATTTTTATTAATTTTGACTGTACTCGCTGATGTGCATGCATGTCCGGGAGGTCCACGTACAGATGAACTAATTAGTGTACGCACTAATTTGCCAATTTTATAGAAACACTAGAGTGCCACCATATCAATTTTTTCGTATGAAATTTGTAATTAATTAAGTTAGGATCCGCATTTAGTTGTTGAATAGTAGCCGAGAGAAAAAAAGGACGTATAAGATTCTTTTACTATGTTTCATTTAAAAAACCTACGCTCAATTTATACCTACGGATGGTCAATTTCCGAGTAGACCGTTTGTGGAGTTGCTGCCTTGCTGGTTCTTGATCATATGATCGAGTTTCTAAACACTTGACTCTCTTATTGTCAATAAAATCTCTGTTCTGATCTTAAGCATGGACAAACTTGATCAATCACCCTTCATATTAAAACCCTAAACATACATACTAACATACAACATAGGCATGAACGTCCAACGACACAAAGGATTTGATTATTTGTGGTTCGTTATATATACCCCAATATTTTTTTTTCATTTTATAACCGCTTGATAAAACTTTATGACAAAGATTTAATGGTCTATAATCGTTTTATTAATATTTTTTATTTAAGAAGCAAACATATGCAGATGTGTGATAGAAGAGGAAACAACAAACACACGTTTACACACCAATTAAGTCTGGACTATAATTTACTGTCCGACTTGAGAAGGGCTGGGAGAGGCGGAGGTGGAGGCGGAGGTGGAGACGGAGGTGGAGGCTGAACCGGAAAGAGGCAGGGCGGAACCGGAGGGAGGTGGGGCAGAACCGAGTAAATCATTCCTGACTAGATCATATATATTACTCCAATCGGAAAGATTTTGATAACGACGTGATTCTGTTAATCCATCTTTGAATTCAATGACGGTCGGTACACTGGTTATTCTGAGAATGTCTCTAAGGGATGGGTCGGTCGTAATGTCGCCTTTATAGAATTGAAGTTTATCAGAGTAGGTTTGAGCCAATAGAGTAAGTTGATCGTCCACTACATCGCAGGGATCACCGCAGTTTGAGGACCTTATCGCATACACTTGGGGAAGTATGGTCTCGGTCAGAGATTGTTCCCGTTTAGCTTCTTCACTCATCAACTTCACTTCCCCTACGTACATACAACATATCGAATCAATAGATAATCAATCAAACAAAGAGATAATCGAATATAAATTTATGTGCATGAGATGGTTATTTATACCTTGACCAACGCTACTACCAACCAAGTACATTAGCATTACTACCAAACCGTACAAAACCCTTTTCTCCATTGCTCGATCTTATTTATTTCTCTTGTTCTAGTAGGGATTTAGGATGTGTAATGATCTGCTCGATTCTCGTCTCGTTTTATAAGCTTCATTAAGGTCAACGATTTTACAATTAACTAGTAGTTAACGACCAATCAATGTCATCTCTCTTTTTCCTCACGTAGCTGTCTTTACTTAACTAATGTTCCTTTTGTCGAATACAAAAAAAAAAATTAACTTATGTTTCAGGCCTGGAATATGATTCTTCTGTTAATTAGAAGGCAATAGACATTAATAAACTAGATGTATTTTGAAAACATTATAAGCATATTTTATTTTTATAAAACCCAAATGACAATTTCGAAATACTAGTTTATAAACTGGAGATTTTTTTTATTAATTTGTTTAAATTACTGTATATGTATTTAGGTGTATTTATATTGTGAATTGCTTAAAGAAAATGGACAGTCATTGACTCGCTGATGTGCCATACATTTCCCGGAGGTCCACGTACGGATGAACTTATTAGTAATTTGCAACTTTTATACAAACACTAGAGTGCCACCATATCAACTTTTTGGTAGGAAATTTGTAATTAATTAAGTTAGGATCCGCATTAAGTATTTGAATCATAGCCGTCAAGCAATGAATTTGGTAGGAATGAATTTTTTTCCGTATAAGATTCTGTTACTATTTTTCTTTAATTGTTCCCTTTGCTTTGTTTGGTTTTCTTCAACCCACTCTTCATTTGGCAAGGTTTTGATCGTTTTTCGTGCGTGTGTTGGCTTTCAAAAATGGATTTCAGAAGATGAATGCGAAATTGTTTACAAGATAGATCCAACACCACCACGATTCTTTTAGTTGATGGGTAAGTCTCTATCTGCCTTATTTAGAAGATCTCATTCCTTGTATTATAGACGTGTAAGAACCTTATCCATTAATGTTCATCAAGTTGGATTTGTAACATGTTACAACAATTGATTGGTTTATTTGTGTATTTTTTTTTTTCATTTTCCATCATCAATGATTCAATATTGTAGGAATCATAAAGACTTCTATTTCTATGGATGTTCAAGCCTCCGAGTCGACCGCTTGTTAAGTTCTTGGTTAACGATCGAGAACGTATGTAATTCAGATGAGTTTCTAAACAATTGACCCTCTAATCTCTATTCTGATGTCAAGCATGTAAACACTTGATCAATCACTTATTTATATTAAAACACTAAACGTATATATATAATGTAGATACAAATTTACAACTTTTATTAATGCATTTTCATTATTTATAACCACTTGAAAAAAATTTATGACAAAGATTTAATGGTGTGTAACCGTTCTTTTATTAATATGTTTTTATTTAAGAAACAAACATAGGCAAATGTTTGATATAGGAAGCAACAAACACACGTTTACACACCAATACGGGACTATAATTTACTTTCCGACTTGAGAAGGGATGGGAGAGGCGGAGGCAAAGGTGGAGGTGGAGGCGGAGGTGGAACCGAAACCAGGAGGCATGGCGGATTGGGAGGTGGAACCAAGACCGGAACCAGAAGGAGGCAGGGCGGATTCGGAGGTGGAACCGAATAGACGTATCCTGACTAGATCATATATCTTACGCCAATCGGGAAGAAGTTCGTAACGAACTGTTTCTTTATTTGTTCCATCTTTATAGACTATGACGGTCGGGACAACGTTTATTCGATAAAGTTGTACAAGGGATGGGTTCGACGTAATGTCGCCTTCGTAGATTTGCAATTTTCCAGGGTAGTCTATATACAATCGAGTCAATTGATTCTCCATTATAACGCAGAAAACACCGCAATATTCGGCGGACGTAAACATAAGCACTACGGGAAGTTTGGTCTCGGCCAGAGATTGTTCCCATTTAGCTTCTTTAGTCATCATCTTCACTTCCCCTACGTACACATATATTAGATCGAATCAACAGACGATGAAACAAATATATTTATATATAATTCATTAATCTATGTTTAGTTATATTATAGAGTATAAGATCGATGGTCAATTATACCTTGACCAAAGCCGCTACCCACCATGTACATTAGCATTACGACCAAACCGTACAAAACCCTTTTCTCCATTGCTCGATCTTAATTAGTTCTCTTGTTTTAGTAGGAACTTAGGATGTGTAATGATCTGCTGGATTCTTGTCTCGTTTTAAAAGCTTCAATAAGGTCAACTTTTTACAGTCAACTAGTGGTTAACGACCAATCAACGTCATCTCTCTTTCTCCTCACTTAGCGGTCTTTACGTAACTAATGTTCCAGGCCTGAAATTCATGGTTTATCATCACTCTTCTGTTAGAACTCAATAGATATTAGCAAACTAGATGTTTTTTTTATAACATTATAATAATTTTTTCTTTGTATAAATCCAAATGACTATTTTCGATATATAATGTATAAATTCATGGTTTATCATCACTCTTCTGTTAGAACTCAATAGATATTAGCAAACTAGATGTTTTTTTTATAACATTATAATAATTTTTTCTTTGTATAAATCCAAATGACTATTTTCGATATATAATGTATAAATTGGAGAATAATATTTTTATTAATTTATTTAAATTACTAAATTAACATGCATGTTTATTTACTTATTTTAAAACTCATTTGACCGGAGTGTTGTGTCTACAATTCCGGGAGGTCAACGGATGAACTAATTTAAATATAATTTGCCACTTTTATACACGGAAGCAGCAAACACACGTTCACACACAAATACATATAGTTATAGATAAAGAGACGATATTACTTCAAGATAGGACTATAGTTTACTATCCGAATGGAGAAGGGCTAGGTGAGGCAGAATCGGAGGGGGGCATGGCGGAATCTAATATCCATGAATCGAATACCAGATCATATATTTTTTCCCAATCGGAAAGCTTTTCGTAACGAAATATTTCTTTTCCATCTTTGAAGACTATGATGGTCGGGATACTGACTACCTCGTAAAGTTGTACAAGGAATGGGTTCAACAAAATGTTGGCTGTATTGAATATAACTTTCTCACCGTAGGTTTGGGCCAATCGAGCCACTTGATCCTCCACCACAACGCAGGGAAAACCGCACAACGAGGATGTTATCGTAAGCACTGTCGGAAGTTGTGTCTTGGTCAGAAATTGTGTCCATTTAGCTTCTTCAATCATCAATCTAACTTCCCCTACGTACATAATTAAATTATATGTAATCAATAATGATCAAAGAAAATAGACAATTGATCAATTTATGTGAGATGGTTAATTATACCTTGACCAAAGCCGCTGCCAACCAAGTATATTAGCATTACTACCAAACCGTACAAAACCCTTTTCTCCATTGCTCGATCTTCTTCTTCTCTTCGTGTTTAATTAGGAATTTAGGATGTGTAATTAATTTGCTCGATTCTTGTCTCGTTTTATAAGCTTCAATAAGGTCAACGATTTTACAGTTAACTTACTTGATGACTAATCAACATCATCTCTCTTTTTCCTCATTTAAGAATATCTTATTAATTTGAAATATAAACAACGATATCGAAATACTAATTTATAATTTTGGAGGATATTTTATGAATTTCCTTAAACTACTATATTTGTATGTATGTGTATTTACGTATTTTGAAAGTCACTGACCGGAGGGGTTTGTGCCTATATTTCCACGAGGTCCGCGAATAATTATGGGGAATACAAAATTTGAGAATACTAAAAATTCATCTACAAACAAAAACGTAAAAACTCAGTAACTTTTCTGTTGAGTCTGTACGTAGAATTTGAACCTCCCCGTTAGTTTTACCTTTCCTAAACATTAAACACACAAATTCACCATTCCATTTTTTCTTCGCATCACAAGAGCCAAGAGGAAGTAATATAAAAGGAAAATGATGAATTCTTCTTGTTCCAATGTCATGAGAATAAAATATTGGGCTTTTGTATTATATGGGCCTATCTTTTGAATTCCATTTAAAAATGATAAGCCCATATTGAGAGAGTCGATCGAAGTAAAATACAAAACCCTAGCAAAAATACTCACGCCACTCTCTTCTTCATCTTCTTCTACCTCCATCGTTACCGGAAAAGTCTCAGGAAAAATTCTCTGAGATGGTGAAGAAGGAGAGGAGCGCAAATGTGTCCGGGAAACCAAAGCATTCGCTCGATGCGAATCGTGCCGATGGGAAAAAGAAAACCACCGAAGGGCGTTCCGCCAGCACAGTTCGCCGGCTTAAGATGTACAACGTTCGGGTGAATAGAAGACCCGACGGTAAAATCATTAGCAACGAGTATCAGTCCAAGGAATTGCCCAACACGCGAATCCAACCCGATCGGCGATGGTTTGGTGCGTATTGATTTCGAATTGCTTATTTGAATTTCATCACACTCGTGTGAGAGAAAACTGACTTAATTGGATTCATTTGTATCTTCTATGTAGGCAACACTCGTGTTATCGGTCAGGAACAGATTAAAACATTCAGGGAGGAGCTGGAGAAGACGAGGTCTAACACTTTCAATGTCATTATGAAGGAGAGGAAATTGCCGATGTCTCTTTTGACTGATAACAAGAAGGTAAAGGTTCTCACTTGGCTTGAATTCGATACATCAGTGTCTTGAATTTTCGATTTTTGATAGGCTATGGTGATTTTTGTTATAGCAAGCGAGAGTTCACTTGCTCGACATGGAGCCATTTCAAGATGCTTTTGGAAAGAAAACAAAGAGGAAGCGCCCAAAGCTTGTGGCTTCTGATTACGAAGCTCTGGTGAAGAAGGCATCTGACTCTCAGGGTAACTATTTTGATCCAATGTGAGGAGTTATTTTGGCTTGTTTGTACACGAAATGATGTGTTCACTGAAACGTTTTGTGTAATTTTTGAAGATGCATTCGAGGAGACGAATGGGGAAACAACCTTTGGTGAAGGAGGAGAAGAGCAAGATGGGTTTAGAGACCTTGTGAGGCATACAATGTTTGAGAAGGGACAGAGTAAGCGAATTTGGGGTGAGCTTTACAAAGTCATAGACTCCTCTGATGTAATTGTTCAGGTATGTATTGATTCAAAGACATCTTTTTAGTCAAATTCCTTGTTTTTTGGGGCTTACCGGTTTTTGGTATGTGACAGGTTTTAGATGCTAGGGATCCGCTAGGTACTAGGTGTCTTCACATGGAGAAAACTTTGAAAGAGCATCACAAACACAAGCACATGATTCTTCTGTTGAACAAGGTTAGCTGTTTTCATCTTTTGGAAACTTTTCTTGCTGTGTTTCCCTGCTGTGAAAAGTTGCTTACTTGGTATCTACTTGTCTTCCGTGGTGTGTGATTTTAAAAGTGTGATCTTGTACCGGCTTGGGCTACAAAAAAATGGTTGAGAATATTATCCAAGGAATATCCAACTCTGGCATTCCATGCAAGCGCTACCAAGGCATTCGGAAAGGTATTTCATTGATTACACATAGCTTCCAGAGCCTCTGATCTATTGACTAATGTTTTCTGTTTTGGAAGTATTAAAACCAGCCTTTGTTTGCCCTCATGATGGTTGCTTTCAGGGGTCACTTCTCTCAGTCTTGAGACAGTTTGCTCGTCTTAAAAGCGACAAGCAAGCCGTGTGTGTGGGATTTGTCGGGTATCCAAATGTTGGGAAATCATCAGTTATCAACACTTTGCGTACTAAAAATGTATGAACTTTCTTTGTTAATTTACTCTATTAAGAATCTGTATAGTTGAATCCTGAATTGCCAGTTTACTTGTTCTCACATTTTTATCTTTTTTTTTCTCTCCTCCAGGTTTGCAAGGTTGCTCCAATTCCAGGGGAGACCAAGGTTTGGCAATACATCACACTCACCAAGAGGATTTTCTTGATCGATTGTCCTGGAGTTGTATACCAAAGCCATGATTCTGAGACAGATATCGTCCTCAAGGGAGTGGTATGCTACTTGTATTATTGGTCCCACTGAGGTTGGTTAATTGGTTCTCTGCAAGTAGTGCATTGTCTTACTGGTTCACATTTTTCTGTATATGTATAGGTAAGAGTTACAAACCTGGCTGATGCATCTGAGCATATTGGAGAAGTCCTGAGGCGTGTCAAGAAGGAACACTTGCAGAGAGCCTATAAAATAAAAGACTGGTAAATGGAAACTCATCTTTTTCTTCTTCATGCCTTACTTTTGGGACAAAGTAATAATTTTTCCGGTTGCGTAATTTACAGGGTGGATGATCATGACTTTCTCCTTCAGCTATGCAAAGCGTCTGGCAAACTTTTAAAGGTTTGTTTCCTAATTTTGTTCAACAAGTTTGACAGATAGCTTAAGCGTTACTCTGTTTCCGTTGTGTGAGTAAGAATAACAGAAGTTGATGATAACATTGTGTTAGGGTGGAGAGCCTGATTTGACGACAGGAGCAAAGATGATACTCCATGACTGGCAAAGAGGTCGCATACCATTCTTTGTCAAACCTCCTGAGGAAGACGATGTGGCTTCTGAGGAAGCAGAAGCAGGAGAAGAAGAAATCACAGTGCCAGGTATCGATAAGGAAGCCATTGCTGACAACAGTCAGTCAGCTGCTGCGTTGAAAGCAATTGCTGGCATCATGTCTTCCCAACAACAGAATGGTGTTACTGTCCAAAGGAATTTCTTCGACGATGATAAAAAAGCAAAGGTTTCAACTGAAACTAAGGATGAAAACGTAACCGATGCACAAGAAGCTGAGGAGGATGCTGAGTCAGAAGATGGAATGGCAAGTGAGAGTGATTCAGATGAGGATGTTGTGCAAGAAAATGATGAGGAAAACGAGTCAGATTCTGCTTAGTAATAATGAATGTGTTAACACTTTTTGCAAAATTTTGGTTTTTGTCTTGGTTAACTTGAAGAGTGTGACACTCTTGTTAAACTATTTATCATCTACAAAACGTTATTTATTAGAATGATGTCTTGAGATAACACCAAAGTAAAGTTTGGCTCAATGAGTTATGAAACATCACATGACCTCCGATGGAAAACAGGTGGGATGTGATGTTCTTGTTTTCCCAACACAATCTTGGAATGATATTTGCTCTTTTGACAAATTGTGTAATTTTCTACGTTTCAACTATCTTCAGTGACACGGAACATCAAAGTCTTTGATTTTTTTTAATGTAAATCTCAAATACGAAACATTTTTTTTTTTTTTTTTTTTATGAAGCATGTATCAACATGGAAGCTTACACATTACGCAATCAAGAAGAAAGCTTGACATATGTCGTAACGAGTTTCCTCAATTCCTCGTAAGTGGCCGGTCCACGGATACGCATGCCTGTGAAGCCGCCCTTGAACATCATGAAGTAGGGGACATAGCCTAGCACCCCGCATTTTGCTGCGATCTCTCGGTTCAGAGAAATGTCGAGTTTGTAGAATTTACACTTTCCTTCGAATTCTTGGGCCAGTTGGTTCATTGCGGGCTCGATAAAGTCGCAGAATTCGCACAAGGGGTCCACAAACTCAACCATTACTGGGATTGGGGATTTGACTACTAGTGAATCAAACTCCAAACCAGAATCAACTCTCTCCATGATCTCTCAGATCTATCTTAGCTGTATTCCTTTTAGTCCTCCCCGACAAAAGTCGATTAAACAAATATGCTAAACGTGAAATTCGTGACATATATATATATATATATATAATACAAATCTCCTAAGGATCGTTGAAGTCAACATGTGATTATATATTAACAAGTGTAACAATCTTTTATATTTATCATTTAAAGCTCTTAGGCTTCGCTGTCTAAACATGTACAGATGGGTGCAGAGCAAAACAATTTTTTATAAAAAGATAGCTATGATAGTATGATACATATGTTCAATTTGATATGTATGTATTTCTGATCATCATCCCAAAATTATTTGATAATAATTATTACATCCGAAATAATACTTTGGGTTTTGAGAAATTTTATGAAATACACCTCTTGATGTGCAAATTTTCGAAACTACACCTATAGTGTGGAAATTTTCAAAAATACACCTTTTCCCAATTTTAATATATATGTTTGGGTTCATTAATCCTATATTAGGATTTAGATTTTGGGGTTTAGAGTTTAGATTTAAGGGTTCAATGTTAGATTTTAGGGTTTTGGATTTATATTTTAGGGTTTAGAATTTTTTTACTAAATGAAAAAAATGTAGTTTTGAAAATTGGCACCATAGAGGTGTATTTTTGAAAATTTGCACCTCAAGAGGTGTAGTTTTGAAATTTCCCCGTGGGTTTTCATTCCTTTGCATATAGGTTCACGAGACTCATTACTTTCGGCGGATCAAATCCGATGACTTCCGCCTCTATGGATCCGCCTATGAATATATAAGTGGTCGGGAGCTCGGTCACGTAGTAGCGTTTTGCGATGACTGGCTCCTTGTCAAAGTCAATTGTGTAGAATTTGAACCTACCCGAGTATGTCAAGTCCAATTTGTTCAGTATGAGATTCATCATGGGACAATGTTTGCAATGGTCTGATGTGAACATAACCAGTACTGGGACTTCATCAGACATCATCACAAGTGAATCCCATTCCGATTCCGTGATATTTCGTACTACATACATTATAGGACAAATAGAGAGAGTTACAAACGCTATAAACATCAATGCAAAGATAAAACTAGATCAATACTAATTATAAAGTATTGGTTAAGTTACCCGTATTGAGCTTAGCCGGATAGAGCAAGTCATCGTTAGACGGTAGTGATGATGACACGTAAGTCTTGATCAAATGATCTGACTCTAGACACATCCCAATACTAGACCCTAAACAAACCAAGCATGTTACCGTTAAACGGGAAAGAACCCTAATATTCTCCATTGTGATACTTTCTGTTCTCTCTCTAATTTTTTTTTTGTAAGTTGTGTCTCTGCTTAATTAGTATACGTTGTCTCGTTTTATAAGCGTCGTAAAGGTCAATCATTTTCACAAATGACCAATTTTCTTTACGGTCCCTCAGTTCCATCTTAGCTGTAATTTGATTCCCCCCCCCACAAAAAAAAATTGAACTTAAACAAATATACTAAGGGACGTGAAATTCGTGCGTGGCATGTGATTATATATAACACAAATATCCTTAGGGGTCGTTAAAGTCAACATGCGATTGTATGTTAACAAGTAGCAATCTATTTTAGGTTTATCATTTTCGGGCTTTTAATTAGCTACCTTATCTTTACCTTCCCAAAAGAAACAAAACTTATAAAACTAAACACAAGCTTCATGCAAAAAAATTATTTTGATATTCTTTAAAGGAAGCATAGAGCATTGACCAAGGACAAAAAAAAAAAAAAAAAAAAAACAGTTCCACGACCTAATCCTCCCCTTCTGTAATCAGATTAACCCAATTTATCCATTAACCAGAAATGGGAAATTTTGAGGTAAGATTAAATCCTATATATAGATATTTGATCTAATCGAGTTAATGAGCCATAGCTTTATCTGTACTTGTATACGTAGTCAAAAACATTCAGCGACGTAAACATGTCGACAGTTCCAACAATTTTAGCCTTAGGGTACGTTATTCTTACATGTTTTTTTTCTTCTTGGGGTCATATATATTGGATTTAATAATGGGATCGAAACATTCAGAGTCATGTATATTGGATTACATGTTTTTCGGTTATGTTCCTCGTCCAAGTCGATACCGATCTAATAATTGTCAACCGTGGTTTCTAAATAACAATGGAATCCACAAATCTACGAATCGCATGCATCATAGACATATCAACTTTTATCCAATAAAAAAAAACCCTTATATATATATATACTTCAACAGTAATTAATAGAACTAATTTTCCTCAAGAAATGATAATTATGGAATATTGTCTCGTATTATTTTGTGAAATGATTAATTCAAGGAGACAAACATAACTAGAAAGCAAGAGAAGTAGCTAGTGCAAAGAAGCAAAAGTTTGAAAAAAGCTAGGAAGCATCAAATACAAATAAATGGACTCGAGAAGAGACAAGAAGATTCTCAATTTGCAGCTTGGTGCACGAGTAACCTTACCATATCTGGATAAAACCCGTTAACTCTGCTTTCCATGTGTCCGTCTCTGAATATAATAGTGGTCGGAAGAACGGTCACGTTGTAACGTTCTACGATGACTGGCTCCTTGTCAAAGTCAACAATGTAGAATTTCATCCTACCCGTGTATTTCCAGTCCAGCTCGTTCAGTAGGCAGTTCATAAATTGACAATCTTTGCACTTGTCAGATGTGAACATAACCAGCACTGGGAGTTCAGACATCATCACAAGTGAGTCCCATTCCGATTCCTTGATTAATTGTACTATGTGCATAAATGGATAAATATAGAGTTTGTTAAAACGCTATAATAATACATCATTTTTTTTTTTTTTTATATTTTTTTTTTCGACAGCATAAGTTCCTAATTCGGCACGGGAAACGTGATTGGTGGAACTGTGTTTACATAATACACTTCTGATCTCGAGCACTCCGTGCTAGCTTGTCCGCGCTATAATAATACATCAATGCAAAATAAAACTAGAGCAACGATAATATTATATTAATTGTAAAGATATTGGTTAATTAAGTTTTCCTTATTGAGCTTACCGTAACAGCGCGGGTCATCATTAGACGGTAGTGATGATGACACGTAAGTCTTGATCAAGGGATCTGACTCTAGGGACATCCCAACACTAAACCCTAAACACACTACGCATGTTACCGTTACTGCTAAGCGAGAAAGAACCCAAATCTGCTCCATTAATGATACTTACTATTCTCTCACTCTCTCTTTTTTTGTATAAGTTGTTGTGTCTCTGCTCAGTATCCGTTGTCTCGTTTTATAAGCGTCGTAAAGGTCAATCATTTTACATAACCAATTTTCTCCACGATCTCTCAGATCTATCTTAGCTGTATTTTGATTCCTTCCCCCACAAAAACGTAACATATATAAACAAATATATTCTAATTAAAGAACGTGGAATTCGTGACATGCAATATTTTTATATAATTTACATACAACGCAAATTAATCCCCTAAGGATCGTAAAGTCAACATTTGATTGTAAATTAATAGTATAACAATCTATTTGTTGTTTCTCATTGTTAGCCTTTTAGACTCTTACCATATCTAGCGCCTTCGTAATTGTAAACGTGAACATATTAAAAGGTCCATTACTTTCTGAAGATTCAAGATTTTACCGTACAAAATTTAAAATAAGACTAATAACACAAACAAATCTAAACGTGAATTTCAGAAGTTTTTTTTACTTCTTCAAAGTTTCGTTTCAACAGCATGATCTATGGTTTAACCAATCCTATTCGTCATCCTCACCTTAAGAAGTCTTCTCTTTCCTCTCCTCAAATAAAAACACACAAAAAAATCCCTAAAAATATTACTTAAAACTTATTCGCGAGAGATGTGCATCGAGATCTACTTCTAATATTCAAGTTTGCCTTGAGATTCATATACTAATTGTTAAAAAATAATAATTCCAGGCCACTGTATAACTAATAAATATTGTAGTTAGTCAACTATCGACTTCAACTTTTATCCCAAAAAAAAAAAAAAGAAAAACACTATAGTTTTCACTATAATTTTCCTCAAGAAATGTTAATTATAGAGTTTTGTTCTCGTTTTCTTTTGAGAAATGATTAATTCAAGGATACAAACAAAACTATAAAGTATAGAAGCAGTGCACAGAAGCAAAGGTTTGACAAAGGAAGCAGCAAAAGAAGAATAAACGGGCTCATTTCTTAATTTGCATATTGGTCCACGAGTCTCATAACTTTAGCTGGATTAAATCCTTCGACTTTCCCCTCTACGTATCCGCCCAAAGGCGGACCCACATGCATTGATAATGGTTCACTTGACACCCCTAAAATAAGATAATAAGTTAATTTATAAGACAAAAACACATAAATGCAATAGCTTAAATGGTAAAATGCTTTACATTGACACCCCCGAAATACAGGTTCGAGTCTCCAATGACACCTTTTATTTAGTTAAAAAATATTTAGTTGTATTTTGACACAGCTAAAATATATTTCTAGGTCCGCCACTGTATCCGCCTCTGAAGATAATAATGGTCGGTAGCGTTCTACGATATCTGGCGCCTTGTCAAAGTCGATTGTGTAGAAGTTCATCCTTCCCTTGTATTGCAAGCAGGGCCGTCCAGTAGCTAAGGCGAGTAAAGCCCACGCTTTAGGCGCCAAAATCTATATATGGTTTTAGGGGCACCAAAACTGTAAAAAGCGCTTGTAGTCAAGTGGTTTATGTCCTCCTCTGGTGCTCAAGGTCGCCAGTTCGACTCTGGGTTGATGTTTTTATTGTCTTCTTCTTTTCTGGATAAAATTAAAATTTTATTGCTTTAGGCGCTCCACCAGTTCGGCCCGGTTGCAAGTCCAAGTCGTTCAGTATGCGCTCCATCATCGGACAGCTTTTGCACTGGCCGACGTCAGATGTGAACATAACCAGCACTGGGAGTTCTGAATCCATCACAAGTGAATCCCATTCCGATTTCGTGATAATTTGTACTACATATTTACATAAATGGACAAAATAGAGAGTTGAAACGATATATAAAGCAATGCAAGATAGATATTAAAACTAGTGCAGCAGTATTAATCGTAAAGTTACCCGTTTTGAGCTTAGCCGAATAGAGCAAGCCATCGTTAGACACGTAAGTCCTTATCAAAGGATCCGACACTTGACACATTCCAACACTAAACCCTAAACATACAAAGCATGTTACCGTTATTGCCAAACGGTAGAGAACACTAATTTTCTCCATTTGTGATACTTTCTGATCTCTCTCTCTTTGTTTGTGTAAGCTGTGTCTCTCCCCAGTATACGTTGTCTCGTTATAATGAGCCTTGAAGGTCAATGTTTTCTTACATTAAACCAATGACCATTTTTCTCCACGGTCTCTCCGATCTATCTTAGCTGTATTTTGATTCCCCACCAAAAAAAAAAACTAAATAAAACAAATTAATATTCTAAAGGACGTGAAAATCGTGACATGTAATTGTATATAACACAAATCTCCACAGGATCGTTAAAGTCAACATGATGTGATTGTATATTAACAAGTAACAATCCTTCTGATCTTTATCATCAATTACATGCTCTTAACTACCTTATCTTTACCTTCCTAAAAAAAAACCCTTATAAAACTAAACACAAGCTTACGCAGAATTATGTTTGCTATTCTTAATAGGAAGCATAGAGCATTAACCAAGGAAAACAAATTGGATCTACCGAAAGTTCCACAACCTAATCCGCCTTTCTTTTATCCATTAATCTTATTAAGTCTGTTAGTTTTACATGTTAATAATTGGAAACTTCGTTTCGTGCCGACTCTGAAAATATGTGTGGACTAATGAGGATCCAAACCTTTTTTTTTTGTATGTTTTCTTCTCTCAAAAATTACCTTTGCTTGCACCAGATTCTAGTGCAGGGCCAGTCAGCAAATCTTTAGGTTTGTGTGTGGTCAATAGGATCCAACGGATCTCATTGATCCCAGTCTGTGTGTCTTTATGTTTCTACTTGAATCTTGTTGATGAGAGTCGGATTGAGATCCAAATTGTAACATTCATTTCTTAAACGCAGCCAATTACGCACTCATGATGATAATTATATTATATCTTTCACAAGGAGTGTTTTATTTTGAGTACTTATAATTAAAAAGGAGACAGGCACACCAGTCAACAACATAGTAAGTAGTGCAAAGAAGCAAAGGTTTGACAAAGGAAAGCAGCAAATATAAATAAAACACGCGAGCCAAAGGGAGAAAATCAAGCGAATTCCCTCACGATTTCCCATAACCTGTCTGTGTCAACTCCCGGGACTCTAGCCCATTCGTCTCCTTGTATGAAGACAAGAGTTGTCGGGGTAGATTGTACGGCGTAACGGTTTGCGATGTCTGACTCCTTGTTAATGTCGATTCTGTAGAACTTGAACACATTATCCGCGTATTCCAAGCTCATTTGATCGAGTACAACGTCTATCGCACGACATGTTATGCACCCATCGGCTCTGAACAGAATCATCACCGGGACTTTGGACTGCATCACAAGTGAATCCCAATCCGATCCAGAGATAGTAGGAACCACTGTACATAGATCAAAGAGAGAGAATTAAAACGATATAAATCAATGCAAGGAACAAACAGGAAATGGTTTAGTTACGTACGCTTAAGCTTAGTGGAATAGACCAAGTCATCGTTAGACACTACCGTCTTGATCAAGGCATCTGAGCACATCCCAACACTAAACCCTAAACACACCAAGCACGTTACCATTAGTACCATACGGTACGAAACCCCACTGATTGGCTCCATCGATACTTTCTTTTGATCTCTCTCTATGTTTATCTCTCAACCCGTTTTTAAGTGTGTGCGCTCTGTTGGAAAAACATAGTCATCTCTACTCTGGTTTTATAGGCGTCCAAGATTTACATTAATAGCCTCTCACACACTACTTTAGTTTCCGTAATTAGTATAAATTATTGTTCTTGTTTATTTCAAGATATTATTCATTTATTAGAAGCTTCACGAAAGTCAATTCGTGTATATATTAACATATCCACTCACTCCTAAATCCTAATCAATGTTAGCTATCTTTTGTCTTGATCTTCCGCAATTAACACGTAGCTTAAATTACCTAACACGATCGAGTTTCTCAACCCAAGGCGAACGACTTTCCTTAATTTATTTCTTTCTAGATCTTTCGATTGTGCTCACATTCCTTGGACCGACCTTTATAGACCGAATCCGCCTGACGTTTAATGAGCTCCTACATAGTCATCAACTGCCACATTCTGACTCCTTAATCCTTATTGTTTCTTATCTATGCTCAACACGAGTTTCTCGACATGTTCACTTATTATTATAAGCTTGTGTAGATAAGGTGGTTAACCTTGAGATTGGAGAAATTAGATCCCAAGAAACTGATTTCATTTAAATAATAACCACAATGTTTCCACATTGCAGGCCTATACTATATAATATTAGTCACATCACGCAAGTCTCAAGGGGAAACAAAGAAAAAGGTTTTAGTCTAAAATTTAGAAGTATGGTGTGACAGTGCAAATTTTTTATAATATTTTCTTATGTTTTAAGGTCTTCAATTCTTGAAATGTTATGGAAAATGTCCGAAATTTTGAATATTTCATTAAATGAGTACAATTATACTACCTTTTTACTAGTTATGCACAGGCCCACAATGCTTATTTGAAAAGCCTTTCGTTTGCTTTATACATGCTCTAGATCCTCTTCTAGATGCAATGGTGTGGTTGAAGCTACGAATATACTTCCATAAACTTCGAATCAAAGTGAATTTGAGTCTGCAGGTTTTTAGCAATTAGATTCTAGCAACTACGTATAATACCATCCTATAAATAAGCTTCAAAAATGATCTAATATAGCAACTACGTCTTGAAAAAAATTGCCATTTGACCATATTAACTAGCTTTTACTTGTTGGATTTGTCCCGTTCTGATTCTTTACCGTTTGTATCGTATTAATTGTTTTCTTAAGTTTTTTGTAGGCTTTTCAAATGTGTTCGACGAGATCCTACACCATCACATCATATGCTACATTAGTTTTTTTTTTTTTTTTTTTTTTTTTGGTTTTACATGCTACATTAGTTCTCACTCCTTAATCCTTATCTTTTCTTAGCTCTGTACTGAACACGAGTTTCTTGACATCTTCACTTAATATTATAAGCTTGTAGAGATAAGGTGATTGCCTTGAGATCAGAGAAGATAGATTTAAACAACATCATTAAATAATAACCAGGAGATTTCCACATTGCAGACGTATAGTAAATAATATAAGTCACATCACGCAAGTCTCAAGGAAAACAAAGAAAAAAAGGCTCATTTATAAAATTTGCACGTATGGATCTCTGTATTTGTGGAATTAATAAGACAAGTTTCTTTCGCGCATTAAAGATTCAATATTTTCTACATGAGCTTCATGGTCCACTTTAATTTCTTGTTTTATTTTGGGTTATCATATACTATATGAAAAGAGATAATAGACATTCAACAACATGGAGTGGAAAGAAGCAAAGGTTTGACAAAGGAAAGCAGCAAACATAAATAAACAGAAGGCGAGCCAAAGGGAGAACATCAATTCGCGTATCGATCCACGATGTCCCATAATCCTTGTATATCAAGTCCGGGAACTCTAGCCACATCGTTTCCGTGTAGGAAAACAATTGTTGTCGGGACAGAGCGTACAAAGTAACGGTTTGCGATGTCTGACTCCTTTTCAATGTCGATTCTGTAGAATTTGAACCGATCCGTGAATTGCACGTCCATTTGGTCCAGTACGGGGTCTATCACCCGACATGGTCCGCACCAAACGGATGTGAACATAACCATCACCGGGACTGTGGACTGGATCACAAGTGATTCCCATTCCGATCCAGAGATACTTGGTACTTCTTTCTGTTTACATACCATAGATAATAGATCAAACCGAGATCGTTAAAATGATATAGTTCTCTTTCCAAAACATGACGCATGCACTTGATGTAAAAAAAGACTTTTGGATTGAATAAATTTTACATACAATTCAAAAATAAATAAAATGATATAGCTAAATTAAATAATGCAAATATTATTCTGATTAGGGAACCAAACAAGAAAAATGGTTGATTAGTGTACGTACGTTTAAGCTTTGGGGAGTAGACCAAGTCATTGTTAGACACTACCGTCTTGATCAAGGCATCTGATGACTCTGAACACACCCCAACACTAAACCCTAAACACACCATGCACGTTACCGTTACTAGCAACCGGTACGAAACCACAAGAACTGGCTCCATCGATGTTTTCTTTTGATCTCTCTCTCTCTCTCTATGTATATCTCTCAACCCGTTTTTAAGTGTGTGCGCTCTGTTGGAAAAACATAGCCCTCTCTGCTCTGGTTTTATAGACGTCCAAGATTTACATTAACCTTTGATCACACAATAATTTAGTTTACTCTGGCAAATTATATTTATGATCTCGTGTATATCAAGACATTATTTAATTCTTCCTTAAAGTCAAATCGTGTATATGTTAACATATCCACATTCTCACTCCTAATCACTCTCTTACCTGGTGGGGAAAAAAAATATCATTCTTAGCTGTCTTGTCCTATGAGTCTTGATTTCGCAAATTTTGCTTTTAATTTTTTTTTTCCTCAAAACGACTAAAAGTTTGATGTTTATTGATTCTGTAGTTCTAATCAAATCTATTGCTATTGGAATACATGCTTCTAACACTTTTAACTTTTATTCATAAAACACAACTTTCGTATATATATATATATATTTATAATTTATAATTCTTCAGTATATTTTTAGAATATAGAAAAGAGTATTATAGTACTCTTTGTAAATTTCACAATTCTCTCAACTATTAAAATCAACAATCCAAATCTCACTAACCACCCTCACCCCCTAAACATGTTTAAAGTCAATGATGTGTTGTTTTTGATTTTCTAACCACCTGTTACAAAATGATTGATATCAAATACATCAACGTGGATGCAACATCCACTCAACACGAGATTCTCGACATCTTCAATTAAGTATTATAAGCTTAGAGATAAGTTAACTAGCCTTTAGATTAGAGTAGACAGATTGCAAGAAACTGAATTCATTTAAATAATAACCATGCGGTTTCCACATTGCACGCATATACTATATAATAACATTAGTCACATCACGAAAGTCTCAAGGATAACAAAGAGAAGAGTTCATGTATAAAATTTGGCAGGTATGGATCTCTGTATTTGGGGACTAGGACAAGTTTCTTTCACGCATCAAAGATTCAATCTTTTCAACATCATCAGGTGTATCAACTCCATGAGCTTCATGGTCCACTTTAATAACCTGTCACAACCAACATTTATAAACCTTAATAATTTGTGCCTTACTTCTCCCTTTATTCTCTCTAACTAAAGCGTTTAGTGTTTGTTTGCCTTTTACGTTACCTTCATTTTGTAGCCATTCTCAAGGACTTTCAGCTGCTCTAGATCCTCTTCTAGCTGCAATGGCGTCGGCTGAAGCTCCGAATATACTTTCAGAAACTTCGAATCAAAGCTCTGAGAACCACAACATATACAAAGATAACCAAGAATGAGATCAGATCATATAAGAAAACTGTATTAGAAACACAAGCTGCTCTGTACCTGAATTCCAAGATGAAGCATGTAAGGGAAATCTGGATTGACTTTACCACTCCTAAACCGCACAAAACATTACTAATCAAGATAAGACATTGGGAAGAACAAGATGATGGATGATTCATTTTACAAATACAAAACAAGAAACATGACTTACTTGTTATAAGGAATCAATCCCCTAGAGAAATAGATAGCATAGCCACGATTATCCACCACGCATTTAACTCGGTTAAGATCAAGCCCGTCTTCTGGTTTCAACGATGTCACCGCTGTGCTAAACACTGCATCAGGTGCTACCTAAAAACATCACAACCATAAAGGAACACACTATTCAACAGCAAGAAGCTAAAACATATTTGAAGACACAAGATCTTGATTCCAGTCCAAAGTACAACATATATAGACGAGACCTGAAGTGCTTTGACAACGCCGTCTATGATCTCAGGCTCAATGAGTGGTTCGTCACCTTGAATGTTTACAACCACATCATACTTCTTCTCCAGCTTCTCTAGTGCTTCGTTGCACCTCTCAGTACCTAAACACATCACCCCAAAATGATACAGAGCTTTAGCCACAAAACCATCTTCCAAGCCACAAGATAGAAGCAAACGGTACACAGACCATTTCTACAAGACTCTGAAGTCATGACCACATCAGCACCAAATCCACGACAGCAATCCGCAATCCTCTCATCATCCGTCGCTACAACTGATCAAAGTTAAAGATACAAACAAATTCAGGCATTGTAATATCAACAATCACAAGTTTCAAACCAATAAAATTAGCTGTAGCTTCCAAGCAAAAACAAGCCAATTAATGAAAATCATAACAGAGATATTATAAAGTACAGAAATTGTTATGAATATAACTAAAAAGAGTAGAGATCTGAGTAAACATTACCAACGTGATCAAGCGTAGTAGCTAACTTCGACCTCTCCCAAGTTCTCTGTTGAAGAAACAAGTCCACAAAGTGAGACGAACATATTGTATCGTTACAAACGAAAGAAAGTTAAATCTCCAGTAAATTTTGCGACTTCAGGAAAGAAACTACGCCAGATCCGACACGGGTGATTGAGATTTGAACTTATAATAGGCAGAGATAGTGAGAAACACTATGGAGGAACCTGGATCATGGGTTTGCCGAGGATTTTCACGAGAGGCTTACCCTCGAATCGAGAGGAAGCGTATCGTGCGGGTATGATTCCGACGACCCGGCTCCGGAATTTCCTGGATTGGCCCAGATACGCACGTGCGCCAATCGCCGCTGCAATTGCCGTTCCGGCTAAGATCCCGTGTACGATCCATGTTTTCTGAGAAGAGGAAGAAGACGATGAGGAAGAACAGGCTGCCATTAATTACGGTCTCTAATTTGCTCCGGCGAGAGTGTGAGAGTGAGAGAGAAACAGAGAGATTCTGTTAAACAGCGGTGATAAATGGACCGGTCTGGTCCGGTTTAATGAACATTCCTTCCTTCCTTCCCACTGCTCAATTTGCTTAATCGCTTAATTATGGAATCTAATTCGGTAAACAATTTAAGCAAAACCAAAAAATATTAAACAATTTGATGAATAATTCAGAAACAAATGAAAAGGAAAAACAAATGTACCTGAAAAAAATGTGTCAATTTTATTCATGAAAAAAACAAATCATTGAAATAACTGACTTTCAATTTAAATTATCAAAAATAAATAGACCCTGTTTTTTTTTTTCTTCTTTTCAAATCAAATCTAAAATAATTGTTTTTGGAAACCAAAAAAAAATCAGTTGTGGTTTTTGTAAATACCGGACCAGAACTTCTTACTACCTATATTTCGGTTAATTTTGAGAAGTAACTAAATGAATAAATACAGATAAATCAGAAAACCTAAACTTAGAAATCAAAACAAATCCCCCTTGACTTATATCCATCCTAAATAACTAAACTCCAGGTTTCCTTTAACAAAAACTAAACTCCAGGTTTCATGACTAAATATAAAGGGTCTTTAAAACTTAAAACTTTGGTTTTTTACCTGAAAGTCAACATTTTGAACAACAAAGAAACAAGTAGCAAAAAAAAAAATCAAAATGAACTCAGAAGAAGATGTGTTTAGTTTAGTAACCGTGCTCGGCCTCGCCGTTTTCATCGGTCTCTGCATCTTGCTCGTTGTTCTTGTAGCAACCTCAGCGATCATCCTTGCGATATACGTCATCATCGACTGCATGCTCAGACCATTCTTAGGATCATGTCTCGACCTAGATCTCGAAATCGGAGTCCAAAGAGGCCAACAACGTGCTAGAATCGTGACTTACCACGCACTCATCCCATTGCCAAATTCCGAGAGAGAAGACGCAAAAAGAAAACGAGGGCTGGGACAAAGCGCAATCGAAACCCTACTACCAAAGTTACTTGTAGGACAAGGCAACAACCACGAGAACGAAGAAAGGTCAAGAGAATGCGCGATTTGTCTAAGTGGATATGTCGTTAACGACGAATGCAGAGTGTTTCCGGTTTGCAGACATATGTATCACGCGCTTTGTTTTGACGCTTGGCTTAAGAATCATCTCACATGTCCTACTTGCCGTAATGATTTGCCTGATTCATGACAATCGAACAAGCTCTTGCGTCGTGTTGTCGTAACCTGTACATATATAACTTGTCTCTTCTTCAAGAGATCTCTAAAATCCAAACCCATTTGCTAACTCACATTGATTCACCTTCTATTTGCAATTGGCATCAACCTTGTACTATTCAAGCTCCGGTTCGGTTTTGGTGACTTGGTAAAGTAGAAATAGCAACCAAGCTAGTACCATATCGGTTCGGATTCACACGGTTTAGGGATTTTTGGTTTAACCCTGAATAAAATGTTAACTTATAACGCTAATTTTTGTTTTTTTTCGTTAATCAGAACTGATAAACGTAAAATTAAATTAAAACCTCAATAAAACCACTTGTCCTTTTCCTAACTAAACTACTTTTCTAAACCCCAATAAGATAAAAAAACATAAAAATCTGACTTCTACTCCGTGTTAGATTTCTTCATCTCCACAAATCTTCTTCCTCGAGTCTTCTTCAACATTGATGCTTTTGATCGTTGCGATTCAGTTCTGCTGAAAAACGCAGCGTCCAATATTTCCAAGAAATTCTCTGATGCTATCACAATTTAGCCAGAAAAAAACAAGCAATAATTATCATCACCATAATAAATATTAAAAACAACCTGTAGAAAGAAGAAAAAAAAGCATAATTAATTCAAAAGAAAATCTAAAAGTACTCGATACAAAAGCTAAGAAAAATAACATACATGAGACTGAGAGAAAGTCATAAAATTTCAACAACTAATAAAATATACATTACGAGAGTTTACTTCTCAGTTTCTCATTAATATTCATAAGAAGATAAAATTATCATAACAAGAGACTTTTCTTTCCCTCTAATTTCAAGATGGTTAAAAAGCATGAAGCAAAATGGTGGATTTGGCTCACCTCGATGCTCTGCTTCTCTTATTTGCGTTACTACTCGCTGTATTAGCATTGCTCTGAGGCGGTGCGTTAAGTTGAAGATCCTTGACTCCTAATTTAACAAATTCATCCACCACTGGCTTCATATGTTTAGGCACATCGGTCCTAAACTTCTGAGAGCCGCTCTGGCTAGCTTCTTCAACATCTTGAACTCCTCCTTTCACCATCGATCCCAGAGGAGCTCCGTCTCGATAAGCATTGCACGCTTTCACAATGTCATGAGCTCGCACGAAGTAATGGCTACGCACAAACTCTTCAAAATGCTGCACATTCATTACATCACATCAAAACAGTTTCAACCCAAACTTTGGCAAAAAAAGGTTTCAGCTTTTCTTCAAGAACATTCAAATTTTTGCAGAAAGGTTGCAGCTTTGTTACCTTGGGTGGTCTTCTCATGCTGTAAACCATCGTGTTCAACGATAGTAAGAACACGTTCTCACTGTAAACTTTAGAATGTGCCTCGCCAGAAACGGTCCCCGCGGAGCCCGCCCAGCCAGGTTCGTTAAAGTATGGTTTTTGATTCAAGATGAGTGCTTGGATTGAGACGAGAAGCTGTAGCATTGTGGACTCCTTTGGGAGCCACTTCTCCCTTGCGTTGCCTGCCCAGGTACCGAGAAGACTCAAGCACACTTTACCACAATTGTACAGATTCGGGTTGATTCTAAGCCCACCGGAATGGTAATAAACTTTCTGTCAAACAAAACAAAATTGACATTCTTGAGAAACAAACACACAAGAACGTCTTGAGAAAAGTTCCTGAGGAGACATACTGGTGGCACTGCAGGATAGGTATCTGGGAACTGAATATCGAAAAAGAAAAGACCGTCATGGTATGGAGTTCCCTCTGGTCCAATAATTACAGCTCTCAAAAGGTCCATCCTTGATTCACATGCTCTGACAAAGATTGTTTCTGTTTGCAAAACAAACAAGAAAGAGATGAAATTTTATAACAGAATGTTGAGAGCATTGATCTGCAGAAGTGTGTATAAACCAAACCTGGCAAATCATTCTCAAGAATCTTCCAATCTGATTGAACCTTTTTCACCCAAGGCTTTGAGTGCTGATAAGAGAGGCAGCTAAAATGTTAGAATGTGAATGAACAAGTTATGGAGATGATAAAAAGTTTAGTCTTCTCACTTGTTTTGAAGCTTTTCCCTTAGAAGCATAGTGATGATCTGAGAAGTCCTCAACAGTGTCAAATCTTTTGAAGTTCTTGAGAAACACTTCCTGAGGTGAACAAACAACCTCAGCAGCTACACGGCGAGAACGCCTAGAAGAGCTAGCAGAGCCATCAAATGTGAAAGCTCTTGAAGGAGGACCAGGCATCATCACTACATCTGGAGTTTGAGGAGAATGGACTGTTTGGTTGTTCTGATGAGGCACAGCCAAACCAGAGTAAAAATCCCATGACTGAGGAGGAGCATAAGGATTCGCCAGAAACGGGTTCCAATTCGCGGTTGCCTTGCTACCTGATTGAGTCTTGGAAACTTGAACGGACGTTGGGAAACCATCAATCTCCATCATATCATCGTTGTCAAACTGACTAAGAGGGTTATGATCATAATAGTCTTGTTTTGCCTTCCCTTTGTTCTTCTTATCGGCAAGATTGTTGTTGTTGTTGTTGTTATTAGAAACGACGCCATTGCGGAATTCGTACTGCTCCACATCAATCACTTCAGGGACTCCAGACTACAAATAGATAAAGCAGCAAACTTTACAATTTGATCAACAAATTGAAACAGAGAAACAGTTGAAGCATAGTAATCGTGAGAATACCAAAAGCCCCAAGAGCTACAAGATCAACCAGAACCAACATAAACCCTAAATCATCAGAACAAAACCCTAAGACACTAATTAAAAAACCCAGATGATCATCACTCGCAGCAACGGAGCCCTAAGAAACAAAAAGTTCACTTTTTTCCAGGTAAATCAGTGAAATTGAGCACAGTAAAACAGATTTTATCACCTGGGAAACTCATAATCACAGCAACAAAGGAATAAAAAGATCGAACCTTTCTGGGTTTCCGAGTTCTGGGAGGGAAAGGGACGAGAGGAGGAGCGATCTCCACAACGTCGGGCTCCATTGTGGCGAATTCTCCAAAGAATAGATTCTTTCTGTTCGGAAAACTGAAAATAAAAATAAAAAAAGAGAGGATTTTTTGTTCCTCGGAATTATAGGAAAAAGTTTAGGGGACTCTTCGCATTCGCGCCGTAGTATATATATGCATATACACCCAAACACTGAAGATTTTCTCTCTCAATCGCTTTGAACACTTTTTAAAGCAACTCAGTCCAATTTTTAAAATTAACTATTTTTAATTATGAATTTCCAGTTTTGGGTTTTTACTTTTTAAGTCAATCAAAGTACTAAAAAGATGGTCTCTGCTGATGGACCCCACAGAAAAAACCGAACACTTGTTTTTTTTTCCTTATTTTGGTGATGTGGCGGACTCGACGGTGTTGATGAATCCAAGTAAGATTTTAATTTTAATTCAACGGCTGGGAACTAATGAATTTATCACTTATTTATTTGCCTTTCCGATATTAACAAAGCAAATCAAAGGTGAAGATAAGATAATCTTAAACAAGATTACACAAGATTTTACATCCACAAAATAAATCTATCATTGGTTTATCTTTTTCTGTGAGAAAACAAAAATTAAAGAAAGGAGTAGGATATTAAAAAGGAAAAAAATTACCAAACACAATAAAATTAAGAGAATTACGCCTCTTCATTTTAAATTCACAATTTATGCAATATTAAAAATCATAGAATTGACATTTTGATTATCCCACATTCTTGTCCAATACCAAAACCTTCAGCAGTATTACTTAGTTATACTTTTACATGATACTAGGGTTTGACCCACGCCTGCACGGAGTGATGGTTTCTGAATTTGTATTTTTATTAAAAGATGTTTATTTAAATATATCTCAAAATTTTATGCGACGGATTTTTAATCTTTGTTAGATTATTGTCTTCGTTTATTCGTTTATAATATGAAAATCAAGCATTTTCTACTATTTTTTAAAAAGGTAAATAGATTAAAGTCTTGGATGTAGCCATATATTAAATATGATAGATTTAAGCGAGATACATAAAACTCAAATGACTACAGTATAATAAGTTAGTTTAAAAAACAAAAAATGTGAAAATAAAACATTATTCTTTACAAAAAAATTATACTGTATTTCATAAGATAAGAAGTCTTAGCTGTGTGCACACATATTAGAACTAATTTTTTTTTCTTTTAAAACTAAAACACGGATTAAAATCAATTTTTTTTTTTTTCAAAAGGATTAGAATTATTTTTTTTCCTTCTTTCAAAACTAAAACACGGATTAAAACCATTTTTTTTCTTTCTTTCAAAACTAAAATATGGATTTTTTTCTGTCTTTCAAAATTAAAACATGCTTTATTATAATTTCAAAACAATCCAACCAATAAGAAGACAATCTGCATAATCTAAATTGTTTAAAAATATAATTAACTTTATAATGAAAGTTGAAATAGATGGAGTAATATTCAAATTTTTAATCAAAATAAAAATTTATTAAAAAAAATTATTCAGTTTTATTATAGAATTTAATTAAAAACCATATTAAATGGAATAAAAATAATATGAAGCTGCTTGATACCTACTAAATGAGGTTATATACTAAACAATTTACATTATTTTGTTTTTAAAAATTCAAATCATAGCATATTCAGAAAAAGATTTAGATTTTCTTTATTAGTTTTCTTATATGATGATTCATATTATTTTATAAAATAAAGTTAAACAAAGATGATAGAAGATATATAGTGATTTAAAAAAAATATTATGATAGAAATCAATTGGAATTTCATATCTTCCTTATTTACTTATTTTCGTAATTGCCATTTAAGGAAAGAAAATAATAATAAAGGGATGGTAAGCATAATATGCAATGGCATATATTGTAATTTTTCTAGTAAATGTTGTCTTATTTAAAAGTTGAGCTGAGAGTGAACCTGGTGATGACACCTAAGCAATGACACTCTTGTTAATAACACAGATAGTGTTTTCTCTTTTATATATTAGGGATTGTTAACATTTTTAGTTGCTGTGCTTATTACATGACTCTACTCTCTTGTGTTGTGTTGTGTTGTGTAAATTAGAAGAAAAGAAAAAGAAGAAACCAACAATATATGTCACTAATCACTTCCTTTTGATTCGATTCCATGAAAATCGACTTTGAACACTCTCAAACTTTGAATCCTTCGGATCTAAGACACAAAAGATGAGCTTCGATCCATTTGGTGCAAGCGGATTCACCATGCTCTACGATGCACTCATCTCTTAGCTTCTTGGTATCAGGACAAGCACAACATATCCTCTTCTTTGGTTTAGTAGCCTCAGTCACGACCACCGCATCTTTGCTTGGCTGGTTCAATGAGCACGAGCTGTCTTGTGCTTGTGACAAACCACTCATCCTATCATCAATATTCTCACAACTCAGAAACCACATTCAACAATAACCAAAGAGCAGTGGCAAATTAGAAACAAGAGCATTAATCAACATTTGATATTCAAAAGTGTTAATTGAACATACACGAATATATATAATCATGAAAATGTAATGATTTGAATGCTCTTCTAATATATATCCTTGAAAATAGTTTCTTTTTCTTCTGATTACACCAAGGAGTTTAAAACCTCACATAATCTTCTATCAAACACAGATAAATGAAGTAATTCGAATGCTTTTCCAAGTCAAATCTATAAAACGATATTTCGAGCATAACTGCTAACACAGCAAGATCCAAAATTGACTAACTTTGGTTCTTAAAACTAAGCTTTAAAAGTGTCTGATAACAATTTAGCTATGATCATGACAACAACATCGATAAGCAAATCAGGTAAAACCCTAAATAACATTACTCGGAACTTAAAAGTTAAAACCTTAAACCCCAATTTACGAAATTTCATCTCCTAGTGGAGAACCATCGCATCACTACCAAATCAGAAGCCGATGAAGCAACATTTCCAATCCGATTTAAACAGCAATCAGAGAAACAATTAAAACAAAATCCAGGGGAAATCTGAAAAATTATTCGCATAATAATATAATCCTGTGATTAGGAAAGTTAAAAAAAAAGAACGAGACAGCAAAATTACAGAGAATTAACGAAAGAACGGACCTTTGATCGGTTTGAAGGAGGGAGAAGAGTAAAAAAAAAAACGGAGAACAAGTGAGAATCTTCTGACAACGAAAACGCTAGAAAGGAAGAAGAAGGAGAAATGGAGAAATGTAAGCTAACACAAGAAGAACCTTTAGATTCGATTATTTAGTGGGCCGTAAATGGGCTACACTAAGCCCATCTATTTCCACAAATTAACAGAGGAGAACAATTAACAAGTAATATAGGGATAAAAATATAATTAACAAAAATAAGAATCTCAGATTCTGTTCACAATGAGTTTACTTTGGATGGATTAATTAAGCAAATACATGATCTACATAGCAAAATTAAAGAACAAGGCATCAAAAGAGCTGTCACTTTTTCTTTCTGGTCCTAAACCCATTTTTAATCCTTGATCTTCTGAATCTGTGAAACCAAACTATTCATTGTTTGGTCTGATTCTGACTATATGCGTTCAGTTTCTGTCTTCCTCTTTATCAAATCTGAAGATCATATCTTTTTGCTTAACCCACAAGTTAAAAAACACAAAATCAAAAAAATCAAAAACATTTAATCATACTTCTCTCTCCAAGAATAAACAAGAAAGAAAACCCAAGAGATCCCCAAAGCTATATCTCCAAGAGCTTGTTTAGGCCATTCATAAGCAAGATCTTCAATTTTCCACTCGAACAAAACCCTCCACGAAGCCACCAACAGATAGAGAAACACAGAGCCACAAGCGAAGAAGCTGTGAAACTCTCTGTCTTTGACGAAAGACACCATGAACAGTACCAAACCAATTGCAAAGAGAAGCAAACCAGAGTAGGACTGAGAAATCTCTATGAGTAGCTCGTCGTGTGGCGTTGATCCTTTCAGTTTGCTCGCAATCTCGCTTCCTAGTCCAAAGATCGAAGCTTTCTCTGTGTAGAACATCATTAGGGTTCCACTAGTTAGAGCGATTATCGAATGGAGTATGCAGATTACACGAAACAGAGATGGATTCATCGAAATTCCTGTAGTCATGAAGATGAATGAAAGAGAAAGACTTTATCTTTTAGTTGGGTTTTTTTTCAAATTGATCGAAAAGCTATGGACTTTTTCAGGAGTTTGTGTATCAAAGTATAAAGACAAACAAAAAAAGAACAAGATATTTAGGAGAAAAAGGAAAGCTTTTGTTCACGGGTTTCATCCAGATTGAGGATTTGGCTTGTTTGGGAAATGAATAAAGAAGCCATGGAGGGAAGGTATGGAGTTGGCTTTTGGGAAGAGAGATGATCTGTTTTAGAGATTTGGACTTTGATAGATTCCATGATTTTGATTTTGATTTCTTTAATATATAAACTCTTCAATATTTTTATATGATTTTTTTGGTTGATGTGTGGGTCACTCTTTGGCCAATTTCATTTTTTTCTCTTCTAGATATGGTAGACAATTTCTAACCCCACGTCCGAGCTAATTATTAATTATGACTACTTAACCAAAATCGGGAATTACTTTACGTTTAATATAAAGAGATAAAGATTGGATTACACAATTTTATATTATTCTTTTTCGGAAATTTGAGGTGGAGAAATAATTGAAAGATTCCAGGCAAAAATACAAAAGAAGAATAATTGAAAGTAATAAATTTCTGTGGGGTCGAAGAAACGCATCGGCATGGACTCGGTTTATGGAGCTATTTGATTTAATAAAAACTTCCAATGTACATAATTTTATCAGGATATACTTGTTGTATATTTGGAATTTGGACATTTGTTAATATCTTCTCTTTTTAGTTTTTATTCAAAGATATTTTGGGGAGGAAATTTAGAACCATTATTTTCTGGCGTCGACATAGACTGCACCAATGAGAAATTCACAAAATATCTAATTGAATCTCTCTTGCTTCTTGTATGGATTCAGATTATCTGATTTTTTTTTTTTTTTTTTTGCTTTGTAAAAAGTAATACGATATACGAACAATACTTTTTAAAGTAAAGCAGGTAAAAAGTTACAAAAATACCGCATGAAAAGATTATCAGTGATAGAATTATATACTTGATTATATTTAATTAATGCCAAGTGGAAAAGAGACCATCAATTACGACAATGGCCCCACACTCGACGTTAATATCCATAGCCGACAAAAATATTATCCACCGGTTCTAATTTCGGTTTAAGCTTATAGCGGTTTTTATTTCGGTTCAACGATTCTACGTTTCAACCAATAACCGATAGAGAATTGAATCCATGCAGCGGTTTTTTTGTTTACGTAACTTGGGTGGCAGAGAAATTAGTCGTTAATTAGTTTGAAAGAAACAATAAGAATGTTTTTAAAATTTATATAAAACTGGCCAAAGATTCACTAGTTAACTTAGTTTTATCATAGAGACATTTTGATGAACATGAAACCATCTCCAGCTTCCTCTTTGATATTAAACATTATTACTTGAATCTAGAGCAACATCATTTCCCGTAACAGTATATATAGTTCAGTGGGATTGATTATTACAATTTAAGCAATACATTGTCTTAATTAAAGCACATCACAACATAAAAAAATAACATAAACTTTTCATCGAAGGGGGGTATGAGATAGTGTACCTTAGCTGAATCCATATAGACAAAATCAGTTGCGGAAAGCAGAACGCTTGGAGCGTTGAAGGTGATGAATGAAGAGATCTACACGATAAAACCATTCTTGAGACCAACGTGTGTCTATGCAGAGAAACACAAACAAGGCCAAGCATGTGGAGATGTAGACTGCACCACAAGTCCAATAAAACCACTCCATGTCTATCACTTCATCATCTTCTTCCTCTTGGGCATTCGTTGGTGCACTTTCCTCCGGGTCGCAACTGATATTGGTAGGACGTCCACAAAGATTAGCATTTCCTATGTAACTATGTTCGCCAAAGGTTACAAGATGGCCTTTGAAAGGGATTTCACCAGAGAAATTGTTGAAAGAGACATTGAAGTATCCCAAACTGTTGAGGTTGGCTAGCACGGAGGGATGTTTCCATAGAGCTTATTGTTGGATAGATCCAGACTCTCCAAGTTATGGAGCTTTGAAATGCTATATGGTATGGAGCCTGTGAGGCGGTTGCTTGAAAAATTCAAACTTCTTATGTTCACCAGATCTCCAATCTCAACTGGAATCTCACCAGATAATTGGTTGCTCGACAAATCCAGACCATACATGTAACTAAGAATCTCACCTTGATATGCTTCATATCTGCTCTTCGTTAAAAAATCCACAACGTTTTATTACTGGAATTCAAACTCGTGATCATTAGTGAGGTAAAGAGCTGATGTATAACTCCAATTCTGCAAGTATTTAGTGGGTTTTCGAAGAATTGGTTTCCCCACTAGTATCTCCAAAAGACATGTTACCCAAACATGATGGTATAACACCATTGAACTTGTTATGAGATAAATCCAGGATACCAATTCACTCAGCTGACATATTTCTCAGGGATATGACTTTCTAAGCTGTTATTTCCCAGAAGAAGAACACGTAAACTAGACCCCTCTCCAATAGTGTTGGGAATCTTTCCTGAAAAATTGTTGTTCCAAATCAACTACTTGTAATCTCTCAGCCTTGAATAAATGCCCGGAATGATCCCCAAAAATCGTTGTTCTGTAGTCTTAATTGTTGGAGAGATGAAAAACTCACATTCATTGGTATCGATCCAGAGAAGCTATTGTGTGACATGTCCAATACCGTTTAGACTTTGTAGTAGATGATGAGGGAAAGGCCTCTTAGCTGATTTCCCCTCATGTTAGGTAGAAAATTCTTGACAGTCTGCCCATCCAAAGTGGAACCATGCCGGAAAACTTATTATATGATAAGTCTAGAATCTCTAGTTCCTTTGAATTCAACAATCCCTCTCCTATACTCCCACTAAAATTGTTTCCATCCAGATATAAGTCAAGTAACTAGTGAGATTTGCATGCTCTGGAAATATTTCCCTTGGATTGTTGTTGGAGAGCTTTAGAAGTTGCAATGAGTAGCAGCCACTCAAAAAGTTTTAGGTAGCTGCCCAGATAAACCGTTGGAAGACATGTCTAACACTTCAGACTTTTCATCTCGCCCATAGAAGATGGAATGGTTCCATGAAACTGATTCGAAGAAAAGTTCATGTACACCATCTTAGGAAAGACAATCCCTATGTCTTCTTGAATTGAACCATATATCATGTTACTCGAGATGTCGAGAAACTGTAACCCATGAACAAGCCTAGGTAGCTGAAGCTCTGTCAACATATTATTATCCAGAAAATCACTTGCAATCTTGTGTTATTCTGCACAAGCCAAGTTGGAAATATCCCAGTCAACTTGTTATGTGAGAGATCAACATAGAACAAGTCATGCTGATGAAAAAGAAACCCAGGAATTGTGTTTCCAAGAATGAAATTGCGTAACACTAGCATCTTCAACTGAAACATGGAACCCACGGGCTTTCTGCCTCAGCTTGGATGTACCAACTTTTGATGATAGTTTGAATACTGTGAGCCTTGTGTGATTGACCAGCGAGTTGAACAAGAATGAACCATTGAAGTTATTACCAGAAGCGACAAGTACTCAAGCTCTGGTGGTAGACCAGACACAAAGGCAGACAGGTTTCCATTCAATTGGTTGTTGAGAGTTCAAGAGTTCGAAGACGGCTTAAGTTACCCAGACAATTAGGCATACTTGTCAAAGCATTCTTCCTTAAATCCAGCTCTCGAAGATTCGTCAATCCGCAAAGCTTTGAGTAGCCTGAAATTATTCAGAATGAGAGAATTGGTCTCACTTTAAAAAGAAAAAAAAATAATTCATCCATCCAAAATTCAGTTGGAGAACTGTGAATCTTTATGTTTGGAGCAAGGCAATGAGAAAAATATAATGAATGAATGAGATTCAAATGATTTTTTGTAAATTTCACCTTCGTGGGCAAGACAATTGATTATATTAAGATTAATACTTGTAAAGAGGAAGGAAGCACTAAACCTGCAATTAGAACGATAGAAACTGATAGTAATACAATATTCATATAAAAAAACAATATTCAGAATATTATCACAATCTGCGATAATGATAGAGTTTTTCTCTTGAACCATCTTACCTAGGCTGTCTAAGTCGGCGAATTATTGCCGCTAGATCCAGTTCTTGCAACTTTGGCATATCTTTGAGTGCTGCACCAACACAGTTATCATTCTTACTACAAATATTCAGTTTCCATGGTTAAGACGTTAGTCACTTCCTGCAAGAATATTTTACTCACTTACCTTGAATAGATGGAGTGAGTGTAAATTTATTGCCTGCCAACTTCAAGACTTGTAAATTTACAAAATGTTTTAAACCTGGAGAAAGCAAAAACAAATGTGTTATGACTTATGATTAGATAGTACACTTAGTTGGCTAAAGATGATAAAGTCCGACTTACCTTTAAGTCGTGCAGTTTCTGAGAATCTGTTCCAGCTAAGATCTAATGTTTTCAGCTTCATTTCTCGTAACCCTGCACCAACATATTATTCAGTCAATAGCGATGTTATAAAGCCAACCAGAATATCAATTATAACTCTCTTTGTTTTTCTTCTTCTTCTCACCTTCACCAGCCTCCAAGTCTTTTATAAGGTTGTTTCGTAGATCCAGTCCTTCCAACTCCCTGAAATTGTTGAAACCTGCACACCAATGCATGTCTCCAATATTAGTCTCCTTCGGTTCTTGTGAAAAATTAAGGAAATCAAGGTCCTTAGTATCCTGATTCTACGAAATAAGGATTACCATTTGGAGGAAAGACACCTTCCAGTGAATTGCTACTAAGATTTAGAAACCTGAGAGACCTTGCTGCACTTAGAAATGAGAGAACACTTGTGTTGAAATAATTTCCCGAAAAATCAAGGGTCTCCAGGTTCTCAAGTCTCTGAAAGCTCTTATAACCTGAAACCGTAAAAAAAACTATTAAGACAATTGGAGACAAACTCAAACAGTATAGAGGTAAGAATGTACCGTAGATGGGATCAAACAAGCGATCGAACTTATTATCTGCAAAGGCAAAGGTTTTGAGTTGAGGGAAGCTATGGAGCAAGGAAATGTTTAACCCCCGAGGTGGATCCATAAACATGAGTGCATTAAGTGAGAGATTGACGATGTGGCCACCGATAGCGTCACTGCACGTTACTCTCTCCCACTTGCAGCAGTCACTTTTAGGATCATCATCACTCCATGACTCGAGAATACTTCCTTCTCCCAAACCATCAAGAGAGTTGAGATACGACTTGAGCTCCAACAAACCCATCCGTTCACTCTCTACACAGCCTACACATCCTTTCATTTGGAATTGGAGAATCATCGCTACTACTATCAACACCAAAGCCATCTGTTTCTTCTTTACTTCTCGATCTGTATTTTTAAAAACTGAATTAGAAACCAGACAGATTGTGGATTTTATTTTTTATGTCATTATAGGGTAGAGCTTAAAGATCTTACCACTTTGAGATAGATTTTTTTTGCAGTGCTCAGAAGAACAAGAATGAAAAACAATGAATGATTGACTCTTGATTTAAAAACTTCATATGCTATCTTGTAATGGATCGTGTAATTAAGGCACAAAGACTTTTCCAGTGATTGGGGTCTACTTGAACGTGTGATTCAGGCAACAAGTGAAACCTTTGGGTCTTTTATGTCTATCGACTGCTAACTTTATACTCCGGTTAAAGCTTATACCGGTTTTTATTTCGATTCAACTGTTCTGCCGTTAAACAGATACAGAATTAAATCCATCCAAGGCTCCTTCAACGATGAAGAAACAATAAAACACATCCCATTATAAAACTGGCAGTGATTAAAAAATTTATCATTTAAATTTTAGTTATAACGGCAAAATTTCAAAAACACATTTTGGATCACGAGAATAGTTTCTTCTAACTACTTAAACTGTATATAAAAAAAAAAATCTGCATCAAAAATAAGATCTTACAAAAGATTATCAGTTACAGAATTATATACTTGATTATATTAAATTAATGCCAAGTGGAAAAGAGACCATCAATTACGACAATGGCCCCACACTCGACGTTAATATCCATAGCCGACAAAACAATTATCGACCGGTTCTTATTTCGGTTTAAGCTTATTTCGGTTTTTATTTCGGTTCTACGTTTCAGCCAATAACCGAGACAGAATTGAATCCATGCAGCGGTTTTTTTGTTTACGCAACTTGGGTGGCAAAGAGATTAGTTTTTTTTCTTATATATGGCAGAGAAATTAATTTGAAAGAAACAATAAAACTGGCCAAAGATTCACCAGTTAGTTTTATCATATAGACATTTTGATAGATGAACATGAAACCATCACCAGCTTCCTCTTTGAAATTAAACATTATTACTTGAATCTACAGGCTACAGCAGCATCATTTCCCGTAATCGAATGTATGTAGTTCAATGGGATTATTACAATTTAACCGATACATTGTCTTAATTAAAACACATCACAACATAAAAAAACATAAACTTTTCATCGAAGAGGTGTATAAGGTAGTGTACCTTATAAGCTGAACCCACATAATCAGTTGCGGAAAGCAGAACGCTTGAAGCGTTGAAGGTGATAAATGAAGAGATCTACACGGTACAACCATTCTTGAGACCAACGTGTGTCTATGCAGAGAAACGCAAACAAGGCCAAGCATGTGGAGATGTAGACTGCACCACAAGTCCAATAAAACCACTCCATGTCTATCACTTCATCTTCTTCTTCCTCTTGGGCATGCGTTGGTGCACTTTCCTCTGGAACTCTCGTGGGGTTGCAACTGATATTGGTAGGACGTCCACAGAGATGAGCATTGCCTATGTAACTCCTTTTCGCCAAAGGTTACAAGATGGCCTTTGAAAGGGATTTCACCAGAGAAATTGTTGAAAGAGACATTGAAGTATCCTAAACTGTCGAGGTTGGCTAGCACGGAAGGGATGTTTCCAGATAGTTCATTGTTGGATAGATCCAGACTCTCCAAGTCCTTGAGCTTTGAAATGCTATATGGTATGGAGCCTGTGAGGCGGTTGCTTGAAAAATTCAAACATCTTACGTTGTCAAGATTTCCAATCTCAATTGGAATCTCACCAGATATTTGGTTGCTCGACAAATCCAGCCCATACATATAACGAAGAATATTACCTTGATATGCTTCATATCTGCTTTTCGTTAAAAAATCCACAACCGTTACTATTGATGCAAAACGACGGTCGAGATCATTAATGAGGGAAAATGATGTTGTATAACTCGAATATAGCGAGAATGGAATGCCCGGTGAAAAATAGTTGGTTTCCCATGATCCAGACATATCTGCACCAAAAGACATGTTACCCAAACATGATGATATAACACCATTAAACTTATTGTGAGATAAATCCAGGAGACGGATTTCACTCAGCTGACATATTTGCTCAGGGACATGACTTTGTAAGTTGTTATTTCCCAGAAGAAGAACACGTAAACTAGACCTCTCGCCAAAAGTGTTGGGAATCATTCCTGAAAAATTGTTGTTCCTCAAATCAAGTACTTGTAATGTCTCAGCCTTGAATAAAGTGTCCGGAATTAATCCCCAAAAAGCATTGTTTTGCAGTCTTAAGTGTAGGAGAGATGAAAAATTTACATCCCTTGGTATCGATCCAGAGAAGCTATTGTGTGACATGTCCAAAATACCAAGTCGTGAACTTTGTAGTAGATGATGAGGGAAAGGACCTTTTAGCTGATTACCCCTCATGATTAGGTATTGAAGTCCTATCATTTTACCCATCCAAAGTGGAACCATGCCAGAAAACTTATTATCTGATAAGTCTAATCCCACTAATTCCTTTGAATTCAACACTCCCTCTCCAATACTCCCACTAAAGTTGTTTCCATCAAGATGTAGCAGATTTAAACTAGTGAGATTTGCATGCTCTGGAAATATTTTCCCTTGGATTTGGTTGTTGGAGAGTTTATAATTCTCAGTGAGTAGCAGCCACTCCAAAAAGTTGTAGGTAGCTGCCCAGATAGATCGTTGGAAGACATGTCCAACCATTCTAGACCTTTCATCTCACCCATAGAAGATGGAATGGTTCCATGAAACTGATTCGAAGAAAAGTTCATATACACCAGCTTAGGAAAGAAATCCCCATGTCTTCTTGAATTGAACCATATATCATGTTACTCGAGATGTCGAGAAATTTAAGCCATGAACAAGCCTAGGTAGCTGAAGCTCTGTCAACAATTGTTATCCAGAAAAATAACCTTCAATCTTGTGTTATTCCGCACAAGCCAGTCGGAAATGGTCCTTCATCTTGTTATGTGAGAGATCAACATAGACAAGTTATGCTGATGAAAAAGAAAGCCAGGAATTGTGTTTCCAAGATGAAATTGTGTAACTGTAGCATCTTCAACTGAAACAGGAACCCACGGGCTTTCTGCACGAGCTTGGATCGTACCAACTTTAGATGACAATCTGAATACTGTGAGCCTTTGTTTGGTTGACCAGCGAGTTGAACAAGAATGAACCATTGAAGTTATTATCAAGAAGCGACAAGTACTCAAGCTCTGGTGGTAGACCAGACACAAAGGCAGACAGGTTTCCATTCAATTGGTTGTTCGATAGCTCAAGAGTTCGAAGACGGCTTAAGTTACCCAGACAACTAGGCATACTTGTCAAAGCATTGCTTCTTAAATCCAAGCTCTCGAAGATTGATCAATCCGCAAAGCTTTGAGTAGCCTGAAATTATTCAGAATGAGAGAATTCAGATAGAAACTGTGAAACTTTATGTTAGGAGAAAGATATAATGAATGAATGAGAGGTGAGAAGAGATCAAATGATTTGTAACATTCACCTTCGTGGGACAAGACAGTTGTTATTTATAAGATTAATACTTGTAAAGAGGAAGGAAGCACTGAACCTGCAATTAGAAACGATAGAAATAGTTAAATACAGAATTTACATATAAATAATATTTCTCGGATGCTCTATTAGGAGTAGTAGTAACGAATGTATATTGTATTATATTTCACTAACCGACCTAGATGATTTAGTAAGACAAGTTAAAGAACCATCATCTTACCTAGGCTGTCTAAGTCGGTGAATTCATTGTAGCTTAGATCCAGTTCTTGCAACTTTGGCATATCTTTGAGTACTGCACCAACACAATTATCATTTTTTTTTTTTCTCTACTATGTATGCAATTTTTGCAAGAATTTCTTTTACTCGTTTACCTTGAATAGATCGAGTGTTGTTCAATTGATTGCTTGACAAGCTCAAGAATTCTAATTCTACAAGATGTTCTAAACCTGGAGATACCAAAAACAAATGTGTTATGATATGATTAGATAATAATAATATACACATACTGTTCTTGGCTAAAATCATATTTGTTATATAGTAAAATCCATGCTACCCGACTTACCTTTAAGTCGAGCAGTTTCTGAGAGTCTGTTGTACCTAAGATCTAATGTTTTCAGCTTAGTTTTTCTCAACCCTGCACCATCATATTATACAACCAATAGCGATGTTATAAGCCAACAAGAGAATAACGATTATAAACTCTCTTGTTTATGTTCTTCTCACCTTTACCAGCCTCGAAGTCTTTTATAGCATTGTCACTTAGATACAGTTCTTCCAGTTCCCTGAAATTGTTTAAACCTGCACACCAATATCTCCAATATTAGTCACCTCCCTCTAGTGCAAATTGAGCACTCTTAATTCGGCCATGTTTGAAAGTTATGGCACACCAAAGCCAGGTAGCTTTGTAGACAATATTAAACTATTATCCACAAACGTTTGAAGAATTATCATCAAGTACATGAGAATGAACATGTCCACTTTTTCTTTAGATCATAAAAACACATATATTGGGGGAGTCAAAGCTTTACTACGATGTGTTCTTCGGTTCTTGTAAGACATTAAAGGGAATCAGGTCTTAAGAATCATGTTCTACGAATTAAGGATTACCATTCGGATTCGGAGGAAAGACACCTTCCAGCCTATTTCCACCAAGATTTAGAAACCAGAGCGACCTTGCTGCACTTAAAAAAGGGAGAACACTGTTGTTGAAACGATTCCCCGACAAATCAAGATCCTCTAGGTTCTCAAGTCTCTGAAAGCTCTTATAACCTGAAACCGTGAAAAACTATTAAGACTATGGGAGATCAACTGAAACAATAAACGAGGTAAAAACGTACCATGGATGTGATCAAACAAGTGGCGGAACCAATTATGTGAAAAGTGATTACCATTTGGAGGAAAGACACCTTCCAGTGAATTTCTAGCAAGACGTAGAATCCTGAGCGACTTTGCTGCACTTAGAAATGAGAGAACACTGATGTTGAAATTATTTCTCGACAAATCTAGGGACTCCAGGTTCTCAAGCGTCTGAAAACTCTTATAACCTGAAACCATAAAAAAGTATCAAGACAATGGGAGGCAGACTGAAACAATATAGAGAAACGTACCATGGATGGGATCAAATAACTGACAGAACCAACTATGTGAAAAGTGATTACCATTTGGAGGAAAGACACCTTCCAGCCTATTGCTACCAAGATTTAGAATCCTGAGCGACTTTGCTGCACTTAGGAAAGGGAGAACACTGCTGTTGAAACGATTGCTTGACAAATCAAGGGACTCCAGGTTCTCAAGTCTCTCAAAACTCTTATAACCTGAAACCGTAAAACAAGCTATTAAGACAATGGGAGATAAACTGAAACAGTAAAGATGTGTCTTCCTTGAAAAGAGGTAAGAACGTACCATGGATGGGATCAAACAAGTGACTGAAGCAATTATTATTTAAGACAAGGGTTTTGAGTTGAGGGAAGCTATGGAGCAAAGAAATATTTAACCCCCGATCAGTTTGATCCAACTCCAAGTAGTCAAAGATCGAATCAAGTGAGAGATCGACGATGTGGCCACCGGTAGCGTCACTGCACTTTACTCCCTCCCAGTTGCAGCAGTCACTATTAGGACCATCATCATCACTCCATGAATTGAGATTACTTCCTTCTCCTTCTCCGAAGCCAGGAAGAGAGCTGGAATACGACTTGAGCTGCAACAAACCCATCCGTTCAGTTTCCACACAGCCAACACATCCTTTCATTTGGAACTGGAGAATCATCGCTACTGTTATCAACAAATCCATATGCTTCTTCTTCTCCTTCACCCACCACCAGCTTCTCATCTTTTACTTCTCTGTATTTAATAAAACTGAATTAGAAATAAAACAGATTGTGTATTTTATTTTTAATGTCATTATAGGTTAGAGCTTAAAGACCTTTACCACCTTGAGATATAATTTTTTGCAGTGCTCAGAAGAACAAGAATGAAAAACAATGAAGATTGGCCACTGACTTCAAACTTCACATATTATCTTGTAATGGAACGTGTGACTTGGGCAAGAAGACTTTTCCAGTGACCTGGGGTCTACTTGAAGTCTTGAACGTGTGGTTTAGGCAAGAAGTGCAACCTTTGGGTCTTTCTGTCTATCGACTACTAACTTTATATTCTCTTTCTAATCTCGATTTAAGCTTATTCCGGTTTTTATTTTGATTTTTGCATTTCTACCAATAAACAGATACAGAATTAAATCCATAGAAGGCTTCAACGATAAAGAAACAATGAAATAATGATTAGAAAAAAACTGGTAGTGAGTAAAATATTTATCAATTAAATTTAGTTATAACGGCAAAATTTCAAAAAACACATTTTGGATCACGAGAATGGTTTCTTCTAACTACTTAAACTGTATATAAAAAAAAAAATCTGCATCAAAAATAAGATCTTACAAAAGAAATGTGGAAAAAATCTCTATCTCATGTTTCTGCCACCAGCTGAAACTTTCCGGTGACGCTTTCTTCCGCGTTGTCCTGGAATCTTCTTCCCCGTCGTGGCTCTCCCACCAACTAATCTTCCACGTGGCGATGCCGGTGGCTCGGGAAGAAGCCTAGACGAAGCTCGAGGAGGTTTCATGTTCATCAACACGTCTCTATGATAAACCTTTTCACCAAGAAGAAGAAAAAAAGTCTCAAATTTTCACACAACAAATCAAACCCTTTAAGTAACCGAAACAAACTGTAATTGTCTCTGCTTTTACCTGTTTCACAAAGTTGCGTCTTTCGCAGTCCAAAAACATATTGATGTTCCAATCCACTTTCTCTCTTATCTTGTCTCTCGCAATTGCAAAGCTTAGTTGATCTCTTGACGTAAACCGATCCACTTCGTTGAACCACACACACGTGAAGAGATTTGTGATCGGTATGTGTTCTCTTATGATTGTGCATCCTTCAGGAACATCTGCCAAACGATTCAAAACATTCAATTGAGCTCAAAAGAGAGACTAAAATTGAAGCTTTTTAATCTCAAATCCATTACCACTTGTTATTGGAAGCTTAGCTTCGGTATAAGGTGTTAAACCTTCCTTCTTATAGAACTCAACCTGGTGATCAATCGAGGCATTGTCGTATTTTCTTGCAGCTTTATTCGCCTCAGCCTCTAGATACACATCAAAACGTCTGTAATGTCTCGAGATTGCGAAACTAGAATTCGTTCTCCACAAGAACCTGACAACATTTACCAAGACAAATCAAAAGATTACTACTTTTGCCTCAACAAATACAACTTTGACAGAGAGAGGGGCTGATCTATTTACCTTTCGAGGATTTGATAGGGATCTACAACAAGTTGGAGCTTCGCATCAACCCATATAGAGTACCGGATATTTGGGAATAACCTATGCAATAGAAGCTTTGGAATCTGTAAAAAGCACAAAAATTCTTATCAGTTTGTATTTGTTTCATAGAGGAAACATTCATACAATGATCTTCTGACCTTTCCATTACGCCTAGCATCACTGTAAGGAACGTTATGGACAACAATGATCCTCCACAATCCCACTCTCTTGTTATCATCTGTGTAGCTCGAAGTGTTTTTAAGATATGAGTCCGTTTCTTCGTCAACAAACATGTAGAAAGGAATGTTCTTCTTCGCCATTTCACTGATGTTCACTGGTTCTTGAATTATGTCATATTTCCCTGAAACAAAAAAAGATTGAGACTTTGTGAGAGAATCAAGAACATCTAAACAATAGTATATCACACAGGGAGTTTCTCTTCTACCAAATATCGCTGATGCAACAATCACATCATGGAACTGATCCAACTCAAGAAGGATATCTTCATCAATGTCGAATCCAGTTTGAAATCCCGGTTTTGTTCCTTTGACAAATCTGCAGAAACAAAACAGGAATCAGAAAAGTTAAATGAAGTTAAGCCAAAGGAGTTAAAAGCCTAGAAGAAGGCTTTTACCCGCAATGCACTGTCATGGACTGTTTAATGTCAAAAGAGTTAGTCCTGTGCTCAAGAGAAGGATAACCTCCAAAATCAGAGCCTCCTTGACCTTCTTCGATTTTTGCAGGACTCTCTTCATGGATATACGTCAGATTCTTCAGAACAGGAGATTCAAATGGATGCTTTGGCATATGCGCTAACGCCTCTTCTGGAGATAGATAGCAAACCGGACACGCTGAACAAAACAAACGGAAAAGATAAGAGCAGGAAACTAAAGAAAGACAAACTAGCGAATCAAAGAAAGAGCTTACGTCTTGGTCCAGGTCTTCTGAGTCCAGGTGGAGGAGGAGGAGGAAACGAAAAACTATCGCATGGATGGTGAGAAGTGAGGGATGGAGGAGGATCTACATCACTTTCTCTAACGCCATTCCACAGAAAAGAATCTCCGATATGATCGTTATTAGAGGTTCCAGTGTAGAAAGAAGTCAATTCTCTACTTATAGGTGTTTCGTTGCTTCCAAACTCCATCGTCTCAATACTCTGATGAATGTTTGGACTATTGCTCTCTGCTATATCACAATGCAGGTATTACCAACAGATCACAGTACTGATAGAATTTAAGACATTCACAAGCTTGAGATTACTACCTTTGTTGATAGTGTAGGAACCCAAGACAAAGACTACAAATGCAAGGCTGAGAAGGAGCAGCATTGCGACTCGTCTTCAACCTAAGTACCAGCAACATAACAAGGAGAGAGACCTTTCCTTCTCTTTAGAGTTTGAAGTGAGCATTGTGGAAGAAGAAGATGAAGACTAAGAAGAAGAAGATGATTCAGACTCAAAAGCTCAAGGCTTTGGTTAGTGCTATGAGCCATAACTCTCGGTAACGAAGTCCAAATGACATTCCAGTCATTGTCTCTTAAACCCTCTAAATCGATTTCTCATATCGAAACCGAACAATCTCTCAGATCTTCACAATTTGCAACCTAACAAGCAAAACCACGATTCGATTCGGTTCCATATACATTGCAGAGGAAGACAGTCGATTCAAAAGCAGAGAAAGGTTTGAAATTTACCAGCACGGAATCGATTTGATTGGAATCGGATTGTGGAAATTAACAACAAACAGCGACAAAGACCTGCATTTGCACCGAAAAGGTAGAAACTTTAATCAAATCTCGATTCAATCGAAAGTTAACACTCAGAGGGGAAAGAACACGTCATTGGCGATCGGAGAGCCCACAAATCGAAATCTTATCCCTAATCCAAAAAAGGACAAATTTTTCCAACAGATACCTACGGATTCGAAGAAAAAGTTAATACCTTTTGGATGAATGAAATGAATGGATACTATGTTCCAAAACTCGCTTCTGGGATTTACAAAATCAATGCATCGCCAAATTTCACTGATCCTTTCGATCTGCGGAAAACATTCAGTGCATGTTTTTGATTTGTCAACGATTCAGTGTATATCAACGTTACTTTTAAGGGAGGTGATAATTAATTAAAATCTTTGGTACAAAAAGATTAGCCTAATTTTAATATTTTATTACAGTGGAGATGTGTTGTAATGAGTCGTAAATCTTAAAACAGCACTAAATTTTATTGTTTGATTTTTTGCTCCATAAGAAAAAAAAATACTTGTAATAAGACATAAAAATATCACAAGATCTGATATGATAATCATTAAGCTGAAACACATGATTTAGTAGAAAAATACAATCATATTCAAACATGTGACAAGGTTACAAAGAGGTAGGAGTTTAGTACAATGGTGTGGTTCATATGGTTGATGAGTGAATTGATTAGATTTGTGGTACATATAGCACAGCCCGTTCTCAACAGTAATGCATGTGATCGTTGTTAAAATTACATATCGAATCTCTGTGAGAAGGGACCCAAATTTGTTGTCTTGTCTAAAATGGAGAAGACAAGTCCATTAAATTTGGGTGTAAGCATAATGTGATATTTCTCCAATTATTAGACAAACCAACGGATGTTGATGATGATTGACGGCGATAACATATGTTGTTAATTGTGTTTTAAACTTTTGTCGAACATTTTCATAAATATCAAATTAATCAGTTTCTCAAATAACTATAGTTCTTACTCTTAGTATTTGATAAAAGTGTTAGTCCTAATTTGTAATGCAGCAGTAATGGGAACATTAACAATACACATGACATAATTGTAAGAAATATTTTTTTTAAATGTAGCATACGGTGTAAACTATAATTAGTTGACCATTATTTTTGTTCTTTTTAATAATAGCAAAACTAGATTAGAAAAATGTCCCTAAAATCGGGTAGAAATCACTTGTTGGCAAAATTGTATAATTGCTTCATTTAAGCTAGAACGTACTTGTTTAAAATTACTCTCAAATCCATTAGTGCAGAGATTATGGGAATATAAAAAAGATTATATAATGAAGTTGGAAGTGAAAACGAAAAGACTTATACACCGCAGAGCTCTTTAGCACTCTCGTTACATACACGTGAAGCATACGCACTTATATAATAAGATAAACTTATTTATTACTAAATTCATTCAAGAATAAGTTTAATTTGATTAGTTTTCTGATTATGAGTAGATTAGACGTGTTTAAAAAGAATGTCCTTTCTTATGTCGACCTTCTTCGATTAGTCCAACAAAATATTTTATTTATGTGTTAGATTTTACTGTTGTTCTTTTTTGGTATGAAGATTTTACTGTTGTTTGGTGGTATATTATAAGTTTTTAACTGCACCAACTACTCATAAATATAAAGTAAATTTTTTTACTCACCGAATGTATTTAAAAATTCTCTCATAATGTTTTCTTTTTTTGGAGTTTTCAGTTTTGGGCAAACTTTTAATTCAACCTTCTGCTTCAACACACATGCGTCTCTCGAAATCTCTCCGCCCTAGTCCCTAGATCCATTTCTCTCTCAACCAGGCTCTGTTAAACCCTTTTGATTTCTCGTCTCGTCGTTTCTCTTTTTCACGGAAGCTCCGTTTTTTCCTCCTCTTTCTCCTGCAAATTTCTCAATTTTTTTTTTTGACATTTGCTCTCTCTCTCTCTCTCTCTCTCTCTCTCTCTTCAAAGCTACTTGCTTTATGGTCAAAAGTTATTGGTTCTTGGAAATCCTGGGCTTTTTGTTCTCTACTCGAATCATTAATGCCTAAACCATCTTCTTGATCTGGGCACATTTTGCAAATTGAGGAAAAAAAAACATTTTTTTCTTCTGGGTCACAGTGTTCTACTAGTTCTAGGGTTCCTTAATTTCAACTTTTGTTGTTGATGCTCTGGTTCTCTCATGTGGTCCACTTAATTAGCTGATTTTGGAAGAAAAGGAGTAAAATTGATGAATTTTGAAGGAGATTTTTGCTGCTAGTATCAAGATATTTGGGGGTAAATTTTGAGCGATGGGTTGTGTTTGGTGTAAGCCTTCTGCTATCGAAGATAGCAAAGATAGTCCAAGAGAGCGTTTCTCAAACAAATCATCTTCAGAGTTTAGAGTGTCAAGACCGGTTGCTTCTTCTAGAAGAGAAGAGCCTCTGATTAGGGCAAAGGAACGGCCTGATGTTGTTAGTGTAAGGCCAATCTTGAGTAGTGGTAGTCAAAAGCAGCAAGCTAATGTTTCGATGATGCATTTGCGTGGGGAGAATCTGAGTAGTAGAAGAGAGAAGAAGATAGAGAATGTTGTTGCTGCTGCTTCGCATTTCCCAATGGGTCTCACCATAGGGAAAGCAGCTGAAGGAGAGTATGTAGCTGCAGGTTGGCCTCCATGGCTGGCTTCTGTAGCTGGTGAAGCTATCAAAGGGTGGGTTCCACGTCGTGCGGATTCTTTCGAGAAATTAGACAAAGTAAATCTTCTTTTTCTTTATCTACATTCTTTGCCAAAATGCAGTTAAGGAGCCTAGTTGATTCCATGGATTACTTGTATTGGCATGTTTCCATATTTGGCAACATATCCTAAATACTTTTATGTTTTGGACTCTAGTTGTGAGGATAAATCTCTGATAGTTGTCTTCTTAACTTGTTTTTTTTGCAGATTGGTCAGGGTACTTATAGTAATGTGTATAGAGCTCGTGACCTGGATCAGAAGAAAATTGTGGCTTTGAAGAAAGTTAGGTTTGATAACTTGGAGCCTGAAAGCGTGCGTTTTATGGCAAGAGAGATACAGATATTGCGCCGGCTTGATCATCCTAACATCATTAAGCTCGAAGGCTTGGTTACATCAAGAATGTCTTGCAGCTTATATCTTGTTTTCGAGTACATGGAGCATGATCTAGCTGGACTAGCCTCGCATCCTGCAATCAAATTTTCTGAATCACAGGTACTTTTTGTGTCTATTTCACATCTTCATGACCTAGTTAACCGCTTTTTAGTGGACTCTCTGAGGTTTGGGCCTTTGTTCTTGTACAGGTTAAATGTTATCTGCAGCAACTATTACATGGACTAGACCATTGTCACAGCCGTGGCGTACTTCATCGGGACATAAAAGGCTCAAACCTTCTAATAGATAATAGTGGAGTTCTGAAGATTGCTGACTTTGGATTAGCTAGTTTCTTTGATCCTCGTCAGACTCAGCCTTTGACCAGCCGTGTGGTGACTCTTTGGTACCGTCCACCTGAGCTTTTGCTCGGAGCAACTCGCTATGGAGCTGCAGTTGATTTGTGGAGTACAGGTTGCATTCTTGCTGAACTCTATGCAGGCAAGCCTATTATGCCTGGTAGAACCGAGGTAAGATTTGCAGTTTTTTTGTTTGAATCTCTTCAAGTGTTTCCTCTGATTTCCTTGAGGTGACTCTGGTTATGCTTATGGTGTTTTACAGGTGGAACAGTTGCACAAGATTTTCAAGCTATGTGGCTCGCCTACAGAAGAATATTGGGTAAAATCGAGGTTGCCTCATGCAACAATATTCAAGCCTACACAGCCGTATAAACGGATAGTTGATGAGACATTCAAGGAGTTTCCTCAGCCAGCTTTAGCTCTTCTTGAAACTCTGCTTTCAGTCAATCCTGACGATCGTGGAACTGCCACCGCAGCTCTCCAGAGTCAGGTAATGGCATTTCTCAGGCAGTAAATGCGATGTTCTTATGCTTCTTAAAACTTCTTGTTGCTAAAACTCCCATTCTTTGTTTTCAGTTCTTTTCCACTAGACCTCTTCCATGTGCTCCTTCAAGCTTGCCTAAATATCCTCCCAGCAAAGAGCTTGATGCGAGGATGCGTGATGAAGAAAGCAGAAGGTCTGATCTCATTTTTACTCTGCAAGCTATTATACACTTGAATTGTGTACAGAAAGAGATAAAAGCTTGAATCTTTCTCGTCTGTGTTTGTAGACAAGGTGGAGGAAACAGGGACCAACGACACCAAGAAAGGAGAGGAACTAAGGATTCTCGAGCCGTCCCAGCTCCTGAAGCAAACGCAGAGCTTGTTACATCAATGCAGGTCAACAATCTCGTTAACGCTTATTTCTTTCGATGTCAAAGCTTCTTGCTTTTGATTCAATATTATTGACCCTTCTACTCTCGTTAACGTTCTTGCAGAAGAGGCAGAGCCAGTCTGGTAATAGAAGCCGAAGCGAGAAGTTTAATCCACATCCTGAAGAAGTTGCGTCTGGTTTCCCAATCGATCCACCAAGGCCATCGTCGCAAGCATTTGAGCCAAACAGAGAATCTCAGGGCAACATTATCGTTCCTCACAAGAGAGCTTCACATTCTGGTCCTCTAACGCGGAGATCTGCTTCCGCAAAAGGTAGAAGGAACCACCAAGATCCTCCGAAAGTGTCATCCGTAGCTGCTGATTACAACTCGGCGGTTCCTGGTTTTGCTGCAACAACAAGAACAGGCGCATCGCAACAAGAGACTTGTAGAGGAATGACTCGGCTTCCAGGTTCCTTCAAGGAAGCCTCTGAAGAAGCAAACCAAGAAGAGAATGGTAGAAGCAACAAGAAAGACCCAATTCTTGTAAGTCCTCCTTGCTATTTTTAGTAACTACCACCAATGATACTATTTTGAGAAACTTACCTTCTCTATTTTGGTTTGGTTTGCAGTTGGGTTATGGATCAAAAGGGCACAAGATTCATTATTCAGGACCTTTGGTGGTACCATCAGGAAACATGGATCAGGTGTTGAAAGACCATGACCGCCATATCCAAGAAGCTGTGAGAAGAGCACGAATAGACAAGGCTCGAGTTAGGAAACTTCAAGCTGAAGAAGCGTCGAGCCAACAAGTTCCAACCAATCATGCATCATCTGTTTCTAGCCGTTGAACCATCATCGAAGAGGCAAAAAGTATATTATGAAAACCCAAAACCTCATTTGCCTGAAACTTTTTTAACACGGCGTATTTTGAGTGAAAATAAAAATAATGTATTTTATTGATTCAAGATAATATGTCGTAGAATCTTATCTTGTCACGTTTTGGTTCCCTGCAATGTCAGTATTACATTATTATTCATAGAGATGTAGAAACAGGTTATATATTATGATTTAGAAAAAAATGTGCACTTAAATAGACAAAGTAATCACTTTGTTTCTGTATCAGGGCCTCTTTGCCATAGTGTTTATGTGACCATGTGAGAAAGAGAAACAAAATACTCTGTTTCATTCCTCTGTTTCTTGCTCTGTTGTCATTAGAGTTGAGATGGATCCAAGGCTTGTATCGAGTACGAGAACTCTAAGGTCACAGTTACGATTGGAACCGGACATTTGGAGAAACCGAAGAGGCCAACGATCTCTGTAACGTTTTTCTTGAGAGAATGTTTATCGGTTTGCTTGTTCAATGTGGCGTCAAGCGTCACGAGATTTGGGACTTGAGTTTCGAGAACAGTGCCAAAAACTAATAAACCGGTGTGGTTTGTTCATCATGATTAACGCTCCGTAGCTTCTGTCGTGTATCTCGTGATTCCAAGCTAAGTGAGAATTTAAGTGAATATACATGATGAACAAACAAGAAAAACTCATGAAGTTGGCCCAACTATATTATTGTTTTTTCTTTTTTTTTCCGGAATTCTAGAATGATTGAGTAATCAAAGACCTCATATGTTTTGATATCTTTTGGATAATTAGGAGAAACAACAAAAGAAATAAATTTGTGTTTTTTAAATAATTTTTTAAACTATAATGCAAAATCTAAAAAATCACAAATGTTATCTATTCCTACATAAAAATTCTTAATTTAAAAATTTAATAATCACACCAGGTGGAGCTTACCAACTCATTGTAAACTAATCACTTTTATCTTTCTCTTAACCCATACTCATAAAGTTTTGATTGGAGCAGAGAGTGTCCACAGAAAAAAAAGAAGAAATGTTTTTGTGCACTTTCAGAAACAGATTTTGTCATGTAATGTCATAATTCAAATTCCTTGTCCTTTTTTTCCTGTATGCATTATTTTTTGGTTGAAAAGATAAAAACTTTCTCGATCTTTTCACCTTCACATACCACTTTCCATCTTTTAAAGTTCCATCATCTTCACTTCCCAAGAGAACAAAAATGAAGATGCAAATCCTCTGTTTCATCACTCTGTTTGCATCTTTCTTCCTCTCTCAAGCCACCGCTTACAAATTCAATTTCAAGTACTTCGGTAATGGCTCCGATCTGTTCTCGTTCCACGGAGACGCAGAGTATGGCCCCGAACCTGATGGCATGAGCCGGTCCGGAGCTCTAGCCTTAACCAGAGACAAAACACCTTTCTCTCATGGTCGAGCCATTTTCATAAATCCAATCACTTTCAAACAAAACTCTTCTGCTCTCTACCCTTTTAAAACCTCTTTCACTTTCTCCATCACTCCTCACCAAACAAACCCTAGCCCTGGTCACGGTCTTGCCTTCTTCGTCGTTCCCACTAACCAAAACAACGCAGGTTCCGGTTTAGGCTACCTCAGTCTCGTGAACCGAACCAGCAACGGTCACCCCAACAACCACCTCTTCGCCGTTGAATTCGATGTCTTTCAGGACAAATCTCTCGGCGACATCAACGATAACCATGTCGGAATCGACATAAACTCCGTCGATTCGGTGGTTTCTGTGAAATCCGGTTATTGGACTATGACTAGAAACGGTTGGTTGTTCAATGACTTGAAGCTGAGCAGTGGAGACAAGTACAAGGCTTGGATCGAGTACAACAACAACTATAAAGTCATCTCCGTTACGATCGGTCTCGCGCATTTGAAGAAGCCGAATCGGCCATTGATCGAAGCTAAAGTCGATCTCTCCAAGGTTCTTCTCGAGACAATGTATACCGGTTTTGCCGGTTCGATGGGACGTGGTTCTGTGCGTCACGAGATCTGGGACTGGACTTTCCAGAATTAAAACCGGTTTTGTTCGTTTCTCGTTTGGTTTGTTTCTGGTTTAACAGCCATTTGTCATGCATGAAGTGAAATAAAATGTCCAAGCTATTGTTTTGTCCGGTTTTCGTTTGGTTTGTTGTATTATTGTTTAGTCTCCTCTTTTAGTCTTTACAAGCCTCTGCGTGCAATAATTTGAATTGACCATTTGATGTTTGAAAAGTCAAAGTCGTTGGCTCTTTGTCACACTATATATTATACTCCATCATTTCCATTACCATAAAGACAAAAAACACATAATGCAGATCCAAAAACTTGTTCTCATAGCATTGTTTAGCTCCAAAATTCAACTTCAACCAATTCGATGGATCAAAGATAGTCTTCATCGGTTACGCTGAGCTCGGACCTGGAACAGATGGCATGAGCCGGTCCGGAGCACTCTCCATGACACGTGACAACATTCCATTCTCACATGGTCAAGGTCTTTACACAGATCCAATCCCATTCAAATCCTCCAACGACACTTCTTCTTCTGTTTACTCTTTCAAAACATCTTTCACTTTCTCCATCACTCCTAAACGGTCAAACCCTAACCCCGGTCATGGACTCGCCTTCGTCGTGGTCCCAACCACCAAATACGACCAAGACTCGACTTGTGGCTTCCTCGGTCTAGTCAACCGCACAACCAATGGCAATCCTAATAAGTAATAACCATCTCTTTGCTGTCGAGTTTGATGTGTTTCAAGATAAACGTTTTGGCGATATTAATGATAACCATGTTGGTATTGATATCAACTCTGTTAATTCGACGGTTTCTGAGAAAGCTGGTTACTGGATTCAAACGAGAACCGGGGGAAAGAATCAATGGTTGTTTAAGGAAGTGAAGCTTAGTAGTGGGGATATCTACAAGGCTTGGATCGAGTATAAGGACAGTAAGGTCACTGTGACGCTCGCACCTGCGGATTTGAAGAAACCGAAGAGGCCATTGATCGAGACACAAGTTGATCTCTCCGAGGTGGTTCTTGAGATCTTCAGCCATTTTGTTATTGTTCTTACTTCCGTTTGTTATATCTTTTTTGGTCATTTATTGTGTAAATGCTTAGATTCCTAATATTTTACAAAATAGTATACATGATTTGGACCACAACATTTTTTATACATTTATCCTGAAGAAATCTGGTCGTCTTTTTGAAATGAAAGAAGTCAAGAACACAAAAAGACAAAAGTTAGAATATTTCACCCGATATCAATTTTGATGGATTATTTTCTGAAATTACCATTTCCAAACAACAATTATCATATATTTACTCTATTTTATATTAGTTGTCGTTTTGAAAAAATGTATCTGCAATTATTTGAATGTATCTCGATATGTTCTGAGTTTAATACATCTAAATAATTGCAAATATATTTTTCCAAAATGACAACTAATTTGAAAAAACGGAGGGAATACAAAAGTCAATTCGAAAAAAACATGAAGTACACTATTAGTGCAAAAGCTAACCACAAATTAACGGTACTTTTGCAAATTTCCCACAATAAAATTATTATTTTGAACACAATCTCAGATATTTCACTTTGACCCCAATATTTTGAATACAATCCTTGCAAATGAGATCCTTGCGATCCATCATAATTTTCGGGGAGTTTGCTGAGAATATCTCGTGACGGTATTCTCGGGAAAAGGAAACAGAGAAGATCTTGACGAGAAAGGAAATAAATTCGATTACTTGGAGAAAGAGATGACAGTATTGCCATTTCTTGGGCGCTTTTCTTTTGAATACACAAACCGACGGGTTCAAATCAAAAAATCATTATTTTGATTTTGAACACACAATTTCAAAATTTTCAATTTGAACCTAATATTTACACATAATTATACATTTGGCCCAAAACCAATACGAAAAAGGTTTTGCCTTTACGCTCTGTTTTTCCTAGGTCGTCGTTTCACCACGTTGCTTGCGTGGAAAGAGAAGCGAAGATTAACCAAAAAGCGAGAAATAAAAATCAATAAACCCTCACTGTGAAGTAAAACCCGTAGGCCCATATTAAGATTATCTTTCCTGAGAATTTAATTTTACGAAGCCGATGCTTTTCCACGGAATTAAAAACACGAACTGTGCTTTGCTTGCGATGTGTGTGGTTCGAGTTTCTCGGTGCCTCTTAAGTCCCAAGTACTTCTTATCTTCTTCTTCTTCCTCTCCTTTCTTTTTTGCATTTCTTTTATTGCTTCTAGAGTTTAGTGGTCAAGAAGCTTCCTCGTGTTTGTCTCTTTATGTTATCAAAGGTTGCATTTTTATACGGATATTATCTGGTTTTGGTGTTATTCTGTCAAAGGGTCTTTTAAATATCTCTACTTTGTTTCTAATTCCTTTGCTTTCTCGACTTCTAGCTTAGGGCTTTTGGGATGGGATCATGAAATGAGTAATGAAGTGTTGGAGAATCCGGAGGAGTTATCTGATATTTGGTAATTTCCGGTTAGCTTCTGGTTGATGATTAATCTAAATCAAAATCAAACATGAAGGGTTCTTCAGAATCTAATTCCAGAGGAGTAAACATCTCTGGGGTCTCAGAGTCTTTACCAGTTGAGAGAGATCGTACTAAGTCTTTGTCTCACATTGATTATGTCAGAAGCTTACTTGGTTCACACAAAGAAGATAACTTGAGGCTTGATGATAATAACTCTATTGCTAGAGCTTTGGGATGTGAAGATGTTAGCTTGCGTCAGTGGCTAGACAATCCAGAGAGATCAGTGGATGCGTTTGAGTGTTTTCATGTTTTCAGACAAGTCGTTGAGATTGTGAATGTGGCTCACTCTCAAGGCATTGTTGTTCAAAATGTTAGACCGTCTTGTTTCGTTGTGTCTTCCTTTAACCATGTCTCGTTTATTGAATCCGCTTCTTGTTCGGATTCCGGGTCTGACGAGGAAACAACAACAAAGTCTAGAGAGATTGGTTGCTCAAGAAAAGAGGAGTTTAAGCAACGTTTTCCTATGAAACAGATCTTAGCTATGGAGATGAGTTGGTACACAAGTCCTGAAGAAGATAGTGGTTCTCCGAGTAACTGTGCTTCTGATGTTTACCGTCTTGGTGTTCTTCTCTTTGAGGTAATATTGATGAATGTTCGTAGCTGTTTTTTGTTTTCTTGAGATAACTGAATTTGATGAAATGCTAGTCTTTGTGCAGCTGTTTTGCCCTGTCTCCTCAAGAGAAGAGAAGTCAAGAACTATGTCTAGTTTAAGACATCGTGTTCTTCCACCTCAGATACTGCTCAATTGGCCTAAAGAAGCTTCTTTTTGCTTGTGGTTACTTCACCCTGAGCCTACCTATCGACCATCGATGAGGTGATTGACTCTCTCTTTCACCAGAACCATTGTGAGAAAAGTTTTGTGCTTTTGAATCTCATTTCATTTGTCTTTATTGGTTGTAGTGAGTTGCTACAAAGTGAATTTATTAATGAACCTAGAGAGAATTTGGAAGAACGTGAAGCTGCGATAGAGCTAAGGGACAGAATCGAGGAGCAGGAGTTACTGCAAGAGTTCTTGATGCTGATTCAACAGAGAAAGCAAGAATCTGCAGACAAACTGCGGTACACGATTTCCCTTCTTTCTTCCGACATTGATCAAGTCGTAAAGCGACAGCTGAGTTTGATGCAAAAAGGGAACGATATACCTTCGTTCTTGCTCTCAAGAAAACGTATTAGAAAAGGAGTTGGGACAGTTGCAACAGAGGAGGAGAATGAGGAAGCTAAGCTTGATGATGATAATACTCTAGAAAGCACGCTTCTTGAAAGCTCACGGTTAATGAGTAACTTCAAGAAGCTGGAATCAGTCTACTTTGCAACAAGATACAGGCAAATCAAGGCTGAGAAACCGTTGGCTAGATATTATCCCGCGTTGAGTAGTGACGGTAGAAGTTCAGAGAAGAGTTCAGTAAGCAACCTTACACAGCCACTCAAAGATCCCATCAACAATGATTCTAGAAGACAAGGAGGCTGGATCGATCCGTTCCTCGAGGGTCTGTGCAAGTATTTGACTTTCAGTAAGCTAAGAGTGAAAGCTGATTTGAAGCAAGGAGATTTATTGAACTCTTCTAACCTCGTTTGCGCTATTGGATTCGACCGTGATGGAGAGTTTTTCGCCACTGCTGGTGTCAACAAGAAGATCAAGATATTCGAATGCGATTCGATAATAAAAGATGGCCGAGACATTCACTACCCTGTTGTGGAGCTAGCTAGCCGGTCTAAGCTTAGTGGTATATCTTGGAACAGTTACATTAAGAGCCAAATCGCATCAAGTAACTTTGAAGGCGTGGTTCAGGTTTGTTCCGGAGAAATCTCTCAACTTTATTGATCAATACAGAAAACAGAACAAAACCCTTTAACAAAGATTTGATTATATTGTTTAGGTGTGGGATGCTGCAAGAAGCCAGTTGGTTACAGAGATGAAGGAGCACGAGAAGCGTGTATGGTCCATTGATATTTCATCAGCAGATCCAACATTGTTAGCAAGTGGTAGTGATGATGGTTCTGTTAAGCTATGGAGTATCAATCAGGCAAAACTCTAAACTAAAAAAACCAAAAACCAAAAGCTATGGTTCTGTTAAACGTATGTTTGACGGTTGAGCTTGCTCTCTCATCTTTTTCAGGGGGTTAGCATTGGAACCATCAAGACAAAGGCAAACATATGTTGTGTCCAGTTTCCGACAGATTCGGGTCGGTCTTTAGCATTTGGTTCAGCAGATCACAAAGTTTACTACTATGATTTGAGGAACCCCAAGCTTCCTCTTTGCACTATGATTGGTCACAACAAGACTGTGAGCTATGTCAGGTTTCTAGATTCGTCAACACTTGTGTCTTCTTCGACTGATAACACGCTGAAGCTATGGGACTTATCAATGTCTGTCTCCGGTGTAAATGAAACGCCTGTTCACTCATTCACGGGACACACTAACGTAAAGGTACCTATCCCATTAAAACTTTTGCTTCATTTCAAGTTCTGTTTCTGAGATAAGAAACATTTCTTTTGTTGCAACGTGTGTAGAACTTTGTCGGACTATCGGTCTCTGATGGGTATATAGCAACAGGCTCCGAGACTAATGAGGTATGATTACTCTCACTTCAAAAATATATATAAAAATGGAAGAACCTTTGATCCCATTTTTCAGTCAAACAAACTTGACTTAATTGTGCTTCAATCGACAGGTTTTTGTGTACCACAAGGCGTTTCCAATGCCGGTTTTGTCATACAAGTTCAAGAACATAGACCCTGTGTCGGGACTCGAAGTAGACGATGCCTCGCAGTTCATATCTTCGGTCTGCTGGCGCGGACAGTCCTCGACCTTAGTCGCTGCAAACTCCACCGGTAACATCAAGATTCTGGAGATGGTATGAAACTTGTGGCTCAAATGCAAAATGGTAATTTCTGAAGTATCACATTCTTGGTTTGATTGGTATAGGATACAATTTTGGGAGAGAGAGAGAGAGAGTTAGGAGACATTGTTGCTATTATAGAATTGTGTAAAGAAGAATACATGATCTTTGTATATGTATAGTAGTACTTATTTTAAGCCCTAATGAAACTAGTGGGTAACTTAACATACACGTAATCTTTATTCTCTTCAAAAATACAGTGTTGTATACGTATAGCTTGCAGCTGCAAGATTCTCTCCAAGCTTGATTTTTTTATTCTGTCTATTCACACTGATTGTTTCCTGTTTTAGCCTCTGTAACTAACCTATCTATAAGCCCTTTAAGCCTCTCAGCCCCTGAGCCAGGTGTGATCCTAGCCACATCTTCGACAACCGAGCACTCTGGTTCCCCACCGCACCATCCTCCGGGAATAAAACCGCCGCCTTCGCTCGTCGACGACCGCATAAGCAGTTCCTTGTCGATCTTATCCAAAGCTACGTCATTTCTTCTGAATTTCCGACCGAACGCAGCACCGCTCGCAATCATCGGTCCCATGTCTCCTACGGACAGCAAGCGAGGATGCTGCCTCGGCGGTCTGTGCCAAGCGATGTAGTGAAGATCATGGTTCACCGCGGTTTTGGAGAACTCGGGCACGTTACATATGACTGTGTGGAAGTAACCTTCAGGAGAAGAAACGAAATTGGCATAATACATGAGTAATGTTCTTGGTAAATTGTCCCAACCCCAAATGATGTACTCAACTAATGAATGAGATAGAACCATCCAAGCTGATCCTGCAAAACAACCCAAACAAAAAGTTCCAAACTTTATTGCAAATCAAGAACAGAGCAATAGGAAAAAGTTCCAAACTTTATTGGAAAAGTTTCAAACTTTATTGCAAAACAAGAACAGAGCAATATAGTACTAACCGGTAAATAACTTAAACGCAGCTGGTAAACTTCGACCAGGTCTGACCCACAAAATGTCTGATTTATTTAACATGTAGAGAGCAGGATCAATCATCAATGGCATTGCACGTTTCTCGCTTCACCAGTGTGACACCAAGAAACATTAGATTCAGCTAATGAAATAAACTCAAAATGAAGTCAGAAACAGAGAGAAAGAAGCTCACTTTTTCCAACCTAACTCAGATGTGTGTTCGATAAAGTTGAGGTTCCGGTCCAAAGTTGAAAACGTATGAATCAGATCTTCAACACATAACAACATTGTTTGGTCTCAAAAACCAACAAGAGGAAGAAGATCAAGAACAAACAAGGAAAAAAGAAAGGTGGAAGCATTTTTTTTTTTACCATCTTGAGTCACAAGGGGATAATCAGAAGCACTGAGATTGATAAACCAATCCCAATCAGGACTTCTCTTAAGAAGAATCGCACAAGCGTGAAGTGTATTCGACACCATTGTTGGTCCGGTATAGGTCACAAGATTAGCTTTGGTTATCATATAGACATTACCAACTTTTGAATACATAGAATCGTTATCAATTCGAGAAGCAAGCTCTAGTCTCTCTTCAACGGGAGATTCAAGATCCAAGTGAACAATGTATTGGTTTCTTGGATGGTACAATGCTCTAAGAGTTCTCCAAAGGCTTTCAAGATCTCCTTTAGATCCTGAAACGAGGTAAGCGAAACGTGGAAGCTTGTCTTCTTCTTCTTCTTCATTAGGTTGTTGAGATGAAACTTTGGAATCAGAATCATTTGTGAGGAAACGAGAGAATGTTTCGTTGTCTAGTGGTCTAAGTGAAGACATTAGACCCATGTTGAAGGAAGTTGCGATGAGGTAAATGCAGACAAGAGATGTGATCGCAAATGAGAATACCCATTTCTTCTTCTCCAAGTTTACATACCCCATTGAAGAGGCTTTGTGATTGTGACTATTCATGTGACTAAAAAGCTCAAAACCTCTTTAGAAAAATCTTCTTCTGCAAAGACATCAAACTTTTAATCTTTTTATTTCAGAAATCCTCAGCTCAAGCTCTTTTTAGGCAACTAGCATTCATCATCATACTAATTCCTATCAAACAAAACCAAGATTCCAGATTGAGTAGAGATATTGAAGGAAGAGAGATTAGATTGAAACCTTTCCTCTGAATTGGTTGGTGCAGTTGCTATCAAACATAAGAGAGGAAGAACAGAGATTTTGCTCTGGTTTGATGCGTTTGGTGAAGAACATAGATAGTTAAAACACTCTTTGTGTAAGACTAAAATTATATAGAGAAGATGAAGAAAGAATGAATTATGAAATTTTTCCAAAAACAAAATGCAAAAATAATTTCCTCAAAAAAGAAGATGGAAATTCGTAGAGGTTATATCCAATTCTTGTGAAGCTACAACACGAAAACGAAAAATCCTATCTTTCGATGATCTCTCATCACTAAATTTCGTTTCTTCATTCTTGCAGTGAGAAAACGATTTAATCAATTAATTAAATATCTCCATTAGAAGGAAACAAAAACCGTTTTGTTTACATGAATATATACTTTTTTATTTTTGTTTGTTGGGAAGATAATCGTCACTCTCTAGTCTTAAAGCTGAAATAAAACTTAAAAATGTGTTACGAATTAAAATAAAAAAACTTATAGGGAAGAGATGAAGAACGGTTGAGATTTTCTATAACATAATCTAACGGATAATATAAAGTCTTTAAAAATGATTGAAAATGTATAAATGTAACATATTTCTTCCGTAGTCATTGGGTTATGCAGTTGTAACATACGCATAAGGGAAAAATGATAACAACAGATCAACTACACTAGCACCAATACTATTCTCCTTTTCTTAATGCTTTGCCATAATTAAGAAACTTCTCTGTTTCTTCACCTTGTATCAAAATTATGAAAATTTATTGATTATGTTATAAATCTATCATTCAATTCTCACAACCGACTGAATTGGATGTTTAACATAGATAAAATGATAAAAAAAAACAATTTTAGTTGTAATAAATTGCGGGGAGGGAAAACGATTTTTTTGGTTGAGTTGCAATAATTGGATTAGAAAAACAAGTCATATGGTAATGAAGGTACGTATGGATTACGTCACACCTGAAATCAATAAAATATCTATTATTTGTTTTCTTTCTTCCTATCCTCATTTAATATTGTTTTTGTTTATAATTCTGGATTAACCAGAGATTTGACTGTTGACTCTAATTGACTTACTAGGACAAATCTTGGGTCAATTAGTAAATACCAAAAGTATGTCTAAGAAAAAACAATTATTAAAAAAATTTCCAGACTTTAGTCATAAACGTATATTTTGGATAGGGAGAAGAAACCAGAAGCAGAGATTGAAATGTGAACGCAAAGCAAGAAAAATCTGTAATTTTTTCCGGTTTCCTCAGTTTCTTCTTATGGGATCAACGAGAAGTCTGCACTTTAGCTACATCTCCGAAAGATCTGTTTTTTCCCCCGTTAAAAATCAGGTCTTTTTCTTTAGCTTAAACCCTGAGATTTTTCATTTCAACATTTTCTTCCCTCTACTCGTTTCGTTTTCCGTGATTCCTGTAATTAAGAACTGAAATCTAATGGTTCATGAGTTTGAATTTTGATATAAAGGTCTGATCTTTTTGTCATTTGGCGATTTCGTTGTGCAGGAGCAAATGAGTGCGCCAATTCCAGGCTTCGATGTGCGTCGTTTTGTAATCGGAAAGTCCATCGGCGATGAATCATCGACGGTGACCACCGAGGAAGACGACGACGACTACGCTGTGTTTTCCGGTGATAGCTTACCCGGAGACGCAGCTGAGGAAGAGGAAGAGGAGGAGGAGGAGTGGTCTGGAGAGAATCGTCTCTGCTTTTACTTGGTGAAGCAATACGCTTATGATGACCCTGAGATTAAAGATAAGATCGATGAAGCTGATAGTGAGATTTATCAGTGTAACAGTGACAGGATTCACATTGCTAACAAACTGAAAGCTAAAAGGGTAAAGAGTTTTTAAGCCTTTTTGGTTTTTGGTTGATTTATACATCTTTTGAGAAATGGTTTTGATCAGACTGAAAGTGTTAATGGTATAGGCTGAGAGATTGTCTCTGGTTGCTCCAATGGAGGATTTTGATGAGTACAGTCCTCACCAGTCGATGAGTATGGAGATAAACGATATTATGAAGGAGCAAGAAAGACTGAAAGAGATTAAGATGGAGATTGAGCTGTTGGATGCTCAAATGGTTTGTGTACTTGATCAAAGAGACAAAGCTTTCGAAACGATTATGTTCTTGAGGATACAACGAGACAAAGGGGTGCGCTTTTTTGTGCCTTGTGTTAAGTCTATTTTATTCTCCATCAATTGGATCTTGAAGATCTTAAAAATCTGATCTTTTTTGCTGGATGTGTTCTGTTTTGTAGAATGCTGCCTTTTACCAGAGTCGTGTTGTCATGAAGAAAGCCATGGAGTTGGCTGCTTCCGGGAATGTTAGAGATCTTGAAGAGCTCGCTAGTTCCGAGGTTTGTTTTGGTCAGTCTATTGAGTCTCTGAGATTTTGTGAGCATCTGTTCTTATTTTGGGTTTTGGATAGGTTGAGAAGTTTATGTCTCGTTGGAACAATGACAAGGCTTTTAGAGATGATTACAAGAAAAGAATCTTGCCTTCTCTTGATGAGCCAAAGCTGAGGCGCAATGGAAATGAAGCAGTTGTGAGAAAGGCAATGGAGCTTAAGAGGTTTAGTACTGAGGAGGAGAGTGATGGTTCTATGGATTTTGATATCAGGCTGCTTCGGAAGGAGGAAGAAGAGATTGACGAAGAGAGTTTGAAAGAGAGGAAACGAGAAGAGCAGGTAGAGAAAGCTCGGCTAGCGATGGAAAGGAAGAGGAAGCTACATGAGAAAGCTGCTGCTAAAGTTGCCATTAAAGCTAAGAAGGAAGCTGAGAAGAAAGTTAAGGATCTTGAGAAGAGAGCAAAGAAGAAGGAGAAGGAGAAGGCTGCGTCTAACTCTTCTTTTCCATCGGATCTAGACAGAACAACAGAGACAGTCACCGAGACATCAGCAGTGAAGTCGAAACAGAGAAGTTTTAGGTACTACAGATATAGCAGAAAGAGAAATGAGGATGTCCCAAAAGCTATCATTAAGCGTAGAAAAGCTTATAGGTTGTGGATTTGGACTGTTTCCTCGGCTGCAGTGGCTCTCCCGCTCGCTCTCCTCATTGTGTTCTTTTACATCAGATGAGAGGAAGAAGAAAGACATTTGGTTTCTCTGTCTTTTGGAGAGTTGAAGTTAGCTTCGAAGCAAATGACATTGACAACAAAGTTTGGTGTCATAAGTTTTAGAGTAGTAGAGAGACATTTGCATTCATGGTGAGATGGTTAAAGTCCCAAAGCTGATCAGGTCAAACATGGTGACCCGATCACTCTGCCAAAGGGATCTTTGCACAGTGATCGGGTCAACATGTTTGAGGTGATCAACTTTGGGACTTCGATCACCTCTCCATGGATGCAAATGTGTTAATACTTAATACCATGTTGAAATTTATGACTCCAAACACTGACACTTGATAGTTTGTATGTGTTTGATCCCTTTGATGAGTAGGAACAAAAAAAAAAAGCATTATCTTTTCTTCTGTAACTTCGAATTGTATAAATGAAAGAGAGTTCATTGCATTAAACAAAAGCATTGCGTACTGACACCACTTAACACACAGCCAAAGTCTCTTGCTTTACAAAATGTGAATTAGAAAACAGTTTTTTTTTTTTGTTAATTTTTGTGTAAATTCATTATAGTTACCAAACTTTCAACAAAAATGAAACAGAGGTGTTAAGAGTTTTATTAGATGAAGACAAACCTTCTAATGGATTTAGAGGCTTCTCCTAAAGCAAGTTTTCAGAGACGAGCTAGCAACTATGGCTGTCACCGCCAGCTTGGCTCATCCATGGGTCGTCCTGAGACAAGCTTTCCGAACAGTCGCAGCTTCTTCTTATCTTCACACAACTCCCAAAACCCTAATCACAAACTGCTCTGTTCCCGCTTCTTTTCCTCTCCGACATTCAGGTCCATTTCCCGTAATTGAATCTGGATTTTGTTTCCGTTTGAAATTTTGTGTTGATTTTGGATTCACTATCGTGCTTATCAAACGAAAAACACCTTCAGTTATCGGATTCAATCAAAAGTTGTTTGCTTGAAGTAACCCACAAAATAAAAATTGCAGCTTTGAGAAGAAGAAGTCAAGCTGCAGAAGCAATTAAGGGAGATGTGGATTTTCTGCTCAAAGGAGTTGGAGACCAATCTGTTGCTAAAGAAGTTAAGCAAGTCCTTGAAATGGTATTAATCCCCATTAATCATCTCTACCTTTACTTCTCTCTGATTTCTTCTCCATTTCGATACTGAATGGGATTTGTTTGTAGGCAAGACGAGCAGCATCAAGAAGAGAAGTCCTTCACACTGATTTTCTAACTCCACCTATTGTTAAAGAATCAGTTTCAGTATTGGGAAAACTTGCTGATGTTAAGATAGTTGCTCAGGGAGGTTACCCTGAGGTCTGTTTTCATCATCTTTAAAGTAAACAAATTTCCTCTGAAAATGTGAAACTTTAAGCTCATAAAGTTTTGTCTTTTGGTTTAGGCTGAGCGGTGTAGGATCTCAATTGGACACCCTGATGTCTTAACCAGTGATCCAGATACAGTTGCTGCTTTAAGGTACAAATTCTTGAATTCTTGAGTTTTGTTCTTCTCTGAGTCTCTGAGTATGTTTCTTTCTGTTGGTTTTTTTTCAAGTATCACAGGGAATTTCGGGTTTCAACATTGTTCTCACGGTGACTTCCTTGGATCGATTCTTGGCACGGGGATTTCCAGGGAGAAACTTGGGGATATCCTAATTCAGGTATCATCTGCATAAGAACAATCCTCAGCTCCATTTACAAAATCTTTATGTTCTCACTATTTTTCTTCGATTGGTACTGAAGGAAGACAAAGGAGCTCAGATACTGATAGTTCCTGAACTAGTTGACTTCATTGTTTCAGCTCTCGACAAGGTTAAACCTTTCTTGTTGATTTATATAACTGATTTAACCAACATCTTGTTGTTGCATTACTCTGACCTGATTGTTATGATGTGAAATTTAATAGGTTGGAAATGTTTCTGTAACGTGTAGTAAAATACCTTTGCTTGCTCTTGAATACGAACCTCCTAGGTATGTACATTTTAGCTTCCTCTTGTCTTGAATAAAGTGTCTGCATTGGCTTGATTGGTTGTTTTGTTTTGTTAGGACGAATTCTTTTAAAACAGTGGAGGCCTCGTTGAGAATTGATGCAGTAGCTAGTGCTGGTTTCAAGATCTCTCGGTCAAAACTAGTTGATTTGATTAGGTAAGTTTAGCTTCTTCTTCTTCTTTTTTCGGTCTTCTCACTGCATTTCTCATACTAAAAGAACATTCTTTGTACATTCTTCTTTGTTCGCAGTAGTGGGGACGTTCGGGTTAATTGGGCAACGGTGACCAAGAACGGAACCATCGTAAAGACCGGTGATGTTGTCTCTGTTAGCGGGAAAGGGAGACTCAAGGTAAAGGTTGTTTGTTTGGAAATGATTTTAGTTAGTGGATTAGTTTCAAAAACAATTATCTTTTTTTTTTGTTAACTTTGTTTCAATCACAGATTGGAGAAATCAATGAAACGAAGAAAGGCAAATTTGCTGTTGAAATCATCAGATATCTCTAGAAAGAAGTTGTAACAAGTTATCAAGGATCTTTTTTCTTCCTTTCGTTCTCACCGATTCATATTGACTTTCTCTTTTCTTCATAGCAAAATTCAACTGAATGTATTAATCTTTAAGTTATATCATTGACTATAATTTTTGTGATCAAAATTATCGTTTTTAACCAATGAAAAATTCGTCTATACAAGAGTATAACATTTTATATATTTATCTTTGGTACAACATAACAGTCATATCAAGAATCATGGTCGTGTTGTGTTACTCACCCTCAAAAATCTTTACATGCGTATGCATGAGATTATGTATACGTGGAATACTTACGTATGCTATAACGGTCTCTTCAAATAAATAAAAATTATAACAACTCAAATATGACTCTCACTTTTCAAATATTTTAAAATTAAGCATACCCACAATATCCATACTCACATTTAACCCCGGACTTACACTTCCTCGTGCATTTCCCACAATGGTTAGGGTTAAAGTTAACGTAAGTGCAAACGCCACCACAACATCGCTGCCCGAAACCGCACTTGTGACCGCATCGACCGCAATTATTCATGTCTCCAAGAATATTCCGACAATGCTTCTTGCAGCAATGCAAGAGGCTCTTCCCGTTGTTGGCTTTTACTCCATTGCAAATGTTGTAACTCGCGACGTGACATCTTGCTCCTTTCTTGATCTTCTTGTAGTGGGAAACTAGTAGCCTGGTTTTGGATGAAATTGTAACGTTTGAAAGAATCGAGGGAGTTTCGTCAAGAATGTAAAACTCTGGGTCATCTTCGTCAATAACTTCATCAGCTAAAACCAAGTGGGGATTTAATGTTGTTGTTAATAGAAAATAGAGGATTAAAGAGAGAATGGAGGTGGCTTTAGTGAAAGTATTAGAGATCTTAATGACCATTTTGTTTAAAGTAAAACAAATAGCCAATGAGAGTTTGGATTTGGATCAGAGAAGAAGCAAGGAAAGCTAAGAGTTGGACTTAAGGGAAGATCTGTGTTCTTGCGAATGAAGGGTATTTTAAGGCAGAAAAGACATTATTGAAATTCTGATTTAATTTTGTTTAAAAGAAATTGACTTTGTTAGGCAATTGCTTAAATGAATTGATTATTCCTCAAATCTAGGCTACCATGCACAAGTGGTTGTTGTCTAGATTAAGTCATACCATGTTGGATCTCATTGGTGAAAAAAGTGTTTTTCAATGGTATAGTAAAAAAAAGTTTTACTAAGTTTTCCATCATTCCATGCATTTAGATCGTAATGAATTTTGCGTGTAAACCATTTTCTTTACTACCTATTTTCTGCCACTTGAGCAACTCATTTTCTTTTATACATCACTTTGTTGATTGATAGTTTTTTTCAAAAACATAATAGTCTTACCGTCACGACACAAAATATTACCAAAATCCAATCTCTTCTAGGCTCTAGCATAAGATGTATGTATGACTCTCATTACCGTGAAAATATATATTTTTTATACATTCCATATTGCTCAAAATGTTTTGTGCATTATAATACCCTTTTCATTAAGATTATAAGCATACGATCTATGCATAACTCTCTGAAATGTGTTTGATCTAGAGTAGATTCGTGGCTGGCTCCGTGTGAAAAGACAATTAGAAAAAGAGAGTCAAACTAATTATAATTCGGAAATCATGATGGAACAAACAACACATGACATGACTGATATAAAAAAACAGCACAAGTGCTCTTTGGAACCATGCAAATGCATGTACATGAGTTGTCTCTTTAACCAAAAACGTCGCACGTGTGGTGACGGTGGAACAACTAGATCCTTGTTTTTTTTCCACTAAAGCCGGCAAGAGTCACATACCGTGCGCAATCGAACCTGGCGACTCTAGTGGCCATCTCTCTACGTGTCCCTATCAATGTTCGTGACAGTCATATCGTCACCGCCGAAGTTGATAATACTCGGACCATAAGGCTGGTTGTTAGTTTATTACACTCGTTGACCAAAACAAAATTCATTTAATACAAATATTCCAAACTTTAGGCGACATTGGCGCACATGATTTACATGCAAAGGTTAGGCTATTACTACGAAGTCTATGTGGCTACTAGCTAACCTTTTAAACAAAAGCTTGTGTTGCTCACAAAAATATAAAATACGCATTAACACAAATAATTTATTAATATCTTACACTAATCGTATGATTTTACGTTTTAAGGTCATTGACCAGGAGGAACATAGTAAGTCTTCATTGTGTGTTGGTGATTTAGATTTCACTTTAGATTTCTGTATCATTATCAAGTTTTTTTTTGTGATTGTTTTTGCAGGTCTTTGTTGGGCTTTTGTTAGTGTAAACTTAGTGAGCACGATGAGAGTCATAGAGAAGAAAGATCCCAATTTTGTTCCCTTGAGCGTGAAGGACTTGTGTTTCTTTGTATCTCCACATGATCGAGAAAGTAGAACCGTAGATGGAGTAGTACACCAGTGTCGGGACAAAGTGACTGCTGGTCTCAAATACATACCAGATCACGGGGTGGAGAAACAAGGAGGCGTAAGTGACAAAAAATTTATGTGCTTGATCAGGGCACATGTAGAGGTAAAGGGAAAGAAGACGAGTAGGAGAAGACGAGGATTTTAGGCTACAAATACCTTGGTGATAATCTTCCGATGCTGAAGCGGCTGGACCGTTGGAGCAATAGTTGCAATATTTTCAGAGTATTGGGAGACTAAAGAGGTAAATAAATATAACTTTAAATATTTTGTGTTAGATCAAAGATTGGTAGATACCTTGATCAGGGGATGATCAAGGACAGTTTTTTATTTTGTTATTTTGATCAAGGACAGTTTCTTATTTTGATCAAAAAAGTGTTAGATCAAATATTTCCATACAGTTTCTTATTTTGTGTTTGTTATATGGACTTGAGGGAAGATCTGTGTTCTTGCGAATGAAGGGTATTTTAAGGCAGAAGAAAACACATTATTGAAATTCTGATTTAAATTTGTTTAAAAGAAATTGACTTTGTTAGGCAATTGCTTAAATGAATTTATTATTCCTCAAATCTAGGATACCACAAGTGATTGTTGTGTAGATTAAGTCATACCATGTTGGATCTCATTGGTGATAAAAGAATTTTAGTAAAAATAAGTTTCTCTAAGTTTTCCATGCATTTAGATCGTAATGAAAATATTAGATTTACATGACGAGTTCTGCGTGTCAACCATTTTCTGCCACTAGAGCAATTCATTTTCTTTTATACATCACTTTGTTGATTGATACTTTTTTCAAATAGTCTTACCGTCAAGACACAAAATATTACCAAAATCCAATCTCTTCTAGCATAAGATGTATGCCATGACTCATTACCGTGAAAATATATATTTTAATACATGCCATATTGCTCAAAATGTTACTTTTGTTCGGTTGTGCATTATGATATATACCTTTTCATTAAGATCCCTTCTAAGCATACGATGTATATATGCATAACTCTCTGAAATGTGTTTGATCTCGAGTAGATTCGTGGCTGGCTCCGTGTGAAAAGACAATTAGAAAAAGAGAGTCAAACTCATTATAATTCGAAAATCATGATGGAACAAACAACACACATTACATGACCGATATTAAAAAAAAAAACAGCACAAGTGCTCTTTGGAACCATGAAAATGCATGTACATGAGTTGTCTCTTAAACAACTGAGATCCTTCTTTTTTGCCACTAAAGCCGGCAAGAGTCACATACCGGTTACGCTTACTGCGCAACCGAACCTGGCGACTCTAGTGTGCGATCTCTCTACGTGTCCCTATAAATGTTCGTGACAGTCATATGACTCATATCGTCACCGCCTAAGTTGATTATACTCGGACCACAAAGGTCCATGACGTTGAGCCGTTGACCTTTATAATCTATTGTTTATTTGTTACACTCGTTGACCACAACAAAATTGAATTATGTAAGTAACAATGATCATGCATTGTTCATTAAATATAAATATTCCAAACTTTATGCGACATTGCCGCACATGATATACATGCAATTGCAAAAGGTTGGGCTATTAGCTATGAAGCCTATGTGTACTAGCTAACCTTTAAACAAAAGCATTAGCACAAATAATTTATTAATATCTTACACTAATCGTATCGTTTTACGTTTTAAGGTCAGGTAATGACCTTGGTTACTCGAAAAGGGTACATAAAACTAGAAAAAAATTATCCAAAATTTCTACTTTACCATAAAAAATGGTACTGATTTACTCCAAATGGTAGTAACTAAAGATTCGTCTTACCATTTCTCCGAGTTTTCAGTGTAACAAGGCCCAATAATCTAATAGGGCCCAATAATTCAAATTTCAAATTTAAATTCTTTGTTTTTCTTTCTCTTACGCTCCCGAATCACACGTCTGTTGGATCTCTGCGATTTTTTACCGTTGCTTCATCTTCCTTCGTCAATGGCGAATTCGATTTCAAACACATACTTAACCACACCGACTAAAACCCCATCTTCCAAAAGAAGCAAACAGAGCCAATCTCAGATGCAGTCTCTCTCCCAGAATCCGGTGAGTTCCGAATCTAGGTCGCGATTTGAAGCCTACAATCGTCTCCAAGCAGCAGCGGTTGCTTTCGGGGAGAAACTTCCGATACCAGAAATTGTCGCCATCGGTGGTCAATCAGACGGTAAAAGCTCTCTTCTCGAAGCGCTTCTAGGGTTCCGATTCAATGTCCGCGAAGTGGAAATGGGCACGCGCCGCCCTCTGATTCTCCAGATGGTACACGATTTATCGGCCTTAGAACCACGGTGTCGATTCCAGGTAAAATCCCAGACGGATTTCTCATACTCGCTGTTGATTTTATTGCCTATAGCATTCGATTGCAATTCATTTCTGCTTATGTTTGAGATATCTAGAGACTGTAATGTGGAAATTTCTCGACGGATTATTGTTGATTTGGTTACTGATTTGGTGAAATTGATCTGTAGGATGAAGATTCTGAAGAATACGGAAGCCCTATTGTTTCGGCTACAGCAGTAGCAGATGTAATTAGGTCTAGAACGGAGGCGCTTTTGAAGAAGACGAAAACGGCAGTCTCGCCGAAGCCGATTGTGATGAGAGCTGAATACGCTCATTGCCCAAATCTGACTATCATTGATACTCCTGGGTTTGTGCTAAAGGTAGCTTTCTCTTCCCATTTGTTTGTCTATCTGAATATTCTGTATCAGAGTTTGTCAAATTCGATAGATTCTAACAACACTTGTGTGAGCAGGCGAAGAAAGGAGAGCCTGAAACGACGCCAGATGAAATTCTATCGATGGTGAAGACACTGGCTAGTCCTCCACATCGCATTCTCTTGTTCCTTCAGCAGAGTAGTGTGGAATGGTGTTCGTCCTTGTGGTTAGATGCAGTTCGTGAGATTGATTCGAGCTTTCGCAGGACAATTGTTGTTGTCTCCAAGTTTGATAATCGCCTCAAGGTACCAATTTTTCTGAAACGCAATCACCTACTGGATCTCATAAGCATTCTTTGTTGTAATTTGATTATCCAACACTTTTGCAGGAATTTAGTGATCGCGGTGAAGTTGATCGTTATCTGAGTGCTAGTGGATACCTTGGAGAGAACACTCGTCCTTACTTTGTGGCATTGCCAAAAGACAGAAGCACCGTGTCAAATGAAGAATTTCGTCGACAAATAGCTCAGGTGGATACAGACGTGGTAAAGCATCTACGGGAAGGAGTCAAGGGAGGATTTGATGAAGAAAAATTCAGGTCATATGTCGGTTTTGGCTCGTTAAGAGATTTCTTAGAGTCTGAGCTTCAGAAGAGATACAAGGAAGCTGCTCCAGCAACACTAGCTTTACTTGAACAGCGATGCTCTGAGGTTACTGATGATATGCTGAGAATGGATACGAAGATCCAGGCTACTTCTGATGTTGCTCATCTCAG